TCTGGGGTTGCGGCGCTCATCTCGCTTTACTGGCCGAGGGAGCTGGCATACAGCAGGACTAAGCTGCTTCTGGCGAACCAGATCAGCGCACGGAAATGCCATTTACCTTCCCACCAGAGCGGTACCTATTTATCTACTTTGATGTGCTTTCGAACTGCTAGGTGGGCAGGAGCAGGAACCGAGCAATGGGAGCTCACCCCGTCGCGGGGATTCAAACCACCGACCTCCTGATCGGCAAGCCCTGATAGGCACCCGCGTCCCAGGTGACTCCCTGTTGTTACTCAGCTTCACAAAAAAGGGGGGGGAAAGTGTCCCCCGATTCATTGGAAAAAATCTGGTAACCATTGACTAAGGCAGGTTGGAGGGAGCTCACCCCCCCCACCCCCGGTCCCGCCTTCTGCAGCCTGACTCCAGCCAGCTGCTTAGGAATGAGCACAAACACCTGAGGCCAAGGGACAAAATGCCAGGGTCCTCAGCACCTCCAGGCCTCCTGTCTGAATGAAGGCAGCCCTTCAGGGAAGCATCGCGGCCCATTCAGCAATGCAGCAAAAATCGGAGGCAGAAATGGGCAGGGGGCCAGAGCTCCCCGGCAGGGCGTCTGCCTTGCAAGGGGAAGGGTCCCGGGTTCAAGTCCCGCGGGCACCTCCAAAGACAGAGGGGGGAGACGGGAGACGCCTGTCTGAAAGCCCTGAATTCACTCTTCCACCCCGTCCTCCAGGCTGGTCTGGGCACAACCCGATTAAGAGAGGCACCGTCCTGACGTTGCGCCCCACACCGCTGGCCCCATAGCAGGGGTGCCAACTGAAATAAAATATGGGGGGGGGAGGCAGACAAGCCCCGCCCCACCTAATCCACACGCACGCCATTTAAATAGCAATTTGGGGGGCGGCGCTCAAATATTTTATTGGAGGGCGGCAAGGGACTTTGGCTCCTATGCCCCATAGCTAGGAGTGGGGTGCAACACGCAGGGCGACGACACCCCCATCTGGAGCCAGCCCCCCACAGCAGGCACCCCCCGATCCACAGCGCCACCCGCGATGCCAGGCTGCCACCCGCGCCCCCTTCCCTCCTTTGCCCCGCGGAACGCCCAGCCACAGGACCGGTGCCTTGTCGCCTTACCTGGGGAGCGCCGTCCTGCCCGTCGGGGGGCTGCTGCTGCCCCCTTGCCCCCCCTTCCGCCTCCTCCTCCTCCTCCTCGCCGCCATCCTTCTTGAAGAGGGTGTAGAAGATGTAGACCAGCAGCGAGTAAAAGGCGTACATGGGGGCTCCGTGGCAACCGAGCCCCCAAATCCGCGGCGCCCACCTGGAGAGGGGACCCCCGCGAAACCCCCGCGCTCCGCTCAGCAGCAGCAGCCGCAGCAACCACAGCAGCAGCAGCGGAGCAGGAGGGAAAGGAGGCGGCCCCGGCGACTGGAGGCGCCCCGCCCGGCCCGCCGCGCCCCGCCTTCCGGCCCGCCGCAGCCTGAATCGGAGTCACCGGGAGGGCCGGGCCGGGCGGGAGCGGCGGGAGGGCGAGGGGGACGCGGCTCCTTCTCCCTCTCCTCCTTCTTCTCTTTCTCCTTCTCTTTCTCCTTCTCCTTCTCCTCCTTTTCCTTCTCCTCCTCCTCCTCCTTCTCTACCTTCTCCTTTTCCTTCTCCTCCTTTTCCTTCTCCTTCTCCCTCTCCTCCTCCTTCTCTTTCTCCTTCTCCTTCTTCTTCTTCTCCTCCTCCTCCTCCTTCTCTACCTTCTCGTTTTCCTTCTCCTCCTTTTCCTTCTCCTTCTCCTCCTCCTCCTTCTCTACCTTCTCCTTTTCCTTCTCCTCCTTCTCCTTCTCCTCCTTCTCCTCCTCTTGCCCAGAAGATGCCACCCCCGTCGGAGGCAGGGCTGAGCCGCCCGCAGGGATGGCACCGGGGCCGGAGGAGCGCATCCCCGGGCCACCGCTGCCGCGCCCCGCGAGGTCTTCCCTGCTTCTCCCCGCCAGCCCCGAGTGCCGCAGTGGCGGGGCAGCTGCTCTGCAGGCCGAAGGAGACGGGTTCGGTCCCCAGGGGGCCCGGCTTGCGGCTTTCCTGTTCAGGTCATCTGCTTGGCCAGGTGAGGACGGGATGATGGGCCAGGTGGGCCAGTGGCCTCATCCAGCAGGATCTTCTGCTGTTCTTAACAGAGCAGGAGAGGCTTGCCGTGGCTACTACTAGCCAGAATGGCTATGCTCTTGTCTCCATAACTGGCATTGCTGGAGACCACAGAAAGGAAATAGTGGCTCTTGGGGTCGGATCCTGCTGGCAGGTTTCCCATAATGGGCATCTGGTCCAGAGATGCCAACCTGAATAAAATATGGAGGATGGGCAGGTATGCCCTACCCCACATAATCGATTCCAAGACACAGCACGCATGCACACACGCACCATTTGACTGGCAATGCCCATCAACTTTGGGTGGGGCATCAACCGCCTCAAATATTTTATTGGGAACCCCTAGGAGTTGGCCAGGATGCAGGTGACACTGTGGGTTAAACCACAGAGCCTAGGGCTTGCCGATCAGAAGGTCGGCGGTTCGAATCCCCGCGACGGGGTGAGCTCCCGTTGCTCGGTCCCTGCTCCTGCCAACCTAGCAGTTCGAAAGCACCTCAAAGTGCAAGTAGATAAATAGGTACCGCTCTGGCGGGAAGGTAAACGGTGTTTCCATGTGCTTCTCTGATTTGCCAGAAGTGGCTTAGTCATGCTGGCCACATAACCCGGAAGCTGTACGCCGGCTCCCTTGTCCAATAAAGAGAGATGAGCGCCGCAACCCCAGAGTCGGCCACGACTGGACCTAATGGTCAGGGGTCCCTTTAGGAGTTGGCTACTGTGAGAAGTTGGGTGGGTCACTGGCCTAATTGTGTTCTTACATTAACTTTGGCCATAATCTGGGATGTTAACTTCCCTGGGTCTGGCCATGTGGGTTCCAAATAAAAAGGTAAAGGGACCCCTGACCATTAGGTCCAGTCGTGGCCGACTCTGGGGTTACCTGGAAATAATTAGGCAGGCAGTGAAGTTGGGCTGGAGCAGTGCCAGCACAGTCTACGGCGTTGCAATTAGAGACCCGGCATGGCATAGTGGTTAGTGTGTTAGGCTAAGATCCGACAGTAAAGGTAAAGGGTAAAGGGGCCCCTGACCACTAGGTCCAGTCGCAGATGACTCTGGGGTTGCGGCGCTCATCTCACTTTTGTTTTGTAGGGTCTGATAGCATGAGCGCAGCGTTTTGTAGGGTTTTGTAGGGTACTCAGACTGGAGTCCTAAGTAAAAGGTAAAGGTAAAGGCCGACTGGGGTTGCGGCGCTCATCTCACTTTATCGGCCGAGGGAACCTGCGTACAGCTTCCAGGTCATGTGGCCAGCATGACTAAGCCGCTTCTGGCGAACCAGAGCAGCACACGGAACTGCCATTTACCTTCCCGCCGGAGCGGTACCTATTTATCTACTTGCACTTTGACGTGCTTTTGAACTGCTAGGTGGGCAGGAGCAGGGACCGAGCAACGGGAGCTCACCCCGTTGCGGGGATTCGAACCGCCGACCTTCTGATCGGCAAGTCCTAGGCTCTGTGGTTTAACCTACAGCGCCACCTGCATCCCTAAGATCCGACAGACCCAGGTTCAAATCCCCATGCAGCCACAAAGCTCCCTGGGGACCTTGGGGGCCAGTCAGCGCCTCTCAGCCTAACCTCCCTCACAGGGTTGGGGGGGGGTGTTGAATGAGAAGCAGGTGGAAGAAGCATGTAGGTCACCTGCAGCTCCTTGGAGGAAAAGGTCGGATGTCAACAGGATAAAACAAACCTTAAATGCCATGATCTTAAAAAAAAAAAGATTCATTTTCCTTTTTCATTTATTAGACACATCTCATATTCCTAACATTTACTATACATTCCTCCCTCCCTCCCCTCCTAGGCTTCCCCCAACTTCCACTTCTGATTTGTTTCTCCTTTCACCCACTTTGCTGCTTCCTAAAAGAAAAAACTACTAATAACATATTTATACAATAACATCAAACCTAAAAACATAAAAATAACAGTGAATGCACCATATTATTTCTCTATCTTCTACACATTTTCTAATACTAATGATGTGAATGTTTATTTAAATACTGCCATCAAGTCTATAGACTTTTTTTGTTTCTGCAAGTATAATATAAATGGTTCCCATTCTTTTTCAAAGTCACTGTTGTCTTTTTCTCTTAGTCTGTCTGTCATTTTTGCCAGTTCTGAATAGTTCATCAACCTCTCCTGCCATTGTTCTTTAGTTGCTATTAAATGCCATGACCTGTCCTTTGCATCTCAACATGCAAGCATCTCAGACAGAGGATGCAAAGGGTCCATGCAGGATCCCTAGTGGGACACCTGCTTGGAATGCAGAAGATGTCTCTGCACTGCTGGAGAGCTGCCTCTCTCAGCTCCGGCAATGCAGAGGCTGCTGACGGCAGCAGAATCTCACAAGCTGGTCCTGCTGGGAGGAAGCAGCCCCTTCACTCCTGCTGCAAAGATGGAACCAGACTTGGCAACAGCCCTATAGGAAAGAGCCTCAGTAGCTGTGCTTTGCATGCAGAAGGCAGCAGACCCAACCTCCTGGGGGTGAAAAACTTGCAGACTCAATGTACAGAATAAGAGAACAAGAGGAACATACTTTTAAAGAAGATTGGAAAAGGTTTATTGAATATATTGGAAATAATTGTGTACAGCTGAGAACACTGGCAGCATTCAGATCAATTCAACAGGGTAAATAATTTTTGATGGATGCACTAATGGGATAGTGAATGGTATAGTTTTTGTAAAATATGCAGGGATTTATGATATGCAAAATGAACCGTGGAAAGAGAAGAAGGGAAGTCATTGATATCTTAAGGGTGTAAAATGAGTATTTTAATTTGTAAAACAGAAAAATTAATAAAAACTAGATTAGATAGATAGATAGTTGAGAGAGAGAGAAAAACAACCTCTGGGAGAAATATATATATATATATATATATATATATATATATATATATATATAAAATTGTCCAGTAGCACAATCTTTATATGCCTGAAGAAGCTCATATCAAGAACAAACTTAGTTGGTCTCTAAGGTGTTACTTAGATATATTACTCTTGCTATATATATTCTCACCTTGCACCAAAATGATCTTATCATCAGGCAGTTATTCATCATATGTACCAAGTTTGCATTTTTACTTCCACATCTCCAGCAGTTGTCTGCATTTCTGAGAGCAGGGTCAGTCTTAGAAATGATGTTTGCAAGCCTCTCAGATAGTCTGTTTTGGCCACAGGGAAGGCAAACATTATGTCAACAAGCACACACCCCTGTATACTGTCCCTAAACAGAGAATTCCCTTAGCTAGCACGACTGATATTTGACAATAGCCTTATCCCTCATAGTTTTATCTGATCCTGTGCGAGTCACCACCTCCACCTCCTGTGGCAGGGAGTTCCACAGGTAAAGGATGTCTTGTTGCAACAATACTTTTGCAACAGCTTAACAAGGATGGTGGGCTCTCAGAGAAAACTGCAGCAAACCACAGAGAGAGGAGCAAGGAGGCATCTTTACAGGGACAAACCAGTATTTCAAATGCTGTCAAACTAGCCTTACACATTTTTTAAAAAATGCTTCAGGCTTCATGTTTCCGAGCAAGTCAGGGGTGCTTTGTGAAGCTGGTGTTTACTCAAGACAAAGAGCAGTTCCTACAGGCAGAATATAAAGAGCCCCCAGGTGATAGAGGAGTCAAATTGCAATTTGAACCTCTCAGGCAGAAAGAACAAAAATATTCTGTTGTTGCACACTGTCACCAAAGCTGTCCATGGAGGCGAAGGTCAATTCTGTGTCCAGGGCAGCAGTCTACCAGCTCCATCTGGTACGCAGGATGAGACCCTCCCTGCCCGCAGACTGTCTCGCCAGAGTGGTGCATGCTCTAGTTATCTCTCGCTTAGACTACTGCAATGCGCTCTATGTGGGGCTACCTTTGAAGGTGACCCAGAAGCTACAACTAATCCAGAATGCGGCAGCTAGACTGGTGACTGGGGGCGGCTAAAGAGACCACATAACACCGGTCCTGAGAGATCTGCATTGGCTCTCAGTAGGTTTCCGAGCACAATTCAAAATGTTGGCGCTGACCTTTAAAGCCCTAAATGGCCTCAGCCCAGTATATCTGAAGGAGCGTCTCCACCCCCATCGTTCTACCCGGACACTGAGGTCCAGCGCCGAGGGCCTTCTGGCGGTTCCCTCATTGCGAGAAGTGAGGCTACAGGGAACCAGGCAGAGGGCCTTCTCGGTGGTGGCGCCCACCCTGTGGAACGCCCTCCCACCAGATATCAAAGAGAAAAACAACTACCAGACTTTTAGAAGACATCTGAAGGCAGCCCTGTTCAGGGAAGCTTCTAATGTTTAATAGACTCTTGTATTTTAATGCTTTGTTGGAAGCTGCCCAGGGTGGCTGGGGAAACCCAGCCAGATGGGTGGGGTATAAATAAATAAATAGTTGTTGTTGTTGTTGTTGTTGTTGTTGTTGTTGACTAGATGGTCCCCCATTGGCCTGATCCAGCAGGCTCTTCTCACATTCAAGTCTACACCTGGCCCTGATGGCAGGTAACGCACAAACTCACCTGTAAACGTATCTCAGCCTGGAGGCATAATATTCCAGGGACCCACATTGCACCACGGGAGTTAATGCTGCACCCTTTAATTCCCAAGAGGAATTAGCAAAATACCACCGGGTTTCAATTTGGGTAGAACAGAGATTTGTTTATTGTAAAACGCCGGAATGGTGGCGCAGAGAGTAACAGCTGTGCGGGACAAGCAGGTAACAGGAGGTAAACTGGTTTGCAAAAAAATCCAGTTTGTGTCAGGACTTTGCAGTTCAAGGACATTGCTAGGTCCTTCAAATTGCTCCCAGCACTTGCCTGTGACGCATATGTATGTATAGTGGCAGATTGAGGCTGACTTTTTGAAGGAAAACCACCCTCGAAGCAAAGTAAAAAAATAAGGAAATGTAAATTTAGAAAATAGGAGATAAGGGGCAGGAGACCCAGAGTCCAGTGGCTTGTGGTTCTTGTATTGCAGGGGGCTTAGACTAGATGAGCCTTAGGGGTCCCTTCCACATCTACAATTCTGTGCCCTCGGTCCAAGCTGCTTCCTCGGGGATGGGGAACATTACCTTTATCTGGGACCCTTCGAGCTGGAGGGCACAGCCTTGCCACCCTCATCGGGCTCAGAGGAGGAGCCCTTGCCAATCATTCTTGGCTGCCTGTGTAAGGCTAGGCTTCCGCTGGCGCTAGCCAGGACATTTCAGGCAGCAGAGCTGTTATGGTTCTGGACTGTCAGGAGTTAACACTCCAGGAGCGTTCTTATCAACTGGGTGCACTGCCCACATAATCCGTGCTTCGTTAGCAAGGTCGTGTAGTTTTTCTTAAGAGGCAGAGAGCTGCGAACATGCAGCTAGATTCTGCAGGTTTTCTTTTCTGTTTTGAGTGCTACTAAATAGAGTTTTGGATTAGAAGCACTGGTGTCCAGCTGCGTTATTGAGGACACCACGTCGACACGGACAAGCCATTTGCTGCTTCGTGGGAACTCTGCTATTATCCGGTGGCGCTGTGGGTTAAACCACAGAGCCTAGGACTTGCTGATCAGAAGGTCGGCGGTTCAAATCCCCGCGACGGGGTGAGCTCCCGTTGCTCGGTCCCTGCTCCTGCCAACCTAGCAGTTCGAAAGCACGTCAAAGTGCAAGTAGATAAATAGGTACCACTCCAGCGGGAAGGTAAACGATGTTTCTGTGCGCTGCTCTGGTTCGCCAGAAGCGGCCTAGTCATACTGGCCACATGACCCGGAAGCTGTATGCCGGCTCCCTCGGGCAATAAAGCGAGATGAGCGCCGCAACCCCAGAGTTGGTCATGACTGGACCTAATGGTCAGGGGTCCCTTTACCTTTAAATAAAGAGTTTTGGATTAGAAGCACTGGTGTCGAGCTGCGTTACTGAGGACACCACGTCAACACGGACAAGCCATTTGCTGCTGCGTGTGAACTCTGCTATTATCCGGCAACTGGAGAGAGTGGCAGCGCGCGGAGTGGAAGCCTGTGGGCGCCATTGGAAGTCTGTCGGAGCAGCAATAAATCAAATTTATTGGGGGCCGTTTCAGCAGATTCAGTGGGTCAGAAGATAGACGACCCAACAAACTTTCACAAGAGCCCGCTGGAGCTGTCCAGGGTCCTGTTCTTGCCCGTCCTCCGCCTTTGACCCAACAGACTGCATGCCTCAAACAACCACAGAACTGGACAGCAGCCAGAATTCAGAATGACACCTCTGTCTGCAGCAACTACTTGAATTGGCTTATTTCTGTAATATGAGAAAGAGGCCGAGGCAAGGAATCTTCCTGCAGGATTATAAGAAGTGGAGAGGGCACCACGGACCAGGCAGGCTGTAATGGGGACACAGAAGCAATGAAGAAAACTTGAAAATGCCAATGGCAGGAGTCTGGTACGAAAGACAGCAAGGTCAGGGAAAGGGAAATGTCAAAGGGCAGACAGCCACCTGCTCAGAGGAGATGAAAGAAGGAGTCCAGTTTCCTGAAGATCACTGTGATCTGAGAATTTAGGGGCATACGAATGTTGTTAAATGAATGAAATGAAATGTTGAGGGTGCCAGCAAGCCTGAACAGCCAGGTAGCACCTTCCAAAGACTTCGTGGAGTGCGGCCCTTGCAAGCCAGTGAAAAAGGGAGCTATTTGCTCAAGTCTCCACTGCCGTTCCTGGCTGTTCCTGGGTCTTCATCTTCTTCCTGCCGGGTTTCGGTATCTGCGGAGAAGAACAGCCGAATTGGAATGAGAGGCACAACTCAGCCATGAGGCATTTTCGACAGGAACTCACAGGACAAAGCATGCCATAATTACTTCCGTTGATGCCCAGGACACCTTGGAGCAGACTCCCAAACTTCTTAGGGTCAACCCCCCCCCCCCCGGTGTATGCTAGTCTACAAATTGCATTAAGAATAGGAGTTTGCACAATCCACTAAGGAAGATAACAACACAGCGAAACACAGTATGTTTCCGAGCACAATTCAAAGTGTTGGTGCTGACCTTGAAAGCCCTAAATGGCCTCGGTCCAGTATATCTGAAGGAGCGTCTCCACCCCCATCGTTCTGCCCGGACACTGAGATCCAGCTCCCCGAGGGCCTTCTGGCAGTTCCCTCATTGCGAGAAGTGAGGCTACAGGGAACCAGGCAGAGGGCCTTCTCGGTGGTGGCGCCCACCCTGTGGAACGCCCTCCCACCAGATGTCAAAGAGAAAAACAACTACCAGACTTTTAGAAGACATCTGAAGGCAGCCCTGTTCAGGGAAGCTTCTAATGTTTAATAGACTCTTGTATTTTAATACTTTGTTGGAAGCTGCCCAGGGTGGCTGGGGAAACCCAGCCAGATGGGTGGGGTATAAATAAATAAATTGTTGTTGTTGTTGTTGTTGTTGTTGTTGACTAGATGGTCCCCCATTGGCCTGATCCAGCAGGCTCTTCTCACATTCAAGTCTACACCTGGCCCTGATGGCAGGTAACACACAAACTCACCTGTAAACGTATCTCAGCCTGGAATTAGCAAAATACCACCGGGTTTCAATTTGGGTAGAACAGAGATTTCTTTATTGTAAAACGCCGGAATGGTGGCGCAGAGAGTAACAGCTGGACACTGAGGTCCAGCGCCGAGGGCCTTCTGGCGGTTCCCTCATTGAGAGAAGTGAGGTTACAGGGAACCATACAGAGGGCCTTCTCGGTGGTGGCACCCGCCCTGTGGAACACCCTCCCACCAGATGTCAAAGAGAACAACAACAACCTGACATTTAGAAGACATCTGAAGGCAGCCCTGTTTAGGGAAGTTTTTAATGTGTGACATTTTAATGTATTTTTAATCTTTGTTGGAAGCCGCCCAGAGTGGTTGGGGAAACCCAGCCAGATGGGCGGGGTACAAATAAATTATTATTATTATTATTATTATTATTATTATTATTATTATTATTATTTAAAAGAGCTGCAATTAATTCCCCTTTTTTTCCAAAATCCAATTAAAGCGATCGGGTTTGCTTATCTCAACAAAATGGACGGGCTTGATCCAGGGATACCAGCTTGATAGTCAAGCCTGATAGTCATGACCTCCAGAGTCCCTTTGCCCCCAGGTAATCCCACCACCCTTTATGGGGCCCCACCATGCACTTTGGGAAGTGATGCTCCAGAACTAACCCCTTTCCCCAGACTCACCGCTCTGCCTTATGGGGAAGATGCTCCACTTCTGGCCTTCAATCAACTTGGTGTCCTCCAGAGGTTTTGTGCTACAACTCCCATGCTGGCTGGGGCTGGTGGGAGTTGTAGTCCAAAACCTCTGGAAGGCGCCAGGATGGGGAAGGCTGCTCCGCAATATCTCCCCCTCTGCAATATCCCTTTCAGAGCTGACCAGAGCCTCACCCAGCTCTCTAAAAATACGTACTGCAGAGACACAGAACAGTGTCGCAATGATCGTTTGGTGGTTAGTTGGTTTTTGTTTTTAATTGAGTTTATATACCACTCTATACCCGGAGGTCTCAGGGTGGTTCACAGAAAAGATCACAACATACATATTCAGAATAAAAATAACAACCCAATAACCCCCCCAAACCCCACATTATAAAAGGGTATAGGATGTCAAACAGATCAACCAAAGGCCTGGTTAAAAAGGTTAAAAAGGAATCTTTTTGCCTGGTGCCTAAAGGTGTATAATGAAGGCGACAGGCAAACTTCCCTGGGAAGAGCATTCCACAGATGGGGAGCTACTGCAAAGAAGGCCCCGTTCTCGTGTTGCCACCCTCCGGACCTCTTGAGGAGAAGGCACAAAAAGAAGGGGCTCGGAAGGTGATCTCAGGGTCCGGGTAGGTTCATATGGGAAGAGGCGGTCCTTGAGGTATTGCGGTCCTGAGCCATTTAAGGCTCTATAGGTCAAAACCAACACTTTGAATTGAGCCTGGAAACTAATTACAGTGGTACCTCGGGTTAAGAACTTAATTAATTCTGGAGGTTTGTTCTTAACCTGAAACTGTTCTTAACCTGAAGCACTTTAGCTAATGGGGCCTCCTGCTGCTGCTGCGCTGCCGGAGCACGATTTCTGTTCTCATCCTGAAGCAAAGTTCTTAACCCAAGGTGCTATTTCTGGGTTAGCGGAGTCCGTAACCTGAAGTGTCTGTAACCTGAAGCTGCTGTAACCTGAGGTACCAATGTAGTAGCCAGTGGAGTCAAACCAGGATCAGTGTAAGATGCTCAAACCGTCTTTCTCCAGTAAGCTACCTGGCCGCTGAATTCTGCACCAGCTGAAGTTTCCAAACCGTCTTCAGAGGCAGTCCTACGTAGAACGCATTGCAGTAATCTAACCTTGAGGTCACCAGAGCATAGACAACAGTAGTTAGGCTATCCCTGTCCAGATAGGGGCGTAGCTGGGCCACTAGCCGAAGCTGATGGAAGGCACTCCGGGCCACTGAGGCCACCTGAGCCTCAAGCGACAGCAAAGGACCCAGGAGTACAGTGGTACCTCTGGTTGCAAACGGGATCCGTTCCGGAGGCCCCTTCGCAACCTGAAAAGAACACAACCAGCATCTGCGCACACGCAGGTCATAATGCACCACTTCTGCGCATGCGCGTGACATGCGCGAGGGGTGAAACCCAGAAGCAACCCGTTATGTTACTTCCGGGTCGTTGCGGGACACAACCTGAAAACGCGCAACCTGAAGCAAACGTAACATGAGGTATGACTGTACCCCCAAGCTATGAACCTGCTCCTTCAGAGGAAACGTAACCCCACCAAGACCTCCCAGCCATTTTGTTCCTCCTTCCAACCAATTATGCCCCCCTGTCTGCCACTGAATGCTGAGCTGACTCTTTTAGTGAGTTCACCACCAAAAAAGACCCAGAGCCGATTCAGAGCACCCGTTTGGGGGAAAAATTTAGGCTATTTTGCTCCATCACAGCACTGACAGTGACCCCTCTGGCCATCCCTTCGCCTCACCCATCCATCCATCCCTCCCTTCTTCTTTTGGCCTTGCAAAGGTCCAGGGGCAACTCCTCTCTCTCCTCCTCACCTTGCACGGCCGCTTCTTGACCTGGAAGAACTCCACCATCCTCCGCTGCTTCTTGCTGCCCTTCGTCACGGAGCCAGGCGACTGGGGCTGGGCTCTCTTCAGGCAGGCGGCCCGCCACTTCTTCAGTCGGCTGAGAACCTGGCGCTCGCTGTGAAGCAGGCGCTCAGGTCAAAGAGTATCACAGAATTGAACCCGATGGGTTTTTTCTTTCTAATTTTTATTATTATTATTATTTGTTTTCACAGATAATACAGATATACCAAAGCCAACACCATTTCCTCCCCACCCCCCCCATACATTTCCATTTCCTCAATCCATCATATTATTCTTTTCTCCTTCCTCCCACTTCCCCCCACCCCCACTCGATTTTCTCCACATTATACAATTTACAATAATCTTTGCATTCTACAACCTTCTCAAATCATCTATACATTCTTATTATCTTTCCTTACTGATTTTTCTTCCATCCAGTACTTCGCCTTTTAATCTAGGCATATTAGCATATCTTTCTTTGAGCGATATTTTGCCATATATTCATCAAAACATTTCCACTCCGTTTTTAATTTTTGATTCGACCGATTTCTTATTACAGCAGTTAATTTTGCCAAAATTAAATATTCATTTAGTTTACAAATCCTTTCCTCCTTTGTGGGTATAGTTTGTGACTTCCCCCTAGCAACAATCACTATTCTAGCAGCTGTACTTGCATATAGAAAAATTATTTTTTAACCCCGTGGTATCTCATCATCTATCAATCCAAGAAGATATGTCTCTGGTTTCTTTGTTATTGATATTTTCAACATCTTCTTTAGTTCTTCGTGTACTACTATCCAAAATTTCTTAATTTCCTCACACCTCCACCACATATGTATTGCTGTTCCTATTTCTCCACCCAATGGGCTTTTTAGTCCAACTCCCTGAAATGCAGGAATCTCAGCTAAAGCATCCATGACCAGTGGCCATCCCACCTCTGCTTAGAAACCTCCAAGAAGGAGAGACCACCGCCTTCTGAGAAAGAAAGGAGGCAGATTCAAGGGAAATAGAGGGGAAGGCTAGGAAAAGTGGCCAAAGAATAGACTGGCCTTTTTCGCAGATCGGGGCATGTGCAAAAGCAGAAAGCTGTGCTGGCTGATGGGAGTTGCAGTCCAGAAACATATGGTCCCTTCGCTCCTTCCTTTGCTACGCCAAGACCACAAAACGCCGGTCCTGAAGGACCAGGTGCACAGCCTGGGAGTCATTCTGGACTCACAGCTGTCAATGGAGGCGCAGTTCAATTCTGTGTCCGGGGCAGCTGTTTATCAGCTCCATCTGGTACGCAGGATGAGACCCTCGCTGCCCACGGACTGTCTCACCAGAGTGGTGCATGCTCTGGTTATCTCCCGCTTAGACTACTGCAATGCGCTCTATGTGGGGCTACCTTTGAAGGTGACCCGGAAACTGCAATTAATCCAGAATGCGGCAGCTAGACTGGTGACTGGGGGGGCTGCTGGGACCACATAACACCAGTCTTGAAAGACCTTCATTGGCTCCCAGCACGTTTCCGAGCACAATTCAAAGTGTTGGCACTGACCTTGAAAGCTCTAAACGGCCTCGGTCCAGGATACCTGAAGGAGCGTCTCCACCCCCATCGTTCTGCCTGGACACTGAGGTCCAGATCCGAGGGCCTTCTGGCAGTTCCCTCACTGCGAGAAGTGAGGTTACAGGGAACCAGGCAGAGGGCCTTCTCGGTAGTGGCACCCACCCTGCGGAACGCCCTCCCATCAGATGCCAAAGAGAAAAATAACTACCTGACTTTTAGAAGACATCTGAAGGGAAGCTTTTAATGCTTAATAGGTTATTGTATTTTAGTGTTTTGTTGGAAGCCACTCAGAGTGGCCCAGATGGGCGGGGTATAAATAAATTATTATTATCATTATTATTATTAGCCAAACAAGCATCTTGCAAGAGCAGCCACACTTGCGCCTTGTGATGTGAGGTGAGAATACCCTCCGGAGAATATCCTCGAGAATATTCCCTGCTAGGAAATTCTCCGGAGAACATTCTCCCCAAACTGTAAATTCTAATGTAAGAACCAGTTTTACAACCCACATTTAAAAAAATCTAGTAAATAATAAGTCAAGCTGTGATATTGCCAGTGTAAGGAATGAATAATGATTTTTTTAAAAATCCAGTTACATTACTGGGCATTGTGTCATTCACCATTGGCAGTTCTGAAATGTGAGCTACAGGGGGAGAAAATCAAAGAATGTGAATTCACTGCCTTGCCCCCTTGAATAAAAGTATCTTTACAGTCTTTGGTTGCCATCTGAACAAGTTTACCCATGAATAAACATGTATATTAACTAATTATATCATTTTCAATGCATTAAAATGCTATCATTTTCAATGCGCTAAAATGAATATTCCGTTTTAAATGAAAATTCTCTAATATTCTCATTAATCGCAAATATTCTCCAATAGATCATGCTCGAGAATTTCACACCACTACTCACGCCATGTGCTTCTCATGCGCTAGGAACTGCAGCAGCCCCTCCTCGTCTGGCTCCCGCCACTCTAGCACCACTTGGCTCGGCTCGGCCACCTCGGGGTGAAGGAAGAGCCGCCGGGTCTCCTCCAAGGGCCAGTTTTCAGGCAACGGATGCTTCTGCAAAGAGTAGGATTTTCAGCATTAACCTGTAAGAAAGTTACCTGCCCTTCGCCCATCGACCCTGAGCTGCAGCAGATACATACATGGGGAGGCAAATTCAGGCCCGGGGGCCGGATCCGGCCCAATCGCCTTCTCAGTCTGGCCCGTGGATGGTTCGGGAATCAGCGTGCTTTTACATTAGTAGAATGTGCACTTTTTATTAATAATAATAATTTATTTATTTGTACCCTGCCCATCTGGCTGGGTTTCCCCAGCCACTCTGGGCTGCTTCCAAGAAAGATTAAAAATACATTAGAATGTCACACATTAAAAACTTCCCTGAACAGGGCTGCCTTCAGATGTCTTCTAAAATGCATCTCTGGGTTATTTGTGGGGCATATTCGTTCATTTCCCCCTAAAAAATATATTCTGGCCCCCCACAAGGTCTGAGGGACAGTGGACCAGCCCCCTGCTGAAAAAGTTTGCTGAACCTGAGCTACAGGAACATAAAGAAGAGTGCGCAGGATCAGGCCAGCGGCCCGTCTAGCTGACTTTGAGCTTTCAAATTTGAGAGGCACCCAGTGCAACGCTAAGTTTTGACACCCCTACAGCACTGGTGTTGCTCCCCTGCCGTGTGGCGCCCAGTGTGGGCGCACCGGTTGCGCCACCCTAAAACTGCCTCTGCATCTGGTACAGCACCCTGTCTTGGAGATGCTTGCAAGGAGGATCCGTGCACAAGATCAGCCCTCTCCCCTCCTGGGGTTCCCAGCAACGGAGATTCAGAAGCATGGATGCCTCTGGAAATTATTATTATTATTACAGTGGTGCCTCGCAAGACGAAATTAATCCGTTCCGCGAGTCTCTTCATCTAGCGGTTTTTTCGTCTTGCGAAGCAACCCTATTAGCGGATTAGCGCTATTAGCGGTTTGGCGGTTTAGCGGCTATTAAAGGCTTAGCGGCTTAGCGGCTAAAAGGCTATTAGTGGCTTAGCGGCTTAGAAAAAGGGGGGGGAGCGAAAAAAATCGCAAGACTCGCAAGACTTTTTCGTTTTGCGAAGCAAGCCCATAGGGAAATTCGTCTTGCGAAGCGCATCGAAAAACGGAAAACCCTTTCGTCTAGCGGGTTTTTCGTCTTGCGAGGCATTCGTCTTGCGGGGCACCACTGTATTATTATACCTGAGCGCTGCAGACAGAGCGCAAGACCTGCTCAATGCTCCCGTGTTGCCGCAGCAGCGGCAAGGCCTTCTTGGGGCCCAGACCCCGGATCTTTTCGCAGTAATCACAGCCCAGCAGGATGCAGAGGTCCACAAACTGTATTCGGGAAAGGCGCAGGGATGGGGAGAGGAGAGGAGGGAGGAAGACACCAGCATCACACAACACAGCAGGATAATAATAATAATAATAATAATAATTTATTATTTATACCCCGCCCATCTGGCTGGGTTTCCCCAGCCACTCTGGGCGGCTTCCAATAAAACACTAAAATACAATAACCTATTAAACATTAAAAGCTTCCCTAAACAGGGCTGCCTTCAGATGTCTTCTAAAAGTCTGCTAGTTGTTTATCTCTTTGACATCTGGTGGGAGGGCGTTCCACAGGGAGGGCGCCACCACCGAGAAGGCCCTCTGCCTGGTTCCCTGTAACTTGGCTTCTCCCAGTGAGGGAACCACCAGAAGGCCCTCAGCGCTGGACCTCAGTGTCCGGGCAGAACGATGGGGGTGGAGACCCTCCTTCAGGTATCCTGGACCGAGGCCGTTTAGGGCTTTCAAGGTCAGCACCAACACTTTGAATTGTGCTCGGAAACGTACTGGGAGCCAGTTTACGTCTTTCAAGACCGGTGTTATATGGTGTCGGCAGCCGCTCCCAGTCACCAGTCTAGCTGCCGCATTCTGGATTAATTGCAGTTTCCGGGTGACCTTCAAAGGTGCTCCCAGTTCTGCTCCTGGTTCTGCTTCTGAACAGCTGCTCCCAGTTCTGCTTCTGCAGAACCAGCCTCTCCTCACAGTGGCGGAGGAAGCCTATATCGGGCATCTAGGACAGCGTGCCCATAGGGGCGGGAGGCGTGGCACCCATGGAGACGGCACATGGCGCCCAGAGGGAGGGATGGGAGGCACCATAGGGACGGCACTGTTGGTTTCTGTTTGTTGCCGCTGTGCAGTGCTTTGGAGTCACAAGACTCTGTTTACATTCCAGAGCTTCCAGGCTATTGGAAGTCTCACGGAAGACAGGAGACGGATGTTGCTATTACTGGTTTCCTGTTCCTTTGTTTTTAGAGTTGCTCTCTGCTCTCACAGAGAGAGGATATATTTCTTTTCTGTCTGCGTAGCTTAGTAATAAAACTCTTAGCATGTAGCTCATATTTCTCATTCCTTCCCTGTGCTGGATACTCTGCGTAATGGGGGAACGAGCCTTATCAGAGGCTCAGGTTGTTAATCATGTCAGAGGACTCAACTGGAGGAGTCGCTCGGTCGAACGCAAGTCCGACAGACACAGGGCGCGTGGCACCCATAGGGATGGAGGGGCACACTGCCCATAGGGATGGGGCGGGGTGTGCCGTGGGGCCTCAGCCACCTACATTGGGGGGGCAGGCAGTGAATGGACAGCGTAGGGCCTCCAGGCTGTGATGGCCTGGGACTCGGACCAGGAACCAGAGGAGACTCAGTCTGCACCGGATCCTTTGCCTCAGGCATCACCTGAACCAAGTCTGGGGCCTGATCCTGAAGAGCCCCAGTCTGCACAGGTTCCCCTGCAACAAACACCAGCTGGGCTGAGTCAGGGGCCTGAGCCTGCCCTGGCTCCAGATGTGGGGATTCCCTCGTCGCCTCCAGCTGGGCCATCACTTACAGCTGCTCCACTACCGGTTGGGTCAGGGGAGGCTGAGGCGGCCCCTGGGTCTGGTAACCCACCAACGTCTCCCGAGCTGCAGAGACTGAGGTCTGAGAGAAGGAGAGACCTGAGGACTCACAGGAGGAGTGCTCACCTTCGGGCGAGACAGGGAGGTGAGTCGCCAGGGGATCAGGACCGGCCGTTACCCCGTCAGAGATAAAAGGCTATCGGACCTCGCCCTATGTTGCGGGAGCTACATTGCTGTGTGCCAGATCCTGCCTGTGATCCTGTACCTGTCCTTGCCTGGTTTCCTGCCTCGTGTCCTGCCTTGACCCTGTCGGACTGACTCCTAGCGGAACCTTCGGATTCTGAACCGGTCCTGGACCGCATTTCACGGGTTACCCCCAGGGCCAGCACACAGGCGCCCAAGACGCATGGCTCGGGTGCGCTGCAGGCCCCATGGCGAGTGCCGCCCGCCATTTTGTCACCCCCCTGAGTGGGGACAGCCGGGGCGTGCCGCACCTACCGCCCCCCCTTGCTACGCCCCTCTCTCCTCACCTGCTCTTGCGTCAAGCCCAGCTTTTGCAGAACCACCGGCAAGGAGATCTCTTCCAGGTCTCTAGAGGAGATAAAAAACCACATAGAATCCATTACATCTCCAGGGAACAAAGTTGACTCGATTTCTCACTGCACAACGGCTGGCCACAGATTCCTGCATTGTGACGCCAGCGCTGAAGGGGGCTGGACTATGGAAGGAAGAGGAATTCTACCAGGGAAGAATGGCAAATCCAGAGGATGGACTCTGCCAAAATGGCGAAACTAACTGGGAAGCTCAGAAGCCAAGAAGACAATAACTTTGGAAAAAGAATGGGGAAAGTCCATAATTTATATACAAGACCATTGCAAGCAGGTTAAAACATTGGCAGGATTTTAATCACACTTGTAAGTAACGGAAACTACGGGCAATTTAGAAAGAAAAATATCTAGATAACTATTGACGTGCAGTTGTAATTATTTTTACGAGGACGCATGGAAGGGATAGGGGGAAGTCAGGAGATTCAGAGTAATCTCAGGACTTGGATTTTGAATTGATGTTTGTCGTATGTTTATATTATTATTTTTAAAAAAATTATTATATAAAAAAGAAGGGGGTTGGATTAGATGACCCTGTTAGAATTCCTGCTCCGTGATTGCAGTCATGAGATTGTTGTCTTTCACATGACGGTATATGTTTTGACTCCACAGCGTGGGAAGTGACGGAAACAGGATGTTTGTGTTACTGTGTTCCGTGAAGTGGGACTATTGTCCTTTGTTCTTTTTCTCTTTGCCGTCTGATGCTAGAGGGAGAGGGAGCCATGTTGCAGTGCTCTGTGTGTGTTTATATGTAAATAAAGTAGATTAGCCAAAATGCTGAGTTGCTGAGGTCTGTCACGCCTGCTGCGCAAACTCTGCGGATCTCTAAGTGTGCCGGTGTCAGTTGGCATCGGTCGCTGTGATGTTCGGGCTGAAGAAAGCTTATGAAGCTCCTGAACGATCAACCAGGAGGGAGAGAACATGCCAGTCAGGCATGTGTCTCTGGCAGGGTCCTACTCGAGTGTAGGCTGAACTCCTGACAGACCCTTGATGTCCCTACAGTTTCATGATTCTATGACCCCCTGTCCCATTCAATGGCACCATCCACCACAGCAGCCCTGTATCGGGAAGTTTGTATTGTTCAATGTTTTATTATGTTCCTATGCATTGGAAACTGGGGCAACCCAGCCAGATGGTTGGGGTATAAATATTATTATTATTATTATTATTATTATTATTATTATTGGCAACTCATTACACACACCACATGAAAAGGTGTCATTCCTAGAAAGCACCAGCTTATCCCCATTTTGGGTCTTGGAACAGACTCACCAACTTTTTAACATGCCAGGAGAGCGAGAAATATATGTAATGACTTTGCAGGGTTTCAGAAGATCACTAAAAAAACCCTTCTTGATTCCAGTCTGCTGTTATTCCATTTTAATAAAGGGTTTACCGACTTCTGCTATTGTAGTTCTTGCTGGTTTACGCAAGTAAGAGTTTGTGGTTTCATCACTGGTAGATTTGTAAGCCACCTTGGGAAGGAGCAACAGGAAGCCAATGTTTGCAACACGAAGCCAAACTCAGATTGTTGAGAAACCAGGAGAGGAAACGGCTATTGTGACAGGGTCAGAGAAGGCGGAAAGGGGAGACACAAGGATGGTTTTGTTTCAAAATCTGCCACCATTACAGGATACAGAAAAGTTTCTCTACCTCTTTCATAACGCTAGCAGCTCACTGATATCCGATGAAGCTGAATTCAAGACGGATAAAAGAATTCCTTTGTGCCGCGCGCTGTTAAACTGTGGAACTCACTGCCACAAGAAGGAGCAATGAGCACCAGATGGAATGGCTTTTATAAGAGCTCTGGACAGATTCATGGAGGGCAAGACTATCGGGGCTCCTAGCGGTCGGGGGCAGTGATGCTTCGGAATACCAATTGCTGGAGGGGAGAGTGGCTGTTTGCTCAAATCCTGGTTGCAGGTTTCCCCTAATGGGCATCTGGTGGGCAGTGGCGTAGCAAGGTCAGGTGGTACCCGGGGCAGAAAATTTCTTGTCACCCCCCCATTGAATTTTTACTTGGGACGCGGGTGGCGCTGTGGGTTAAACTGTTAAACCACAGAGCCTAGGACTTGCAAGTGCAAGTAGATAAATAGGTACCGCTCCGGCGCGAAGGTAAACGGCGTTTCCGTGCGCTGCTCTGGTTCGCCAGAAGCGGCTAGTCATGCTGGCCACATGACCCGGAAGCTGTATGCCAGCTCCCTCGGCCAATAAAGAGAGATGAGCGCCGCAACCCCAGAGTCGGCCACAACTGGACCTAATGGTCAGGGGTCCCTTTACCTTTACCTTTATGGTTTGACTTTATTTCATCTTTTTGGTGGGAACCAGAGTTTTTGTGGAGGAGCCAGTGGGCGGACCGTTTTGACAGCAGGAAGCCTGCGCGCACCAAAGCCATAGCATCTCTTGCAGTCGTTGAGTGCCAAACAGCATTTTGTAACTCCCCCACCCGCCTTGCGCCGCCCCTGCTGGTGTGAGATGCTGCCCCTGTGAGAACAGGATAGCGCATAAAAGGCTATCACCAGAAACTCTTATGAAAACAAGGACCCCAGGAAGACTGACAACGGCAGATGGGAAAGCGAAGGTAGAATTATGTACAGACAGCATTATAAAAAGGGAGAAACTCCTCTATATTCTTGCGTACTGTTTCCCATCTGTAATCGTGATTGTTCAGAATTAAAGGGAAGTCAATGTTCATGTTCATGTTTCCCATGAATTTGCATTTCAGAAAGCTTGTAGGAACATAGACACAATTTTATTTTCTATTCTATTTAAAATGTTCTGTAATCTACAAGTAATATTAATGACTAGTAAACCAGTGTTACAAGCTTTAAAAAAGAGAGAGAGATAGAACAGGATACTTCCACAATGAGTTTCAGGCCTCGATTTTGCTTGGAAGGGACACACTCTGCTCCCCGGAAACCCCTCCCAGCAGCTCTCTGCCTCCGACCTGTGGTAGCTGGGAAGGCACTCTGCACATGCCCAGAGTCTTTACTGCTTCTATTCACGTCCAGGACACGCTCACCTGTTCTTGGTGTTTAGGTGCCGCAGGAGACGCGAGCTTCCGAAGGGCAGCGCATCCATGTCCTCCGTGGCCGTGCACCAGGCGCGCCCGGACTTCACCAGAGCTGCACAGGTCGCTTCTGCCTCAGCTGGTGCCTAAGAGGGAGAGGAAAGGGAGGGGAGCAGGAGGGGAGAGGGGGTTAGGCTGGATGACCCTTAGGGGTCCCTTTCAACTCTACAGTTCTGTGATTCTATGGGGGGGGAGAGAGAGAGAGAGAGAGAGAGGTTCCCTCGCATATAAGTGTATAAATATGCTGCATTGGATGTAAATATGTGAACACAGAAGCATAGATTTGTAGGGTTGGAAGGGACCCCAGGCGGCCATCTATCCCAACCCCGAGACGCAGGAGACATTGTGTACCTGCACACAGGGAACCCCCAAGTAACCCAGCAGCCTCTCGGAGTCTCTTCTCGGCAGCGCGGCAGGATCTGAAAGACGCAGGAAGAATAATAAAAAATAAATTTTTATTTATATCCCGCCCTCCCCAGCCGAAGCCAGGCTCAGAGGGTCTGGGAGTGGGGCTCTCCCTGCCGTAGCCCCAACTGCCCACCAATAAAAGGGGCAGTGACCCCCAACTAGGGGAGTCTGAGACAGTCTTACCTGGAGCTTTCCTCTTGGCTCCAGAGACTGCGGCGCGTTTCGCCAACTGCAAGGGGAGCGGAGACAGAAAGAAGAATTACGCAAAACTGCTTCTCCCTTTCCTGCATGTGGGGGAGAATGAAAGAGCGTCTCCACCCCCATCATTCAGCCCAGACACTGAGGTCCAGCACCGAGGGCCTTCTGGCAGTTCCCTCGCTGCGAGAAGCCAAGTTACAGGGAACCAGGCAGAGGGCCTTCTTGGTGGTGGCACCCGCCCTGTGGAACGCCCACCCACCAGATGTTAAGGCAATAAACAACTATTTTACTTTTAAAAGACACCTGTAGGCAGCCCTGTTTAGGGAAGTTTTTAATGTCTGACACTGTATTGTTTTTGCTATTTGGTTGGAAGCCGCCCAGAGTGGCTGGGGAGACCCAGTCAGATAGGCGGGGTATAAATAATAAATCATGATGATGATGATGTGCAGTTTCAGAGTAACAGCAGCCTGAAATGTGGCAAAGTCAGGCCGCAATAGGAAAGGGGGGTGAATGGGGAGGGGAGAGAGAGAGACTTCTAATTCTCTCCATGGTCAATGTGGTCCCTGCCTTTGCGGGTGAGACTCTCCCCCTGCGCTTCTAGCCAGGCCTGGGGGGTCAGGGTTTGGGTTTCGCCCCCCCAGCCCACCCGGGATCCCCTCTTACGAACCACTCTCTCCTTGAGGTCTGGGGGTTTCCCATCAAAGACGAAGACGGGCTTGACGCCGTTTTCCAGGAGATTCATAGTCCGGTAAAAGAGCCCCCGCAGGGAACTGGAACAGAAGAGGAGGCAGTGTGTGAGCAGGGGGCAGGGGGCAAGGCAAAGCAAAGCAGCCCCACGGAAGGGGGCAGGGATGCAAAAGAGACGGGGGTGAGCAGGGAGACCTGGGCAGAACTCAAACTCAAGCCCTGCCAGTGCAGTTGTGCATCGCCATCACCGGGGAATGGACCAGGAGGAAGTGGGGGTAATCATAGAATTGGAAGGGACCCTAGGGTCATCTAGTCTGACCCCCTGCAATGCAGAAATCTCAGCTCAAGCATCCATGACAGGTGGACACCCAAGCTCTGCTTAAAAACTTCCAAGGGAGGAGAGTCCATCACCTTCTCAGGATGTCCATTCCACTGGCAAACAGCTCTTACTATCAGAAAGTTCTTCCTGATGTTGAATCTCCTTCTTGTAACTTGAAGCCATGGGTTCAAGTCCTCCCCTCCAGAGCAGCAGAAGACAAGCTTGCTCCATCTTCCCTGTGAAAGCCCTTCAGATAACTATCCTAGCACCTCACAGTCTCCTCCTCTCCAAGCTAAACATACCTGGCTCCTTCAACCACTCTTCATAAGGCTTCGTTTCCAGAACCTTTATCATATTGGTTGCTCTGCACACCTTCCAACTTGTTAATAATAATAATATTAAACTAATGTACCCAGGACTAGACAGAGGACTTCAGGTGGGATGTACACTAGACATCTGCTGATGCAGCCTAGAAGGTAAAAGGTAAGGGATGCGGGTGGCGCTGTGGTCTAAACCACTGAGCCTTTTGGGCTTGCCAATTGGAAGGTTGGCGGTTTGAATCCCCGCGACGGGGTGAGCTCCTGTTGTTCTGTCCCTGCTCCTGCCAACCTGGCAGTTTGAAAGCACATCAAAGTGCAAGTAGATAAATAGGTACTGCTCCGGCGGGAAGGTAAACGGCGTTTCCGTGCGCTGCTCTGGTTCGCCAGAAGCGGCTTAGTCCTGCTGGCCACATGACCCGGAAAGCTGTACGCCGGCTCCCACGGCCAATAAAGCGAGATGAGCGCCGCAACCCCAGAGTCAGTCACGACTGGACCTAATGTCAGGAGTCCCTTTACCTTTACTATCCTATCTCCTCTCAGTCTCCTCTGTTGCAGGCTAAACATATTCAACTCCTTCAACCGTTCCTCATAAGGTTTGGTTTCCAGACCCTTGATCATTTTGGCTGCCCTCCTCTGCACACCTTTCAGCTTGTCCACATCCTTCTTAAATTGTGGTGTCCAGAACTGGACACAGTATTCCAGTTGTGGTCTGACCAAGGCAGAACAGAGCGAGACTATTGCTTCTGTTGATCTGGACGCTAGACTTCCGTCAATGCAGCCTAGAATAGCATTAGCTGCTTTTGCTGCCGCATCACACAAACCACCAAGACCCTTAAATTGTCTAAGATCCATAGATCTCACACTGGCAAACTGGGGGCATCAGTTTGACAACAAGCTGGAACAGTGATTACCCAGGAAACAACCCGCTTAAAGCAAAAGTGAGAGGGCACAAAAACTTGAAATACCTGAAAGACTCGCTGAGATCACCTGGAGAAATTCTACCTTTGTCACCACACCCTGCAAAATATCACAGGGCGGTGACCTGAACATTTTTCACTATTGTCCCGTTACTGGGGGCATCAGGCTTTTCCTAACCCAGAAGATGTGCTTTGACAACCTCAATCTCTGTTTTTATACGCTTTGAAACCAACAGTTTTACTAGTTCCACGCTCTATTGTTGTTTTAATGATGTTTATATACTGCATTTTTCGCTCTATAAGACTCACTTTTTCCCTCCTAAAAAGTAAGGGGAAATGTGTGTGCGTCTTATGGAGCGAATGCAGGCTGCGCAGCTACCCCAGAAGCCAGAACAGCAAGAGGGATTGCTGCTTTCACTGTGCAGCGATTCCTCTGGCTTCTGAGAATCAGAATAATTTTTTTCTTGTTTTCCTCCTCCAAAAACTAGGTGCGTCTTGTGGTCTGGTGCATATTATACAGCGAAAAATACGGTATTTATTTATGAAAACCTCTTGATTGCAAAACACCTCAAAGCGGTTTACAGAAAGAATATAAAACATTAAAGCCATCAATTGCGGGGGGGGGGGAGCAGCAATAAGTTAAGACTTTGGAAAAGTTAAAATACAGCAATAGGCTAAAAGCAGATTAAGACTCACACCCGCTTTCTAAACAGTTGGGAAGACTTGCATAAACAAAAATATTTTTAGCTGGTGCGGGAAAGAGTTCAGTGACAGCACCTTCCTGCTATCAATAGGCGGGGAGTTCCAAAGTGCTACTGCACTAAAAGAGCGAGTTCTTACAAATGTAGAATGACTACTATGGGCTTTATGTGGCAACTGCAGCGGTGCCAGTTCCGCAGTTGAGTGTGTGTACATGTCTTCCAAAGCAACTACTCCACGGGTCAGCAAACTTTTTCAGCAGGGGGTCGGTCCACCGTCCCTCAGACCTTGTGGGGGGCCGGACTATATTTTTTGGGGGGAAATGAACGAATTCCTATGCCCCACAAATAACCCAGAGATGCATTATAAATAAAAGGACACATTCTACTCATGTAAAAACACGCTGATTCCCGGACCGTCCGCAGGCCGGATTTAGAAGGTGATTGGGCCGGATCCGGCCCCCAGGCCTTAATTTGCCTACCCATGAACTACTCTATTCCAAGCTTAAAAATGGAAAGCGTAATGCTGGTGGTCAACAAAAGAGGTTTAAAGTCTGTCTCAAGGCAAATCTAAAATAATGTAGTATAAACACCGACAACTGGGAAACACTGGCCTGTGAGCGCTCCTGTTGGAGAACAGCCTTTACCAAAGGTGTCATGGGCTTTGAAGACGCTCGAACTCAGAACGCAAGGGAGAAATGTGCTAGGAGGAAGGCATGCTTGGAAAATCCACACCGTGATCAACTCCTGCCCAGAAACCAATGTCCCCACAGTGGAAGGACGTGTGGATCCAGAATTGGCCTCCGCAGTCACTTATGCACTCATTGTTAAAACCGTGTTTATGAAGACTATCTTACTCGGCTATGAGGGATCACCAAAGTAGAAAACATGACTTATAATAATAATAATAAAATTTTATTTATATCCCGCCCTCCCCAGCTGAAGCCGGGCTCAGAGCGGCTAACAACAGTAAAATAATACAGCATTCTAAAATCAATTCATTATAAAATCAGTTCAACAGTTTATTAGTATTAAGTGGCTTACAAATGCTTTTAAATCAACAAACATTCTTTTTTTAAACTTGCTTGCAACTTCTCACCTGATATTTTCCCCATGGCGGTTGATGATCTTTGGCATAGCCGTGCGGAACTGGTAAAAAGCGACAGAGACATCCATCGCCACCACACGCCCTGAGCCAAGCAGGAGGGAAAAGAACTTACATCATTATTCTATGTATGTATCTGCTTGTTCTGTTTCTATCCTACATTTTAATTTTTATTTTTGAGGAGCTCAAGGTGGCATATGCATGGTTCTGCTGCTCTTTGTTTAATTCCCACGACAACGACAGCCCTGTGAGGTAGGATTAGGCTGAGAGGAAGGAAAGGCAGAGAGGAATGGTTCTGGTTGCCTCACCTCAAAAAGGAGATTGCAGAAAAGATTCAGAAAAGGAGAACCAAAATGATCGAGGGATTGGAGAGACTCCCTTTTGAAGAAAGGCTGAAGCATTTGGGACATCTTAGTTTAGAAAAAGGAGAGTTTAGCAAGGTGACAGCATAGAAGTTTATAAAAATTAGGAATGGAATGGGGAAAGTCGGCAGACAAAGCTTTTCAAGCAGAATATAAATTTTAGGAAATAAAATAAAATAGGAATACTTGTTCCAGGAGACAGTCATCTCTTTTTCTACTTTGTAACGCTTCGTATATTTCTCCTTACAAAAAATTGGACAAAATGACAGGAAGGATACGAAACCCTGTGGGACCAGAGATTTTCAGAAGATTGGGAGAAGTACAATGGTACCTCTAGATGCGAACAGGATCCATTCCGGAGCCCCGTTCGCATCTAGAAGCAAATGTAACCAGCGACAGCACGTCTGCACATGCGTGCGTCGCTTTTTGCTGCTTCTGCTTCTGCGCAACGTCATTTAACGCGCTCCGTTACTTCCGGGTTGCCGTGGAACGCAACTTGAACACGCTCATCCCAAAGCACATTCAACCCGAGATATGACTGTACAGTGGTACCTTGGGTTAAGTACTTAATTTGTTCCAGAGGTCCATACTTAACCTGAAACTGTTCTTAACCTGAAGCACCACTTTAGCTAATGGGGCCTCCTGCTGCTGCCGCGCCACCAGAGCACAATTTCTGTTCTCATCCTGAAGCAAAGTTCTTAACCTGAAGCACTATTTCTGGGTTAGTGGAGTATGTAACCTGAAGCGTATGTAACCCGAGGTACCACTGTATATGAATTATTTGAAGAGCAACTGTAATCAACAAATTACGCTAGTAGGACTACAAGGAGTTTTGTAAGGAGATGCTGGTCCCACCCTGGCAAAGCTTTAACTTGCACCAAAGACCCAAAGGTCATCATCCAGCCCAACCGGCTGCAATGCCCTTGATCCTCTGGGACAGGCATCCCCAAACTCAGCCCTCCAGCTGTTTTGGGACTACAACTCTCATCATCCCTAGCTAACAGGACCAGTGGTCAGGGATGATGGGAATTGTCGTTCCAAAACTACAATTGCGCACCGAGTTTGGGGATGCCTGCAGTCTGGGAGATGCAGGATGGGCGCAAAAGGCGGCGGCGGCAGCGCTCACCCCGGTAGTCTTCCAGCTGGACGGAGCTCACGGCGTCCGGCGCCTCCTCCCGGATCAGCTCGGCCAGCCTGGCGATCCCCATGGCCGGATCCCTGCGCGCCCCTCCGGCTCTGCGCGCTGCTGCTGCCGCCGCCCTTCCTTCCCCGGGGCGGACGGGGAGGAGGAGGAGCCCGGCCAGCTGGAAGCGGGAGCGAGCCCGGGCCGGAAAGGGGCGCGCCCAGCTGCCTGCCTTCCAGAGCCAGCAAGAGTGCCTCTGAGCACGTGCAGAGAGCCCCGTTCTTGCAGCCGCGCGGTGCTTTCCAATTGAAACTCTCCAAACCATTCTTTACGCAATACTTTTTTTCTTTCTAAAAAAATGTTTAGGGTTATACCGTCATTTTAGCTCAAGAAAATCACAATTTAATAGTTCAGATAAATACAGTAAATGGACAAAAGTACAAAGATTCACCAAATTTTTAGGGGTCTGCGTTCCCCCAGAAAAAAGTACTGTTCTTGCAGCCGCGCGGTGCTTTCCATTGAAACTCTCCTAACCATCCTTTACGCAATGCGCTCCCCCCCCCCTAAAAAAAATGTTTAGGGGTATACTGTCATTTTGGCTCAAGAAAATCACAATTTTATAGTTCAGATAAATATAGTAAATGGACAAAAGGACAAAGATTCACAAAATGTTTAGGGGTCTGCGTTCCCCCAGAAAAAAGTACTGTTGTTATGTTATGTTTTTTACTGTGTACCCCACCAAGAGCGGCACAGTTAACTAAATTTCTGCATCCGAAGGCCATAGGGGGTTGACGGTATAAAAGCACCAATATGCATACCGCACGAACAAATGAAAATTATAACTGTGCTCGTAGCCAGATCACCCCCACCTTAAATATTAATATATTTTTGCAGCAGGTCCCTTTTTGTTCCGTGTTAAAGAGGCAGATGACCCAGGCAAAGGTCCCTGCCCCGAGGAACGCACAATCGCCAGCTTTTTCTCCGTATTTTGGGGGGAGGAAGGGGAGTTATTCCTCGCGAGCTGCTCGTTTTATCTTTGGTAATTCAGGATCGCACTTCCTTACGGCAGGCAGTGAGCCGGTGCAGTTTTTTGAGCAGTGCAATCTGGGGCAGGTCTACTCAGAAGTAAGTCCCGCTGACTTCCTCGGGAATCCCTCCCAGGTAAAGCGTGCAAACTGGACTGCAGCTTTCCCCTCTCTCCTAACACTAAAATTTATTATATTATTATTATTAACACTAGAATACCCAAGGAAGACAAACGCATCTTCCTGATTGGGCGCCCTAAGTTTCTTGTCGCAACAACGCTCACTTTCCTCTAGGGCTGGGTGCTACTGCGCGTGCTCAGTCCCGACCGCGCCTGCCCAGTAGCGACCGTTGAAGCCGCTGCCCTTTTTCCTTGCCCTTTACTAGGAAGGCCCAATCCAAGAAGAGTTATTTTAGCAAAATAAGAAGCCTCTTCTAAAACAAGTCGAGAGAAAGGCCGAGAGTCTCTCCCGGCTGTGGCGAAACCTCCCAAAGTGGCTTTGTTTCCCCCGCTGGGAAAAGGAAGTCTCTATGGTTTCTTCCTGCCCCTCTAGCCTGGCGCACTCTATGGCTCTTTCCTCTTCCGGTTTTCCTCTCGGCGTGCCGCTCTAGCCGTGGGAGACTCGATGTCGGACGCTTGGCGGACTCCGGGGGAGAAACGGGCCGGGTAGGGAGAGGGAAGGGAAGCGCGGGCCGGGCCGGGCAAATGGAGGCCGGGGGAGCCCATTCCTCCCTTCTTTTCTTTTCTTTTGCGGGACTTTCGCTGCCTGGGAACTTGGCGTCGAGGAGACGCCACACAAAAGGAAGAGGGGCAGGGAGGGAGGAGGAAAAAGGCAAACCTCAGACCCTAGAGGGTTATTATTATTATTATTATTATTATTATTATTATTCATGTGCACCAGCGGTTCCCAAAGTGGGGTTTTCTGGAGAGGGTGGCACTCTAAGAGGCAAGGGGTCCCAGACTCACAGTTTAGGAGACGCGGCACAAAAGAAAGAGGGGCTGGGAGGGAGGAGGAAAAAGGCAAACCTCAGACCCTAGAGGGTTATTATTATTATTATTATTATTTCATTTGCACCAGCGGTTCCCAAAGTGGGGTTCTCCGGAGAGGCAGGTGCACTAAGAGGCAAGGGGGCACCTCGCTACTTTCAAACAGTCAGACTCGCAATTTAGGAGATGCAACACAAAAGGAAGAGGGGCTGGGAGGAAGGAAGAAAAAGGCAAACTCAGACCCTACATGGTTATTATTATTATTATTATTATTTCATTTGCACCAGCGGTTCCCAAAGTGGGGTTTTCCGGAGATGGGTGCGCGCTAAGAGGCAAGGGGCCCCAGCACCACTTTCAAACGGTCAGACTCGCAATTTAGGAGACATGACACAAAAGGAAGAAAAAGGCAAACTCAGACCCTAGAGGGTTTTTTTTTTTAATTTCATGTGCACCAGCAGTTCCCAAAGTGGGGTTCTCTAGAGAGGGGGGCGTGCTAAGAGGCAAGGGGTCCCAGACTCGCAATTTAGGAGATGCAACACAAAAGGAAGAGGGGCAGGGAGGGAGGAGGAAAACTGCAAACTCAGACCCTAGAGGTGTTTTTTTTTTTCCATGTACACCAGCGGCTCCCAAAGTGGGGTTCTCAAAGAGGGGGGCGCACTAAGAGGCAAGGGAGCGGTCAGCAGAGCGCTGGACGTGAGACGCATTGCTGGACTTTGAGAATCTAGGCCAAGTTCATCCATTGTGTCGAATCAGTCTTGTCGTATTTGTCCATTCAATTTCTTTGCTGCCCATCATCCGAGGATCACGGGGGAGTTTGCAACATGGAAACACAAAAATACATAACATAGGAACAAAAACAAAGAAGAAAGTAAATAGTTTTAATTGGCCTTTGAATAAATGTGCAATAATTTGTTACTGTTTCTCATTTGTGTGTGTTGTTATCCTCCTCACTGCACACTGCTGTTTTGAATAAGGCTTTTTATAGGGCTGGATAGGAAGCGCTAGGGGTGAGTTTATGGAACCATGCTTGGGAACCACAGATGTCTATCACACCCAAGTGACCACAAAGTCCAGTGCCTTTGCTTTACCCCTTGCCCAACTTTTCATTAAAAGTCGGCTTTTTCCCTGCTTTAGCAATATGCCGCCATCTTTCTAACCAGGCACCTGAGGTTATCGGTTTTTGATTATGAACTTCAGCCCCACGGCTGAGCCCAGGTGAGCAGCGTTCAGGCTGATCCTCTGCCTGCCCCTGCCCTCAATCTTGGGGGAAGTGCTGGATACTTGATTACCTGCCTGAAATTGCCTCCTGGTTAGGAGATGCAGAGAGCAAGAACTTCGCCTCTGACACCTGGCTTACCGATTCATTGTCTTGTAGCTTGATGCCCGCGCAGCAGCCGTGTCTCATCCTGACTCCTGGGCTCCTTAACCTGCACGCTCCTTCCCTCGCAGAGCAAAAGTCGCCATGGCAGAGTGAGTGTCTCAGAATCAAAACAGCTGACCCCTGGGGCTGGCCGCTCGCTGCCTTACAAAGAGCAACAGTGGAACCAGACTCCCTTGCGACTCCTTCCATGGAGGTTTTAAAGAAGATACCTTGGTACTCAGACAACTTGGAACCCAAACGCAGCAAACCCACAAGGAAGTGTTCTGGTTTGCAAACATTTTTCATAAGCCGAATGTGCTCCGTTTTGAGTGCCACACTTCCGGTTTGAGTGTTACTCTGAGGTCTGTCAGTTTTTGCTATTTACCGTATTTTGCGTTTTTGTTTTTGCGGCTCTTTTTTGTTTTGTTCTTGTGACTGTGTGGAACCCAGTTCAGCTACTGATTGATTGATTGTGTGACTGCAGTACATTGTTTACTGCTTTCATTTTATGGATCAATGGTCTCGTTAGATGGTAAAATTCATGCTAACTTGCTGTTTTAGGGGTTGTTTTTAAAAGTCTGGAACGGATTAATCCATTTTGCATTGCTTTCTATGGGGAAGCATGCCTTGGTTTTGGAACACTTTGGTTTTGGAACCGACTTCCGGAACGGAATAAGTTTGAGAACCAAGGTACCACTGTATTGGATGGTCATCTTCCATGGATGCTTTAGCTGAGATTCCTGCATTGCAGGGGGTTGGACTAGATGACTCTTGGGGTCCCTTTGATTCTAAGGAGGTGGGAAATAATCCTCTTTCTCTCTGCCTTCATTTGCAGAGCCTCGGCCTCAATACCTGGCTGGCCTGATGAGGTAACCGGTCTGCTCTCCAACCTCCTGCTGTGTGTCGTTTCCATGGGCTCCGCTTTCCAAACCTTCCAGGTAAGAAAGGGGTGGAGCTTGATTTGGGGAGTTGCCTGGTGTCTCTGCTTGCTGGGTGCTGGGCTTTTGCTGTTGCTGTTGTTGTTTAGTCATTTAGTCGTGTCCGCCTCTTCGTGACCCCCTGGACCAGAGCACGCCAGGCACTCCTGTCTTCCACTGCCTCCCGCAGTTTGGTCAAACTCATGCTGGTAGCTTCAAGAACACTGTCCAACTGTCTCATCCTCTGTCATCCCCTTCTCCTTGTGCCCTCAATCTTTCCCAACATCAGGGTCTTTTCCAGGGAGTCTTCTCTTCTCCTGAGGTGGCCAAAGTCTTGGAGCCTCAGCTTCACGATCTGTCCTTCCAGTGAGCACTCAGGGCTGATTTCCTTCAGAATGGAGAGGTTTGATCTTCTTGCAGTCCATGGGACTCTCCAGAGTCTCCTCCAGCACCAGAATTCAAAAGCATCCATTCTTCGGCGATCAGCCTTCTTTATGGTCCAGCTCTCACTTCCATACATCACTACTGGGAAAACCATAGCTTTAACTTTGCTAGAGAGGACTTTTGGATTCAGGCTGACAAATAATTGCTCTGTGTGACAGGGAACCTGGAACCTGCCAAATTGCTATTATTATTATTTGCACATGCACGCCTGGCAAATGTAAAATCTGCATGTGGAAACAGGGCTTTGCGCTCCGGGATGTGAAGAGGTCTGCTGCTCGCTCCCCCTCCTGAAACTGCGTTGCTGACAAGGGTCACTGGGCGGGTTCTTGCTTGCAGAGACCAAGCTGAGAAGCTGCAACGGCTAAATATAATTCCCAACACATTTGTGTTGGTCTGTTTAGGGAAGCTTTTAATGTTTGATGCATTATTGTGTTTTAATATTTTGTTGGAAGCTACCCAGAGTGGCTGGGGAAGCCCAGCCAGATGGGTGGGGTATAAATAAATTATTATTATTATTATTATTATTATTATTATTATTATTGGGACGCGGGTGCCGCTGTGGGTTAAACCACAGACCCTAGGATTTGCCAATCAGAAGGTCAGCGGTTTGAATGCCCGCGACGGGGTGAGCTCCCGTTGCTCAGTCCCTACTCCTGCCAACCTAGCAGTTTGAAAGCACGTCAAAGTACAAGTAGATAAATAGGTACCACTCTGGCGGGAAGGTAAACGGCATTTCCGTGCGCTGCTCTGGTTCGCCAGAAGCGGCTTAGTCCTGCTGGCCACATGACCAGGAAGCTGGACGCCGGCTGCCTCGGCCAATAAAGTGAGATGAGCGCCGCAACCGCAGAGTCGTCCACGACTGGACCTAATGGTCAGGGGTCCTTTTACCTTTATTATTATTATTATCTGAGCTCCTTTCGCCACTTCCTCCCTCTCTTTGCAGATCAATCGAGGGACCTCTGCCGGGTTCCTCCTCCAGGCCCTTGTGCCCCTCCTGGATACGGCCACCCACCTCACCGCCCCCCCAGGGCTCGGTTTGGAGGCTGCCCACTACAGCCCAGACAACGCCTGGGTCTCCACAGTGGTGGGGCTCCCCCTGCTCGCCTTTGGCTTCCACTGGCTGAACGGGGACCGTGCCACGGCGAACGCCCTCTTGGGGGGCGCACTGCTGCTGCTGCTGGCCAGCAGCTCAGGCTCCTTCTCCCAGGAAGGCAAGGCCATGGTGGCCCACTCTGTCACCTCGGTGGTCTCCATCAGCGTCCTGATCGCTTCCATCTTCACCGGAAACGCCTGCGGGATTGCGGGCAGCCTCTTGGTGGGCACGGCTGGGGTGCTGGCAGGGACCCAGCTGCGGCGGCTGCTGGTGCTCCGGAAAGAGGACGCTGTCTGCTGCCTCATGGCGCTGGCAAACCTGGCTTTGCGGCGGGCTCTGCAAGCACAGCACCGAGAACTGGACTGAGGGGGTGGGGACTGCAGGCCAGGGGGTCCGACGGGCAGTGGGGCCGTCGCAGCATCAGATGAGGCAGAGGAAAGGCTGGCCATGTCTGTTGGGTGCCGCAAAAAGGCTTGGGAAATGGCCTCCAGGAAAGTCTTCAGGGAGCCTACGACTCTGGAAAGGGCGCTGCCTGTTTGGATACTGCCAGGGAGACAGAGGCATCAGGCAGCCTCATCGTCGTCTCCGGACGATCACTTGTCTCCCGTGGAAACAGCATCGGCCAATTAGCGACATGAGCCTCAGACACATTACAAGACTCATGCACGCCCTTTTCAGCAGTCTCCGCAACGGAAGATTCAGACAGAAGAGCATATTTACAGCTTTATTCAACGTAGGTCAGAACAAAGGACAAACATGACAGCTTGCATCCGTGTCGAGGAAACAGCAGGAACAAAAGCTATATACAAAACGGAAGTTCCCAGCGAGAACAGCGCTGGGAGTAAACAGGCATGTGACACACAACAATCATGCCTGACTCTTTTAAGGAGGAACTATATCCTAACATCCTCCCCCTTTCCGTGTAACCTGTGGTTCAACCCAATTGCAATCTCTGTACGTAAACCTTAAGTTGTTCTCTGTTAACAACCTTAGACAACAGATCAGCAGCAAGGGGTCCTGGGCACTGCCCATCTCAGGCAGCCAGCTTCTTCCTTCGCAGAGCTTGCTGGGTTTAGTGAGCTGGCAGAGATGGGCAAGGGCTGCTGTGTCCTTGGAGCATAGGCGGCGCCACCTCGCACTGCGAATGTTGGAAATCCCACTTCTGACACCAAAGATCCCCGCTGGTTTGCTTCGCCGGTCCCTCGGCGCTTTCCTGGGTGCGCTGGCCAGGAAGCCAGGCCAAATGTGAATGGGTGGAAGTTATTAACTCAAGGTTTCGTAGCGGCAACTTACAAAGCTGCTGGGTGTGTCACAGCTGTGAAACCAGCAGGCTGCTGGTTAAAAGGGCTTGCGTGCCTCTTGTCAGCCATAATAATAATAATATTTTATTATTTATACCCCGCCCATCTGGCTGGGCTTCCCCAGCCACTCTGGGCAGCTTCCAACAAAATATCAAAATACCATAATACATCAAACATTAAAAGCTTCCCTAAACAGAGCTGCCTTCAGATGTCTTCTAAAAGTCTGGTAGTTGTTTTTCTCTTTGACATCTGGTGGGAGGGTGTTCCACAGGGTGGGCGCCACCACCGAGAAGGCCCTCTGCCTGGTTCCCTGTAGCCTCACTTCTCGCAATGAGGGAACCGCCAGAAGGCCCTCGGCGCTGGACCTCAGTGTCCGGGCAGAATGATGGGGGTGGAGACGCTCCTTCAGATATACTGGACCGATGCCATTTAGGGCTTTAAAGGTCAGCACCAACACTTTGAATTGTGCTCAGAACCCGTACTGGGAGCCCATGTAGGTCTTTCAAGACCGGTGTTATGTGGTCTCGGCAGCCGCTCCCAGTCACCAGTCTAGCTCCCACATTCTGGATTAGTTGTAGTTTCTGGGTCACCTTCAAAGGTAGCCCCACATAGAGCGCATTGTAGTAGACCAGGCAGGAGATAACCAGAGCATGCACCACTCTGGTGAGACAGTCCGCGGGCAGGGAGGGTCTCATCCTGCATACCAGATAGAGCAGGTAGACAGCTGCCCTGGATACAGAATTGATCTGCGCCTCCATGGACAGCTCTGAGTCCAGAATGACTCCCAGGCTACGCACCTGGTCCTTCAGGGGTACAGTTACTCCATTCAGGACCAGGGAGACCTCCACACCAGCCCACCCCTGTCCCCCCAAAACAGTACTCCTGTAGCCTGCCCGGGACTGACCAGCCAGGCAGAAAAAGCCAGGTATTCCCTTCACAGCTCCTCCTGGTGGGCCATCAAACTTGGGGGGCTTCCTTGACCCTGACGGGTCACCAGTTGTCCTGTGATTTACATCAAGGGTCCTGCGCAGCCTCTCTCATGTGAGTCTTCCTGCCTGGTAGGGAGTCAAGAGGTAAACATTGCATTCGCTGGAAACAGAACGAGTGTTGTGCAGTGGTAAGAGTTTCGAAATCAGACCTGGGAGACCAAGGTTCGAATCCCTGCCATGACGCTCACTGGGCGACCTTGAGTCAGTCGCTGCCTCTCAGCTGAGCCTACCTCTCAGGGTTGTTGTGCGGAGGAGAACAACCATGTATGTGTCTCCATCTCCATCATTCTGCCCAGACACTGAGGTCCAACGCTAAGGGCCTTCTGTCGGTTCCCTCCCTACGAGAAGCCAAGTTACAGGGAACCAGGCAGAGGGCCTTCTCGGTGGTGGCGCCCGCCCTGTGGAACGCCCTCCCAGCAGATGTCAAAGAGATAAACAACTACCAGATTTTTAGAAGACATCTGAAGGCAGCCCTCTTTAGGGAAGCTTTTAATGTTTAATAGGTTATTGTATTTTAGTGTTCTGTTGGAAGCTGCCCAGAGTGGCTGGGGAAACCCAGCCAGATGGGCAGGGTATAAATAAATTATTATTATTATTATTATTATTATTATTATTATTATTGCCACCTTGAGCTCCTTAGAGGAGAAGGCAGCGTATACGAAATACAGACATCCCAGTTCACCTGCGACAATGTCCTCCCAGTGCAGATTTCCAACACAGAAGTGACGGAGGACGGGGTGCCCTAATAAACAGCCACTTGGGACCTCGGTCTCCCCAGATGAGTCTGCCAGCTGCCTGCTTCCTTTGCCACTCCAGGCAAGGGCACTTGGCTGCTCTTCAAGCGCCTGCATTTCACGGCTCACAAACGCGGCGTTTCTGAGCTCGGAGGAGAGGCGAAGAATTCTCGCGGCTGTAAAACTAGAAAACAAACAAACCCCAACCCCACATAAAGAGGCAAATAAAGATCTGATGCAGTGTGCACGACATTTGCCCTGCTTCTTGCCATCTTCCGTCAGAGACAGGGAACTAGGCTGGGTCAGGGAAAGGCAGCCATCGGTGCCAACCTCTTGCCACACCCCCAGAGGCTTAAGGCCTCTTCAGGAGCTCCTGAAGGAGAACAGACGGCCCTCTCTGGACATTGGCCTTGTGACTGGCATGTGACTGGCAGGGCGAGGATCTCTCCGGGGATCCCTCGAAGGAAGAAGCCTCTTGGTCAAGTGGACGGCTGACCCGGCTGGCGCGAGGACAGACAAGGTAGATGAGACACTGCCCTGGCAAGACATTCCATGTCTGAATTGGTGGAGGAGCTGGGTTGGAATGGGGGTGCCTCTTTTATGGGGCCCTGTTTTATGGGGTTCTGCCAGGCTGTCCCTCACCCAGGCTGTGGTTATGTCTCTGGTGTTTGGACCAAGGATCTGAATACCAGTGGGAGCAAATGTAAGGTTCTGCACATAGGAATAATCTAGATACACACATATAGGATGGGGGATGCCTGGCTTGGCATGTGAAAAGGATGTAGGGGTCTTCGGGTACCACAAGCTTAACATGAGCCAACAGCATGATGCAGCAGCAAAAAAAGTTAATGCAATTCTAGGCTGTAAAAAGGTACAGTCATACGTCAGGTTACAGATGCTTCAGGTTGCGTTTTTTCGGGTTACAGACCCGCCAAAACCCGGAAGTACCGGAACGGGTTACTTCCGGGTTTCAGGGATCGTGCTTTGCACATGCGCAGAAGCGCCGAATCGCAACCCGCGTGTGGCAGATGCGCCACTGCAGGTTGCAAACGCTGCGGGTTGCGAACATGCATCCTGCACTGATCACGTTCACAACCCGAGCGTCCACTGTAAAGGTAAAGGACCCCTGGACGGTTAAGTCCAGTCAAAGGTGACTATGGGGTTGCGGCGCTCATCTCGCTTTCAGGCCAAGGGAGCCGGCGTTTGTCCATAGACAGCTTTCCGAGTCATGTGGCCAGCATGACTAAACCGCTTCTGGTGCAACGGGACACCGTGACGGAAGCCAGAGCGCACGGAAATGGCGTTTACCTTCCCACCGCAGCCGTACCTATTTATCTACTTGCACTGGCATGCTCTTGAACTGCTAGGTTGGCAGGAGCTGGGACAGAGCAACGGGAGCTCATTCCGTCGCGGGGATTCGAACCGCTGACCTTCTGATTGGCAAGCCCAAGAGCCTCAGTGATTTAGACGACAGCGCCACCCGCATCCCCTTACCTTTTACCTTCTAGGCTGTATCAGGAGATGACTAGTGTACATCCCATCTGAAGTCCTCTGTCTGGTCCTGGGTACATTAGTTTAATATTATAATTATTATCATTATTATCATTATTATTAACAAGTTGGAAGGTGGGCAAAGGAGAGCAACCAATAGGATAAAGGTTCTGGAAACGAAGCATTATGAAGAGTGGTTGAAGGAGCCAGGTATGTTTAGCTTGGAGAGGATAAGATTGAGAGGTGCTAGGATAGATATCTGAATTGCTGCCACAGGGAAGATGGAGCAAGCTTGTCTTCTGCTGCTCTGGAGGGTAGGACTCGAACCCATGGCATCAAGTTACAAGAAAGGAGATTCCAACTATATTGATATTCATGGAGGGGGCTGGTATCGATGGCTCCTAGCCAGGATAGCTCTGCTCTTCCCTCCACAGTTGAAGGCAACGAAGCTTCTGGCTCCCGGTGGAGTATAGGGTCAGGTTCAAGTCTTGATCTTTAAAGCCCTTTGTGGCTTAGGGCCCTCGTATCTACAGGATTGCCTCTCCTGCTCTGCCCCGCAGAGGACCTTATGGTCCATGAGCAACCATAGTTTAGAGGTCCCGGGCCCTAAGGAAGTCAGACTATCCTCCACCAGGGCCAGGGCCTTTTCAGTGGTGGCTCCGCTCTGGTGGAATGCTCTGTCCCAGGAGACCAGGGCCCTGCAGGATTTAACCTCCTTCCGCAGGGCCTGTAAGACAGAGTTATTCCACCTGGCTTTCAATTTGAATTCAGACTGATCTTTTATTTCCCTTCTCTTCCCTCCCCCTCCCCTTTTATGAAGATCACCTGCTCTGGGATCCCACAGCTAATTCTCCCCTGGTCTCCTCACTGGCCCAAATAGGACCAATTCAGCCAGCTAGCCCTGGGGATTATCTAATGCTTATTTCCCCTAAATTGGTTTCTGAATTTTATTGTTATTCATGTTTTTATACTGTATTTTATGCTGCTTTTACAATTAAGTGTTTTAAATTTGTTGTTAGCCGCCCTGAGCCCGGTTTTTGAACTGGGAAGGGTGGGGTATAAATAAATAAAAAAATTATTATTATTATTATTCTGGAAACCAGCTGCTGCAAACCCCAAGAGGGGAAAGTTGCCCTTGTGCTCGCATCCTGCTTGTGGGGTTCCAGAAGAGGCACCCGGCTGGTCACCGTGATAACAAGATGCTGGACTAGATTGGGCCCCCCTTGACCTGATCCAGCACCCTCTTACGTTCTTATCCTCCCTTTCCCTACCTCCGCACACCTTTCCTAACACTGTATGCTCCTGCTTGTGGAGGAAACACATGTTAATGGCTCTCCCAGCGCTTCCACTGGCAAGGGGGCGTTTATTTCCCCTTGGAAAAGGTAGCCAAAATGTGAGTTTCACTTGAAAAAAGGTTATGTGTGCCACTGAATCAGCCAGATCTTTTTCTGTACACGTTTTTGCCTGCTATGCCTTTCTGTTGAATGCGCTTCAATGTTTGCTAAAGAAATCTGCGCTGAATGTCATGCTAAGTTGGCGCTGGCGGAAGCCTTTGTTTGTTTTTCCATTTGCCAGCAGGTGGTTTTTAATCTTCACATTTACACCTGTTGTGGCTCTGCAGAGAAGTAATCCTGCACTGATGATGATGATTAAATATTATTATTATTATTATTATTATTACCGCCCCCTGCCCATCTGTCTGGGTTTCCCCAGCCACTCTGTAGCTTCCAACAAAATATTAAAAAGATAAAACATCAAACATTAAAAACTTCCCTAAACAGGGCTGCTTTCAGATGCTTCTAAAAGTCAGATAGTTGTTTATTTCCTTGACATCTGATGGGAGGGTGTTTCACAGGGCGGGTGCCACCACCAAGAAGGCCTACTGGGCTGAGGCCATTTAGGGCTTTCAAGGCCAGCACCATTGAAATATACTCAGAGTCGAGAGTGGATTTCATGCTCTTTATTCAGCTCATAGTGGTGAGGAGGAATGAAAGTCCCCCCATAGTATCTGCTTTATATACATTATTTACACAGTGGGCCCCACGTGATTGGCTAATTCTGGAATTCTCCGGTAGGCCAATCAGGTTGTGGATTCACTTCCATCTGGAGCTGGATTGGGTGGTTCCTGCAGACCAATCATACTGCTGCATTGTTCTAGGACTAATCAGACTGCTGCATTTTGGATCCTATTCAACTCAGTACATAACTATACTGAATGAAGCAGTCCAATGCATATAAGTACAGTGCTACCTCGCAAGACGAAAAACGCGCAAGACGAAAAACGCGCAAGACGAAAGAGTTTTCCGTTTTTTGAGTCGTTCCGCAAGACGAATTTCCCTATGGGCTTGCTTCGCAAGACGAAACGTCTTGCGAGTTCTTGCGAGTTTGTTTCCTTTTTCTTAAAGCCGCTAAGCCGTTAATAGCCGCTAAGCCGTTAATAGCCGCTAAGCCGCTAATAGCCGCTAAGCCGCTAATAGCTGTGCTTCGCAAGACGAAAAAACCGCAAGACGAAGAGACTCGCGGAACGGATTCATTTCGTCTTGCGAGGCACCACTGTAGTCATCTTTCAGTTTCTGTGTCCCCTTTGTGGGTCCACATTATAGGGGGCTGGACTATATGACTCTGTGGTTCACATTCCAGCTCTACAATTCCATGACTCACTTTAAAAACAAACAAACCAGAGATCTTTCTTTTAGGCATTTTACCACTAGAAATTAAAAAGGACATAAGACCGCTGTTCATGTGTGCCACCACAGCAGCAAGAATTCTTGGGGCGAGTAAGTGGAAAAACGAAACAGTACTGACAATCACAAATTGGCAGATACTCATGTTAGAATATTTACAACTAGCAAAACTGATGGGAAGAGTTAGAGGAGTATTGAACCAGAAAATATTTGGATAATGGAGAATATTTAAGGATTATATAAGATCATATTGTACCCACCACACCATATTAGCAGAACTTGAGTGATACTTGTAAACACAACAAATACTGTTTGTGGAGTAGACGGGAACAATATTAAAGAATATAAAACTGTGCAGGGAATATGACGACAGTATAAACAGTACAATGAGAATGATTGGAAGACTCGTTTTGTCAGAAGTCTTTTTTATTTAAGTGTTTATTTGCCGCATTTTTTGCTCTATAAGACACACCAGACCACAAGACGCACCTAGTTTTTGGAGGAGGAAAACAAGGAAAAAAATATTCTGAATCTCAGAAGGCAGAACAGGAAGAGGGATTGCTGCGCAGTGAAAGCAACAATCCCTCTTGCTGTTCTGGCTTCAGCGATAGCTGCGCAGCCTGCATTCACTCCATAAGACGCACACACATTTCCCCATACTTTTTAGGAGGGAAAAAGGGAGTCTTATAGAGCAAAAAATACGGTAAGTATTAATTAGGAAGATTAAGCTTTTTTATGCACGTAAATCTGCTTTTTCTTCTTTCTTCTTTCTGTATTTTCTTTTCCCTTAATTCTTTTTCCTTTAATTTTCTTTTTGTAGTCTGAGATTGTAAATTCTTTGTGTGTGTAATTTAAATTAATAAAGATTAGTATTTTTAAAAATTAAGAAATGTGGAAATTAAGGTGATCCAACTTGGACCGAGCTCTCCTAACTAGCTTGCGTCTGGATCTGGGCTTTGCCACTTCCAGCAACGGGGAAGTGTTTGCGTCCTGGATCCCTCCTTCTCCAGAAAAGAGGGAGAGAGAAAGCAAACAGCTATTCCCCTCCTTGAACAAACCGGCCACATTTCCTCCTCCCCACAGCTGAGCCGCGACTTCAAGGTCTCCTTCTCTCGCTTGGCAAGGAGCATCTCTGCCCGTCAGGTGTGCGCCACACCTGCTGCTGGTGAAGAAGCCTAGCCATGGCAGGTACGAGGAGCCGCAGGTTCAAGATGATCCTCCTGGGGGACTTTGGGGTGGGGAAGACCACGCTCTTTCATCGGATCAAGCTGGGGCGTTTCCTGGAGGGAGACCACCCGCCCGGCCAGCACAGCTACACGTGCGAGAAAACCCTGCCCCTGAAGCTCAACAGCAGGAACTGCCAGGTCCAGGTAAGGGCCTGCTTCCTGGGCAGCTCATTTGGTTGGTGGCTTGCCTGTGGAACTCCCTGCCTCATGAAAGGGGAAAAGGGAGAGGGAGAAGCAACAGGGTCTATGCACCTTCGTAAGCTCACTTGGGTGCTTGGGCTTATAGAGGGTGGGAGTTGATGGCTTGGTCCCTCTTACGATTCTGAGAGGGGCAGGGGCTCAATTTCCTGGGGGCCATATTGCTTGCTGTGGAAGCTGAGATTCTCCTGCATGCTGCTCTGTGTTCCCCTCTCTCCTCAGAAAGGAGGAGGAGGAGGGCTGTTTTTGTCATGGAGGACGGGGATATAGGGTCTTGTGACCCATGTGTGTGTGGGGGGGTGAATAATAAAAGAACCGGCTGGGTGTGCCTAGATTCAGAATTTGGGGCTTAACACACTCTCCAGTGGGAGGGAGCCCCCAGCAGCAGAGTTTAAACTCACAAATTGGACACCCTTCCAGCTTGATAAATGCAATGATTCTACGAATTAAACCTTTTGCATATCCTGTTTAGTCCACTTGCAAAGCGCCCCTCTCTTTCCACCCTTCTTGCAATGAACAGACCACACACTATTTAGTAACTTTAAAATGGTTTACTTACAAAACATTCCAAAGGTCCGATTCATGCATTTATCCAAGCAGCAGCAAGGAGAACGCAGGCAGAATCCTCTAGGGTAGAAAATACAGAAGATAATTCCAAACGCAGGTTCAAAGCTTTGGAGATGGCTTCGATGCATCCCACCTGGTGGGTTACATGGTGTGGAGAAAAAGGGAGGCACAGGAAGAGAAGGCTTAACTTCTTCACTCGTCAGAGAAGAGGGGCATGACCTAACTGCGTCTAGGAACACAGCTCTATTGTCTTAACCCCTTCATGTACTAACTAGTACTCATGTATGTTTGACTGCAATTTTCCACATTTATGGCACCCAACTTTTCGAACTCCCAGCATTGAAGTCCTGAATAAATCCTAGCACTGACAGGTGAAGGTCTCCTTCTGTGATTCCTGCATTGCAGAGTGTTGGACTAGATGACGCTTTCAGATCTACAGTTCTATGATTCTGTTTCCCACACTTCACAAGCACGCCCCAGGCCAATTCGAAATTCAGAATTAGAAACAGTGAAAGCAAATTGCTGTTACAGGAATTGGGTGGGTGCCTGAAAACACACTTCTCAGGTGTCAAAGATCAGGGCAGAGAGGTTTATCTTCAGCATTTGCTGAAAGCTGCATAAGAAAAGTGCCAGGCACGCCATGTGGGGAATTCCACAACCCATGAGCTGCCACAGAGACTCCCTTTTACGATACGATAATCTTTATTGTCATTGTCCCATACAGAACAACAAAATTGAAAAAGTCTACATCAGACATTCAAAACCAACAAGCCTGCTATCCCAGCTATCCCAGCCTGGTTAGCCCCCTAAAAACTCTAATACCCCATAATTAAATACAATATACTCACATAAAGACTACCTTAAGGTAAAGGGACCCCTGCCCATTAGGTCCAGTTGTGGCCGACTCTGGGGTTGCGGCGCTCATCTCACTTTACAGGCCGAGGGAGCCGACATGCAGCTTCCGGGTCATGTGGCCAGCATGACTAAGCCGCTTCTGGCGAACCAGAGCAGCGCACGGAAACGCCGTTTACCTTCCCACTGGATCGGTACTTATTTATCTACTTGCACTTTGACGTGCTTTCAAACTGCTAGGTTGGCAGGAGCAGGGACTGAGCAACGGGAGCTCACCCCGTCGCGGGGATTCGAACAGCCGGCCTTCTGATCGGCAAGTTCTAGGCTCTGGGGTTTAACCCACAGCGCCACCCGTGTCCCTAGACCCTACCTGACTAGGCCATCACAAAAACCCAGATGAATCCCCCTCTAGGTTCCAGTCAGTCTCTCATAAGTTTCCTGCAGCAGGGAGTTCCCCTGTTCGGCGCTCTAACCACCTGCTCTTTCGACCTGCGCAGATTTCCCTGTGGGACACGGCTGGGGAGGAGCGCTTCCTGTCCCTGAGCAGGAGCTACTACCGGGACGCGGATGCTGTGCTCCTCGTGTACAGCCTGCAACACCTCCTCTCCTTTGACAGCCTCTTGCACTGGCTGTACCTGGCCAGGCAATACTGTGCAGATGGTGAGTGAGAGGGCAAGGGGGAAAAGGAAGAGTCCCGGGGTACGGAGGGGTCGGTTGCCACTTTCCCCTCTCCGCCTCTGTGCCTGCACCTTTATCAGCAGCCTGACACGCAGATGCAGAATCATAGGGTTGCAGAGCTAGATGGGACCCCAGGGTATCACAGTCCGGTTCACAGGCAATTGAAGTCCCATCTGGGGACGTCAGGACCGGGGGCAAGATGGCGGGGTGGGAGCAGGAACGGGAGTCTAGAAGCCAGGGGTCAGGAAGCCAAGACTCCGAGGTTCAGAGAGCCGGGAGTCAAGAAGCAGAGGGTCCGAGGGTCAGGAAGCAAGGAGTCATGAAGTCAGGGGTCCGAGGGCCGAGAAGCAAGGAGTCACGAAGTCAGGGGTTCAAGGGTCGAGAAGCAAGGAGTCACGAAGTCAGGGGTCCGAGGGCCGAGAAGCAAGGAGTCACAAAGTCAGGGGTCTGCGGGTCGAGAAGCAAGGAGTCACGAAGTCAGGGGTTCAAGGGTCAAGAAGCAAGGAGTCACGAAGTCAGGGGTCCGAGGGTCAGGAAGCAAGGAGTCACAAAGTCAGGGGTCCGAGGGCCGAGAAGCAAGGAGTCACAAAGTCAGGGGTCCGAGGGTCAGGAAGCAAGGAGTCACGAAGTCAGGGGTCCGAGGGTCGAGAAGCAAGGAGTCATGAAGTCAGGGGTCCGAGGGTTGAGAAGCAAGGAGTCACGAAGTCAAACGCAGCAAGGCAGGAAACGTGTTGCTGTGGCAACGAGCCGAAGGGAAAATGCTGACCTTATATCCCTTCCCGGCTCTTGCCACCAGGTACTGTGAGTTACCAATTGGATTCACCTGTGTGGCTGCGCCTTGCCGCTCCAGAACAAACTTAGGAAGGCCCCAGTCCTGCAAAGTCCTATTGGTCACAGGGCAACCTGAAGGCCCAAATTTGGGAAACCCTGCCCTAGTTAATCCCACTGACCTCCAGGAGGCAGTATTGGCCACTCTGAGAAGCATTGTCCTAAATCAGGCATAGGCAAACTCGGCCCTCCAGATGTTTTGAGACTACAATTCCCACCATCCCTGACCACTAGTCCTGTTAGCTCGGGTTGATGGGAGTTGTGGTCCGAAAACATCTGGAGGGCTGAGTTTGCCTATGCCTGCCCTAAATCACGAGAGCAAGGGAAAGAAAATTAATATATATTTTGGGGTATAGTATATCACTATAACAGTTAACAATTACAATCCCATATATACCTATCTAATATTATCCAAACTGATATATCGTTATTTCTGATACACTTATATAACTCTCGCTTTTTTAACCTACTGTGTTCCAAATTTCGTTATCCTTGTCCCTGCATAGTCTATATCAATAAGCAGCCTGCTCCTAGGTGGCAAGTGTAGTTGGGTATCTTCAGCCCACTGAATGAATGGAGCCTTACATTTCTCTTTCCAGTGCAGCAATATGACTCTTTTGGCCATAGTGAGGGCACAGAGAATCCATTTATGTTCTCCAGTTGTCAAATTCCGTCTAGAAGGTATGCAGTTGAAAAGAACAGTAATCTCTGAAAATTTCAGCTTTTTCACAGTCATATAATCCACTACTTTCTCCCAAATCTTAATAAGTATAAGACATTGTAAAAACATGAGTTTTAAAGAAGCATTATCCTTTTTACATCCCCAACAAAATGCAGTCTTAGGCAGTCCTTTTCTATACAAACATAGTGGAGTTCAATAAATTCAAAGTATTATTTTCTTTTGTATAAGCCATAATTTAAGGTCCATTTACTTATGCTATAAAAGGGACGTGGGTGGCGCTGTGGGTTAAACCACAGAGCCTAGGACTTGCCAACCAGAAGGTCAGCGGTTCGAGTCCCCGCGATGGGGTGAGCTCCCGTTGCTCGGTCCCTGCTCCTGCCAACCTAGCAGTGCGAAAGCACACCAGGGCAAGTAGATAAATAGGTACCGCTCCGGCGGGAAGGTAAACAGCGTTTCTGTCCGCTGCTCTGGTTCACCAGAAGCGGTTTAGTCATGCTGGCCACATGACCCGGAAGCTGTACGCCGGCTCCCTCGGCCAGTAAAGCGAGATGAGCACCGCAACCCCAGAGTCAGCCACAACTGGACCTAATAGTCAGGGGTCCCTTTACCTTACCTATGCTATAGAAATGAAAACACTCTCCCATTGTCTCGGCAACACAGCAACCACAAGTTCTTTTTTCCAATCATTTCTTAACATCTGCCTATCAAATTGATAATGAATATCTATAAAAAAGTAATTGTGGGCGGTGTTTTTTGTTGTTGAAATGAATTTAACCAGTAGTATCTCAGGAGTCTCAGAAGCTGAAAACGCTGCTGGCCCAAACAAAATTGTTAACAAATGTTGGAGCTGCAAATATCCTTCCTATCGTACATGAACTGGCCGCCTCCTGCCCTGCCAGCGGCTCAGAGCCTTTAGCCCCAGCACCTGTTCTCAGATCTTCCTGTTCTTTCTCCCTTGCCCCCGCCAAGCCAATCTCTTCCTCCTGGGCAACAAGAGTGACCTGGAGAGCTGCGTCCCCGAAGAAAAGGCTGAGAAGTTTGCGGTGGAGCACGGTGCATCCGGCAGGTTCAAAGTGTCGGCCAAGACAGGTAAGGGGGGGGGTCGCCTCGTCTTTCCGGCTGAACTGAGAGAGAGGGTGATGCAAGTGAGGTTGGTATAAAGAGCAGGGCAGTAATTCCACTGACCCACCAACCACAGAAGAAGCGGGAAGGGGCTTGAAACGGGGGACGGCGGTGGACTTTCAGGGGCTGCATTCTTTTCAGGACAACATTGCAAGGGTCACAGGCTTGGGAACAGCAGCTGAGGCCAGGGATAATGATGATGATGATGATGATGATAATAATAATAATAATAATAATAATAATAATAATAATAATAATAATTTATTTGTACCCCACCCATCTGGCTGGGCTTCCCCAGCCACTCTGGACGGCTTCCAACAAAGACCAAAAATACACTAAGATGTCACACATTAAAAACTTCCCTGAACAGGGCTGCCTTCAGATGTCTTCAAAATGTCAGGTAGTTGTTTATCTGTCTGACATCTGGTGGGAGGGAGTTCCACAGGGCGGGTGCCAATACCGAGAAGGCCCTCTGCCTGGTTCCCTGTAGCTTTGCTTCTTGCAGGGAGGGAACCGCCAGAAGGCCCTCAGCACTGGACCTCAGTGTCCGGGGAGAACAATGGGGGTGGAGACGCTCCTTCAGGTATACTGGGCCTTTGAGGCCATTTAGGGCTTTCAAGGTCAGCACCAACACTTTGAATTGTGCTCGGAAACATACTGGGAGCCAATGCAGATTTCTCAGGACCGGTGTTATGTGGTCCCGGCGGCCACCCCCAGTCACCAGTCTAGCTGCCGCATTCTGGATTAGTTGTAGCTTCTGGGTCACCTTCAAAGGTAGCCCCACGTAGAGCGCGTTGCAGTAGTCCAAGCGGGAGATAACTAGAGTATGCATCACTCTGGTGTGGGAGCTGACTGTTGGATGATTCAGTACAGGTAAAAGACATTATTTCTCCACCTGGTGCAGAGTTAAACCATGGAACTCCCTCCCACAGGAGGAGGCAGTGATGCCCACCAATGTGGGCAGCTGTAAAAGAAGGTTAGATGAATTCGTTGAGGAGGGGGAGGAGAGGGCTACTAATGTCTACTAGCCAGCACAGGTGCCAACTCCCTGGGTGCCCAAGCACCCACAAGATTCCTCATGAAGGGGCCAGGCACCAACCAATTTTGTTGCCAGGGCCAGGCACACTGCACAGCACCCATGGCCCTAGACACCCGTGGTTGCTGGGCCAAGTTGGCCCTCCTGCTAGCCAGGATGGCTCTGCTTTTTCTCCGCAGTTAGCGACAGCCATGCTTCTGAAGACTAGTTGCTGGAGGCCACAGGAGGCAAGAGTTGTTCTTGTGCTTGGAACCTGCTTGTTGGATCTGGCCACCGTGAGGCTACTATGCTGGACGGGCCTGATCCAGCAGGCAATTATTATTATTATTATTATTATTATTATTATTATTATTATTATTAATTTGTACTGGGAGCCAGTGTAGGTCTTTCAAGACTGGTGTTATGTGGTCTCAGCGGCCGCTCCCAGTCACCAGTCTAGCTGCCGCATTCTGGATTAATTGCAGTTTCTGGGTCACCTTCAAAGGTAGCCCCATGTAGAGCGTATTGCAGTAGTCCAAGCGGGAGATAACCAGAGCATGCACCACTCTGGCAAGACAGTCTGCGGGCAGGGAGGGTCTCATCCTGCGTACCAGATGAAGCTGATAAACAGCTGCCCTGGACACAGAATGGACCTGCGCCTCCATGGACAGCTGTGAGTCCAAAATGACAACAGGCTGCGCACCTGGTCCTTCAGGGGCACAGTTGCCCCATTCAGGACCAGGGAGTCCCCCACACCCGCCTGCCTCCTGTCCCCCCAAAACAGTACTGTCTTGTCAGGATTCAACCTCAATCCATTAGCCGCCATCCATCCTCCAACCGTCTCCAGACACTCACACAGAACCTTCACTGCCTTCACTGGTTGTGATTTGAAAGAGAGGTAGAGCTGGGTGTCATCTGATGATGATCTCTTCCAGTGGCTGCATGTAGATGTTAAAAAGCATGTTCTTATGGAGGGGATATGGCCTAGGGAGAGTCTCAGAACCCAGCTAGAGAGTCCTGGAAGTCCAAAAGAAGCGAGTACCGTGGTGAAATTTACTTTTGCAGCTCTGCGCACTTTTGCGTCTGGCAATTGTCTGGCTGCTTCTCTTTGACGCCTCCCAGAGCTTTCCATTTACAGCAGCTTTCTGCTTCCACATCTGCTGAGGCTCCCCTTCCTTCCTTCCTTCCTTCCTTCCCCAGGTTCTTTAGCTTCTTACTCTGCTGATGGGCGGGCGTTTCCGAAGATGCCGAGTCAGCCTCCTAAAATCGTCACCGAGAGTCAGCATAACTTCCCCAGGCAGCTGGCACAAAATGACACAGAGAGCAGGCTGCGCTTGGCATCCTCCTGAGTCCACCGTGTCTGATCTGCTCTTTGCCGAAGTGGGCGAGGTTAGCAGGGCCCAAATGAACAGGTTAATTATGGAAGCATAGAATTCTAGAGCTGGAAAGGACCTCCAATGGTCAAAAGTGTTTTAAATTTGTTGTTAGCCACCCTGAGCCCTGTTTTCTGAACCAGGAAGGGCGGGGTATAAATAAAAAATTATTATTTATTTTTATTATTATCTAGTCCAACCCCATGCAATGCAGGAATCGGAGCTAAAAAGTCCTTGACAGATGGCCGTCCAACCTCTGCTTAAAGACCTCCAAGGAAAGAGAGTCCATCACCTTTTGAGGGACTCTTTTCCACTGTCAAACAGCTCTTGTTACCAGAAAGCTCTTCCTGATGTTTAATTGGAACCCCCTTTCTTGTAGCTTGAAGTCATTGGTTCGAATGCTGCAAGCTTGCTCCTTCTTCCATGTGACAACCCTTCAGATATTTGGAGATGGGTATCCTATCTCCTCTCAGTCTCCTCTTTTCAAGGCTAAACATACCCAGTTCCTTCAACCATTCTTCATCAGGCGTAGTTTCCAGAACCTTGATCAGGCATAGGCAAACTCAGCCCTCCAGATGTTTTGGGACTACAACTCCCATGGTGCCCAGCTAACAGGACCAGTGGTCAGGGATAATAATAATAATAATAATAATTTATTTATATCCCGCCCTCCCCAGCCAAAGCCGGGCTCAGAGCTGCTAACAACAATAAAAGTAACACAGTTTACATAAAACCACAATCAATTAATTGAAATACATTCTAAAATCAATTCATTCTAAAATCAATTCAGAATCAAATTCAAATTAATGGCAACCATTGGGCTAGAGTTCTGAGGATTACCAAAGAAGGGGGTCAGACTGTGCCTTGGCCAAAGGCCTGGTGGAACAGCTTTGTCTTGCAGGCCCTGCGGAAAGAGGTCAAATCCTGCAGGGCCCTAGTCCCTTGTGACAGCATTCCACCAGATCGGGGCCACGGCCGAAAAAGCCCTGGCTCTGGTTGAGGCCAGCCTAACCTCCCTGTGGCCCGGGACCTCCAAGATGTTTTTGTCCGTGGGACATACCAGGAGAGGCGGTCCAGTAGGTACGAGGGTCCTAGGCCGTACAGGGCTTTAAAGGTCAAAACCAGCACCTTAAACCTGATCCTGTAGTCCACCGGGAGCCAGTGCAGCTGGTAAAGCACCGGGTGAATGTGATCCTGCAGCAAGGACCCCGTAAGGAGTCTCACCGCGGCATTCTGCACCCGCTGGAGTTTCTGGGTCAGTCCTAAGGGCAGCCCCACATAGAGTAAGTTACAATAATCCAGTCTGGAGGTGACCATCGCATGGATCATAGTGGCTAGGATGATGGGAATTGTAGTCCCAAAACATCTGGAGGGCCGTGTTTGCCTATGCCTGAGCTTGATCACCTCATTCGCCCTCCTCTGCACACTTGTCAACATCCTTCGTAAATTGTGGTGCCCGGAACTGAACACAGGACTCCAGGTGTTTGTCCGGCCAAGGCAGAACAGAGCGGAAGTACGGTATTACTTACCTTGATCTGGGCACCAGATTTCTGCTGACGCAGCCTAAAGCAGCATTAGCTTATTTTGCTGTGGCATCACACTGCTGCCTCTTATCCTCCGGGCTCCTTCCCCTGCCCCAAGCATGCAATTAGGCAGAAGCCTGCCGGTTGCTCAACCTTTCTTTAAATAGTATTTATTAGCTTGTGCCAGTCTTGCGTGAAGCTGTGGGGTTTGCAGCAGGTTGGGAAGGTGCTAATTATTTGCCCAGCCGCCAAGCAAGGTCACAAAGGGCCTTCAAGCCAATCTGACAGGCGGAGGAAGGTAGGGGTGGAGTGATGGTTTGCAGGCGCGCCAGCCAGACTTTTCTGGAGGAATGTGCATCTCTCAGGGGGTTGAGATAATGAATGGGTGCGCAGCAGCAGGTTCTATTTCTGGACCAGCAAGCACCAGCAGAGAAGGGCGTTTTGCTAATATTAAGTAATACAGCAGTCTGCTTTCCTGGCACAGAACATTGGGAGGGGCAGAGACCGGTCTGTGCCAACAACGCTGCTATTATTGTGGCACACCAGTCCATCCAAGAGCCTCCCTCCCACCTCACCTTCATCCACAGCCTCGGTGCCTTTTGTTTTTTTATATATACATTTTTATTAATTTTTTAACATATCATTTCCACCAGTCATTTAACATACATTTTTATCTTATACAATTTTTTTAGACTCCCGTCAGCTACCTCTGAAGATTTTCCATACTTTATCACTTAATCTGCATTTCTTAATTTCTCTGTTACTTTTAATTATCCTTAACCAATATTCTCTTCATAATCTTCCTTGCAATATTTCGCATAATCCACCTTACAAAACTTCTTGCAGTCCTACTAGCGTAATCTGTTTATTACAATTGCTTTGCAAATAGTTCAAATATTTACTCCAGTCCTCTAAGAATCTTTGGTCCCGCAGGTTTCAAATCCTTCCTGTCAAATTTGTCTAATTCTGCATAGTCCATTCATTTCATTTACCACTCTTCTTTCGTCAGTAATTCTTGTTTCCATTTTTGTGCCAATAATATTCTTGCTACCAGCCTCGGTGCCTTTTGAATCCCCTGGGAAGTGTTTAGCATTGCAGGACCCTGCCTTCTGATTAGTAATGTTAGTATTCATAGCCCGCTTTTCTCTCAATTTGGGATTCCAGGCAGTTTCCAACGTTTTAAAAACAGCCATATGAAAATTTAAAAGCAATGAAAACAGACTAGATGAATGCTGAAAGCATACCAGAACAACTTCCAAACCAGCAACTAAAATCCAGTTTGCCCTTTGTTGCCAAAGCCTGTCTGAACATGAAGGTTGTGGAAGAATAAGGGATGCGGGTGGTGCTGTGGTCTAAACCACAGAGCCTAGGGTGTGCTGATCAGAAGGTTGGTGGTTGGAATCATCACGACGGGGTGAGCTCCCGTTGCTCGGTCCCAGCTCCTGTCAACATAGCAGTTCGAAAGCATGTCAAGTGCAAGTAGATAAATAGGTACTGCTCTGGTGGGAAGGTAAACAGTGTGCACTGCTCTGGTTTTGCCAGAAGCGGCTTAGTCATGCTGGCCACAATACCCGGAAAAACTGTCTACGGACAAACGCCGGGTCCCTTGGCCAGTAAAGCGAGATGAGCGCCACAACCCCAGAGTCGACTGCGACTGGACTTAACTGTCAGGGGTCCTTTACCTTTACCTTGCAGCCCACTAAGTGTTCCTAGGATTGCAACTTAGATTGACAGCGGTATGCAGCAGAGCAAAGGCACGAAGGCCAGGCATGTCCTGCCTTAGCAAAGGGGTGGCTGGGAAAGTGGCGGTTTCACTGGGCCAATTGGCGTGCCTTTTCGGAGGATACCAGCTTATTTATTTATTTGTCGCATTCCCACCCCACCTTTTTTTCTCTCCAAAGAACTCAAGGTGGCGTCCATGGTTCTTCCCCTCCTTATTTAATCCCCACAACAACAACCCTGTGAGGTGGGTTAAGCCGAGAGAAAGCAGAGACTGGCCCAGACCCCATGACCTTCCTTCATGTCTGAGTGGAGATTTGAACCCTGTCCAACACTCTCGTCTAACCACTACAATATACTGGCTCTCCAAATTTTTGGCACTTGTGTGCCTGCCATGGGCCTGGGCTCCTTTGGGATATACCTGTAATAATCAGAATACGTGCAAACAGGAGACTTGCCTGCCCACTGCCTGGCCTTCTTCCTCTCTCACTCTCCCTCTTCCTCCTCCAACCTGGCCCAGACTTCCTTCTCTCCTCCTCACTTCCAGGTGAGAATGTGGAGCGCAGCCTGCAGGAGATGCTGGAGAGGCTGTTCCTCAGGAACGAATTCCAGCACAGCAGCCTCCATCTCCCGCTGCAAGATGCAGGCTACGGCCAATGTGGATGCTGAGCTTGGGAGAGCTTCCTGCCACAGCATTTTAGAGGATGCTCCAGGTAGCCTTTGGTCTCAGGTAGCCTTTCTCCGTGCGTTTGCCGCATATCGGATCGGGACATTTGCCACTTCCTCAGAGATGGCTGTGCTATAGCAGGCGCCTGTGTCTGACCTGAAGAGTCTCTGTAGCATATTCTGCTGTGGCGCTGGTACCCTTGGCTGGAAGTCATCTTGGTGGGCCAATGAGAGCCTCCCTCGCTTCACCTCCATCAATGCTTCTCTTTGGAGACCTGTGGGCCATTTCTTGCAGGGTGCCCAGCTGACGAACTGACCCCACTGTGGACACGCAACCAACTTTTGGGAACTGCGGCTTCTGAGCTAATATGGGATCGGGGGGTTGTATGTGTGAGGGTGCAACCTTTGGCCTTTTCCCACGTCCTGTCGGTGTTCCAAGCAAGGTAGTACATCATCCTTGCTATCCTCCTCCCATTCCACACTTTCTCTTCTTAAGAAGAGTCTGCAAGATCAGGCCAAATGGGGACCAGCTAGTCCAATAACCTGTTCTCACAGTGGCCGACCAAATGCCCATTATGGGAAGCCAGCAAGCAAAACCTGAGCACAAGGATATAAATAATAAATTATTATTATTATTGTTATTATTATTATTATGGCCCTCTCCCCTCTTGTGGTTTCTAGCAACTGGGATTCAGAAGCATGGCAGTGTCCAGCTATTCCATAACAAGAATAATACCGTATTTTTCGCTCTATTAGGCACACTTTTTCCCTCCTAAAAAGTAAGGGGAAATGTGTGTGTGTGTCTTATGGAGCGAATGCAGGCTGCGCAGCTATCGCTGGGATTTAGATTTTTTTTTCTTGTTTTCCTCCTCCGAAAACTAGGTGCGCTTTATGGTCTGGTGTGTCTTATAGAGCGAAAAATACGGTAAATAGCAGATTTTTGTCCTTCCCATCACTTGAGAGACATGTCACTTCTGAGATGCCCTTTCTTCCTATGAAAGGGGCTGACACAAATTCTGCTGAGGTTGTTGCTATCAAATTTAAGCTAGCATCATCAATGAATGCAATGTTCTGCAGACTTCAGCTTGTGCAATGGGACATCCCCCTCAAAATTGACTCTGGGGGAGTCAGTATAAGCCCTGGAACAGCACGCACAGGGATGGCTCTGTCTGGTGAGCTGAAATGCTTGTGGAGGCAGAACGTTGATCACAGCGTGACATTGAATCCCACCCTTTAAACCTGCATTTCTGGCATGTTGGAGACAGCAGAATACTTAAGCAATGACTTTGTGCTCCGTTTGAGGTATGCAACAATGACCTTCTGAGGAAGGAGGTACTTTGCAATAGTATGGCATTAAGAGAGACATTTTCCTCTTTTGTGGCCAGAGGATGACTCAGCAGTCTCACTGAAAATCCAAGTAAACATGCTTAAAATTATTCTGGGAGGCCCCTAATTGTCTTTGATTTGCTACTTCTTAAAAGGCAAGGGCTCTGTGCCTTCGTGGCTGCCTGATGACGGGGAGAAATCAACAGCTGGAGAAATCTCTCGGCTTGGAGATATCAGCTCTGAGGCAACAGCTTCCTCTGATTTCTGCCTGCAATGATTTCTACAAAAATAAAACCCAGTACAGCGCCTGTTTCTTGTTTGTACTGCACATGGGAGCAAAAAGCAAAGCCAAGCCTAAGAAAAGAACAGGTAGCACATCTAAATCTTCATTTCTCTGAATTTCCCTGAACAAGGAACAGTAGCGTCTGAATAGGACTGCCTGGTCGTGAGCATCCTAGACCCTGAGATTCCAGGACCCAAACCTTAGACTTAGGGGAAGCTTCTGCTGATGTCATTGGGGCATTCCCTGGTGATGTCACAGGGCTGGGTCCTGGTGATTCTCCCTCTTACCACTGAGCCCTGGAGATGGAGGTTAATTGGGAGAGGGGAAGGGGGCAGATCCCAGAGTGTTTATGTGAGAATTATCCTGCCAGGCTGCAACTTGCAAACTGCACTCATAGTCTTCTTAATATAAATAAATAAAAATAAAGACGTACTTGCCCACCTGGAGATTCAAACCCACCCCTTCTCCCCTGTAGGGAGGTCCAAAAATTGTACGACAAATTGTACGACAAATAAATGTTTCTCTTCTTTACCACCCTGTTGCTTTTTTGCTCCGACTTCCAGTTCCTTTTGGGGGATTCTAAGGTCTCATATATATAATCACATGTTCATAAATGTACAAGGCAAACACACATGCATAAGTATAATGTCTGAAACAGTACAGGAGAGCAATCCTGAAGGCATTTTGACTTTCCCAAATTGACCTCAAATATTTCCTTGCAAGGAGGAAGGAAATGGGAAAAGCTTTCCAGTTGTCTTTGGACCGTAGGAGCTTACACCTACCTTTTCAAATACAGTCTGGCAATTATCTGCTAAGCTGAGCAAACTATGAATATATGTAAGAGATTCAGGAACTAAACTGTTTACCATCTCAAAGGAATGGCCAGGATGCCCAGGTATAAGCATTCAGTGACCATTAGCAGGTATCCTGGAAGACAGGTTTTCTGCTGTAGACCGCCCCTTCAGTGATGTATGTATGATGTTTTGGGTGGTGGTCTTGAGCTACAGGGGAGGCAATTTCAAAAAGTCTATGAAAGGGCTTGCACACCATTGTTCTAGGTTCCTCTCCTGCCTTCTGCATGTGGTGAGTGAGGACACTGTTGCAACAGTTTAATAAAGATCAGGCTTACTAGCTGCCTTGCTTCTCAATATTCTCTGGTTGGCCTCTGTTATTTTCTCCTACAGATAGAGAACCTATTTAAAGACTCTATACGGGCTCTTAGATACCCCATAAGGGAAAAGGAGCAGTATTTTTCTTATAACAGCTGTCATATGGAGGATGGAACAAGCTCGTTTTCTCCTGCTCTGGAAGGGAGGACCCAAATCCCCAGATTCAAGTTACAGGAAGGGAGATTTGATAGTAATAATAATAATAATAATAATAATTTATTATTTGTACCCTGCCCATCTGGCTGAGTTTCCCCAGCCACTCTAGGCGGCTTCCAACAAAGATTAAAAATACATTAAAATGTCACACATTAAAAACTTCCCTGAACAGGGCTGCCTTCAGATGGCTTCTAGATGTCAGGTACTGTAGTTGTTTATTTCCTTGACATCTGACGTTCCACAGGGTGGGCGCCACTACCAAGAAGGCCCTCTGCCTGGTTCCCTGTAGCTTTGCTTCTCGTAGGGAGGGAACCGCCAGAAGGCCCTCGGCGCTGGACCTCAGTGTCCGGGCAGAACAATGGGGGTGGAGACGTTCCGTCAGGTCTACTGGGCCTTTGAGGCCATTTAGGGCTTTAAAGGTCAGCACCAACACTTTGAATTGTACTCTGAAACGTCCTGGGAGCCAATGTAGGTCTTTCAAGACCGGTGTTATATGGTCTCGGCGGCCGCTCCCAGTCCCCAGTCTAGCTGCTGCATTCTGGATTACCGTATTTTGCGCCCCATAGGACGCACCGGCCCATAAGGCGCACCTAGTTTTTTGGGGGGGAAATAAAGAAAAATATTTTTATTTCCCTCCCAGGCGCAGGGCTGGGGCGGGGGAAGCCCGAGCTTCCCCCGACCCCAGCCCCCAGAACAGGCTGCTCTGCGCAAGCCGTGGGAGCCCTCCCGCGGCTTGCGCAGAGCTACCCGAAGCCCTGGCGCAACTGCTGAGCGCGCCGGGGCTTCGGGATAAGAGGCAGCGCTGTGCAAGCCGGGGGAGCCCTCCCGCAGCTTGCGCAGAGCTACCCGAAGCCTGGAGAGGGAGAGGGTCGGTGCGCACCGACCCCTCTCACTCTCCAGGCTTCAGCGAAAGCCTGCCTTCGCCCCACCCCATAGGACGCACACACATTTCCCCTTCATTTTTGGAGGGGGAAAAGTGCGTCCTATAGGGCGAAAAATATGGTAATTGCAGTTTCCGGGTCACCTTCAAAGGTAGCCCCACATAGAGCACATTGCAGTACAGTGGTACCTTGGGTTACATACGCTTCAGGTTACAGACTCCACTAACCCAGAAATAGTACCTCGGGTTAAAAACTTTGCTTCAGGATGAGAACAGAAATCGTGCTGCGGCAGCCGGAGGCCCCATTAGCTAAAGTGGTACTTCAGGTTAAGAACAGACCTCCAGAACGAATTAAGTTCTTAACCCGAGGTACCACTGTAGTCCAAGCGGGAGATAACTAGAGTAAGAGCTGTTTGTCGAAAAGGTGGTGGCCTCTCCTTCCTTGGAGGTTTTTAAGCAGCGGTTGGACGACCATCTGCCACAGATGCTTGAGCTGAGATTCCTGCATTGCAGGGGGTTGGACTAGATGACCCCTGGGGTCCCTACAAGTCGATGGGTCTATTCTCTGCTTCTCTGCAGGGCAGAATACCTTAGGAGCCAAATGGCCCCAGCTCTCAGGCATCAAATTGCAGAGCTGCCTCCCTGCCCTGAGAAGCCCAGCCGGGCTCTCCCAGAGCAGGTGGGCCTAACTCAGCTGTTACAGCATCACACCTTTCGGACTACAACTCCCATCAGCCCCTGCGGCGCGAGGTGGGCCTGACAGGAGTCGTCGCCCCAAACAGCCGGTTGGGGAAAGGCTGCGGACCTCACGACGTTAGAGGACTACAACTCCCGCTTTCCCTGGCCGTTGCGCACCCCGGTCGAGGCTTCTGGGAAAGCGAGTCCAACGTCGCTCGGGCGAGTTGGTCTTTTGTGCTGCCCCGGCGGCCCGTTGGCCCGCCCCCCGCGAGGGGCGATTGGCTGCTCCGGAGGGGCGTTCCCGGAGCCTTGTTCCCGTCTCTGAGGTGAGCCGGCACGGGATTGGCCGGGAGAGGCTGCCCGTCTCGTCGCCCGCCTACGTCGCGCCATTGACGGGCGGCGGGTCGCGACGCCCCGTGGCTCTGATTGGCCGGGCGTGTGGGCGAGGGGGCGGGCGGAGGAGCCGGGCGGGGGGAAGAAGGAGCGGAGCGGCCCAAGCAAGATGGCGGCGTCTGAGGCGGCCGAGGCGGGCCTGGGGACGGCGGGCTGAGCAGCCGCGGCCGAGCCAGAGCGCCATGTCGGGGCCAGACGAGCGCGAGCCCGGCGGCGGGGCGGCGGCCGGCGTGGTGGCGGCGGGCGCCGGGGGTCCTCTGGCGCTGGGGGAGGCGGCGGGGCCTGGCCCGGGGGCGCCGAGGAGCCGGGGCCGCCGCTCGGGGCTGGGGGCGGGCGCGGGGGGAGGCGGCGGCGGCGGGGGCCTTGTCCGGCAGCCAGAGCCCGGCGGCGACCGCGACTCCGACGCGCCGCCCAAGAAGCGACTGAAGCTGCCGGGCGGAGCCGAGGGAGGCGGCGGCGGCGGCGTCAAGCTGGAGGAGCGCCTCTACTCGGTCCTCTGCTGCACCGTGTGCCTCGACCTGCCCAAGGCCTCCGTCTACCAGGTGCGACCCGCGTCCTCCTCCTACACGTGTACACGCGTGTACGGGTCCCCTTCCCACGTGCCGGGTTCCTCTCCCTCCGCAATGGTGGCATTCGGGGGCGCGCACGGGGCTTGCATCCCGCTGAACCTTTTGCCCCGGGGCGGGAAGGGCTACCTGGGGTGCAGGTGTTCGTGTGAACGCGAAGGTAAGCGGGAATGCAGAGGAACGCGGGCAGCGGCGACCTTGTCGTGAACCAGGCCCATACCTGGCTCAGTAGGGTCTCCACCCGTCTTTCCCAACCTCGGGTGGCCCCGGGGGTTGTTGGCCTACAGCTCCCTAGCCAGCAGGACCCGTGGTCCGGGATGATGGGATATGTAGTCCAACCCGAGGTTGGGAAACGCTTGGCAGGCAGCAAGGACTCTCTCCCAGCCTTACCTGCAGGTGCCATGGGGATTTGAACCCGGGACCTTTTGCATGCATGCTTGCAAGGCATGGGCTGCCAAGCCTTGGCCCATCATGAAACGGCCCATGTCAGTTGTGACTCGTGAGCCGCCCATCTCATTTCGCTCGTTTCAAACTTGTGGTCTCCACTGCCCCCAATTGGGCTGGGTTAGGAGCTTTTCAAAATGAGGGGAGAAATGCAAGGAAATGCTTGAAATAGGAGAGATGGAGAGAAAAGCACACTTTAAAAAAATGATATTAAATCCGCGCTTTCTAAGGATCATCACTTAATAATGCCGGTGGGTTGTCTCCTAAGTCAAGGTGTTTAGCTGATTATTCTTGCCTGACTGGTATAATAGTGGTGTGGATCAGTCCCCTTCTCTTCCTCCCCCACCCTCTGCCCCTCCTTCAGTGCATATTCTGGGCGGAATAGCCAGCATCATGGCAGGTAAGTACAGAAGTAGGGAGGCAGTAACCACTTGAATCGGAGAGATGTGCTTGTGATGTGTTTTCTTGCATTCTTTCATTGTTCTTCCCACCCTCTTGCACAGAGAGTGTCCATCAAATAACGTACATACATTTTCCCCTTCCTATTATGCTGTATTTCTGTAAGCCATGCTGGAGAAATCCCTAAAATGGAAACAATTATCTAGTTCCACAAATCAGACACGCCCACCTTGTTTTGCTTTGTCTGAGATCTCCATTTATCCAGCGTTTGGGCAGGGTCACCTCATACCTCTTCCTGTGTGCTGCTTGCTCCTGACTCATTAATTTAGCCTCTTGGGTGGCAGGTTTAGCTGCTGATCTTTCAGCCTGTGGTATAACTTGTTCTGCTCATAATTGCTGCTCTGAGCTTCCCTTCCCCCTATGTTTTGGAGGAAGGGTGGGATGTAAGTACAGTGGTACCTCGGGTTACATACCCTTCAGGTTACAGACTCTGCTAACCCAGAAATATTACCTCGGGTTAAGAACTTCGCTTCAGGATGAGAACAGAAATTGTGTGGTGGCGGGGCAGCGGGAGGCCCCAATAGCTAAAGTGGTACCTCAGGTTAAGAACAGTTTCAGGTTAAGAACGGACCTCCAGAACGAATTAAGTTCTTAAGCCGAGGTACCACTGTAGTAAACTAGGAGTGAGAGTTGTTGGGATGTAAATGGTGAACTAGGAGTGAGCCATTGTACAACTCCACTCATCTACAGGGACTCCCATTGCCCTGAAGTCAGGTTCAAGAAACCATCATCTCCTGACTCTGTTTTATGGTAATGTTCAAAGTGCTGGATGGGACTTCGCAGTGTGTTGATTCTTCTTGTTGCCACTGGCTCTGCAAGTCTCATCTGCTGTGATTCCTTAAGATACTTTGCTTGCATATGATGAGAATTCCTCTCTGCTATCTTTATACCTAGTGAATGTGTGCATGAGTATTGGAAGGAGAGCAGCCTGACAGCTATAAAAGAGAGGCAGTCTCTTCTCTTTCTTCTCTTTGGCGATCACTTGTAGTCGAGTAAGATTGTGTTCCATAAACACGGTTTTAATGAGTCCATAAGTGACTGTGGAGGCCAGTTCTGGATCCACACGTCCTTCCACAGTGGGGACATTGGTTTCCGGGCAGGAGTTGATCCCGTTGTGGATTTGCCAAGCGTGCCTTCCTCTTAGCACGTTTCTCCCTTGCGTCCTGAGTTTGAGTGTCTTCAAAGCCTGTGACACCTTTGGCAAACGCTGTTCTCCAACTGGGGCGCTCGCAGGCAAGTTTTTCCCAATTGTTGTTTATGCTACATTTTTTTTTCTTTGCCTTGAGACAGCCTTTACACCTCTTTTGTTGACCGCCAGCATTACGCTTTCCATTTTTAAGTTTGGAATAGAGTAGTTGCTTTGGAAGACGATAATCAGACATCTGCACAGCATGACCAGTCCAACAAAGTTGATGTTTGAAGAATCATTGCTTCAACACTGGTGATATTTGCTTCTTCCAGTACACTGGCATTAGTTCGTCTGTCTTCCCAAGTAATGTGTAAATTTTTTTGGAGACGCCATTGATGGAATCTTTTGAGGAGTTGGAGATGGTGTTTATAAGTGGTCCATGTTTCACAAGCATACAGTAACGTTGGTGATGATCCAGCGAGTGAGTAAGAGAGGCAGTAGAGACACATTAAGGGACAGTGGTGAGAAGACTGGGAAAGGTTCAGAGAGCCTCATTTAGCCTACAGGTTGAATGAATTTTACAGGGACTGGGTTCCTACTTTCCTATATGTATGAGAAAGATCTGCTTGTCTTTCTCTACAGAATTAGAGATACTTACTATCTTCACTTTTAAAACTGTGGCTTGCTTCTTCGTTTTCTTTTCCTTTTCTTCTCTTCTTCTTTTCTACCTACTTCCAAAGATATACCAGACCAAGCCCCCACCTCCTGTACCTAAATAAGAACATCCAGACTATAACTTCCAAGTAGTTCCTCCCACCTTACAAATGCACAAAACTTTCAGAATTAGCTGCAAGGTACTAAAATCATCTCAACAAAATTAAGCGTTGGCATTCATTTTCAAAGAGGTTAAGGGATGTTGTTGGACTTCTGATCAGAAATGGAGAGGCCAGAGAAGTTGTATGGACATTATATTAAAAGTCCCAGATCCTCTTGCTGGGGAGGAAGTCTGGTGTGTTGTTTTGGCTGACAGATGTGCCTTGCTGTTCTGACCAAGAGAATGCTCTGGGCTTCCTGAGCTCCATGCATAAATTCAGGTACTGCTACCAGATGATGCTTTCTGCCTCTCTGTTTTGGTAATGAAGAGCTCTGCAGTGTACACCAAAGCTTGGAGAAACCCCCTTCCCTGTTTTGCAAAGATGTTAGCTTAAAGTGCTTGTTTAGCGCCTGCATTATCAGAACCTGCTTCCTTCCCCCCATTTTTGTGCTCCATTTAATTCCTGCAAACATTTTAGGGTAAAGAAGCCACAGAGGACTCTTCAGGCAGTCTGTGCAAACAAATCAACAATCAAATGGACTTATGTCCAGTTGTGCCTCTGTTGTTGGCTGTTCAGCTGCATGAAAGCCTCCTGTTCTGTTCTCTCCCCTGCCCTCCCCCCCCCCACAATGTTTGCACTTAATTGGTGCAGAACAAGGACTCGAACTAAAAGAAGCCAAGTGTGAACCAGAAGCATGGAACATGTGACTTGCAGCATGTGACTTGGCTTAGTTAAGTCCCTAAATGCAAAGGTCATCGCCTTGGTGATGTTACACTTTGGTGGTTGCGCCCTAATAATATCCGCACAGTGTTCTCTGCCTCACTGTCAAATAAAGAGATGTCAGATGTACCATCCCCATAATTCCTTGCTGAAAAACAGGACAGGAATTGCATTTCGTTTTTGGAAGAACAAGATTAGTGTTAGCTTAACCAGTTTGAAAACAAGCTCAAGATCCCAGGGAAGAAAAGCATCATTGTTGGTTGCAGCGCTATGAGGAGAAGCACACAGGCAATTAAACTCTGGCAGTGACAATAATGGAAGCATTTTCTGTTAATACAGTATCTGTGTCTGGAGTCCAGTGGTTGTTGCAATCATATGAGGCTCCATGATAATTGAGAAGCTTCAGCCGATACAGAATGCAGTTGCTCGTCTCAGATACCAAGAGATGTGCATATAGTCAGCCTGTTCTGCATCAGTTGTAACTGGTTGTCAGTTTGTTTCTGGACCCAGTTCAAGGTGCTGGTCTTGATCTTGAAAATCCGTGACCTTCAAGGGCTGTCTCTCCCCACATGACACATGCACACACACCCCTGCTAGGTGAGATCTGATAAACACTGCTTACCATCCCAGCTCTGGCAGGTCAGGAGAAGGATGACTAGAAGCTGAATCTTAAAGTTTATGATCATGGTGCCAAAGTTGTGGCACTTTCAAAGCCGATCTACCAGCTGTCTTCTTGGAAGGACAGAGGCCGGGAGCCAGTCTGTCCAATGACCATCAGCCACCTGCTAAAGTTAACTGGCCTTCCTTTCTAAGGTTGTCTATCACCAACCACTGTGTGGGAAGGATTCTGTTGACTTATGTCTTGAATTTTTTTAGTCATTTTTTTGTTTGTTTGTTTATGCATTTAGATGTTGTTTGTAAGCCACCTTCAAATATCCTGAAAGGCAGGACACAAATAATTATAATAAATTATGCAAAAGTTCCAGGACCCGCTGACCTATTATTCCTGATTTATGATGTCCATCTTTTATGGGTTTTTGTTAGTTCTGGTTGTTCTTTTTCAATTATTTGATGTTTACAACTTTAGTAAAGGCTTTGTGTAAATATTTTATCTAAACTAAGAATAATTGCCTCATTTTGCCATTCTGTGGTTTGAGCCTCAGAACTAAGTGTCATAGATTTGTAAATAGTTGTTTCCACTCTTTTCCATACAACATTTTCCGTACAGTTGGGGAAGCAAGTAAAAGCTGGTGTTCTCTTGCACACTGGGGGGATTGTAACCTAAGCAGCGAAGGATAGTGGCTGGTACCGAGGAAGACGTTTAAGAAAGCATACTACTTGTGTTAAAGGTTGCAAAAGGAAGCAGGGTTCCCGGAAAGGTCAGTTCAAAGTTGTCTGTGGCTGCTCCAAGCCCAGGAATGTATTCTTGCAGCTTCATTTGAGAAGACTGGGGATGAGCCATAGCTCAGTGGTAACAGTTCACGCAAAAGGTCTGAAACCCCTGGAGTCTTGTCTACTTCACAGTATAGACCCAGGACCCATCTTTAGTACATTTAGGGAAGTCTCTTTTTAACTGCTTGTTTACCATATATTTACAGTATCTGATGCTATTGCTGTTGTGTGTTCCCACCTTAGAAGAAGTCACAATGCAGCCGTGGGGTGTCCTGACCCACCAGTTGACGACCAGTGCCCAGATTGTTGAGCAATCAGAGCTGAGGAGAGGAAGAGGGTTTTACTGCAAAGCTCCTTCCCATGCAAATTGTGCAACATAGTTCAAAAGAAGCAGCTTAGAAACAGGAAGGGGCTATGCCCTGAGAGTGTAAACAGATTTGTTGCAGGTTACAGTCCTGGCTGAATCCTTGAATGCTTGAATGCTTTGAGTCTTCAGGAAAACTTGCCCTTCCCAAAGAGCTTCAGTGTCAGAAAGAATTGTGTAATAAGTGCCATTTATATAACTCATACTATGATGTGCAAATGCTTTGGAAGATTGTTTTGTATTCACAGCAGTCCTGAGAGCTAGGTGGTTGCAAATAGAAATACAGTATGCAGATAATGGCATATTTTGCAGGCAGCAGAACTGAGGCCGAGAGACTTGCCTATTATAGTCCAGTGTATCTGTTGATTCTTTCACTGAATAGGGGTTTGCGCCCCTGCCTAAATGCTGCAGGAGCCTACAGATGTTGTCTAGACTCAGAAAAAGAGGGGAGAGGTTTCTTGAGTGCCTTCAGCTTAGAAAATGGCAGAAGCACTTCTACTGAGTTATTCCCTCCCCCAACTCAGGGTTTGCTACAGTAGTAAGCATAGGCCTTGGCAGCTGTGTGGGCTTGTTGAGAGGTTAGTTTGTCAGGACTTGGCGTTTCATGATCATCTTGCATTCATCATTTTTCTCTGAAATGTTTCTAGGAATTCTGCCTGTCTGCCGCAGCTCTTGTGCTCTGCTCTGCTGCCAGGTAGATGGATTCAGGGTTTAGACTGAACTTCCAGGAGGTGACTGAAAGGTCTCCCAGGCTGCCAGAAGCATCTGTAACCTTGCATGAGTGTCTGAAGGGAATATGTCTCGATAGACGAATGTAGTCAGCCTCTCCTTAACTTGACATGTTACTTTGATCAGTACGGTTCTTGGCATGATGCATCTATCCTTCTTTACTTGGAGTATGTTTTATGCCCCATTTTCCTGTCCCAGTTTGTTGTATGCCCATGTCTTCCAGCTGCCACAGTCTCTTTCCAGGCCCACATGCGGTTGATTAGTAAATGAAGAGGAGCAGCTAAAGGCAAGGGGTTCTCAGACAGATTTATTTAAGCTACTTGCCTCCCTCCCCTTTCTCCAAGTAGCCTGCAGCTGGCATTTTAGGAACTCTATGTGGTAGGTTGGGCCAAGGGATAGTGACTTGTTGAAATCATCTGAGTGAAGTTTGAACCCGAGGTTTCCACACTGAAACCCCTGACTACACCTGGGTGGCCTAAACAGAGCTATTGTGTGCCCCTGCTTTCCCCCAGCCGTACTGTGATGTCAGATCCTGCCTGGCTCTGTTAGTGATGCTGTCCCTGGTGACTTCATCCTGTTAAGAGGTTGTGTGCCTCTGCAATATACTTGACCTTCTTTACTCTTTCATTAGTAGAAACCCCATACCTATTGTCTGATGATTGCCTAGATTAAGGTTATCAGATTTTTTTCAATGAATCTGGGGACACTTTTCAACTCCAATGGATTTTGTATGGGGACTGATTTGTAAATCCAGGGCCTGTCCCCAGGAAACGGGGACGTCTGGTAACCTTAGCCTAGATGCCTCTTTGAGAATCCTTGGGTGAATGACATCATGCCCACCCTGCTAACTTAATGTAGTATACTGAATGAGGGTCAGTAAATGGAGACTCAGTCCACACTGTAGTCCAGCAACATCTGGAGGCCAATGGGGTCATTAGCCAACCCTGCTCTAAAGAATTAGGTTTGTAGTTTGGGGGTGCTCTTGGACCTAGTACTGTTGCTGGATACATAGGTGGCCTTCTTTCATCGTCTTAGGGCTGTGGTTGATAGATCAGCTTGATAGAAACGGCGTTGCCGCCATTGCCCGCATTCTGTCATCACCGTTTTGGAATACTGCAATGCGTCATGTGTGCGGCTGCCTTTAAAAAACCCTCCAGATGTTTCAGTTGGTTCAAAATAGGCATCATGATGGTTAATATTATGCTCTGTCACCTGCACTGGCTGCCATTCCTCGACCCATTTCATAATGCTGGTATTAAAGTCAAAAACAGGTTGTGGCCAAGGAGTGCCAGCCTCCGCCCATATATGCCCACGTGTACCATAATATCGTCTTCTGAGGCCCTTTTCTGGATGATTCTGTCGGATGAAAACCTTTCTTAATTTCCCCAAGCTTTTTAGTCCTTCAGTTTTAAAAATAGATTGCCTTTTTTAAAAAAGATGTTTGCAATACTGTTGGTTTTGCTTTGGCTTTGGCTTTATTCTGTGGCTGTTTTCACATGGTTTTATCCTTGTATTTTATGGTTCTAAACTGGGTGGCTAACCCATGACCCTTGATATATTGGTGGACTATCATTTCCATCATCCCTGATCATTGACCATGCTGATGGGAGCTGTATACTGACAGCATTTGGAGGGGCCACTGTTTAACTGGGAGGGCTCCTAGTACATTTCCGAGCACAATTCAAAGTGTTGTTGAATTTAAAGTGACCTTTAAAGCCCTAAACGGCCTCTGTCCAGTATACCTGAAGGAGCGTCTCCACCCCCATCGTTCTGGCCGGACGCTGAGGTCCAGCACTGAGGGCCTTCTGGCGGTTCCCTCGCTGCAAGAAGCCAAGCTACAGGGAACCAGGCAGAGGGCCTTCTCGGTAGTGGCGCCCGCCCTGTGGAACGCCCTCCCATCAGATGTCAAAGAGATAAACAACTACCTGACATTCAGAAGACATCTTAAGGCTTCTTAAGGTTCAGGGAAGATTTTAATGTATGACATATTAGTGTATTTTTGGTCTCTGTGGAAGCCGCCCAGAGTGGCTGGGGAACAAATAATAAATTATTATTATTATTATTAACCTGTTTTGTGAACCACCCTGAGAGTGCCTGCTATTTGGCAATGTAGAAATGGAGTTAGCAAATACATAAAGGCTTTGTTTACAGGTCACTTGTGAAACCTTTGTTACACCAGTGTTCCTGTTTAAGGCAGAGTGTGTGGCGATGTGTATATTTGGTGCCAAGGAGGATTTTGACTTATTGCTCTAGTTTCTCTCTTTAATGAATTCCTGGCCAATACAGTCAGGGGAATTCATACTGGTCTTTAAATTGAGCGGAAAGTGGTTTTGTGAATATTCAGCCCCTCTGCACAGAGTTATTTATTTGTATTTGTCCTGCAGGTGTTGTGCCTTCATTTTACTTCAGCCTACAGACCACTTGGTTTGGAGCAACTGCTTTGAGGTATTTTCTGTTATGCTGTTACCTACTTAGGAGAAATGGCTCCTTGCACAGGAGGCAGATGGAGCCCTCCATTCCTAACAGGAAAAGAAAAATCAGGTTTCTGTTCTGGGAGTTGTAGAACATTAGGGAGACAATGATGGAGAGCTAACTGAATCTAGATCCCATTTGAGATTCCCTTTATGGTGGTGGCAAAAAGATATCAGTCTTTTATGTTACGGGTATATTAGTGGAATCTCATCCAGCAGAGCTGTTGCGTGGTGCCTTCAGGGTTAGCAGTGACCCTGGGCAGGCAGAGTTTACAATGCTTGCATGGTCTAAGCTATTTATTTTCTATCTGTGCTTGAAGAAGAGACCTGTAAATTGACCAGCAACAATACTGGGCCAGAGGGAGATGCCTGCTGAAGTTGCTCAGACTAAAGCAGTGTTTTTCAGTGTTGAGTCCCAAAATGTCAGACTACAACTTGCATTACCCCCAGGCAGCCTCACCAGTAGTCGGGGATGAGGGCAGTTGTAGACTTAACAATGCCTTAGAGGTTTTCTTACAATCAAGTGGTATATAAATCCCAAGAGTAGGAAATATCTCCCAAGGAAGGGGGTATGGCTGAGGAAAATGCAGAGTTCAGGTATGTTTGCTTTTTATTTAAATTTTTTTAAGTGATGTAAAAAGCATCACACACCTCTCATATCTCTGCACAAGTGCCAGCAGACATTGATGAGTCTGAAGGAAGGCAGGCTAAAGGAATCCAAGATGGAAGCAGTTGGCTGGGTGCTGAATTATTTTGGTCCCTTCCGTCCAGCATTCGTGTATAACTGCACCTGTACTTAGCCTTGTATGTGACTTATGAGACAAACTGGTGAAAGAGGCAGTGAAATGATGATCTATGGCTTTTCATGCCTCCCCCCCCCCCTTTATTGGCTGAGATTTATAGGTAGCAGTCATTCCAACATCTGGACTCCACCATCCTAGCTTGTAGGTGCTGTTACTGACAGCCACTTCCTGTGTTGATGCGAAAGTATAATTGCTCTGTTTTTCTCTAATTAGGGTTATGAAGCACCATGTGGTGTTTTGAGTGAGAATAAACGGGAAAAACCAGGCTCTTGTTTCCCGAGCCGCCTGCCACCTCCTCCTCATGAGGACTTGGAAAGACAGGTCTGTTAAATGCAGGGCACAATTGTGCTTCCAAGGCCAAAGCCTTGTTTATTAAAAGCCCCATAAAGGGATCATTCAGTGATGTTCTTTTGGTTGTTATCCTTCACCTGGTTTTGCGTTAGGGCAGAAAATATAGTGATGTTTGTGCATTAGCATTGCTGTGATATGAAAATAGCATAAAATAGTGACGGAGTAAAAGGAGCTCCTTGGAAGAAAAGATTGTATATCAGTCTGGTACATTAAATAGATTATTGCCTAGACTCACAGTAGTGGTTTGCAAACCTGCCCTCAAATTCTGAGTAGTGGGATTTTATCCATGTGCACAAACTCATCAGGCTCAGATTGGAAACTGCTAAATATGTATGTAGTAAGCAATAGAATTGTCTGAACCTCTTGTAGGTAGGTATCTTACAGCACAGTCCTGTTCACATTCACTCAGAAATAAGTCTCACGGTGTTCACTGGGGTTTCATCCTAAAGAAGTGTGTCTTTGGATTGCAGCTGAAGTGTAGGGTGGTCTATGCAGATCACTTTTCTTCTTTGAGGATGGTCTGTATCTGAATGAATGGGAGGATAAACACACTTGAGATGGGTCTCTTTAAGTTGGCAAGAAATTAAGGAAGGTGGATAAAAGAGGCATCTCTGTTATCAGATGTTCTGCACTTGACTAGATGACTCCCAGCTGTATGTTTGGTGACTGTAAGTAAACTGTACCTGTTGAGACTGATTGCCTGAGGACAGCAGGCTTGCCTAGCCTGAATGTATTTGGCCGATTTGAAGGCACAACTATTTTTGGACAGTGTTGTACAGTCTTTCTCACCTCATTTGCAGCTTACAAAATCACCTTCAGGTCCCTGAGTTGTGTGGTGGGCTGAGGACATGGTCCTCCGCATGTTTGAAAGGAATGCTTCTCGGGTTCTTGCTCTGGAACACTTTACGATTGGACCGCGTTGAGCTTGCAGAGTGGCTGGGTCTGAACCAAGTATGCTGGCCTTGGGCCATGGTTGCTTACATAGAGAGGAGAACTGTATTCTAAGTCATTTCCATCCTGCTCTTTTTCTCACTAGAGGTGGCACCCCCTTCATTTTGTATTTTTACTTAGGAATGCAATGATTATTTGCTTCTTGAGCAAATAAATTTTTTTAAGGTGTAGAAAAATGGGGGAAAAATTGAATTGGGAACTGTTTAGAAGAGAAGAAGAAGAAGAATTTGGATTTGATATCCCACTTTATCACTACCCTAAGGAGTCTCAAAGTGGCTAACAATCTCCTTTCCCTTCCTCTCCCACAACAAACAGCTGCATGTGGAGGAGCGGGGACGCAAACCCTGTTCACCAGATTACAAGTCCACTGCTCTTAACCACTACACCACACTGGGAAGTTTTTTAATGTTTAATGTTGTATTGTGTTTTTAATATTCGGTTTTTTAATATTCGGTTGGGAGTCCGTCCAGAGTGGAAACCCAGCCAGCTGGACGGGATATAAATAATAAATTATTAGTAGTAGTATTAGTAGCATTAGTATGTAGGCAAGGAAGAATGGAAGTATAAATGACATAAGCTACGTAGAACTCAAGCATGACACAGGGATTGAGTGAATCTTCTGCAATTCTAGAAAACCTCTGAAGTTCTGGTTTTCCTTTTACTCACAGTGTACAAACGGTCACTTGATGTGTGCTGGGTGCTTCATCCACCTGCTGGCAGATGCCCGGCTGAAAGAGGAGCAAGCCACTTGCCCAAATTGTCGCTGTGAGATCAGCAAGAGCCTCTGCTGCCGAAATCTTGCCGTAGAGAAAGCAGTGAGCGAGCTGCCGTCGGAGTGTGGTTTCTGCATGCGTCAGTTTCCTCGCTCTCTTTTGGAGAGGCATCAGAAAGAAGAATGCCAGGACAGGTAAAGGGCTCTTCTTGCCATTTGCCGAAGAGTTACTGTTGAATCCAAGGCAGTTTGCTACGATGGGATGGGCAGGAATGGTGCCGACAGGAAAAAGGGGCACTCCATCTAGTCATCAGCGAAATTGGGGTTCTGTGCTTAATATGTATTGTACAAGTCATCTTTTGCAGGAATGCTCTTGGTTTTTTGTGTGTGTGTGTGTGTGTGTGTGTGCGCACGCGCTACCCATTATACGGTTCCATAGAAAACTGTAGGGAGATAGTGATGATGAATATTATGAGCATTTATGTTGCTTACTACATAAAATGCCTCAAAGCAATTTACAGTTATAAATGCATGCAAAATACCAAAAAAAATAAAATAAGATCGAAAAGATTAAATAACATTAAAGATTAAAAGTGTTCATACTTCAGTAACACCAAAAGGGTGACTCCAGCCCTGCCCAACTGTAAGATGAAAGCCAATACAAGGCTTAGGGTATCATCATACCGGAGGGCCCCAATTAAAAGCCAAATGCCAGGGTAAATAGGCAATGTCTTTGTTCATGACGGTTTCTCCAGTTTTGAAATGGACCCACAGGTACAAAAAGGTTGGCAGCCCATGATTCAGGGTGCCAGAGCAGGTGGTATAAAGACCAGTGGCCTTGGCCACGGGGGCGAGAGGAATGGTCATGTAATGAGATGACTTAAAATGTCTGGTCTTGTTCTTCAGTGATGAAACATTTTATTTGTGTCATATCAACAAGCCCCATCCTGGCGATGAAGGCACAGCTTTACTGTTCTGATACCTGTTACTAACATCTGTGCTGGGAAGCTGTGGTCAGTGCAGCAGCCCTGAGGGAGAGAAAGGGGTCCGGTAGTTTGTGAATCTTTCATATCAAGGGTTGGAATTCCAGGGTCCTTTCCTTTGTGTGTCATTTTTTGGGACTACTTTTTGCCGCAAGCATTGCTGCACAGTGTGCCACCCCACCTCCATCCGCCCTGGCATCCTACTCGAAACAGCTGCTCATTTGAGTTTTGCCCTCCTTTCCGCCTGCAGAGTTACTCGGTGCAAGTACAAGCGGATTGGGTGCCCCTGGCAAGGCCCTTTCCACGAGCTGACCGTACACGAGGCAGAGTGCACACACCCAACAAAGACGGGGAATGAGCTGATGGAGATTCTGGATGAAATGGACCAAACGCATAAAAAGGAGATGCAGCTGTACAACAGCATATTTGGCCTGCTCAGCTTTGAGAAGATTGGCTATACAGGTAATTGCTGGGATTTGATCAGGCTATAGATGAAAAGAGCTTTTGTGATTGATGCTGGGTTGCTTATTCCTTGCTTCCCCCCCCCCCCTTGGTACATTAGTGCCATTTGTCTATTGATAGTCGTATTTCTCTTATGCAACAGTTATTAATTTGTTTTCATTAAATAAACATGCAGCAACTGTTCCTCTAGAGCAGAAGAGCGAGACTTTGCTGATCAGACAGGGCTACAGCACAAAATGTCTGCCCCAGGAAACCTCCTTGTCCACTTGAGAGTTCAGGTTTAAGGGTGAACCTCTGTGTGTGTGTGTGAAATGTTTTACATGATGCTGAGGGCCTGGGAAGAAAAGTGACCGGGTGTGTGTGTGTCACAAGCTGCACGGTCTGTGCACAGCTTCTGGTCCCTGAGCCACGCGCTCAGAGGCTATCTTCTTGAGCAGAATTGACTGCTTCTTTGGCATTCTTCTTTGCTGATTATTCCACTGTGCAGCATTGATGTCGCGTGGAAGAAGGACCTTTCATAGCTGCAGGTAAGGCGTTGTAGTTGCATTTGTGCCAGGCCTCAGACTAAGGCCTAAGACCAGTGTTGGTTCTGCTGCTTTGTACGGGGTTGGGGATAGTGGGCGGGGGGGACGGGACAGTGTTTTAATATTGAGTGCCCTTTGTCAGTCATCTAGTTTGGTTGGGAATCTGGTGTATTAATATCTGGTGTATTTAATATCTGGTGTATTACAACTTAGGTTGTAAACTCTACATGAAATCTGTTCTTTGCGAAATGAAGTATTATTGCACCTTCCAGCTTAAGTTTTGATTACTATTCAGAGAGTTGGTTGTTCATGTGGTTGCTATACATATTTTGAAAACTTTGGGAGTTTTCCATCCAACCCCTTTTCCAAAGAGGTTGAAACATTGTCATCCTTTCCTGATGTGGAGCCCTTTCCTGGTTTTCTTGACCTAGCAGCAAAGTGTTTTCCCCCTTAAGTGGGGGAACCATAAAGGTAAATCTTCAAGGTTAGGGAGGAGGCTGTCATTTTATCCTGATAGAACTAAACTGCTTTTCCAGGTAAGCCTCTGACTCCGTTGGTATGACTCCTGAAGTAGGCTTGGCAACATGTTCAGCATAATGTGTGGGGAAATCACTGTTTACTGATTGGGGGTGGGAAAATAGATACTGAAACCTCCTTTGTTTTGCTGTAAATGTTCACCTTTCCTGCAGAGAGGACCTGAATGAGTTTACCCTGTTGTCTCCAGTCCTGAGAAGTAGTGGATTTTCTCTGTTGCCCCAGGAAGTGCTGCAACCTGCAAAGAGGATTTTGCTTGTCTTGGCTAAGTTAGAAAAGGTGCTTGGAGCTTGAAAAAGCAAAGCGACAATAAGAGTCCTGGTGAACTTGGGACGTGGAGCAAGGTGGCCAGATGCCTCCCTCCTGAGAAGTTCCTTGTTGTCCGGGCAAAGCAGCCGGAATTGGGGGTGGCAAACAGTTCAGTTGGACACCCTGGTGGTGCCAGATCTGAGAACCGCAAGGAAACGGCTCTACTGAAGAGCTAGGCAGTGCCTGCATGGCAGTGCTGAGGGCAAGGGTGATGGGTTCAACCTGCACAGGTTGAGAGCTGGCTGCTGAGGGTAGCGCTCACCTGCCCAGTGTCCTTGAACGCTGCGCAGCCTCTGCCCATGAGAGAAGAGGGGTGGAGATCTTCCTCTGCTTTAGAAAAGAGGCGGCCTCTGTCCAGAGAGGCTGTCGCTGCTTGACACGGAGAGATCAAAAGTGCTGAGTCGGGCTGATTGTGTGGCTTGAATAACTCCATCACCTCCTTTGTCCAGGTGTTGCTGCCGTTCCCCGGAAACACCGAAGAATGCAAAAATGTACACAGAGGTTCCCTGTCCCTGAGTTTCTGTGAGATTCCATGGGTTTTGTACACCAAAGACTTTTAAAACACTGAGCCAACAATCTTGATATACTTGAACAAAACACAGCACTTCGTTGCACTGTGGACTCTGCTGGAGAAGGGTTTTAAGAGACTGACACTGGACTTGTGCTAAATTGGATAGAGCTTTCAATGATTCAGTGTACTGTTCTCTGTCTTTCATGTATCTAACCCCAGGATTTTCTGCACTGTGTGAAAACCTGAAGGCTTTCTTCTTCATCCACCCCACTCCCTGTTTCTTGGTTTGCATTGTGGTGATACCTAACTGTGCCATCTACAGATCTGTATCGTTAATGCCAATAAAATAAAGGTGCTGTGTTACATGAACTGCATTGTCTGACTTGGTTTTTATGCACCCGTATGTTGTTATGGACACTCATAATGAATCTGGAACCAGCGGCCTTTCCCCTACAATTCTGAATGGCACTTGAGTTGGCTTCGCTGCCTGTCAGTGGCCCAAGAATTCTTAATCGGGTACTTGAAGAGGCCTCCAGTGTGGTGCTGCAAAGGGTCTGGCCTTAGACCTAAAGTCTGAATTTTAGAGCTGTGATGTGATTGTGCGCCACAAGCCGCTGCTGGTGGCCTCTTGAGGAAATGCTCCTTATTCAGTGGGGCAGCATCATGCAAAGAATGGAGGGCAAGACCAGAAGACTTGAAGATGCTTCGGTGATAGCACCTTCCATGTCCTGCGATAAACGAACGTGGAGCAGAAATCCTCTTGCTTCCAGATGCCTCCCATCCTGGAGTGGTGATTTTTGGATTGGTTACTCCTGACGCTCCCGCAGGGTTCCTTCAGGCAGTGTGGCTCCAGACAGACAGCTTCGTAGTAACAGTGGTTGCATTGTTCACATTTGAGCTTCCTTGCCACTTCTCTTCCTCCCTCCCCCCTCCCCCCCCACAAACTTAAGCAATGATGAAACTGTGTAGTGGTTTTTAAGTGTTAAAATGCATTGATGTTTTATCTCATTTTCTCCTCTTCCCTACTCCCTTCCCTCCAAGAAGCCAAGTTGCTTCTCCCCCTAACTAGCTCTGAATGGCTACTCTCACCCTTGTTGTCTCCTTACGTCCTGGCAAAGAAGGCCCCTCACAGTAGCTACAGGTAACTTGAGCTTTGTTTTTTTCTGCTGCCAGCTTCTCTGGTTTAACTGTGTGTCTCCTTTCTTCCACACACCCCCAACCCCCTTCTTCTCGCTCTCTTGCAGAGGTTCAGTTCCGTCCTTACCGAACAGATGACTTCATCACCCGCCTCTACTACGAGACTCCGCGGTTCACGGTGCTGAACCAGACCTGGGTATTGAAGGCTCGAGTTAACGACTCGGAACGAAACCCTAACTTGTCGTGCAAGCGGACTCTCTCCTTCCAGCTCATTCTCAAGAGCAAGATCAACTCCCCCATGGAGTGCTCGTTCCTGCTGCTCAAAGGACCTTACGATGACGTGAAAATCAACCCTGTGATCTATCACTTTGTCTTTACCAACGAGAACAACGAAACGGACTACGTGCCGCTCCCCATCATAGACTCTGTGGAATGTAACAAATTGCTGGCAGCCAAGAACATCAACCTGCGTCTCTTTATATTCCAGATACAGAAGTAAGCGTAAAGCAAAGCTTGGCTTTTCCAGGAGTGACCGAGAGAGAGAATGAGAGGGCGAGAGAGAAAAAGCGTGCACCACTGAACCAGAGTTACCTCGAACGGCTGCCTCGACCCCTTTATGATTCCACAGTTATTTGATTATTTTAAAGAGAACATTTTGCATGTGTGGTATACAACAGCTTTGACCGGCCGCTGCCTTCCTCGTCTCTCTCTCCATCTCTGCCAGGAATAGGCGACTGGGGAACCGGCTCGGTGCAGGGTACTGACGAGGCTTGAGAGCATCAAGCTGGCAACCACCAATCAATACATTGTGAAAAGGCTGCATCTGTGTCATGATTGTGTGTGATCTCCACAATGTAGTGTCAGGGCGGTTGGGTGGCGGTGTTAAGGTCCTTCACTGTGTCCTTCTGACCTGGTGGGGAGACATTCTGGCTTGAATAATAGTAGCAAGAACTGGGTAGAATCTGGAAGTGGTGGGTTCTGTCTTAGATTTACTGGAATAAAACAAATGGGAGATTCTCAGATAACCAAGTCATCTTCAGAGACCCCCACCCTACCCAGGCAAGGGGCTTTTTGCCAGGCTCCTTCTAACTGGGCTAAAATGCCACATTCTAACAAGTTCTGTAGAGAGGGGAGATAATAGCATATTGGGTGCTTTGTGGCATGAATGAGTAGCCGGCTCACCAATCTTCCATTTGTGTATCAGTAGTTCAAATCATCTCCCCCCCCCAGCTTTTTCCGTACGGTTGAGCTGCCTGCTGGTGAAGAAGCATTTGAAATGAAGTCAGGATTAATAGAAGGTTAATGATGACAGATGGAAAAGTTGCTGGCTCTTCCTTTCCGGCAGGAAGTAGCATCCTCAACATGGCTTGAATTGCGCTTCGCGAGGAGAGAATCCAGAGAGGTCCCGGCGTTGCCCTGTTCCTTCTGTTCCACCCCAGTCCCCCCCACCATCAGGCTTGAGATCTTGACAGACTAGATAGGAACCTACATAGAACTGACCCAAATCAGTGCAGACTTCTCGGAATGCAGGGTGATTTATTCTGTCTGTTTTGGGAACTTTCCCAATACTTTGAAAAAAAATCTTTCTTTCTTTCTTGTGCAAATGAGTTAACAGGCTCTTCTAGTAATTATGCAATTTTACAATGTGATTTTATGTATGTAATATATATATATATAGATATATGGATGAGGATAGCGTGGCCGTTCACCAAATTTCAACGAGATCTACAGGGATATTTTGCTTGATGCTCTTAAACATATTTTTAACTGGGGTGGGGGGAATTGGTGGTGGATGAAGACTGTATCATGAGGAACTAATAGGTTACGTTGCACATCCAAGATGATTTTCTTCCCTCTCCTTTTGACTCCTTCCCCCTCATCCTCATGCCATTTTTTATTTAAAGGAAGCTACTTTTGGTGGCAATGTATGCTTTATATGGACTAATTGGATCAGGTATGTTTTTTAAAACGTGAGAATTTGCTGCAGGTGCTGTCCTCCTTGGGACTTACTGCTGTTAAAAGGGTAGCAAAGCAGTCCCCGTCCCCACCAGTTTTAATGTCCTCCTTTTTCCCTTCAGCCTCCTGGTCACAGTGGTGGCAGGTGGTAGTCAAAGAAGCGTTTTTAGAAATGTGGGGAATTAGTCTGCGATGTCCCAGGAGTAGGCTGGTCTGTTGTCACTGTGACCCACCAAGCTATGCGCGGCCCACCAGCTGCACACTGTGCCATGCCAGGTATGTAGACACCCGTCTTGTGTTTGTCCTGGCAGGGCAGCAAAAGCTCCTGGTGACTGCCTGGGCCACATTCATTTTAGCAGGCCACATGCTCTTGGGAGTCCCAGAGTAGGAGAATGTCATAGCATGTGTTTAGAAAAAGTAAAGTGCCCAAGGATAACGAGAGCTGAAGGTTGGCAAGCTGTTTAGCAGGATGTTCCAGCTGATGGCATGTTAAACTGTTCAGGAAAGGAGTTGCCCCATATTATATTAGTCCTGTCTGATGGGAATGTGAAGGCAGAACTTCTTTCCTGAACAGCATGGGTGGGATACATGGAATATCTGAAAAAGTTGTGAGCTTCAGAGGAAGAGCTTTTCAGACATGCATACAGCTGTGGCTTGTTTGTTCGTTTTAGCTGGTGATTAGGAATTATTGACCAACTAGGCAGGGTTTTGTTTTTGTTTTACCAGTTGAGGGTTGCCAAAGCCAAAATTATGTCTCTCTTGCCCTAAGGTGTTTTAATTGCAAGGACTCTGAACCAGGAACTAGTTCTTAAGAGCTCCACAAAGCAGGCTGCATGCTAAAGCCCCCCTTCCAGGCAACTTCTTGTAATGGGCGCTTTTGAGAATTGGCAGCCTGGAAGATCGGCCTTTGAAATGGTCTGTGAAGGGCAGCACACTTGCTCAAAACACTTGGTACAAGAATGCCCCTTAGATGCCTGTGTGTGCATGCAACTGTCTTCCTTGTATTTGGGAATGCAAACCAGCACTGAGCACTTTCTCAGGTATTTGGAACGAAGAGGCTGTCTCTGGGCTCAAGTGCAGAACATGTGGATTGAGGAAGCTTGCAGCTTGTCCTGACGTGGATGGCAGGGAACTAAAGCTCATGGATCCTTTTATTGTGGAGCAGATTTCAAGACTGCGGCCTCTAAATAATAGCCAGAATTTGCACATCACTTAATCCTTAAACTGGAGCAGGTCTAGACTTGAAATAGTTCTTCCCTACTTTACTCGTGTGCTGTGGTTGCTCTGGAAATAAATGCACACACCAAAAGTTTTACTTGTAAAAGGAGCTTATGTATACACTAATGCAGAGGTTAGAAATCTGCTCGTCATGCTTCCAGGGACTGGCTTCAGCATTAACCTTAACTTATGAGTAGAAGTGATATACTAGGAAACTGCAGAAGAAGGAATGCTTTCAATGGGCCTGCCTTTCCTGCAGCCCGTCTCTGGAAGGCCGTAGGAAAGCTCAGACCTCATCCTCACGTAGATTGAAAAGGCAACATCAGTTCCCACAAAGGCTAGCAATGGAAAATAAAAGTGCTGATGATGCCTATGTCCAGAGCTTCCCAGACCCTGATGTTTGGCATGCGGTCATGTAACTTGGATGCAAGAGCATCTTTGGGAGTAGCTCTTACCGGTCGGATGTTGGAAGAGCTACCGTGGTAGTTAGGAGGAAGGTGTTCTTAGCAGGACTTCAGACCCCTCTGGTAAGAAATGAAACACAATCCTGGGGATGGGAAGAGAAGGAAGATGAGATTGTGAACCATCTTGTCCAATAGGCAGTACTGTACCTCTCTCTGGAGGAACACCAGTGGAAAGAGGGGTTTGCTTGGCATCCCACTTGGGTGTGGGAAGCGAAATGGGCTTGATCCTTGAGATTCAGAACATGGCAGACCGAGTGGAGCCTCTTCCACTCCCTCCCTTTGGATCCTACCAGAGAACACCTGTCCATATTTTCAGAATGCACTTGAGAGATTGAGGATTGGGCAGTCCTCCCATAGGATGGTATTCAGATTTGTTTTACTTGGAGCAGACCTGTTTAAATTCATGGGTCTAACCTAGTTATGTTCTTTAATTTCAGTGGGTCTCTTCTAAAACTTAGTTGAATGCTACCCATGGAGTCTTCCATGTGTGGACTTTTTCTACTGGGTCATCTGTATGTCTCCTGTTGCTGCTTTTTTTTTAAAAAAAGAGACCTTTTGCTCTAGTTAGGACTAGAGGAGACAGAGTTGGCTACTGACGACTGGAGCGGAGGTCTAGAGGAATTTGTGATGTAGTAACTTTGAATGAAGTGCAGTTGAATTGTGCTGCAAACCAGCTGTAGCCTGGTGGTTGTACCTCTCAGCTCCTTTCCAGAGTTGAGGTATCTTGGGTGTGAGTTCTCCCATCCAGACGCTTCAATACATTTGGCATCTGCCTCCTAAAAAGAGACCAGCTGCCACATTCTTCCTTCCCCAGCAGGTTCCTCTGCTAAGACATTTAGTGGCTGATCATCTCAGTCTAGCCAGTGGCAAAGAGCTAACTTCGAAGTTACCCATTGGGAGCGGTTCATGGGTAGACATCATTTCCCTTTATCCTGTATAATTGAAGGTAGTTCTTCCCCCTCCCAACGGTTATTGCAAGAATCTATTATCTATTGCCAAGCTTCTGACTTCTCCAGTATTTCTGGGAGGGAGGGGGCAATGTGTCGGAACAGCAGTGGACAGAAGGGACCCTCCTAGTTTCTTGAGAAGCTGTTGTTTAGGCATGATCGCATCATGGCAGTGGTTAATTCTCCCTGAGAGCCAAGTGAGGGATGGAAGTGGCTGCAGGGCTCTCCCTCCCCTGAAATGAAGAGAGCAACTGTGGCCACCCCAAGAGTCTGTATGTAATGAAGGACAAGCACTTTGAAAGTGGAAGATGAGCAAGTCTTCCCAGGGCTTGATATGAGAAGCATGTTAAGGCTTTCTGATCTGCTGGGAACCATTTGTGTGATTGGGGTCCTCCTTGGGGATACCTCTCTGCCAGGCTTGCCACTGCCAGCATTTTTGCTTCCCTGCTTTCATTCTCATCCTCCCTGCCTCACCACCACCACCTCCTCCTCCTCCTCCTCCCGGGTTGCCCTGTCCTCACTACGGGACTCTGTCCAACTTCTACTTGGTAGCTGAGCCTTATCTGTCTAGTTCTGTGCTAGACGCCTAAAGATTGTAGCATGCTTATCCATGCCAGGGCCTGAAGGACTGGCAGACCACAAACCTCCTTACAGTATTCACTGTGGGTAATTTATTTAACTAGCGAATGTAGAATTAAAATAATTTAAAAGAAAACTAATGGTTTGTTTGCAAGATGGTATGTCCGTTGTACTTGGCCTGATTTTTCATTATTTGTGTTCCTGTTGATCTTTTCTTCTTCTTTTTTGTGGAGAAAAAGAGAGAGAGAGAAAGAGGGGTTCTCTGTTGGACCTTGGAATCCAGCTGGAAGCTCCGGCTTGAAACCAGAAGAAGGTGGGAAGGGCAGTGTCAGTCTCCAGGCGCTTGTATAACGGAAGGCTGCCACTTCTGTCATCACCCCCTCCATCTCTCCACCCTGCGGGCTGGCCAAGGAGATGTGGGGCAGGGGGCTGCAGCTGCTCCAGTGTAACAGCTTTGGGGGCACCTGGCCATAAGCTTCCGCCGCTACCGCCCGTCCCACCTTGTGTCTTCCCCATTTTTGCGAGCACTACACATGATACCGAAATGGCTTTTAAAAAAATGAGGGATAGTTTTAAATGTTGTTGGGGATGATTTCTTTTGTTCCTTTATCTGGTCTGCGTTTGTTTGAAGTTTCTGTATGTAATGTAGTTTAACGAAACAAAAAAAAAAAAAGTATTGCCAACCCATGGCTGTCTGCGTATGTGTGTGTGCTTGACCCAAGCGTGGCTTCTTTACCAAGGCGGAACCGAACTCGGGACTGGGGTGAGCGCGGTCCCTTCCAAAGCGGCCTGTGCTGATTGCATGCGACATGCAGCTCATAATCCCGAAGCTGAAACACCATCGGGAAAAGCTCTCGCTATCTGGAAATAGTTTTTCTGAACTCCTGCTCACTGAAAAGGCTGGCGATGTAAGCAGAATGTTAGACCACAGTTGTCCACACCAAGTGGGCAGCAGTTTCTGCAGCAATTCCCCCTGAGACCTGTTTCCCCACCCCAAACGCTTCACCTTCAGCACCTCAATACTTCGTCTCAAGTATTTCAGCACAAAAGTAGCCAGCATCCTTTTACCCTCTTTTCATTCGCAGCATAAAAATTTTTACAAGGAAGGGTTGTGTGCTATGCCAAATGTCCTGCTTCTGCCCTCTATAATGGAGGATGCCTTCATGTAGAGAGGGATGCAGTAGTCTAGTCAGGAAGTTGCAAACCCGCTGCAGCAAGAGAGGTGGTCTGCCAGGCATAAGGCAAACTCGGCCCTCCAGATGTTTTGGGACTACAATTCCCATCATCCCTGACGACGGGTCCTGTTAGGTAGGGATGATGGGAGTTGTAGTCCTGAAACACCTGGAGGGCCGAGTTTGCCTATGCATGGGCAAGGAGGTGTTGGCTGGCCGTGCCCATGGCTGGCATGCAACCCACTGTCCATGTGAGTTCTCCTGTAGTATTGATCTTGCTATGGTCCCAGGACTTTGGCTTGGGTTGCATCAACGCTCTTCCACTTGTGATCAGGTCTGAAATTCCACTGTATGTGGCCACTTAGGAAAAACCGTCCCTGTGCAGCCTGCTGGGCAACTGTCCAGGCTGAAATAATAAATTAATCGTGTGCTCTAGCTCAAGAGATGCAGTTAGCTGCTTTGCCAAACTTTATGGAGCAACAGGTTGTTTTAACTTTATTGGAAGGCGGTCACCCTGTTCAAAGCGACAGACTATTTATTTATTAAATTCATATACCGCCCTTCATCCGCAGATCTTGGAGTGGTTCACAACATAAAAAGACAATACAAAAGCACAAAATACGTGATGATAACAAGAACAAAAAACAAGGCCCATCCCCCAGACTACTCCTGGGCACTGTAAATAGACTGCAAATGACACTCCTTCCTTTTTATCTTCAGTAGTTGAGTTGTTCCAGTCACCAACTGGCTGGATTGTTTGGAGCAAAGATTTCAAAGAGGGAGAAACGAGCAAGGCAAGAAGGATAACCTTTTGAGAAGGTGCTTTGCTGCAGAAGTTTTGTCCTGGCCAACATCGCACCAGGAGTTCAGAGTGTTGGAACATTGAGGGTGAATAAGAATTGTTATTTTTTATTATATAATATTAATTATTATTATATATGCATTCCTCTGCATATGCACACGTCCCCAGACGGATGCACTTGATCTCCTGCTGACAAGATCTTGCACATACCATATTGTAACATTCAACACGAGTTTCACTGGGACGAATGCTTAGAGCTGCTATACCAGCTCTTCAGCACATGAAGATTGAGTCTGCTCACTCCTGGACTCGCAGTGACACTATCCTGGACCTTCTGCCCAATATCTGTTTTAACTAGAGATGCCAGGAGCTGACCTTGGGCTCATCAGCATGCCCGGCAGATGTTTCCCCCTCTACTCTTCCCTCCCTGTTTTGCTTTATGCTGCCTTATTTGAAAAGGAGAAGATGCACCTGCTCTTTACAGTCAGCGGCAGCATGACGGCTTCTGTCCTCAGATGTGTCGTAAAAAATGAACTTCAATGCTGCAAGGTCACCCATGTATGGGGAAGGATTGGGGCCTGGATGGTGGAATAGAGGAGATTCCCTTCTTGCCGTGTGCAATTCTTTCAAATAACAGGACAGTTTACAAGTGTGGCTGAAAGCGGCATGTTTGGGAGGAATTCTCACACTTGTGATAGAAAAATAGAATTTTTTTTTAAAAAAATTAAAAATTAGAAAAGTATAACTGTAGAGTTGGAAGGGATCCCAGGGGTCATCTAGTCCAACCCCTGCAATGCAGGAATTAATTTGCATTAATTCAGGGTCTGTACATCCCCTGGCCTTGGACGCGGGTGGTGCTGTGGGTTAAACCACAGAGCCTAGGGCTTGCCGATCAGAAGGTCGGCAGTTTGAATCCCTGCGACGGGGTGAGCTCCTGTTGCTTGGTCCCTGCTCCTGCCAACCTAGCAGTTTGAAAGCACGTCAAAGTGCAAGTAGATAAACAGGTGCCGCTCCAGCGGGAAGGTAAATGGCATTTCCGTGCGCTGCTCTGGTTTGCCAGAAGTGGCTTAGTCCTGCTGGCCACATGGCCCGGAAGCTGTACGCCGGCTCCCTTGGCCAATAAAGCGAGATGAGCGCCGCAACCCCAGAGTTGGTCACAACTGGACCTAATGCCAGGGGTCCCTTTACCTTTACCTTTACATCCCCTGGCCAGTGTTCATCAATATTTATATTTTTAAGCAGCCCAGACTAAAGGTGGGTGGTTTGAAATCTTAGGAAGGGAATGCAGCAAATATTTCTCTGTATTCAAACTTACCATTTCACACAAACAAGATGCCCTGTTAGTGGAAAGAACTATGCTTGGTTATCCCAAGCTCACGCAAATGGCTCACCTCCACCTTTTTGGAGGTTGAAAGCGAAGTGCAGGGAATAGACTCGCCTTGCTAGACTCTTCTCTCCCCCTTCAGGGGTGAGTGAGGCTCACTGAGCAGAAGCGCCCAGCCAGGATATTGGGAATAATGCATGGAGGGTTCTGAGGGGAAGTGCATCAGGAGAGCAAACCTCTTAGCAGTGGGAATCAACTTGGAAGGTTGGTGCCGGACAAGAAACAACATTGGGCTACTCAATAGACCGCTGCTGACTTGAGTCAAGGCAGCTTCCTCTAGGACAGCACTTCTCAACCTGTGGGCTCCCACATGTTGGACTACAACTCCCATCATCCCTGAGCTCTGGCCTTGCTAGCTAGCAGTGATGGGAGTTGTAGTCCAACATCTGGGGACCCACAGGTTGAGAAAGGCTGCTCTAGGATGTATGGCACCTGGCGTAAATCGCCTTCAAACACATGCAGAGAACAAGGGACCTGCAAAAACGGGGTTGGACTAGATGGCATTTTGGGTCCCTTCCGACTACAATTTTATGACTCCACAGCACTGAGCAAGAAGTGCCTAAAACGGCCAATTCAACCTTTCCTGCATTTTCTTTTCTTTCCATCCAGCACTCAGCATTCTGTGGCTTCTGGGAACCACTAAGCAGGTTCTGTTCTAATTGAGCTTTTATTATTTTTTTAAAAAAGTGGGAAAGGGGTACCCCTCTTTTATTGTTTTTTTTTTTTTAGTGAATTGTCCTTCTGCATGCCTCAGAATTCACCTGGGTGTGTTGATACCAACTGGGTGGTTTTTTTAGCAGCCCCACACTTGTTTGTACTCAGCCACCTGAGCTTGCCATTAATAATAATAATAATAATAATAATAATAATAATTTTTATTTATACCCCGCCCTCCCCAGCCAAGGCCGGGCTCAGGGCGGCTAACAAGCAATAATAAAAACAAGTTGAATGATTACAACTTAAAAACAAAATTAAAATAAAACATTAAAATATTGAAACATTAAAATATTAAAATGTAGCCTCATCGCAGGAGGAGAAAGGGAAAGAAAAAAGAAAGAGAGGGAGGGAATCAAATTGGCTCCAAGCCAAAGGCCAGGCGGAACAACTCTGTCTTACAGGCCCTGCGGAAAGAAATCAGATCCTGCAGGGCCCTGGTCTCATGAGGCAGAGCGTTCCATCAAGTCTGGGCCAGTACTGAAAAGGCCCTGGCTCTGGTTGAAACTAATCTAACTTCCTTAGGGCCCGGGACCTCTAGGGTGTTGCTATTTGTGGACCTTGAGGCTCTCCGTGGGGCAGACCGGGAGAGGGAACTACGATGGTGCCTGCTATCTGCGAGACCTCAGGGTCCCCAAAGGCAGTAGTACTTAGAGAGGTGATGGACAATTTGGAGAGGGAGGTTAAAGGTCTAAACAGTGCGATGCTTAGACCTGTTTGTATGTCTCTACACATTCAGCCCACCAGAACCTTTGTTAACTAACCTTATGCTAAAAGAGAACAGAGTTGCAATGGTCCAAGTTTTCCCTGCCACCCTAACCTGACATGATCAGGTAACAGGTATGCGGCATTCATTGCTGCTCAGGCTGTTTCTGGAAACCGGCATAAGAATTGTCCACTAACTAATTCTGCATTAGGTGAAGGAGGCATTTCCTAAATCTGCTGCCTGTCAGTTTCATTGGATAACCTCTATTTTGAATTGCGCGTGAGTGACAGAATGAAAGGGAACAACCCTTTCTATTTTGCAGAGAAGCCATTTTGGCAAGAAGGTGTAATAAAAATTAATAACATTCCCCAACCTTCATAGTTTTAGCATCTCTGCATCAGAATCCTACACTTGTTCACTAGTCCATCCAAGATCAGTAGGGCTTTTAAGCAGGTGGATATGTTCAGGTTTCTAACCTAGGTTCCCTTCTCCTTTTCTCCAAACAAAATGCCCCAACCGCTATAGCTTTCTCCCTTAGGAAAGGGGCTTTATGCCCTTGATAAATGCAGGCTGTGATTGTACGCACACTGATGTGGGAGTAATCTGAGCACAGTGGGACTTCTGAATAAACATGGATAAAAGTGGATTGGGTGATTGATTTGCAGCCCTGACTACCTGGCATACGTCTGCATGAAGACTTTGTTTATATAGCTCAATGCTGGCAATTGTTCCATTATCTCCCTGGGTGCAATCCAGTCCAGCCACAGCAAAGCATACTGAGTTGCCACCAGCCTAGATGGCTATAAAAGAGGATTAGACAAATTTATGAAGTAGAGTGCCGTCAATGGCTACCAACCAGGATTATTATTATTATTTATTAAATTTGTAGACCATACTTTGTTCATTGATCTCAGGGCAGTTCATAACAAAAATGCAATATACAGTGGTGCCCCGCAAGACGAATGCCTCGCAAGACGGAAAAACCGCTAGACGAAAGGGTTTCCGTTTTGAAGTTGCTTCGCAGGACGAATTCCCCTATGGGCTTGCTTCGCAAGACGAAAATACCTTGCGAGTCGAGCGATTTTTTTCGCTTTTCCCCCTTTATCTAATCTGCTAAGCCTTTAATAGCCTTTAATAGCCTTTTAGCAGCTAATCCCTAAGCCATTAAGCCTTTAATAGCCGCTAAACAGCTGATAGCGCTAATAGCGCTAATCCGTCAATGGGCTTGCTTCGCAAGACGAAAAAACCGCTAGACGAAGACTCTTGCGGAACGGATTAATTTCGTCTTGCGAGGCACCACTGTAAAAACACAAAATAGAAATAAGAACACAGACATGGCTGGGTTCTGCCTCCACAGCCAGAGGCAGCGATGCTTCTGAATCTGGAAGCCACAGGAGGAGAGAGGGCTCTTGAGCATAGATCCTTCTTGAGGGGTTCTGATGGGCCACTGTGAGAACAGGATATAGGATAGGCCAGTGGCCTGGTCTTCACTGGTCCAGTGAAGAAGAGGTTCAGAAACAGCTACAAATCTCCCTGCTCTGAATCTCACACCATAGCCTTAAGCCACACTGTCTGACCTCCTTGTCCTAAGCCTTGCAACACAATCAATATGAAGCACTTTTTGCAGTTGATAGTCCTGCGCAGCTTCCACGAGGACTGTCCGCTTTTTGTTGGAGGAAAGGACCTTGTGGCGAGCTCATCAGAATAATGCATCTCTCGCCCTCTCCATACCGAATGCACTAAATTCAGATCCCAAGTGTGGGCAGCCAAAGGGCTTCAGTTGCTGTCACTGAGCATGCCCCATTGCGCTTGCTCAGCAGTGCTTGGTAGAAGAAACTGACCACTCTGTCTCCATGGGGTGCCTATTCTTTAGCAGGACTACATGTCCCAGCATGCCCTTAAGAGGCTTCCGCTGCGTCTCTCCGAGCAAAAGGGCAGCAGAATAAGGCAGAAGCGGAGTAGCTGTCCCTGTACAGCAGACTCGAGCTGGATCTGCCTTTGCTACTCATCTAAATCCACCTTTAGCAAAGTTAATAAAGGGGAACGGTGTTTTCCCAGCTGTGCTCCATCTCTCTCCCTGCTGCCTGCTGGAATTCCAAGGAAGGCGGATCAAGCCCTTGTTCCATCTTCATGCCAGCCCTGCGAGGTAGACCAGACTGAGAAACAGATGGCTGCTCACCAGTCCTGCCCCTCCTCGGTGCTTTCTGGTTGGGCGGGGATAATAATAATAATAATAATAATTTATTATTTGTACCCCGCCCATCTGGCTGGGTTTCCCCAGCCACTCTGGGCGGCTTCCAGCAAAGATGAAAAATACCGTATCTTTCGCTGTATAAGACGCGCCAGACCATAAGACGCACCTAGTTTTTGGAGGAGGAAAACAAGAAAAAAAATATTCTGAATCTCAGAAGCCAGAACAACAAGAGGGATCACTGCGCAGCGAAAGCAGCGATCCCTCTTGCTGTTCTGGCTTCTGGGATAGCTGCGCAGCCTGCATTCGCTCCATAAGACGCACACACATTTCCCCTTACTTTTTAGGAGGGAAAAAGTGAGTCTTATACAGCAAAAAATACGGGACATTAAAATGTCACACATTAAAAACTTCCCTGAAGTTCCCTGAACTTCCCTGGGCTGCCTTCCGATGTCTTCAGAATGTCAGGATCTAACCCCTGGGCCCTTCTGCCATGCTTGGAGTCTGCTTACTTGCTATGGAGATTTCTCCCCACAAGCCAAGTCCCAGGGGGCAGTTCAGTGCTGGATTGACATATAAGCTAAACAAGCTATAGTTTAGGGTCCCACTCTTGGGGGGGGGGACAATTTTTTAAAGAAAAAACAAACATTGAATGTACATTTCCAAAATATAAGATAAAAAACAAATAAAATGAAACCAATATACAGCAACAGTGTTTTGTGTTGTGTAGGCTCCTGTGATGTAAGTAATGAGCCCCGCCTGCTAGCCTGCTCCCCAAAATATCACTGGTTTGCTCATTTCTATATATATAGGGTGCCTACATTCTGCATGTGCAAATGGCTTTAGGTCCATAAATTACTGTACAGTGGTACCTCGGGTTAAGAACTTAATTCGTTCTGGAGATCCGTTCTTAACCTGAAACTGTTCTTAACCTGAGGTACCACTTTAGCTCATCCTGAAGCAAAGTTCCTAACCCAAGGTATTATTTTTGGGTTAGCGGAGTCTGTATCCTGAAATATCTGTAACCTGAGGTACCACTGTATAGCATGGGCATAGGCAAACTTGGCCTTCCAGCTGTTTTGGGACTACAACTCCCATCATCCCTAGCTAACAGGACCAGTGGTCAGGGATGATGGGAATTGTAGTCCCAAAACATCTGGAGGGCCAAGTTTGGGGGTGCCTGGTATAGCATATATTCAACACAAAAACAGCGACCATTTGTTGCTGACAAAGGACAGTTGGACATACGGTCTGGGAATCAGCGTGTTTTTACATGAGTAAAATGTGTCCTTTTATTTAAAATGCATCTCTGGGTTAATTGTGGGGCATAGGAATTCATTCATTCCCCCCCCCCCCCAATAAAATATGTCCGGCCCCCCACAAGGTCTGAGGGACAATGGACCGGCCCCCTGCTGAAAAAGTGGGCTGATCCCTGCCTTAGGGCCGCATCCAACCTCAATCCGGCCCTGGGGCAGCAGCTCCTCACCAGCAACCTTCCCCCCCCCCCTTCTGGGAAATCAGGCAGGAGTCCGAGGAGCAGCCCGGGGGGGCGGAGCCAGCAGCAGCAGCAGCTGAGCTGGCCCCGCCTCTTCGGGGCGTGGCCAGGAAGAGGAAGAAGCGGCGCGCGGTTGGGCGGCGCTCAGCCAATGGGAGCGCGCCAGGGCTCGGCCAATCAGGGGAGTCCTCCGGGCGAGCGGGAGTTTGGCGCGGAAGAGAAGAGAGAGACGAGGCGGAGGAGGAGGAGGAGGCGGCGGCCATGGGGGGCGCGCGGGACCGAGAGATCCGCCGTGAGTGGGGCCGAGGGGGGGCCGGGGGGGTCTTCGCCCCCTCATAAAATATTCGGGGGGCCCCCCAGGTTGATGGGCATGAGGGGGTGCGCCACGTCACGTGGTCGATTATGTGGGGCGGAGCTTAACTGAGGGAAACCCCCCCCCATTTTATTCAAGTTGGCCCCCCTGCCTGGAGGGGTTGGGGGAGGGGAGGAGTTACCTGAAGGGGGGAGGAGATCTTCGCTCCCTCCGTCATAAAATATTCGAGACCCCCCCACTTGATGGGCATGGGGGTGTGCCCTGTCATGTGATCAATTACGCAGGGCAGGGCTTAACAGGAATCCCCCCCCAACTGCCTGAAGGGGAGGGGGAGGGGCCAACTCAGGGGGCCGGGGGGGGTCTTCGCCCCCTCATAAAATATTCGAGACCCCCCCACTTGATGGGCATGAGGGGGTGCGCCACGTCATTTGATCGATTGTGCGGGGCGGGACTTAACTGAGGGGAAACCCCCCCCATTTTATTCAAGTTGGCCCCCCTGCCTGAAGGGGAGAGGGGGAGGGGCCAACTCAGGGGGCCCTTCGCCCCCCCAATAAAATATTCAAGGACACCCCCCAAGTTTATGGGCATTTCCATTTAAGTCGGGGGGGGGCACCGCGTCATGCGATTGATTATGTGGGGCGGGGTTTAACTAGAAACACCCCCCCATTTTATTCAAGTTGGCCCCCCTGCCTGGAGGGGTTGGGGGAGGGGAGGAGTTACCTGAAGGGGGGAGGAGGTCTTCGCCCCCCCCTCCTAAAATACTTGAGACCCTGGGAATGGGGTTGGGGGAGGGAATGGGGGGGTGCGCCACGTCATGTGATCGATTATGTGGGGGGGGCTTAACTGGGAAACCCCCCATTTTAGTTAGGTTTACTCACCTCTGCCGGGAGGGGTTGGGAGGGGGTTACCTGAAGGGGGAGGGGTTAGGGTTAGGGAGGGGCCAACTCAGGGGGCCTTCCCCCCCGTCATAAAATATTCGAGACCCCCCAGTTGATGGGCATGGGGGTGTGCCCTGTCATGTGATCAATTACGCAGGGCAGGGCTTAACAGGAATCCCCCCCCAACTGCCTGAAGGGGTTGGGGGAGGGGGAGAGTTGCCTGAAGGGGAGAGGGGGAGGGGCCAACTCAGGGGGCCCTTTGCCCCCCCAATAAAATATTCAAGGACACCTCCCAAGTTTATGGGCATTTCCATTTAAGTCGGGGGGGGGACCGCGTCATGCGATTGATTAGGTGGGGCGGGGTTTAACTAGAAACCCCCCCCCCATTTTATTCAAGTTGGCACACCTGCCTGGAGAGGTTGAGGGAGGGAGAGTGATACCTGGGGGGAGGGGAGGGGAGGGTTACCTGCGGGGGGGGGGAGAAGTGGGAGCTTGCATAATATATTTAACTCATTTTTAAGTCAGGGAGACCGCCTTAGCCCCCCCCCCCCTTCACCACCATCACAGGGGGTAAACCAGGCATGGGCAAACTCATCGCTCCAGATATTTTGGGACTGCAGTTCCCATCATCCTTGACCACTGGTCCTGTTAGCTAGGCATCATGGGAGTTGTACAGTGGTGCCTCGCAAGACGAAATTAATCCGTTCCGCGAGTCTCTTCGTCTAGCGGTTTTTTCGTCTTGCGAAGCAACCCTATTAGCGGTTTAGCGGATTAGCGCTATTAGCGGTTTAGCAGCTATTAAAGGCTTAGTGGCTTAGCGGCTAAAAGGCTATTAGCGGCTTAGCGGCTTAGAAAAAGGGGGGGAAAGCGAAAAAAATCTCAAGACTCGCAAGACATTTTCGTCTTGGGAAGCAAGCCCATAGGGAAATTCGTCCTGCGAAGCGCAACGAAAAACGGAGAACCCTTTCGTCTAGCGGGTTTTTCGTCTTGCGAGGCATTCGTCTTGCAGGGCACCACTGTAGTCCCAAAACATCTGGAGGGCCGAGCTTGCCTATGCCTAGGGTAAACCAAGGGTTTATCTGTTGTTGTTGTTGTTGTTGTTTAGTCGTTTAGTCGTGTCCGCCTCTTCCTGACCCCCTGGACCAGAGCACGCCAGGCCCTCCTGTCTTCCACTGCCTCCCGCAGTTTGGTCAAACTCATGCTGGTAGCTTCAAGAACACTGTCCCACCATCTCGTCCTCTGTCGTCCCCTTCTCCTTGTGCCCTCCATCTTTCCCAACATCAGGGTCTTTTCCAGGGAGTCCTCTCTTCTCATGAGGTGGCCAAAGTCTTGGAGCCTCAGCTTCAGGATCTGTCCTTCCAGTGAGCACTCAGGGCTTATTTCCTTCAGAATGGATACGTTTGATCTTCTTGCAGTCCATGGGACTCTCAAGAGTCTCCTCCAGCACCATGAAAACACCATAATGTGAAACTTTCAGAAAGTTAAGGCAACAGTAGGCCGGGGACAGATTAAAACTGGCACCAGCTTTCTAAGCATCTGGGAAGCCTTGTCTCGACAAAAATATTTTTAGCAGGTGCCAGAAAGACCATCATGAAAGCCTGGAGTCAAGAAGCAGGGAGTTCCATAGATGCTGCCTCACTAAAAGAGGACGTCCTTCTCATGAAGTCTTGGAGCCTCAGCTTCAGGATCTGTCCTTCCAGTGAGAACTCAGGGCTGATTTCCTTCAGAATGGATACGTTTGATCTTCTTGCAGTCCATGGGACTCTCAAGATTAATAGTAATAGTCATTATAATCGACACAGTAAATATCCATGTTTTCTAACCGGACGAGATTAATGGGTCTTCTGCTGCTGCTGTCCTTCAGAACTCCAGAAGGACAAGGAGAAAGCCCAGCGGAAGGGGGACCTGAAGGAGGAAGCAGCCCTCTGTAACCAGCTGGGAGGGATCTTGGCTCGTCATGGTGAGTGTCCTGTAATAATAATAATTATTATTATTATTTATACCCCAGCTTACCCAAACAAAGCCGGGCTCAGGGCGGCTAACACCAATAAAATCACAGTAAAAACATACTAGGGGAAAAAGGGGGGGGACCAATTTAAAATACAGGTTAAAATGCAATTTAAAATGCAGCCTCATTTTAATAGTAGCCCATAGATCAAAACCATCAGGGGAGGGAAACATAAGGCTCAGACTGAGTCCAAAGGCCAGGCGGAACAGCTCTGTCTTGCAGGCCCTGCGGAAAGATGTCAAGTCCCGCAGGGCCCTGCTCTCTTGTGACAGAGCGTTCCACCAAGTCCGGGCCAGTACTGAAAAGGCCCTGGCCCTAGTTGAGACCAACTTAACCGCCTTGTGACTTGGCACCTCCAGAATGTTGTCATTTGTGGACCTTAAGGTCCTCCGCGGGGCATACCAGGAGAGGTGGTCCTGTAGGTACATGGGTCCTAGGCTTCCAGATCCAGGCGACTTTGAAATAGCTTTAAACAGCTACTTTAAGTAGGTGGTGGTCCCTTAACCTGCTCAGTTGAGGCGCAGAAGACTCCCCGCGCTCAGTTGAGCATGCCCCCAAGCTGCTCTGGCGCATCTAGGGGAGAAAAGCACTGGTGAAATGCGTTTTTCTCCCTCCACTCCCTTGGTGCAATAGCATGTGCATGGCACTTGCTTTTTCTGCTGTCTAAGGTCCACTGCTGACCCTTCTTTCCTGGCAGGGCGCTTTGAGGAGGCGTTGGAGGAGCACCGGCAGGAGCTGCGTCTCTTGGAGAGTGTTGACGATGCCATCGGCTGTGCTGTGGCCCACCGGAAAATTGGGGAGTGCCTGGCTGAGCTGGAGAGTTATGAAGCTGCACTGAAGGTGCGAGGGCTGGAGGAGGCGGGAGTCCGGAGGGTAGAAGCTCTTTCCAGAGATCACGGCTTTAAGCCCCCCGGTTTTGACAAATAAAACCCCTTAAAGTGGTGCTTACTTCAAGAACTGCTTTGAAACTGTTATTTATAATCCGTTCCGGAGCCCCGTTCGCATCCAGAAGCAAACGTAACTAGTGACGGCATGTCTGAGCACGAACACGTCGCATTTCGCCGCTTCTGCGCATGCATGTGATGTCATTTTGAGTGTCTGCACAGGCGCGAGCGGCGAAACCCGGAATTAACACACTCCGTTACTTCTGGATTGCCGCGGAGCGCAACTCGAACGCACTCAACGTGAAGCATATCCAACCCGAGGTATGACTGTACAGTCATACCTCGGGTTACAGACGCTTCAGGTTGCATTTTTTCGGGTTACGGATTGCTGAAACCTGGAAGTACCAGAAAGGGTTACTTCCAGGTTTCGACGGTTGCACATGCGCAGAAGCGCTGAATTGCATTTTGAGCTTGTGCAGAAGTGCCGAATCGCAACCCACACGTGCGCAGACGTGCTGCTGCGGGTTGCAAACGCTGTGGGTTGCGAACGTGCATCCCGCACGGATCATGTTCGCAACCCAAGTGTCCACTGTAGATCCGAACAAAGGACACAAATCATATAAACTTATGTACGTACTTTGTGTTTTTATACTGTGTTTTTATATTGTGAACTACCCTGAGATTTACAGGTGAAGTTCAGTTTTAAAAATTGAAGCCCCAAATGATTTTGCTCTACAGTCACAAGACATCTCATCTGTATTTCACCACAGGGACCTTGCTATTGATAAGCCATAAACCATTGCAACAGTAAATCAATCCCTTTGCTGCGTTCCTTTGAGCTTCTTGCTTTCTGGATGCAGGATAGAGAGGAACGCATGAGTGTGTGTAGCAATTAAGCTACAGTACAAAGGTAACATGAGCATGAATGACTCCATCCACTTTGGCCTCTGGCCCTGCCCACCTAGCACGTGGCCCCCAGAAGGTTGTCTAGAAGGGAATGTGGCCCTTTGCTGCTTTGGAGGTGGGGGCCTGGACCAGGAGACAGAAAAGCAGAATTCTGAGGCCCTTCCAGTTCTCTTGTGGGACTGGGGATGGATGCTGCCGGGGGACCTGGCCTTGACCCTCCCCTCTGTGTTCCTCTCTCCAGCACCAGCGCCGCCACCTGGATCTGGCCCGCTCCCTCTGCAACCCCATTGAGCAGCAGAGGGCCTGGGCCACCATTGGCCGCACGTACATGTTCATGGCGGAAAGTGACCCCTCGAGCGAGGCCCTGCAGGAGGCGGAGACGGCCTTCATGAAGAGCCTGCAGGTGTTGGAGGAGAAGCTGGAAGGTACCTCTGGCGGAGGCGGGAAGGGAGCCGAGAGGGAGCTGCAGCCAGCAGCCTGGTCCTGAGACTCTCTGCTGAGAATTCGGGCCTTGACATTGCCTTGGCGGATGCCGAAACAGCATATTCTGTGAGCTGAATGGAGGGCCACCCTCTCGGCCCCTGGGAGGAGGATTGTGTGTGGGTTGCAACCTGCAGGGGGTAACGGCAGGCTGCGTCCTTCTCACAGGGGACGTGCCACAGCGGGAGGCCAGCGAGATGAGGGCGCGACTCTACCTGAACCTGGGCTTGGTCTACGACAGCCTGAAGAACCCGGCCAAGCATGCCTACTACATCAAAAAGAGCATCTACATCTCTGAGTAAGGGCTGGGCTGGGCCCTGTGGGGCTCTAGGGCTCTCCTCCTCCCCCTGACCTTTATGTAGGGTCCTGTCATGTGGTCGTTTTGCAGAGCCATGCAACATGTAGCTAAACTATGGAACTTTTGCACTATGGGTTGGATGGCTTTAAAAGCAGTTAGTTGGTCCTTTACCTTTCTCACCCTGATCTGGCCACTGTGATCCACGCGACGGTCACCTCCAGGCTTGATTATTGTAACTCACTCTACACGGGGCTGCCCTTGAAGCTGACCCAGAAACTCCAGCGGGTGCAGAATGCCGCGGCGAGGCTCCTTACGGGGTCCTTGCCGCAGGATTACATTCACCCAGTGCTTTACCAACTGCACTGGCTCCCAGTGGAGTACAGGGTCAGGTTTAAGGTGCTGGTTTTGACCTTTAAAGCCCTATGCGGCCTAGGACTCTCGTACTTACGGGACCAGCTCTCCTGGTATGTCCCACGGAGGACCTTAAGGTCCACAAATGACAACATTTTGGAGGTCCCAAGTCGCAAGGTGGTTAGATTGGTTTCAACTAGGGCCAGGGCCTTTTCAGCACTGGCCCCAGCTTGGTGGAACGCTCTTGTCACAAGAAACTAGGGCCGTGTGGGACTTGACATCTTTCCGCAGGGCCTGCAAGACAGAGCTGTTCTGCCTGGCCTTTGGTTTGGACTCACTCTGACCCTTATGTTTCCCTCCCCTTATGGTCTTGATCTATCGGCTACTTTTAAAATGAGGCTGCTTTTTAAATTGCATTTTAACCTGTACAGTGGTACCTCGGGAAGGATTTCAGGTTACATACGCTTCAGGTTACAGACTCCGCTAACCCAGAAATAGTACCTCGGGTTAAGAACTTTGCTTCAGGATGAGAACAGAAATTGTGCTCCGGCGGTGCAGCGGCAGCTGGAGGCCCCATTAGCTAAAGTGGTGCTTCAGGTTAAGAACAGTTTCAGGTTAAGAATGGACCTCCAGAACGAATTAAGTTCTTAAGCCGAGGTACCACTGTATTTTAAATTGTTTTTTCCTCCCTCCCTCTCTTTTTCCCCTATTATGTTTTTACCGTGATTTTATTTTATTGGTGTTAGCCACCCTGAACCCAGCTCTGGCCGGTGAGGGCGGGGTATAAATAAATTTTATTACTATTATTATTAAAAGAGGAATGGGCAAATTTATGGAGGAGAAAACTATCAAGTCAGCTCTGCTTCTGAGCACCAGCTGCTGGCAGCCACAGGAGGGGAGAGGGGTCTTGAGTTCGAATCTTGCCTGCAGGTTTCCCAAAGGCGTCCGGTTGGCCCATGTGAGAGCAGGATGCTGGACTAGATGGGACTTTGGCCTGATCCATCAGGCTCTTTATGTTCCTAATGCTGGATCGGGAACTCTCCCGGCTCTCAGTCGTATGATATCTATTGGACGCTCCGCTGCGCTCTGCCAGACATCGGGCTGCAGGCTGCTGTCTGCAAGCCTTGGGAGTCCTAGCTAAGAGGAGTTGAACTGATCGGCTGCACACTGGTAACCTCCCACCCGCCCCCGTCGGCACGTGTGCTGTGCTTTCGCTATCTCCCCCTATCATGTGACCGTGCTGCCTGGGGCTGATGGGAGCTGTAGTCCAAAGCAGCTGTCGGGCAGCTGTCAAAGGCTTCCTCTCCCTCCTCCCCTAGGCAGACTCAGCTGCACGAAGACCTCTACCGGGCCTACTTCAACCTGGGCAACATCCACCTGCGGGAGGGAGAGCACTCGAAGGCCATGCGCTGCCTGGAGAGGGCGCGGGAGTGCGCCTGCAAAATGAAGGAGAAGTACATGGAGAGCGAGTGTTGTGCGAGCATTGCCCAGGTGAGGGGGGCAGAGGTGGGGCAGGCGCCTTTCCAGCTCCTCTGGCCTGGGGACGGGGACTGCGGTGGCCTGGGGACGGGGGTGCGTGTGATGCCTGGGGAAGCGGCTGTGTGGAGCTTCTGCGCGTGAGATGCTCCGACCTGGTTGAATCGCATCAGATCCATTCTCCAAAGATGGTTCCCATTGGGCTTCCGGTTTGTCTGCAAAGGAAAACAGTGACGCGGTGCGAGTCGTCCGTCTAAAAGATGACCATTACCAGGGTTTTTGAGTGGTGGGGGTGAGTGCCAGGGTTAGACAGGGTTCTGTGTGTGAGATGCTCCTACCTGGTTGAATCGCATCAGAGCCATTCTCCAAAGATGGTTCCCATTAATTCTCATGTTAGTGGGATGAGGCGTCCCCAGTCTGCATCTGACACCTTTTTGGAGTAGAGCTATGCCCTCAATCTCTTCTGTCTTGCAAGCACAGAATCTCCTCCTCAACCTCTTCTCTCCTCCACCCTTCTAACATGGGTTGTAAATTCTTGGTGCACAAGCCACATTGCTTATGCCAGCAGTCAGCAAACTTTTTCAGCAGGGGGCCGGTCCACTGTCCCTCAGACCTTGTTGGGGGGCCAGACTATATTTTGAAAAATAATAATAGTGAATGAATTCCTATGCCCCCAAAATAACCCAAAGATGTATTTTAAATAAAAAAGCACATTCTACTCATGTAAAAACACCAGGCAGGCCCCACAAATAACCTAGAGATGCATTTAAATAAAAGGACACATTCTACTCATGTAAAAACACACTGAGAAGGCAATTGGGCCAGATCCGGCCCCCGGGCCTTAGTTTGCCTACCCATGGCTTATGTGTTCCATTTTATTAGTATTATTACGAATTTAATTTATATACTGCCCTATACCCGGAGGTCTCAGGGTGGGTCAAAGTTAAAGTTAAAACTCAGGGTAGGACAAAGTCAAGTTAAAACTACAAAGAAACTATTTCCTACTTGAGCATGCATAGTAGTCCAGAGTAAATAAAAGAGGAAGCAAGGAGGAATGCTTTTAGGAAACTCCAGAGGTCATAAACAGGAGAGGAAGGATGTAGTGATCAAGTGGGATTGCTATGAGGAATTATAACAAATATGGAGTAAGCCATTTGTGTCAGCAATGAAAGCATTGCGTTGACTGGGCTTAAGCCATTTTGATATGATTTTTGATCAATCCACGCCTCTGCATCCCTGTCCTATATCTCTTGCTAGACAAATCACGCACACAGGCCAGTTGCTGCATCAGGTATCCTAGGCCATGAAAGATAGGCAGTTTCTTTGATATACCCTTCCTTGATTCTGTTAATCTTAGGGCCTGGAAATAGTTTCACAGGAAGGTGATAAAGTTACCTATCTCCTTGCCATCCTTCCGTCCTCTCCTGTTTACGACCTCCGGAGTTTCCTAAAAGCATTCCTCCTTGCTTCCTCTTTTATTTACTCTGAATTACCAGTACATATGCATGCTCAAGTAGGAAATTAGCTCTTTGTAGTTTGAATCTTTAACTTTGTCCCCACGTGGGGTTTTTTGAAATGCTCAGAGGAAATCTGATTGGTTCTTACGAACACTGTGTAAAAAGTTCTTTTGTGAATAAAACGACCTGGGCCGGAGGGTGGAGAGGAATTATTATTATACGCACCCCTCCCAGAGTCTTGCTGGTCAAGCCTGTGTGTGTATTTTATCAGAGTCCAATCCTTCCTTTGCTTTGGGAACAGCACAAAAGGATGGGTAGTATAAACAGGAGAGGAAGGATGGGTAGTATTTACCATCTCCTTGTGAACTCTCTTCCTGGTCCTTAAGTTCTATCTAAAGATTAACAAACTACATTAAAATAGCCTATTAACTTTATGTACTGAGGATGCCCGGTGAAGCAACTGGCCTGTGTTTAGAATGCTTATACATGCCTGTCAGGCGTAGAAAATGAACGGCAGAGAAAATGGCCAGAGATGCAGAGGCTTGTGGGATTTGATCAGAAATTATTGTCAATGAATCAAACCCAGTCAACACGACGCTTTCATGGCGGACACAATGGCTTGGTGCATATTTTATAATTCCTCATAGTAATCCCATCTGATCGTTACACTCCTGGGTGACCTCTCAAGAGGGAGCTCAGCCGCCCCCAGCAGCTTCCCCGCTTGACCCTCCGTCTTCCCCCACAGGTCCTGCTGAGCCTTGGGGACTTTGTGGCAGCCAAGCGCTCCCTGAAGAAAGCCTATCGCCTGGGCTCCCAGCAGCCGCCGCAGCGGGAGAGCGTTTGCCGCAGCCTGCGCTACGGTGAGTGGCGACGCCGCTCCCTTGGGGGCTTCCCCTGGGCCCAGGCACCAGGGCACACATGACCTCACAGCTCGTGGCTCTCTTTCTCTCTGGCAGCCACAAAGGTCAGCCGCCTGCAGCAGGAGCTGGAAGAAGCAGAGGCCGCCGGCAGCCTGCGAGAAGCCCTAGGGCTTTGCGAGCAGCTGGGCGACCTGTTCTCCAAGGCGGGGGATTATCGGCGGTCTCTGGAGGCCTACGAGAAGCAGGTGAGGCACCTCCTGGGGCTAAAGGTGGCCTTGGGGCAAGGACCTGAAGGAGGAGAGGTTGTAGAGCAGCCAGATGGACGGACTTGGCATTTGAGGGCTCCCAGAGCTCTGGCGCAGGCTTGCAATTATTATTATGGGACACAGGTGGCGCTGTGGGTTAAACCACAGAGCCAAGGACTTGCCGATCAGAAGGTCAGCAGTTTGAATCCCCGTGACGGGGTGAGCTCCTGTTGCTCGGTCCCTGCTCCTGCCAACCTAGCAGTTCGAAAGCACGTCAAAGTGCAAGTAGATAAATAGGTACCACTCCGGCGGGAAGGTAAACGGCGTTTCCTTGCACTGCTCTGGTTCGCCAGAAGCGGCTTAGTCATGCTGGCCACATGACCCGGAAGCTGTATGCCGGCTCCCTCGGCCAAGAAAGCGAGATGAGTGCCGCAACCCCAGAGTCGGTCACAACAGGACCTAATGGTCAGGGGTCCCTTTACCTTTACCTATTTATACCTCGCCCATCTGGCTGAGTTTCCCCAGCCACTCTGGGCGACTTCCAATCGAATGTTAAAAACAACACAGCATTAAATATTAAAAACCTCCCTAAACAGGGCTGCCTTCAGATGTCTTTTAAAGATAAGATAGCTGCTTATTTCTTTCACATCTGAAGGGAGGGTGTTCCACAGGGCGGGCACCACCACCGAGAACGACCTCTGTCTGGTTCCCTGTAACCTCACTTCTCGCAATGAGGGAACCACCAGAAGGCCCTCGGAGCTGGACCTCATTGTCTGGGCTGAACGATGGGGGTGGAGATGTTCCTTCAGGTATACAGGACCGAGGCCGTTTAGGGCTTTAAAGGTCAGCGATGGGCTGCGGGGTGCCCTGGGCCTCTTTGCCACGGCAGTTTGGGTTTGTCTGTTTCCTTCTCAGCTGTGCCACGCTCGGTCTCTGAAGCGCCCAGACCAAGAGCTGGCTGTGATCCACGTTTCCTTGGCCGCCACGTTTGGAGACCTGAAGGACCATGCCCAGGCCATAAAGCACTACCAGGCCGAACTGGCCCTGCGGAAGGGGAACCCCCTGGAGGTAAGGGCGGCAGGCTAGGAGCAGGGATGGGATAGGGCCAAGCGAGGCAGTTCAGGACTTCTGCTACTTGGATGCCAAGCAAACATTCCCTGCTCCTGATCTGTGCCAACTGGGCATTGTAGGAACAGCTGTATAGAAACTGGCACCTGAATTTTTGACTTTCATTTTTCCTCTTCCCTTCCTGTCCCTTTCTCCTTGCGTGTCGTGTGAGGGTTTTTTTAAAAAAAGATTGTAAGCCTGTGGGTAGGGGCTAATTTGTTTCGATGGTGTGTGCGCTGTGGGTTAAACCACAGAGCCTAGGACTTACTGATCAGAAGGTCAGCAGTTCGAATCCCCGTGACGGGATGAGCTCCCGTTGCTCGGTCCCTGCTCCTGCCAACCTAGCAGTTCGAAAGCACATCAAAGTGCAAGTAGATCAATAGGTACCGCTCTGGTGTGAAGGTAAATGGTGTTTCCGTGCGCTGCTCTGGTTCACCAGAAGCGGCTTAGTCCTGCTGGCCACATGACCTGGAAGCTGTACGCCGGCTCCCTCGGCCAATAAAGCGAGATGAGCGCTGCAACCCCAGAGTCGGCCACGACTGGACCTAATGGTCAGGGGTCCCTTTACCTTTACTTTAAGCTGCTCTGGGAGCCTTTGTGGCTGAAGAGTGGGGTACAAATGCTCCAAAATAAATAGATAAACATGCTGAACTGGTGGGCAGATAAGCCAGACGGCTCCTGGAACTCAGCTTGCTCTTTCCATGGCCAGGAGGGAAAGACGTGGCTGAACATCGCCCTTTCCAAGGAGGAGGCCAAAGAGAGCTATGAAGAGCTGCAGAGATGTTTCCAGACGGCTCTCTCCTACGCAGAGGAGGCCTGCGACGCCAAGCTGCAGGTGAGGCCGGCAGTGGGGTTTGGATGACGCCACAATACTAAAGGTATTAGCGTGGATGCTTCGTAGTATTCATACACCGAGTTGTAATAGCATCCACGCAACAACTATCTGATAAACCAGTAGTTTATCAAATCCTGCAACGTGGCAAGGACGATTTTGCCACGCATCCCCATCCAATCAGAAACCTGGGAATGCAGGAGAGTGCTGGCGTTCCCATCACAACTTTGTGTAAGGTAGCATCATAAAATGAGGCTCAGCCATATGATTCAAGAGGCACTGGGTCAGCCTAAAAGTTTTCGCGTAAATTGAGGCAATACTTATTTATTTATTTAGCTTAGCCTATGTTTCCAATGTGGTTTGTGGACGGATTTAAGTAGATGTCACTGTACAAAAGTAAAACACCAATGGTAGCAAGACAAGAAACAATTTCCAGTGAGAAGATTACAAGGGTGAGGATCACCCTTGTATTTACCCGGCTTTTTAATTGCACTTCAAGCTAATCTTGGGTGTCTACGGCCTAGCATAGTTTAATCTTTTAAACCATTTATGCTAGTAAAGAGGGGGGAATTGGCAATTTTTTAAAATGCTCGTCATTTATTTTAAATACTACATACTGTATTATTTTTAAAAAATAGTTTCTTGTTTATAAGCTACCCAGAGAATATTTATTGCTTATTGCTATCTAAATTTTGTGCTTTTTATGCTGTATCTTTATGTTGTGAACCGTCCTGAAATCTACAGATGAAGGGCGGTATACAAATTTAATAATAATGATTATTATTAATAGTATTAAATCATAGGCCAGGAGGAGAGTGACAGATCTGATTCCACAGGGCAGCAATTCAGTTTTCTGCAGAATGGGCCACTGGTGCCTATGAGAAGGAAACAATCTCACTGTTTAGCTCTGGTCTCGTTGTCAGGAGCCTTCAGTGTGCAAGCCTAGTTAGGTCCCAATTTGACCTATGAGACCGTTTCCTCCTAAATCTCACTCACCTGCTTTCCCCTGAAGCTAGCTCCCCTGTCTCACACCTGATGTGATATGTCAACAAACAGGAGGGAGCCTTAAAGTGTGTTCCCAATTGTTCTTGGGGAAAGTAGAGTCCTGTGTTCAGTTCTGGGCAGCCTATTTTGAGAAGGATGTTGATAAGCTGGAAGGTGTGCAGAGGAGGGAGACCAAGATGGTCAAGGGTCTGGGAACCAAGCCTGATGAGGAACGGTTGAAGGAGCTGGGGATGTTTAGCCTAGAAAAGAGGAGAAGGAGAGGAGATAGGAGAGCCATCTTCAAATATCTGAGGGTCTGCCACACGGATGGTAGAGCAAGCTTATTTTCTCATGCTCTGGAGAGTAGGACATGAACCAATGGATTCAAATGATAAAGGAGATTCAGACCAACCATTAGGAAGAACTTTTTGATGGTAGCAGCTGTTTGACAGCAGAATGGACACCCCTGGTAGTTGGTAGACCTTCATTGGCTGTTTTTAAGAAGAGGTTTCATGGCCATCTGTCAAGGTTTCTTGAGCTGAGATTCCTTAATAATAATAATAATAATAATTTATTTATACCCCGCCCATCTGGCTGGGCTTCCCCAGCCACTATGGGAGGCTTCCAGCAAAATATTAAAACACAATAATTAATCAAACATTAAAAGCTTCTCTAAACAGGGCTGCCTTCAGATGTCTTCTAAAAGTCTGGTAGTTGTTGTTCTCTTTGACATCTGGTGGGAGGGCGTTCCACAGGGCGGGAGCCACTACCGAGAAGGCCCTCTGGTTCCCTGTGACTTGGCTTCTCGCAGGGAGGGAACCGCCAGAAGGCCCTCGGCACTGGACCTCAGTGTCCAGGCTGAACGATGGGGGTGGAGAAGCTCCTTCAGATATACAGGACCGAGGCTGTTTAGGGCTTTAAAGGTCAGCACCAACACTTTGAATTGTGCTCGGAAATGTACTGGGAGCCAGTGTAGGTCTTTCAAGACTGCTGTTATATGGTCTCGGCGGCTGCTCCCAGTCCCCAGTCTAGCTGCCACGTTCTGGATTAGTTGCAGTTTCCGGTTGTTGCGTTTGCAAAGTAAAGGAAGGATTGAACTCTGATTAATAAGAATACACACAGAGGCTTGAACCAGCAAGACTCTGGGAAGGGTGCGTATAATCGTGTCTCTCTGTGCTTGTCCGATCTGCAGCCCCCTGGCCCAGGCCGTTTTTATTCACAAAAAAGCTTTTTACAGAGCGTTCAAAAGAACCAATCAGATTTCTTCTGAGCATTTCCACAAACCCACGTGGGGAGAAAGTGAATCTATAAACACTAGTTATCCATGCATACTTTTGGGGTAAATGAATGAATACTACAAAGGAGCGAATACAGCAACCCCGGAGGTAATAAACAATCAGTACACATGATAAGAAGGATGGCCAGGAGGACCAGATCACTACCACCTTCATGTGAGATCTGTTTCCTGGCTCCAAGGTTAACATCTTAAGATTATATATAAGAAAACTACATCAAAGTAACTTGCCTACTATCTTTATGGCCCAGGAAGCCTGCCTGGTGAAGCAACTGCTGTGTACACTGTGTACATGATGTGAGGAGAGAGAAATGAACAGTAGGGTCAAAAGGGCCAGAGATGCAGAGGTGTAGATTGATCAAAAATCATATCAAAATAGTTTAAACCCAGTCAACGCAATGCTTTCATTGCTGACACAGATGGCTTACTCTATATCTGTTATAATTCCTCATAGCAATCCCACCTGATCACTACATCTCTGGATATTTGCACTCCTACACCGGTCACGTTCAAAGGTAGCCCCACTTAGAGCGCATGGCAATAGTCCAAGCGGGAGATAGCCAGAGCATGCACCACTCTGGTGAGACAGTCTGTGGGCAGGGAGGGTAGGCACTGCAGGTAGGCATTGCAGAGGGTTGGACTAGATGACCCTAAGGGTCCCTTCCAGCTGTAAATTTGATTTCTATACTGACTCTCCACTGCCTCAAAGAGAGTCCATGAGGGCTGGTTAGAAATAGACTGACTTCAAGAAACATCAGCAAGCCTGGACACAAACATTTGAATGCCTGTCGTTGCTTCTTACCCTGAAAACTAAAAGTGAGCTTAGAGGCCAGATCAAACTCTGTTTTTAACCCCCAAACAAATGCTTCTCAGCGCCAGGTCCTGCGGCACTTCCACGCCTGCCAGCAGAGGTGCGGGCGCCCCGAGGCATCAAGCACGCAAGCCAGGCTGCAGGAGCTCTGTGGCTCCCGGGGCTGGCGCTCGAATGGGGAGATCAGTGAGGAAGAGGATGAAGAGGAGGAAGCCCAGGGCAGTGAGCCCTTGGAAGAGAGCGACCTGGAGATCTCCGATAGCGGTGAGAGACGGGGAGATCGTGGGAGCAAAGGGCGCTTCCTGGGAGGGAGTGGGGACAAGGCTTGGGGTTGCCCACATGGCTGATGGGAGAATAATAATAAGTTATTATTTGTACCCTGCCCATCTGGCTGGGCTTCCCCAGCCACTCTGGGCGGCTTCCAACAAAGATTAAAAATACAGTCATACCTTGGGTTAAAGTTGCTTCAGGTTGAGCGTTTTCGGGTTGCGCTCCGCGGTGACCTGGAAGTAACACAACGTATTACTTCCTGATTTCACTGCCCGCGCATGCGCAGATGCTCAAAATGACATCACGCGCATGCACAGAAGCAGCAAATTGCGACGTGCAGATGTGGGTTGCGTTCGCTTCAGGATGTGAACGGGGCTCCGGAACGGATCCCATTCACATCCCGAGGTACCACTGTACATTAAAATGTCACACGTTAAAAACTTCCCTGAACAGGGCTGCCTTCAGATGTCTTCTAAAAGTCTTGTAGTTGTTGTTCTCTTTGACATCTGGCGGGAGGGTGTTCCACAGGGCGGGTGCCACCACCGAGAAGGCCCTCTGCCTGGTTCCCTGTAACTTGGCTTCTCGCAGGGAGGGAACGATGGGGGTGGAGACGCTCCTTCAGCTATACTGGGAGAAGGAGGCTTATGGGTGATGCTTACATTTCTCTCCCTCGAAGAGCCCCAGAGAAGTTCGGGGCGGGTGTGTCGGGCCTCTCTGCTCCCAGCCTGCCTTCCTCAGAGCACAGGGTCTGGAGAAGGAGCCCCAGCTGAGCACTGTTACTTTCTGTTAGGTTGCAAGCAGGGTGGAGCTACGGGGGGAATGTCGTGCGTTGGTTACAGTGTTGGACTCTGGCTTGTGAGACTGGGGTTCAAATCCCCGCTCAGCCACGGAACTGGGTGACCTCGTGCCAGTCCCTGCCTGTCAACCGAACCTACCTCACAGAGTTGTTGCGAGGAGAAAACGGGGGCGGGGGAGAGAACCATGTGTTGCTCCTTGGTGGGAAGGGTGGTCTATAAATACAGTGGTACCTCGGGTTAGGGATACAGTTGGCGCTGTGGGTTAAACCACAGAGCCTAGGGCTTGCCGATCGGAAGGTCGGTCGTTTGAATCCCCGTGACAGAGTGAGCTCCCGTTGCTCGGTCCCTAATCCTGCCCACCTAGCAGTTCGAAAGCATGTCAAGTGCAAGTAGATAAATAGGTACCGCTCCAGCGGGAAGGTAAACGGCGTTTCCGTGCGCTGCTCTGGTTCGCCAGAAGCGGCTTTGTCATGCTGGCCACACGACCCGGAAGCTGTACGCCGGCTCCCTCGGCCAATAAAGTGAGATGAGCACCGCAACCCCAGAGTCGGTCATGACTGGACCTAATGGTCAGGGGTACCTTTACCTTGGGTTATGTTACCTTCGGGTAACGTAATTTTGGGTTGCGAATGCGGCAAACCCGGAAGTATATGCTTCCGGGTTTCGTCGTGCGTGCATGCGCAGAAGCACTCTATTATGCCACGCATGTGCGCAGAAGCGGTGCCTCTGGTTACAGACTTTTCGGGGTAAGTACGGACCCCCGGGACGAATTAAGTTCGTATTTGGAGGGTCCACTCTACAGTCAACAGTCATTCTCTCTCCTAAACCTATGCCTTGAATGGGGAAGGACTTAAGGCAAATGGATGGAAGTACTTGGCACATGTGTCACAGCCTGTGGAACTCATTGCCAGTGGACTGGCTTGTTAAAAGTTTTGTGTGTGTGTGAAATGGATAGACTTGTTGCTGGTAGCTATGATAGGCTGGGGTAGGGGACCTTTTGTCTCCTGGCTGTCTAGGGCAAACAGGAGATTGGCGTTGCTTTGGGGATGTACATTTCTTGGTGGACGGCATGGTTTGCTTCAGAGACGGTGACTCTGGGACTCTCCCCTCTCTTCCAGGCGGAGAGGACGACCTGGAGGGCTACAACAAGACGGTCCCTGGACGGCGAAGGCTCAACAAGGTATACCAGGGCACCAGTCCACTCGGCTCCATGGGGCCAGCTAACTCTGATGCCCAGAGGTCAGGGCATAGGTGAACTGTGGCGCTCGCTCCCACAGAAGACAGGGGTGGCCACCAACTTGGGTGGGTTTTAAAAGAGGATTGGACCATTTCCTGGGGGAGGAGAGAGCTGGCCATGGCCAGGGGCCTCTGCCCTGCCTCCAGAGTTGGAAGAAGCGATGCTGCTGCTTGCCAGTTGCTGGACATCTACCATATTTTTCGCTCCATAAGACGCACCTAGTTTTTAGAGGAGGAGAACAAGAAAAAAAATATTCTGAACCCAACAGTGGATGTATGATTTTTGTGGTTCATGCTGTGGCCTCAGACATGTGATTTGACGGTGAGTTTGGGGCAGCCCAATGCAAAATTCCTGAGGATCCATGTGGATCTGTGCTTTGTAACCATGTTTTTGCCCCATTGCGGCCCCATGAAACAGTGAGTGCGTGATTTTTTGGGTGCAGGCTGTAGCCATGGACATGCTATGTGATCTGATGGTGAATTTGGGGTGACACAATGCAAAAATCCTGAGGATATATGGGCTTTTACCTCCCCACTCCCAGGCAGCCTCCTTTATCGCTAGTGTCCCTTATCTCCCTCCCGATCGCTTTGCTGATCAGCTGCTCAGGGGCTTTGTTTCAACGCCCCCTTCCCTCTTTCTTAAAATAAAAGCACAATCTGCTTTTCTACCCTGGGAAATTCGGCTCCAGGGACCACACATTCGCTCCATAAGACGCACAGACATTTCCCCTTACTTTTTAGGAGGAAAAAAGTGCGTCTAATGGAGCGAAAAATACGGTAAATCTAATATAATCAATTGCACGGATGTCTGTTACTTTTTATTAGAAGCTACTGCTATTATCGGCTGTAATTTTTTTTTGCAATTGTTAGGTTTTTTTAAAAAAATAGTTTTAAATGTTGTAATTTTAAATTGTTGTAACCCACCCGGGGACCCCAGGTTGAATGGCATATAATAAATAACAATCATAATCATAAAAGAGAATATTTCAGGGCAGTAAGCTGGAAGCAGGCCTTTTTGCCATTGCCTCTTCCCTGTGGGATTCCTTTCCCTCTTGCCTTACCTGAAGCATCATCCATCAGTTGCTTCAGACATCTTGTGAAGACGCCTCTTTTTGCTTTCCCTGATCCCCTAAAATCGAAGCCTGTTGTTATGGGATTCTTGTTTTTATAATCCTGTTTCACCAGATACTGTGTACCTGCTTTCATCATTTTTGCATGCCGCTTAGAGATTTTTAAATATGAAGAGGTTTAGAAATGCTTAGGAATCAGCAAGTGAATAAACTAAGCAGGTGATCCTCCCGAGGGGATTGGTGTCAGCAAGCCAGTCATCGGAAATATTAGAATACTTGTCTCCTGCCCATCTGACTGTGTTGCCCCAGCAAAATATAAAAACACAGTCAGACGTACATCTTCTCCCTTTGACTTCACTGTCTTGGAAATTGGGGTGGGTAGTTGGGGGAAAGTTACTGATTTCATTATTATTATTATTATTATTATTATTACCCTCCCATCTGGCTGGGTTTCCCCAGCCACTCTGGGCGGCTCCCAACAGAATATTAAAATCACAACAAAACATCAAACATTAAAAACTTCCCTGAACCTTCAGATGTCTTCTAAAAGTCAGATAGTTGTTTATTTCCTTGACATCTGGTGGGAGGGCGTTCCACAGGGCGGGCGCCACCACCAAGAAGGCCCTCTGCCTGGTTCCCTGTAACCTCACTTCTCGCAGGGAGGGAACCGCCAGAAGGGCCTCAGAGCTGGACCTCAGTGTCCGGGCTGGACAACGGGGGTGGAGACGCTCCTTCAGGTCTACTCCTTCAGGTATTCCTCTGTTGCATTTCCCTCTACCCAGTGGAACCAGCGGAACGAGCGTGGGGAGACTTTGCTGCACCGCGCCTGCATAGACGGGAACCTGCGCCAGGTGCAGTTCTGTGTGAAGAAGGTGAGCTGCTGGACATTAAAATAAAGGGGAAGCGGGCAGGGACTGCGGTGGTGCTGTGTGGGATAGTGCACACCCCAGAAATGATTTCTTTCAGCTTCTGCCTTCTGGAAGAAGGTACAGCGTTATAAACACTAGGACTAGCCGCCTGAGAAACAGTTTCTATCCAAATGTGATTTTGGTTTTAAACGCAGTGTAAGGTAGTGAGCTCCCGTTGCTCGGTCCCAGCTCCTGCCAACCTAGCAGTTCGAAAGTATGTCAAAGTGCAAGTAGATAAATAGGTACCGCTCCGGCGGGATGGTAAACGGCGTTTCCGTGCACTGCTCTGGTTCGCCAGAAGCGGCTTAGTCATGCTGGCCACATGACCCAGAAACTGTACGCCGGCTCCCTCCGCCAGTAAAGTGAGATGAGCGCTGCAACCCCAGAGTTGGTCACAACTGGACCTAATGGTCAGGGGTCCCTTTACCTTTAAGTTAGTCTCTGGGGGTGTATATTGTATTTAATTATGGGGTATCAGAGTTTTTAGGGGGCTAACCAGGCTGGGATAGCTGGGTTAGTAGGCTGGGATAGCTGGGTTAGTAGGCTTGATGGTTTTTGAATGTCTGGTGTAGATTTTCTCAGTTTCGTCGTTCTGTATGGGACAATGACAATAAAGATTATCGTATCGTATTGGGATGCCTTCGGACAGAATCAGGGCAAGCTCTTGTGATCTTCTGGTCCCTGCCACTAGCTTTCCCCAGATCCTGGCTCAGGCCCATGGGGTTCGGCTTCTTTGTCTGTAGAAACTACTTCCCCCTCTTTCCCTGATGGCTGGTTTTGTCACATGGGGCATGGGAGGCTCCCCACCCCTATTTGGAGATAGGGAAGTGGGGAGCAGGTGCCAGGTGCGATGAGAAGGACGAGGCCCCAGCCAACTTCTGACCCCCTGAGCATCCGTACGTTTCTCCGCTCTGCCTCAGGGTCACCCTCTCAACCCTCGGGATTACTGCGGCTGGACCCCTCTGCACGAGGCTTGCAACCACGGCCATCTGGGTAAGTGCTGGGACAGGGGAAGGGGCTTCCTGGGGGGCCTGAAAGTGGGTGCTCTGTGCCCGGGAACATTCCCCCTTGACAGCAGAGTTGGGGCTGCGCTGGACGTGACCGTCCCCCTCGCCTCTTCCTCCAGAGATCGTGCGTTTTCTTCTGGACCACAATGCCGCCATTGACGACCCGGGGGGGCCTGGATGTGAGGGCATCACCCCCTTGCACGACGCCCTCAACTGCGGCCACTTCGACGTGGCTGAGCTCCTGATCCACAGGGGGGCGTCCGTGGTGCAGCGGAATGCCAAGGTGAGGCACCGGGGCTGGGACGGGGCGAGAGTTGCTGCTGGGGAGCAAGGCAGTTTATTCATTGCATGTATACCCATCACTAACCACTGCGCCACACTGCCTCTCTTCCTTTTTTAAAAAAATAAATCTGTATTAGTTTAAAATACAATCATACAGTAAAGGTAAGTATAACAAAATTAATCACAAAAAAGAAAAAAAGGGATTCGTCACCTCAAAAAGGTCGAAAAAAGGTGTAAAAGTGACAAAAAAAGACAATTAAAAGAACCACAGAAAACTTTATTGGATAAGACATGATGTTGTATAAATATGTGGTTCACACTGCCTCTCTTCCAGCGATGCACAAAGGGAACTGCAGCCCCTCCTCCTGGTATTGTTTGGGGTGGGGCTCCAGCCCTTTCCTACTGGTGTTGTGGTTTCTGCCTTCAAGGTCTAGGGAGGGGGGGCAGCATTTGACAAATCCCAAGTTTTGAAATTGTGGGCATTGCCTTCTCAGGAAGGCCTACTGAACAGGCTCCCTGAGCTGCTTCCATCCCTCCCTCCTCTGCTTTTGTTCCTGCTCCTCCTCCTCCCCACTTCATTATCTCCTTGTGGAGCTGTCTTCAGGGGATCCTCAATTCTTGTGGGGGTCAGGGAATCGAGGGCCCAAAGGCCCAAGTTGTAGACTACAACTCCCAGCAGCACCAGCACCAGGTTGGGGGGCGCAGGGTTAACCTGAAGTGCAAAGCCTATTATTATTATCTATTGAATTTATATACCACCCTACTCCCGGAGGTCTCAGGGCAGTTCACAGAAAAGATCACAATATATATAATCAGAATAAAACCAACAACCAATAACACACCCCCCCCAAAAAAACCCCACATTTTAAAAGGATGTAAATTGGATCAACCAAAGGCCTGGTTAAAAGTTAGCCTGGTGCCTAAAGGTGTATAATGAAGGCGCCAGGCAAACTTCTCTGGGGAGAGCATTCCACAGATGGGGAGCCACTGCAGAGAAGGCCCTGCTCTCGTGTTGCCACCCTCCGGACCTCTCAAGGAGGAGGCACACAAAGAAGGGCCTCAGAAGATGATCTAAAGGTCTGAGTAGGTTCATATGGGAAGAGGCGGTCCTTGAGGTATTGCGGTCCTGAGCCATTTAAGGCTTTATAGGTCAAAACTAGCACTTTGAATTGAGCCCAGAAACTAATTGGTAGCCAGTGCAGTCGGACCAGGTTCGGTGTAAGATGCTCAAACCGTCTTTCTCCAGTGAGCTACCTGGCCGCTGAATTCTGCACCAGCTGAAGTTTCCGAACTGTCTTCAGAGGCAGCCCTACGTAGAACGCATTGCAGTAATCTAACCTTGAGGTCACCAGAGCATAGACAACAGTAGTTAGGCTATCCCTGTCCAGATAGGGGCGTAGCTGGGCCACCAGCCAAAGCTGATGGAAGGCACTCCGGGCCACTGAGGCCACCTGAGCCTTGAGCGACAGTAAAGGATCCAGGAGGACCCCCAAGCTACGAAAATCTCCTTCAGAGGAAGTGTGCAGACCCACGTTTCTAACAGGCCCCTGCCTCCTCACAGCTCCCCCTTCCCCTTGGCTTAGGGACAGTGGCCTTGCATTGGCCGCTTGGCATCCTGGCAGCTTCAGGGTCTGCTCCCACTACAGGGAAGGGGGTGGCAAGCCCACCAGGATTCTTGGGTGCAGCCCAGAGGCGGCAAGAAGTTTCTGGCTGGGCTCCTGTTTCTGTTGGGGCCAACCCTCCCTGTGTCTCTGTTGTCAGGGCCTGACCCCGCTGGGCACTCTCCAGGCATGGGTGCATCTCTACGGCAGGGACCTGGACCGAGAGACACGCCAGCGCTGCCAGGCCATGGAGGGGCTGCTCAAGAGAGCCCTGGCAGACCGAGGTGAGTCTGCGCTTCGTTCCTGGGGCTCAAGGGGTGTGTGGCCTGCTCCTGGGGACACCCTCAAGGGGCCATTTGCATAATAATAATAATTTATTATTTCTACCCCGCCCATTTGGCTGGGTTTCCCCAGCCACTCTGGGTGGCTTCCAACAGAATATTAAAATACAATAGTCTATTAAACATTAAAAGCTTCCCTAAACAGTGCTGCCTTCAGATGTCTTCTAAAAGTCTGGTAGTTATTTTTCTCTTTGACATCTGGTGGGAGGGCGTTCCACAGGGCGGGAGCCACCACCGAGAAGGCCCTCTGCCTGGTTCCCTGTAACCTCACTTCTCGCAGGGAGGGAACTGCCAGAAGGTGCTCGGAGCTGGACCTCAGTGTCCGGGCTGAATGATGGGGGTGGAGACGCTCCTTCAGGTATACTGGACCGAGGCCAGTCTGCTTTATTGGGAATTCTCACCCAGCCGAGTCTTCCTTTGTTCTGGTGGAAAGCCTTAAAGCTGTTGTGTTTTTAGCAGGCCAATGTCTTTGATGCTTCAAGTTCATGAGAATGAACATTGGAGGAGAGCTCTGGGTCCCTTCCTTATCCTGCCCAGATTCTGTCTCCCTGCTCTGCTCAGAACAGCACCCTGTTCCAGATTGAAAGGGACTGGGGGACCCACGATCTCTGTCTCCTTTGTTGCTGTGCCTGGAGCCAAGCCTTGCTTTTGGGTTCTTTGGGGCTGAGTGGGCAAGGAGAAATATTTTTTTAAAAAAATATATTTATTTATTTGGTTTTTCAAATTAAAGTTTTTCAGAAATATACCAAACATAAATCATAAAAGCAAGATTCCAATGAATCTCCTGGACTTCATCCTCCCCTTTGTGGGTCCTATGATTAATCATTTCCTCCTGCATCTTTTATGATAATCCAAATATTTTACGTCTCTGTTGTGTCCAGAATTCACCCTTAAACTACAAGTCATATTCCAATCCTAACAATTTTAACTGAATCCAATGGTTTTTAAGGTAAGTTATAAATTTCCCCCATTCCTTATTAAAATTTCGGCCTTCCTGATTTTCTGACTCTTCTGGTCATTTCAACTATTTCAGCATAGTCCATCAACTTCAATGAGAAATTTTGGGAATATTATCTGAAACAATTCCTAGTAAAAATTCTTCGGGTTTCTTGCTAAATGTAGTTTTTATCAGTCTCTTTATCTCTTCATAAATCATATTCCAAAATCTCTAGACAGGACCACCACAAAGGGTAGTGTGTTCCTATCTGTTCCTTACATCTCCAGCACTTGTTATTATATGATTGATTTATTTTTGCTAGTTTTACAGGGGTCAAGTACCATCTATAGTACATTTTCATAAGATTTTCCCTTATAAGGGAGTGAACTTGACGCCTTTGCTTTTGCCCCTCCAGGCTCCAAGGCTCAGCCTCCCCAAGAGCCGCCGGCCAGCCAGCTGTTTGACGCAGAGCTCTCCGAGTCCCCGCAAGCCCCCTGCCCTCTGGATCCTGCCCCAAAGTCCCCCAGTCCCCGGAGGAGCTGGAGGGAGCCCGAGGAGGACGACGCCATCAGTCCCTTGAGGCCGGTCAAGAAGAGGCAGCGGCTCTTTGGCCAGGACCCAGAGAGGGAGGCCAGGCTAGCAGCCCCGGCCGAATACCGGGCTGCCATTCGCGGGGTGGGCAGAGCCAAGCCCTGCCCTATGCCCAGCCCTGAGCGCCCCAAGTCTTCCGCTGGGCCTGCCCTGATCCCCCCAGAGGAGTACGTAGGAGATGACTGGCTGGAAGACGACCTGGGGCAGAATCTTGCCTCCCGCAAAAGGAGCCGCCAGAGCCCAGAAAGCGAGTCTGGGACCGAGTCGGAGGAGAGCCTGGGGGGCGAGAGTGACGGGGGCTTTCCCCGCCAGCCCCCCGAGGCCACCAAGAAGAGGAGAAGGAGGGTCCGGCAGAGTCGCCTCACCCATATTGTCAACAGGACTCCGCTGGGACGACTCCGAGGGGCCGGCCTGGTGGCAGCGGAGAACCCAGAGGGTGCGGCAGATCCCAGCATCCTCCAGGGGGCAGGAGGCAGCAGCCACGTCAATGGGGGGACCCCTGGGCGTGGGGAGAGCCCCCCCTCGGCACCAGCACATGTGAGTTTCCAGGGTTTGGGGAGAGAAGGGGGTCTGGCTTGGTTCCTTTCTGGCAGACGCTCTTTTTGCTGTGGCACTGTGAGAAGCTGGCTGGCTTCCCTGGGCCTTGAGAGGCCAGCACTCCTCTGGGATTGGGGCCATCCTATATGTTTTTAGCTGCCGCTATATCTGAATTGTCTCTGTTATACCCAGTTGCAGTTTAATGTATTCCTGCTGTGTTTTATGATTTTCCTGATACTGTAAGTGAGCCAGAACTGGTCTGTGACCGTAATAATAAAATTCATTCGTCCTCACCCTATTTCTCCTCCCCTGTTCTCTGCAGGTCCCTGCTCCCCCACCTCCGATCCGGGTGCGAGTTCGGGTGCAAGACAACGTCTTCCTCATCCCCGTGCCCCACAGGTGAGAGAACTGGGGCTTCCTCAGCCCCTTTGCCCTTTCCTCCCTCACTGAGCTGCCTCATCGGAGCTCTGGGTCTAAGCCAGACCTTGTCTTTGTAGAGGCAGCTTCAAAACTCTCCACATAAGCACCGTGGGAAGCGTCCAGTGCCGGATTTACGTATAAGCTAAACAAGCTGTAGCTTAGGGCCCCATTCTCTTGGGGGACCCCAAAAAAATTAAATGAAAAAATTAATAATAATACTAATATACTTTTTCTTAATTGTACAGTGGACGCTCAGGTTGCGAATGTGATCCGTGCGGGATGCACGTTCGCAACTTGCAGCGTTCACAACCCGCATCTGTTCACATGAGGGTTGCGATTGGCGCTTCTGCGCCCGCGGAAAGCGCGATTTAGCACTTCTGCGCATGCGCGACCGCTGAAACCCGGAAGTAACCCGTTCTGGTACTTCTGGATTTCGGAGGTCCGCAACCCTAAAAAACGCAACCTGAAGCGGCTGTAACCCGAAGTATGACTGTATTTCAGTTCAACAACTACTTTAATAAAAGACATGTTTTGTGATGCGCAAATGGCTTTAGATACCTATTAGGTCCATAAATATAGCATATATTCAATACAAAAAATAGTGACAATTTGTTGTTGACACAGGACAGCTGACATATAAAGGACCCCATTACCTTCAGCAGCTGAGGGCATCATCAAACCTCAATCCGGCCCTGGAAACACCTGTAATTGGGGAGGCAGGGGGTGGGATATTTCTGCTGTCCTCAAACCACCCCCAAATAATATTTCCCTCTGCACTGTTTGGATGAGAGCTGCGTGGCAGGAGACTGAATCCTTGCCGGAGGTGGGGCATTTCAGAGCCCCCCACTGCATGCCCCCTGGAATATAGGGAAGGGGGGGTGTCTTCCTACTGCAGCCCCTCTCCTCCTTCCTTGCAGTGAGAGTCGCCCTGTGTCCTGGCTGGCGGATCAGGCCTCCCAGCGCTACTACCAGACCTGCGGGCTCCTGCCACGCCTGACCCTGAAGAAGGAGGGGGCCCTCCTTGCCCCCCAGGACTGCATCGTGGATGTTTTGCAGAGCAACGAAGAGGTGAGCGGTCGCTGCCAGCTGAGGGAGAAATTGGCAGCGCTTCTCCCCATAGCCCCATTCCTCAGCTGCTGGCAGGGGAGTCTGTCTGGGGGGTGACGGGGGAGCAGACCACCCGTTTTGCATGTCCTCAGTTTAATCGTCCACGGAGGATGAGGGGAGACTTCTGCCAGGAATCCTGGGGAGCAGCTGCTTGTCAGTGTGGGCAGCACTGAAGTGCATGGCCCAGTGGTCGGACTTTGCAGGATCCAGATTCCTGTGCTCTTCTTAAGGGCTGTTTTGAGGCGTTTGTAGGTTCTGATGGCAAGGAAGCAGGTTAATATCTCCCCTGAGAAACTGAGATATGAAAACTAGGAGCTAAATGGCACCTTAAACCGAGGTTACGGGCACAACCATGGAATGTTTGGAAAACGTTTATTGAATATATGGGGAATAATTGGGTACAGCTGAAAACATTGGCAGCACTGAGATACATTCAATAGTGTAAATAAGTTTTGATGGATGTAATAATGCAATACTGAATCGTATAGTTTTTGTAAAAATATGCAGGGATTTATGATATGCAAAATGAACCGCTGGAAAGAGAAGAAGGGAAGTCATTGATACCTTAAGGATGTATAAATGAGCACTTTAAATTGTAAAATATAAAATTATATATATATATGTGTGTGTGTGTATATATATATATATATATATATATATATATATATATATATGGGGGATGTGGGTGGTGCTGTGGTCTAAACCACAGAGCCTAGGGCTTGCCGATCAGAAGGTTGGCTGTTCAAATCCCCGTGACAGGGTGAGCTCTCGTTGCTCGGTCCCTGCTCCTGCCAACCCAGCAGTTCGAAAGCACGTCAAAGTGCAAGTAGATAAAGAGGTACCTCTCTGGCGGGAAGGTAAACGGCGTTTCCGTGCGCTGCTCTGGTTCTCCAGAAGCGGCTTTGTCATGCTGGCCACATGACCCGGAAGCTGTACGCCGAGGGAGCGAGATGAGTGCCGCAACCCCAGAGTCGTCCGCGAGGTAAAGGGGTAAAGGGGTCCCTTTACCTTTATATATATAAAAATAAAAGGAAAGGTGTTCCCATTGGAGTTCCACCTTCCTTGGGCCCCAGCTGACCCCCCTGCTGACCTCTCTCTCTCTCCCCCTGGCAGGTCTTGGCCGAAGTGCAGTCCTGGGACCTGCCGCCCCTTGTGGAGAGATACCGCAAGGCCTGCCAGAGCCTGGCTGTGGGTAAGCCCAAGTTCCCCTGCGGAGGGGCCTGGTGTCTCTGAGCCCCCCTGCGTCCTTCAGAGCTTGCCTCTCTTGGCAGATGGGTTCCCAGGGGAGGGGTGTCCTCAGGAGGCTGCGGGCATCTTGCTGGTGCTTCTCTGCCCCAGTTCAGATGCAGCGCCTTCTGTCCTGTTGGGCTCAGAGAAGGGGCTTCTTCCCAAAGGGGTTTCAAAGAGGAACCTTCCCCTTTTCCGCAAGCCAGTTGCTGTGACGGCTATGCTGGCTTTTCCACAGAATTGTAGCGTTGGAAGGGACCCCCAAGGGTCATCTAGTCCAACCCCCTGCAAGGCAGGAATCTTTTGCCCAGCATGGGGCTCGAATCCATGACCTGCAGATTAAGAGTCTCATGCTTTACCCACTGAGCTATTCTGCATCTTGGTTTATCTGTAAAAATATCTGCATACTGCTATATCGTTTTTTTAAAAAAACCCTATCAAAGCCGCTTATAGCAATAGAAGCATAAAACCATACACTGAATTGAATTGAATTGCATTTTATTATTACGGTCACAGACCAGTTCTGAACCATACATTAAAACCATAAAGAAATCAGACGTCGGTTAACCATTGTGAAAGGCTGCATTCTGAATTGCCTACACAGGCCTGGCAGAATAGAAATGATTTCAGCAGGCCTGCCAAATGTCTAGTGGCAGTGAGTTCCGCAGGACTGGCCCAATGACACTGAAGGCTTGGTTTGTGAGTCTTTTGCCTTGACTGAAGCCTGGTGCCCTGTCTCTCTCTCTCTCTCTCTCCCCCCGGCTGGCAGGGGAGCACCGATTACTCCTGCAGCTGCTGGAGTGCCAGGAATCGGGTCCGTCCTTCAACGTCCCGGGCATGGCCCTGCGCCGCCTCCACCTGACGCCTCTCCTCCGTGCCCTCAAGCTGCAGACCTCCATCCGGCGCCTGTGCCTCCCCGGGGCAGGCCTGGGCGACGACTCGGCGGAAGAGCTGCTGGCCACCGTCGCCACCATCCCCGGCCTGGAGGCGCTGGACCTCTCGGCCAACCGGCTGGGCCCCCAGGGGCTGCGCAGGCTGACCGAAGGAGTTACCGGCTCCATCACTTTCCAGGTACGGGCGGCAGAGGAGCTGCTCTGGAGGGAAGCGGGAGAGTGCAATAATAATAATAATAATAATAATTTATTATTTATACAGTCGTACCTTGGTTCTCGAACAGAATGTATTCCGGGAGTCCGTTTGACTTCCGGAACCGTTTGAAAACCAAGGTGTGGCTTCTGATTGGAGCCTCCTGCAGCCAATTGGACGTTCAGCTTCTGGAAAAAGTGCAGGAACACTCACTTCCTGGTTTCAATTGTTCAGAAGCATTTGAGATCCAAGGGACAACTGTATTATTATTATTATTATTATTATTATTGCTATTGTTGTTGCTATTTTAAAAATAGGAAGCTGAGATTCATGCAGACCTTTCAGGCCCTATGTGAGACATCCCATCTCGGGGTTCTGACTCCTTCTTTCTGCCCTCAATCTGATGACAAGTGGCTTGTATTTTAACAATACAATACAACAGGTTATTGTATTTTTCTATTCTCTTGGAAGCCGCCCAGAGTGGCTGGAGAAATCCAGCCAGATGGGCGGGGTATAAAGAATAAATTATTATTATTATTATTATTATTATTATTATTATAAGCCCTCCCTCTGCCACCATCTCACTCGAACCCACACCCCTTGTTGTTTCAGAACCTGGAAGAGCTGGACCTCAGCCTGAACCCCTTGGGGGACGGCAGCACCCAGCCCCTTGCCTCCCTGGTCCAGGCCTGCCCGGTCCTGAGCACACTCCGACTGCAAGCCTGCGGCTTCACCACCGCCTTCCTGCAGCACTACCACCTCCTGCTGGCCAGTGCCCTGAAAGGTGAGAGGAGCAGGAAAGAGCATCGGCTGTCAGCAGGGATCAGGTCCAGTAGAGCTAGATTTCGTAGAACAGTCAGGTTTGAAGGGACCACAAGGGGGATCAGGATGAGTTAAGCAAGTCTGATCTGCCTTGGCTTTGCACAGTTAATTCTGTTGGCCTATAGGATGTAGCCCTTAAGAGTGTTGGACTCTTTTCATAATAATTTTTATTTGGTTTTACAAATATTAATTCATAGCAATCCAAATTGAATAATAATACAGTGGTGCCTCGCAAGACGAAATTAATCCGTTCCGCAAGTCTCTTCGTCTAGCGGTTTCTTCGTCTTGCGAAGCAACCCTATTAGCGGCTTAGCAGATTAGCGCTATTAGCGGTTTAGCGGCTATTAAAGGCTTAGCGGCTAAAAGGCTATTAGCGGCTTAGCGGCTTAGAAAAAGGGGGGGGGAGCGAAAAAAATCTCAAGACTCGCAAGACATTTTCGTCTTGCGAAGCAAGCCCATAGGGAAATTCGTCCTGCGAAGCAACTCAAAAACGGAAAACCCTTTCGTCTAGTGGGTTTTCCGTCTTGCGAGGCATTCGTCTTGCGGGGCACCACTGTAATAATAATAATAATAATAATTTTATTTATATCCCGCCCTCCCCAGCCGAAGCCGGGCTCAGAGCGGCCAACAACAGTAAAAGTAAACACAGCATTCTAAAATCAATTCATTCTAAAATCAATTCAGAATCAAATTAATGGCAACCATTGGGCTAGAGTTCTATGAGGATTTCTACAGATCTCTGGACTTCCCACCTTCCCCTCCTTGGGTCCTATTGTACACCTTTTTTAACTGCATATTTCCCCACAATCCACATTTTATATCTTTCCGTCTTGTCCATAATATTTGTTACATTACAAGTGTTATAAAAATCCTGCTAGTGCTTTCATCTGTTTATCTCCTAGATAAATTATAAAATTTCCCCATTCTTCATTGAAGTTCAGGTCTCCTTGGTTCCTGAGTCTTCCAGTCGGTTTGCAATTTCAGCATAATCCAACAGCTTAATTTGACCATTCCTCTCTGCTAGGGACTCTTAACTTTTGGGAGAGCAGGGTGCAAATCCCCACTTGGCCATCAAGCTCACCTGGTACCCTGAGCCCTGGGGCATTCATGATCTCTTAGCCCTGGTCTACTTCGCAGGGTTGTTGTGAGGCTGAAATGGAGGTGTGGGCAGGGAATCACGTATGCTGCTTTGAGCACCTTCGAGAAAAAAGTGGGATGTAAATGCAAAAATAAATAATAAATAAATATTGGAGATGGAGGGGCAGACAGATTTGCTGGGAACTGAACATTACACTTACCCAAACAAAATGATGCACACACACACACACACACACACACACACACACGGGTGTCCCACAAGATGTGGCTCAGAGCCTTTTTGTGCTTGAAGGCCTTTGCAGCCCTTATTTTATTTTTGATGAGCTGGTCACCTTACCAATTATTTGTATTTTTCTTTTTTAAGCGCTTTATGTTTTACTGTATTTTTCGCTCCATAAGACGCACTGTTTCCCCCCTAAAAAGTAAGGGGAAATGTGTGTGTGTCTTATGGAGCGAATGCAGGCGGGAGCCTCTCTCTTTAAAGAGCTGCGCCGAGCGTTTGTGCGGCTCTTGCTGGCTTTTCCGCGAGGTGGGAGAAGGGGCTGACGGGTTGCCCTCCATCCCTTCTCCCACCTCCCGGAAAAGCGAGCGGGGCTCTGTGTAAGGGCTCCCTTCCGTCCCTCATCCCGCTTTGCTGGGAAGCCAGCAGAACAAGAGCCACTGCGCAGCTGTCACTCTTGCTCTGCCGGCTTCACAGTGAAGCGGGAGGAGGGAAGCAAGCAAAGCGAGAGCTGCTTACATGCTCTGCGCAGAATATGTTTTTTTCTTGCTTTCCCCCTCTAAAAACGAGGTGCGTGTTATGGTCAGGTGCGTCTTAGGGAGCAAAAAATACAATACCATTGTACAGCAGTCGGAATATTCTGTGAAATGCTAGGATGGAAACGCTTCTATACATAAGCAAACTGTGCTCAGCTGATTTGTGTGAGGGCATTCCTGAGTGTCTCTCTTCTGGGGACAGAACGTGACAAGGTGTGGTGTTTGTCTGTCGAAATGAAGCCGCTGTGTCAATGCGGACGCTTTTCTTCCTGCGGCCCTTGGAGGTTCCTGTTCCCTCCCACTTCACTTCCTTGTGGTCCCTGCATCACGGGGCATCGGACCAGATGGCCACACTGGTCCCTTCCACCTGTATTGCTTTCTCCGACTTCTGCCAACTCCTCCTGCGCTCTCTTCCCTCAGGAGCTGTGCACCTCAGGCGGCTGACCGTCTCCCACAACGCCCTGGGCTCCTCTGCCCTGGAGCTGCTCCTGAAGAGCCTGCCTTCCCAGAATCTCACCCACCTGGACATCAGCTCCGTGGGCGCCAGGCCAGGGGACCAGCAGCCTTTGCAGGACGCTGTGGCCAGGTACCTGGCGCAGGTACGGTTGACCGGGTGCCAGCAGGGAGGCGAGCGTCCTGGGGGACCTCAGGCCTTCAGCCCAGCCAGCTGACCCCTTGTGCTCTGGTGAAAGACAGGGGAGGAGGAAGGCCTGGCTCATGGGTAGGCAAACTATGGCCCGGGGGCCGGATCTGGCCCAATCGCCTTCTAAATCCGGCCCACGGATGGTCTGGAAATCAGCATGTTTTTACATGAGTAGACTGTGTGCTTTTATTTAAAATGCACCTCTGGGTTATTAGTGGGCCATAGGAATTCATTCATTTTCTTCTTCAAAATATAGTCCGGCCTACCACATGGTCTGAGGAACAGTGGACCGGACCACGGCTGAAAAAGTTTGCTGACCCCTGGTTTAGACCATGGGCAGGCAAACTAAGGCCCGTGGGCCAGATCCGGCACAATCGCCTTCTAAATCCGGCCCACAGATGGTCCAGGAATCAGCATGTTTTTACATGAGTAGAATGTGTGCTTTTATTTAAAATGCATCTCTGGGTTATTTGTGGGGTACAGGAATTCGTTCATTTATTTATTTTTTTCAAAATATAGTCCAACCCCTGATAAGGTCTGAGGGACAGTGGACCGGCCCCCTGCTGAAAAAGTTTGCTGACCCCTGGCCTGGCTTCTCCACTGTGTGAGGAAGCGATGGGACATGGTCTGAGTTTCCCCACCTGACCAGGTCTTGGAGAAGATCCAGACACTCGCACACCTTAATTTTCCGCATTCTGAATCTTTGTTCTTCTCCGTACAGGAAGGCTGTGCTCTCAGCCACCTGGCTCTCTCTGGGAATCACCTCAACGATGACGCTGTTGCAGAGCTGGCTAGGTGGGTGGAGGGAATGTGGGTCTTGTGCTTTTTTGAACCCTTTGGCAGGGGGTGGGTGTCTTCCACAGTGGGGAGGGTCAACCTTGGCCATATCTCTGGGCGTTCTTGACAGCGGCAAAGGGTTCCTCACCTCCATTTTTGGTACTCTGAGCAAAACATTTCCCATGTATGCTTTGATTAATTGAGGAAGCTCTCGTTTCTGACGGGAAGAGCTGTTTGACACTTTGGAAGATGGTGGTTTTTAAATGGCTTGGATGGCCGGCCATCAAGAGATTCCTTAGCTGCGATTCTCTGGCCCCTGGAGGTTCCAGAGTTTGGCTTCCTACTCCTCTCCCACTTTTCCTCATAGATAAGTGGTTCCTGCCTTGCAGGGGGTTGGACTGGATGAGCTTTGGGGGTCCCTTCCAACTCTACAATTCTGTAATTTTCAGCGTAGATGAGCAGAATGCAACCAGATCCATCCATTCCTGATTCTGACATTTCTTCTCTTTCTCCAGCCATCTCCCTACCTGCCTGCCTTTAGTCTCGCTGGATTTGTCAGCAAATCCTGAAATCGGCATTGTTGGTCTTCGGACGCTGCTACTTGCCCTCGAGGAAAGGAATCGGGGCCTCCAGTTCCTCAGCTTGGCTGGTGAGTGCTGGAGCCGTTTTTAATCGGCCGCCCCCGACTGCCCCTCCCCTCCAGAACTGCTGAAGGGCAATGGATTCTGGGTGGCCCACCAGGGTTAGCCTCGGTCTGTTGTTTTGCCCGCAATCCTGTGGTTTTCTCATGCACCCCTCTTGACGTCAGTCCAATAAACCAAAAGCAAAATTTATTTTGTCTAAAGGGAATTAGCATGCGGAAAACTAGGATGTGATCAAGGAAAAAGCAGGAGGATCTTTGTTTTGATGAAGGGCAGGCTAAGTAATCTGAGCTTCACCTCAGTGCATCCCAAAGCTAAAACTTCAGGAACCTGAGCCATCGTTGTGGGATGTGGCTGGACTGTTGTAGTCTGAGAGCCCAGTTTTCAAAGTAGTAATAATAATAATAATAATAATAATAATAATATATTCTTTATACCCCACCCATCTGGCTGAGCTTCCCCAGCCACTTTGGGCAGCTCCCAACGGAATATTAAAAACATGATAAAACATCAAACATTAAAAACTTCCCTAAACAGGGCCGCCTTCAGATGTCTTCTAAAAGTCAGACAGTTGTTTATTTCCTTGACATCTGATGGGAGAGCGTTCCACAGGGCAGGAGCCACCACCGAGAAGGCCCTCTGCCTGGTTCCCTGTAACCTCGCTTGTCGTAGGGGGGAAACCGCCAAAAGGCCCTCGGAGCTGGACCTCATTGTCTGGGCTGAACGATGGGGGTGGAGATGCTCTTTCGGGTATACTGGGCAGGGCCGTTTAGGGCTTTCAAGGTCAGCACCAACGCTTTGAATTGTGCTTGGAAAGTTACTGGGAGCCCATGTAGGTCTCTTAGTCGGGGTTATATGGTCTCGGCGGCCGCTCCCAGTCACCAGTCTCGCTGCCACATTCTGGACAAAGGAGGCTCCTCCAGTTCTTCCTTCCTTCCTTCCCTAGGCTGCTCCGTGAGGGGGTCTCTGGATAGCGTGACATGGACAAAGCTCTCCTCGAACGTCTCTCAGCTGCACCTCTGCACTCGCCACCTGAGCAGGAGTGACCAGCGGGACGTGGCGGAGCTGTGGCGTGGCCCGCCGGGCACCTCCCTCCACTCAGTCACACGGCATCACAAACTCTTCTGTCACTGCCTGTAGGATGCCATCCTTCTCCACTGCGTGCTGTAGGCCTCGCCCATGAAGCCGCCTCTGGAACACTTCGCAGGCGCTGGCTCCAGCAGTCTTGGATTGCACTGCTCAATGCGGCCGTGGACTTAAGGCAGTTCCTGGGCTCCTGTAAGCTGGCATGGTCCAGGGCTGCTGATGGACCAGATGAAAGCAAGGGGTGTCTGTCCTCTTTCTCAAGGGATGTCAAGAAGGGAGATAGCTTGGCATTACGCTGCTTAGGGCGGGACTAGACACCTGCCTGGCACAGGTGCGTCCAGAGCTCTAATAGGACCAACTCAAAACTGCCATTATGAATTATATTCTGAGTTTGGTGTGGTGGCTGAGAAAAAGGAATATTGGTATGGAAAATCGGCTACCTTTGTGCTGCCCAGCAGTTCTGTGATGTGATTTCCAATATTTATTGAATGCCTCGCAACACAAAGATGCTGTGTCGTCCCTCGTCTTGCCTGTCCTGTGTCTTTGTCGCTGGTCTCGAATGGGTAGGTAGTAGTGCCACAGGGGTGGGGAAGCTGCGCAGGCCTTGTGTGTTTTGAGCTTCGGGCTACGGAAAGAAGTCAGAAGCTGCTGCTTTCTGAAAGCTCATTTGGGATACGGGACCAGGGAAATAAGTCCCAATTTTTAGAACTGTATTGGAGTCACCTCTGCGTGGGAAAAAAGAGCCATCTGAATCAAAGAAATAAGGCCACCATTTGTCACTGTAGAAATATTTTTTATTTGCTTCAGACCGGTAGAGTCTGCCTCTCTGAGGCAAAAGCAACACTCAAATAAATACAAGCACCACACAGGCATTACCTGCCCCACCACTGACCCCCTTCAGGTGGCAAAGAGAGTTAGCTGTCAGTTGTTTGCCGCCTTCCGTGGTGCATTATTAGACTCCCTCCCCACCCCCACCCCTTAGAGAAGTGGACACAAATACTATACAATGCAATGAATGAGAAAACAGGAGAGCCATGGAACTTAAACAGTAACAAGAGGGAGTTTCTTTTTCCCACCCCAAAGGAGGGGAAACGAGTCCTCGCATTCAGAGGGACAATGGGAGGAATGTACATTTTCATTCCTGGCACAATGGCTCTATAACCACATGATGTGGCCGCTGTCGACGAGGCCCAAAGCCCGTCCTCCTCCTCCTCACGAGTGCAGGAAGCGGTTGAAGGCATTGTAGGCAGACTCCAAGTCGAAGAGCATCTGCCGCACTTGAGAGTCGTCCAGTTCGTCCGAAGCCGACATGCCGCTCAGGGTTTGCAGCCTGGAGGGAGAGCAAGAGGCATCAAGCGCTGGAGCGGAATGAGCAAGAGGGAGAGAAGGGGCGTCTTGTCTCTTCCCCTCTCATCCTGCCTTCCTCGTGACTCCACAATATACCGGGGGGAGGAAAGAAGCCTCTTCTGGGAAATGCCTCTGTCGGGCCATAGGAGAGGCAGATGGCTCTGGCCTCTTCCCTGTTCCAAGCGGAAAAGTGAGCGCAGGCTGGGGGAGGTTTGGAAGCCGCACGGAAAGGCCTCGGGCGTTTACGCCAACCCACCTGGGATGGAAAAGCTGCAGCTTTGAGGCGCTGCCTTTGCTGCAGTTTCCCCACCAGACAGGCAGGACGTGGGTGGCACTGTGGGTTAAACCACAGAGCCTAGGACTTGCCGATCAGAAGGTTGGCGGTTCGAATCCCCGCGACGGGGTGAGCTCCCGTTGCTCGGTTGCAGCTCCTGCCAACCTAGCAGTTCGAAAGCACGTCAAAGTGCAAGTAGATAAATAGGTACCGCTCTGGCGGGAAGGTAAACGGCATTTCCGTGCGCTGCTCTGGTTTGCCAGAAGCGGCTTAGTCATGCTGGCCACGACCCGGAAACTGCACCGGCTCCCTCGGCCAGTAAAGCGAGATGAGCGCCGCAACCCGAGTCGGCCACAACTGGACCTAATGGTCAGGGGCCCCTTTACCTTTTTTACCCCACCAGACAACCGTTTCATTTTAGAATAATCGAAAAGGGTAAGAGGAGAGAAACAGAGTTCCTCATTCTATGGGGAAAATGCTCACCACTGGTTCACTTTCTGCCGCCCCTCGAAGTCCGGGGGCAAGTGGCTCATGCGGTTCATGGTCTCCATCAATTCCCGGAGGTCAGGCTGGATCTGAGGAGGAGGAGGAGGAGAAGAAGAGGGAAGGTCACTGGGCAGCCCTCCTTGGTCAACCTCCCCCCATCCCACCTGAGCCACAAAGCACTCAAAGAAGTGTCTTGGCAGGCAGGTGCAGCTGCTGATCTCTGGACACCAAGCAATTTTCACTAAGCGTATAGTGAAATTGTGAAAAACGTGCTTCAAATCATCAAATCAGAATGGCAGAAGGGGCCCCAAGAGTCTTCTGGAGTCATCTAGTGCAGCCCACGACAATGCAGGAATCTAAATTAAAGAATTGCTGACAGAGGGCCACCCCTCTTCTGTCTGGAAACCACCAATGAAGGAGGATATAGACAGAGCCCTGTGGCTGGATCAGGCAAAGACCTCTCTAATCCAGCATCCCTTAGGGACTGTGCCAACTTTCAAATGCCTGAAAACTGTTCTATTCTGCGAGGTCAATGCAGCCAATTCAGAGTTCATCCTTCCACCATGGTTTATCGAGGCTTAAAAAACAAAACTACTTTATTATTATCATTATATACAGTGGTGCCTCGCAAGACGAAATTAATCCGTTCCGCGAGTGTCTTCGTCTAGCGTTTTTTTTCGTCTTGCGAAGCAACCCTATTAGCGGATTAGCGCTATTAGCGGTTTAGCGGCTATTAAAGGCTTAGCGGCTTAGCTGCTAAAAGGCTATTAGCGGCTTAGAAAAAGGGGGGGAAAGCGAAAAAAAATCTCAAGACTCGCAAGACATTTTCGTCTTGCGAAGCAAGCCCATAGGGAAATTCGTCCTGCGAAGCAACTCAAAAACGGAAAACCCTTTCGTCTAGCGGGTTTTCCGTCTTGCGAGGCATTCGTCTTGCGGGGCACCACTGTATTTATACCCCAGCTTTTCCCCTGACATGGACTCATGTGCATGGTTTTTATCCTTTTAATGTTGTCAACCGCCTCTGGGTATATTTTTATTATTTAGTGGTATATAAATATTTTTATAAACAAAAATAAATAAGCAAGGTCCTAAGGGTGGGTGAAAGCAAAATTACAGAAATAAGTTGGGTGCTAAAAACACTCATCTCAAGTGTCAAAAGGCAGGGTGATGATGATACCAGACACTGATAGATTTATCCCCTATGAACATGTAGGGAGTATGTATTTCGTAAGATTTAGACACTGCTTTTGGAGACACAGTCATTGTGATTATACCTAGAGACAGGATCCTATCAACTGCTTGCCCATTTCACAACGAAATCTGTGCCTGTAGTTTGGCTGGAAAGCATGCAGTATCTAACACCCCACAACAAATGCACAAGTCAATAATAATAATAATAACAACAACAATAATAAATAAAATTTTATTTATATCCCATCCTCCCCAGCCAAAGCCGGGCTCAGAGCGGCTAACCACAATAAAAGTGACACCATTCACATAAAATCACAATCAATTAATTGAAATGCATTCTAAAATCAATTCATTCTAAAATCAATTCAAAATCTAATTAATGGCAACCATTGGGCTAGAGTTCTATAAGGATTACAGAAGGAGAGAGGGGGTCAGGCTGTGCCTTGGCCAAAGGCCTGGTGGAACAGCTCCATCTTGCAGTCCCTGCGGAAAGATGTCAAGTCCCGCAGGACCCTGGTCTCTTGGGACAGAGCGTTCCACCAAATCGGGGCCACGGCCGAAAAACCCCTGGCTCTGGTCGAGGCCAGTCTAACCTCCCTGTGGCCTGGGACCTCCAAGATGTTAAGGTGCTCATAGCATCACCCTGACCAACCTTGGCCTGGGGAGGGCAGCGCCTTTGGGTGGAAGCACCCCTCTCATTTCACTCACCTCATCCATTGCCCGGATCTCCAAGCGCAGCTTGTCCATCACTGTGATAAAGAGCTGGAAGGAAGGAAAAGACCTTCAGTTTGGGCCCAAGGAGCATCCGGCAGAAGGACCCCCAAGAGACGCCCTTCTGCTCCAGGTCGTCCCTCCCCCTGCCCACCTACCGACACGATGTCCGCAATGCAGCGGTTGAGGTTGCCCTTGTCGTCCTTGATGGTAATCGGCCGGTCTTCCTTGATCCTCTCCATGGCCAGCGGGCAATCGAGCTGCAAGAGACAGAGGAAACAGGGATGCTCAAAGGAGGGAAACACAGATCAGCCACAACTTTCCCACAGGGATCCCCTCAGGCTCCCCCAGCCATGGTCTCGATCCCCTCGAGGACCGCAAGGCGGGTCAGGAGCTGGAAAAAGCCGCTTCATCTGCACTCTGGGGTGAAGGAGCAGAGGTTTGGCACCCAGGGATGAGAATCTGGCTGCACAGCTGGGACCAGAGGACACCACTCCCCGCTCAACACCGCCCATGCAGACGTCGCCCTTCAGCACCAACTGCTTACCCGAAATTTACGGCAAAAGTCATCGATGGAGTTGATTTCCGGGCCTTGGACCTGCTTGAAGGCTGCCTTATACTGGACTAGGAGGCGGGAGCAAGCTGCAGTGTACCTGGAAGGACAGGGGGCCACATGGAATCAGCTGCCCACACCTCTGCCCCCTTTTTCTCCACAGCTGCCCATGACGAATGCTGCCCTGCTCCACTCCTGAATTAAGCAATGCTGCCCTAGATCTCTCCTCTTTTACAGATCTCTTGAGGGAGCTGCATTGCAGGGGCTGAATCAGGTGGCCCTCTGTGTCCCTGCCACCCCTGCAATTCTATGAACCCAGAGTGGCACTGCCTCAGATCCCTCCAGGTGCCTGTCAACTCACTCGTTGGGGGTGACACAGTCCTTGATGTAGGCTTTTTCCAGAGCCTGCATTGTCTTCACCACAGCAAACAGCTCAGCCATGTTGTCGTACCTGAAGCAAAGTTAGAATGAGTCAATTACGAAGGTCCAGCTGCACCCTGACCCGTTTCCCTCTGAGAAAAGAGACTCTGACAGAGGCCAGGAGCCTTGTGGGGGGCATAGGGGCATGCAGACCTCTCACATCAGACAAGGGCTCATGCATTTGTGGGGAAATGACACGGCACTCAAAATATCGAATTCCACAGTTGCTAGGGGAGCAAAGGGTTAAGACACATGGCGCTCCCTGTAAAGTCCTAGAGGGCACTTTGTGTGAGGTCACATCCTCTGCTTGCCCAGGCGGAAAGGGTAACAATAGGAAAACAATCCTCGTCACTTCCTCCCACCTGAGGAAAACTCTCTCATCATGCAGCCGTAGGGAAAGGATGCCGGATCTGTGCTCCCCCAAAGCACAAACCCCATCTTTGACCTAAACCATGTATTTTGTAATTCTGAAGTACGGTCAAATCTCGGTTCCCGAACACCTCCATTTTGGAACATTTCGGCTCCCGGACGTCAAAGTGTTCCAGTTTCCGAACGGAACCCAAACATCTGACGCAGCTTCTGATCTGCAAACAGCCTAGCTGTCAGCCAGTCAGAAGCCGCACCTCGGAGTTCGAACATTTCGGAAGTCAAACGTCCTTCCAGAATGGATTATGTTTGACTTCCAAGGTTCCACTGTATATTTTGCCCACCTTGTTTCACTGCTATTTTCTACCTGAATCGAGTCTACAACTTTATGTCGGGAAACAATATTTATATACTCTTATACTACAGACTTCTGTGTTATTTTATTCAGAGGACTAAACAAGGCAGGATGCCCAAGGCATCCTGGATAATTAGCGAAAGCTCCACAGGTCTGTCCAAAGTTTCAGTGCTAATGCAGCACAGAATGGCATATTTTAACTCCTAGAATCATAGAATCCTAGAGTTGGAAGAGACCACAAGGGCCATCGAGTCCAACCCCCTGCCAAGCAGGAAACACCATCAGAGCACTCCTGACATATGGTTGTCAAGCCTCTGCTTAAAGACCTCCAAAGAAGGAGACTCCACCACACTCCTGGGCAGCAAATTCCACTGTCAAACAGCTCTTACTGTCAGGAAGTTCTTCCTAATGTTTAGGTGGAATCTTCTTTCTTGTAGTTTGGATCCATTGCTCCGTGTCCGCTTCTCTGGAGCAGCAGAAAACAACCTTTCTCCCTCCTCTATGTGACATCCTTTTATATATTTGAACATGGCTATCATATCACCCCTTAACCTCCTCTTCTCCAGGCTAAACATGCCCAGCTCCCTTAGCCGTTCCTCATAAGGCATCGTTTCCAGGCCTTTGACCATTTTGGTTGCCCTCCTCTGGACACGTTCCAGTTTGTCAGTGTCCTTCTTGAATTGTGGTGCCCAGAAGCACCACTCTGCTAAACTAGACACCCAACTTCCTCAAGTGAGTAAGAGGAAGGATGATTAATAGATGATGCATTCCACCCTACTTTCCAAATCCTTCCCAACAGCAATTAATGCAGAATTTGATATCTTATGAACTGCTTTCCTAAAGAAGACTCAGCCCCTCAGACCACTCCCACGACTGCTGAATCTCCAAAAGTCGCTCCCCCTTCCTGTCAATCAAGCCCCTTCCCAGGCAGAGAGAGTTAATAATAATAAATAATAATATTTTTTTATTTATACCCCGTTCTTCCCGGTTCAAAAACCGGGCTCAGGGCAGCTAACAACAAATTTAAAACAGTTGTAAAAGCAGCATAAAATACAGTATAAAAACATGAATAACAATAAAATTCAAAAACCAATTTAGGGGAAATAAGCATTAGATAATCCCCAGGGCTAGCTGGCTGAATTAGTCCTACTTGGGCCAGCGAGGAGGCCAGGGGAGAATTAGCTGTGGGGTCTCAGAGTAGGTAATCAGAGCGGGAGTTGAACAGAGGTGTGGCCTGAGCCATCACTGAGCATGTCCTTTGCAACGACACACACTAGAGCTGGGTATACTGTATTTTTCGCTCTATAAGACGCACTCCCCCCCCCCTCCAAAAATTAAGGGGAAATGTGTGTGCATCTTATGGAGCGAATGCAGGCTCCTTGGCTTCAGCGATAGCAACGCGAAGCCTCCGAAGAGCAGAGGGAGCGCTCCCTTCATGCTCCGGAGGCTTCGCGTTGCTTTCGCTGAAGCCTGGAGAGTGAGAGCCCTCTTGCTCTCCAGGCTTCAGCGATAGCCGCCTGAAGCCAGAGGCTTCGGGTTGCTTCACTGAAGCCAGGAAAGCAAGACTCTCCTGGCTTCAGCGAAAGGAACCTGAAGCCTCCGGAGCGCAGCGGGAGCTCCTGCTGCGCTCCGGAGGCTTCAGGTTGCGTTCACTGAAGCCTGGAGAGCGAGAGGGGTCGGTGCGCACCGATCCCTCTTGCTCTCCTGGCTTCGCTTCGCTGGAGAGGCGCTGCACAGCTTTCCCTTTCGGTGCAGCGCCCCTTCAGCGAAGTGGGAGGAGAAATGGAAGGGGCAGAGAGGGGGAGAATTTTTTTTCTTGTTCTCCCCCTCTAAAACAAGGTGCGTCCTATGGTCGGGTGTGTCCTATAGAGCGAAAAATACGGTAATTGGGTCAAGTACTCACTTCTCTCGCTCCCGGGCGTTCTTGTATAACTTCACTTCCTGCAAGGGAAAGGAGAGAGACACTGGATCCACCAAATCTTTGCACCAATGAAAGGAGAGTTGGGGCATCGGGGACCTTCAAGTCTGGGCTATGGGAGCCCCCCAAATGCCCTTGTAAGGAGCAGCGAGGGTAGTTCCCCAGGGGAGTCCTGCCCAAATCAGGAGCGCTTTGGCTGGCAGTCCTGCAATTTGGGGAGTGCCTGAAATTTCCCGCAATACTGCAACTCCCCCTCCCCAACCCACTCCCTGTGCCTCATTTGAAAGGAGCTTCTGGCCACTAAGCCACGAGAGAAACCGCACCACTTGCCTCGTATAGTTCCGGCTTATTCGCTGGGGCTGAAAAACAAAAAGGCGGAAATACATGAGACCAACTTGCTCCCAAACTGCTGCCATGAACATGAGAAATGTTCTCCAGGAAACCCACAAGCAGGATTTGAGCACAAGAGCCTCTGCCCTCCTGCGCTTTCCAGCAACTGCCTCTGACTTTGCAGGCAGAGTATAAGCATCGTGGTTAACAGCCACGGATTGCCCTCTCCTCCTTGCCTTATGCCAGAACATAAAAGAATTTGGAAGAGGAGCCCAAGATCAGTGGGGGTTTGGAGACACCATGCCTAGCACACAGGTTAGATACACAGAATCCTTGCCATTTATTTTTAGGCTTCTCTTCAAGATCTTATGCCAACACACCTATTCAGCTGTTTATAAATTCTTTCAGGTTGCGCAAGTGTCATACCTCGGGTTACAGACGCTTCAGGTTAAGTTTTTTCAGGTTACGGACCCACCGAAACCGGAAGTACCGGAACAGGTTACTTCCGGGTTTCGGCAGTCACGCATGCGCAGAAGCACTAAATCATGCTTTGCACATGCTCAGAAGCGCCAAATCGCAATCTGCACATGCGCAGCGGGTTGCAAACGTGCCTCCCGCATGGATCACATTCGTAACCCAAGCGTCCACTGTATCTCGTATTGTATTTAACATTTTATCACATTGACATATTTTGCTGTACACTGCCTTGATATTATATGTGAAGGGGCGATTGATACATATTTTTATAATGAAATATATAAAAACACTTCACACACACACAAAAACCCCTGCATATCAAGAATTTAAGGTCCAAGAAGTCCCTGCATTTGCTCTGGCCACCCCAGAATTAGCTCACAAGCAGCACTGGACTCACCTCCCATCCCAGGGGCTGCTGGGATTCCATGAAACATTCTTCCTCCGAGGGTCCGCAGCTGAGATCTAAAGTACCAACACGCAAGGTGCCTGTGATAAGAGCAGGTAAGAAGTCACAGCTAAACCTCCCTCCACATTTGTTCGTTTGCTGATTTTGTATTCCAAGTACTTAATATTCAGAATTAGAACCATTAAAATTAAGCCTAGGACAGAGAACTCCCTTAAAATGCTGAAATATGGAAGTCCTTGCCAAGCACCTGAAGCTGACCAGGGAGGGAAGCCTGTCTAATCTTGCTTGGGAGGCTGCTCCCATAATATTGAATGTCCTACTTCTGAAATTTACACATTACATCTTAGATGTCAACCCTGCAAGCTCTTCTTGGCTAATTAGCTCTGAAACAAATTCTTCTTCTTTGGCGAGCACTCATAGCCTTTCTGCAATCAGTTCTGAGACCTTTTTAAGAAGAAATCGATAATTTTGGCATCCCTAAAGTCTTCTGTGATCTCTCTCCCAGATTTTTTCAATGAGCTTGTGTAGTTGTTGTTTAAGTTCTGTTCCACCCACTTTGAAGATATCCTATCAGGTCCGCTGGCTTTGTTATTTTTCATTTCGTTAATAGCTGTACACAACTCTCCCCGATTTGGAGATACTGCAAGCTCATCTCTAACTTGGTTTTGCAGAATTTGTGAGAGGACCTCAGCAGTTACAGGGGAGTTGCAGTTAAGGAGATGTTGGTAATGTTCTTTCCAGCGCACAAACAAAGAAATAAAAGGGGGAGTGTTTCTCAACAATAAATGGAGCCTTTCCCCAGTGCCGGATTTACGTATAAGCTTAACAAGCTATAGCTTAGGGCCCCACTCTCTTGGGGGCCCCCAAAAAAATTTAAAGGAAACAAACAAACTGGATGTACATTTCCAAAATATAAGATAAAAAACAAATAAAATAAAACCTACCTACAGCAACAGTGTTTTGTGTTGTGTAGGCTCCTACAATGTAAGTAATGAGCCCCGCCTGCTAACCTGCTCCCTAAAATATCACTGGTTTGCTCATTTCTGTATCAATTACTTTGATAAAATACATATTTTTTTATGAGCAAATGGCTTTAGATACCTATTAGGTCCATAAATTACCATATTGCATCTAATCAACACAAAAAACAGCGACCATTTGTTGTTGACACAGGACAGCTGGACATATAAAGGGCCCCATTACCTTCAGGAGCTTAGGGCCTCATCCAACCTAAATCTGGCCCTGCCTTTCCCCCAAACTGGGAATAAGTGTGGTCTAGAGAGGTCCCTGCCCCGAGGAGCTTCCTCTGCGGAAAGAGAGGGAGCAGCGGAGGAAGTTTACTGTTTAGGGAAGCTTTTAATATTTGATGAATTATTGTATTTTAATATTTTGCTGGAAGCAGCCGCACACAGTGGCTGGGGAAACCCAAACAGATGGACGGGGTAGAAATATATTATTATTATTATTATTATTATTATACCTTATATATTATTATATATAATAATATATATGGCTGGGGAGGGTGGGGTATAAATAAAAGTTATTATTATTCTTATTAATTGAGGTGATTCAGACCAGGCCAGCTCTGTCCCGCCCCCAGCAGCAACAACAACAACCCTGTGAGGGAGGCAGGCAGGCAGGAGGGAAGAGAGAGGAGAAGGGATTGGGGGGGCACATCCTGGCTGGCCCATTGACTGACGGACGACGGACCCACGGAGATCCAAGGGGCGTCCTGGCGGTGGAGGAAGCTGCCCCAGCTGGGGGGGGGGGGGTCCACAGATGTCAAGGCAATAAACAACTATTTTACTTTTAAAAGACAACTGTTTAGGGAAGTTTTTAATGTCTGATGCTGTATTGCTTTTAATATTCAGTTGGAAGCCGCACACAGTGGCTGGGGAAACCCAACCAGATGGGTGGGGTATAAATATATTATTATTATTAATCTTATATATTATTATATCTATGGGCTCCTTTTAAAATAAGGCTGCATTTTAAATTGCATTTTAACCTGTATTTTAAATTGGGGTCGTCCCCCCCATTATGTTTTTACTGTAATTTTACTGGTGTTAGCCGCCCTGAGCCCGGCTCTGGCTGGGGAGGGCGGGGTATAAATTATTATTATTTTATAATTTTAAAAGACAACTGTTTAAAAAGACAACTTTTAAAAGACAACTGTTTAGGGAAGTTTTTAATGTCTGATGCTGTATTGTTTTTAATATTCATTTGGAAGCTGCACACAGTGGCTGGGGAAACCCAACCAGATGGGTGGGGTATAAATATATTATTATTAATCTTATATATTATTATATCTATGGGCTACTTTTAAAATAAGGCTGCATTTTAAATTGCATTTTAACCTGTATTTTAAATTGGGGTCGTCGTCCCCATTATGTTTTTACTGTAATTTTACTGGTGTTAGCCGCCCTGAGCCCGGCTCTGGCTGGGGAGGGCGGGGTATAAATTATTATTATTTTATAATTTTAAAAGACAACTGTTTAAAAAGACAACTTTTAAAAGACAACTGTTTAGGGAAGTTTTTAATGTCTGATGCTGTATTGTTTTTAATATTCAGTTGGAAGCTGCACACAGTGGCTGGGGAAACCCAACCAGATGGGTGGGGTATAAATATATTATTATTATTATTATTAATCTTATATATTATTATATCTATGGGCTCCTTTTAAAATAAGGCTGCATTTTAAATTGCATTTTAACCTGTATTTTAAATTGGGGTCGTCGTCCCCATTATGTTTTTACTGTAATTTTACTGGTGTTAGCCGCCCTGAGCCCGGCTCTGGCTGGGGAGGGCGGGGTATAAATAATAATAATTATTATTATTATTATTAATTGAGGTGATTCAGACCAGGCCAGCTGTGCCCCCCAGCAGCAACAACAACCCTGTGAGGGAGGCAGGCAGGCAGGAGGGAAGAGAGAGGAGAAGGGATGGGGGGCGTATCCTGGCTGGCCCATTGACTGACGGACGCCGGACCCACGGAGAGCCAAGGGGCGTCCTGGCGGTGGGGGAAGCTGCCCCAGCTGGGGGGGGGGTCCACGGGCTCCACTCCCTCCCCCCCAGGTCTGAGAGAACTATGGCGTCCCCCTCCCCAAATAAGAGAGAGGCGGACGGGGGCCGCATCCCGACAAGGGCCCCCCGAGGACCAGGCCCCCCCAGCGCCCCCTCCCTCAAACCTCGCCCCCCCCCCAGTCCAGGGCTGCCCCCCACAGAAGCTCAAGGCCTTACCCGGCTCCGGCTGCTTTGTTTCCTTCCCCACTTCCGGGAAAATGGCGCCCCGCCTCCGATCTATAGCTCGGCGCGCTCCCTTTCCCCCTGCGGGGCTCGGCAATCGTTTAGTCAGGCCTGGCGTCCCCCGAGCGCGTTTCGGGCTATAGATCTACGGCGAGTAGAACTCTCGCACGCACGTGGAGTTCCGGGTTCGCTGCGGGCGAGGCTCGTCTCTAGGATACCCAGCTCTACCTCTCTTTCAAATCAGAACCAGTGAAGGTCCTATGTGAGTGTCTGGAGGTGGTTGAAGGATGGATGGCGGCTAACGGATTGAGGTTGAATCCTGACAAGACAGAAGTACTGTTTTTGGGGGACAGGGAGCGGGCAGGTGTGGGGGATTCCCTGGTCCTGAATGGGGCAACTGTGCCCCTGAAGGACCAGGTGTGCAGCCTGGGAGTCATTCTGGACTCAAAGCTGTCCATGGAGGTGCAGGTCAATTCTGTGTCCAGGGCAGCTGTCTACCCGCTCTATCTGGTACGCAGGATGAGACCCTCCCTGCCCGCAGACTGTCTCGCCAGAGTGGTGCATGCTCTGGTTATCTCCCGCTTGGACTACTGCAATGCGCTCTACGTGGGGCTACCTTTGAAGGTGACCCAGAAACTGCAATTAATCCAGAATGCGGCAGCTAGACTGGTGACTGGGAGCGGCCGCCGAGACCATATAACACCGGTCTTGAAAGACCTACATTGGCTCCCAGTATGTTTCCGAGCACAATTCAAAATGTTGGTGCTGACCTTTAAAGCCCTAAACGGCCTCGGCCCAGTAGACCTGAAGGAGCGTCTCCACCCCCATCATTCTGCCCGGACACTGGGGTCAAGCGCCGAGGGCCTTCTGGCGGTTCCCTCCCTGCGAGAAGCCAAGTTACAGGGAACCAGGCAGAGGGCCTTCTCGGTGGTGGCGCCCTCCCTGTGGAATACCCTCCCACCAGATGTCAAAGAGAACAACAACTACCAGACTTTTAGAAGACATCTGAAGGCAGCCCTGTTTAGGGAAGCTTTTGATGTTTGATGCATTACTGTATTTTAATATTTTGTTGGAAGCCGCCCAGAGTGGCTGGGGAAGCCCAGCCAGATGGGCAAGGTATAAATAATAAATTATTATTATTATATTATTATTATTAGGGATGGCGGGGAAGGAAGCTGACCGGGTCGCCAACCCCCATTCCATGCCAAGGGCAGCTTTTGGGGGTACGGTTCTGAACGCCTCGTTCAAAAGGGATGTTGCAATGCAGAGGGGGAAGAGTTTCAAGGGGGGGAAAGGGTCGCCCCAATGACCCATGGGGCGGGTTGCCATGTGTCCGGGTTTTCCCGGGCATACAGGACCCTGTATCCCGGGTGGAAATCTGTTAAATGTGATCGAGTATTCCAAAAGGCCTGGAGTAAATTTATACATTTGAAAGATTATTGCAAGCAATCGACAACACTAGCAGGGTTGTCTGAAGACTTGTAATGAGAAACTTTCTACCAGTTCTATTTAAATTTTGAGCCATTTTGTAATGAGTGTAATCAGAACTGGAAAACGTACAAAATGCAATGATATAAAGGGTAATTTTGAAAGCCATGCGGTGGGAGGGAAGGAAGTCGATAGGCTCTACAGAGCCAAAGCGGTAAAGTGGATAATGATGATGTGATCGATTTTCCATTTGTTATAAGAAAAATACCGCTTCCTTTCCCCTATGGGGTATTCCAGAGCCCATATAGAGTCCTTAAGTGGGTTCCCTATTGGTAGGAGAAAATAACAGAGGCCAGCCGGAGAATATTGAGAAGCAAAGCAGCTTGTAAGCCTGATCTTTATTGAACTGTTGCAACAGGGTGCTCCCCTCACTCGCAGGAGAGGAGGAGGAACCCAGAACATTGGTGCGCAAGCTCTTTTACAGACTTTTGAAATTGCCAACCCTGTAGCTCAAGACCATCCCCCAAAACATCATACATAAATCACTAAAGGAGGCAGAAATCTACAGCAGAAATCCTATCTGCCAGGATACCTGATAATGGTCACTGATTGCTTTACCTGGGCAGCCTGGCCATTCCTTTTGAGATGCTAAATACTTACTTCCAGAATCCAGGTCACAGGCTCACCCTATTCATACACAATACACCCTTAAGACAGGATTTGTGAGCAAAGAGACCATGGGGAGCTTTTCCTTCCTCACAGCAGAGAATTTTTGAGGTGGCTGGAAGAGTCAAAATGGCTTCAGGATTGTTCTCTTCTACTATTTCAGACGTGGTTTATATACTTATGTTCATAAATCTACAAGGCAAATACATACATACATATGATTTATATATATGAGACCTTAGAATTCCTGTAACACATACAAATAGCTCAAAAACGGCATTAGTTTGCCCAAAAAACACATCAACTTTGGGCAAAAAAAAAGCAGCTCAGTAACTTTTGGCCTCTGTTCCGGGGGACGGAATGACTGCATCATAAAGGAAGGCTGCAGAATTTGGCACTGAATGACAGAAGTTCTTAAAACTATGCCTGATATGTAGAAAGTGACTAGAAAAAGTTCACCTCTCTCCTATCAGCACAACTCACAGACACTGACAAGGCTGAATGTTGGAAGATTCAAGACGGATACAAGGAAGAAGTGTGCACGCACATGAAAGCTCATACCAATAACAAACTTAATTGGTCTCTATAAGGTGCTACTGGAAGGAATTTTGTTTGTTTGTTTCGGATAAAAGGAAGTCCTTCATACAGGGCAGAATTAAACTCTGGAACTCCCTCCCACAAGATTGGGCAAATTCATGGAGGAGGAGAGGGCTATTATTATGTTCCCTGCCCCTCAGCTACAGTCCTTCCAAGGTTTCCAGAATTGTTTTTTTGCCTCGTATGCTTTTGAGGCAGTTGTTTCACCTTATTGCCTCCATGTAAGACAGGGACACGGGTGGCACTGTGGGTTAAACCACAGAGCCTAGGGCTTGCCGATCAGAAGGTTGGCGGTTCGAATCCCCGCGATGGGGTGAGCTCCCGTTGCTCGGTCCCTGCTCCTGCCAACCTAGCAGTTCGAAAGCACGTCAAAGTGCAAGTAGATAAATAGGTACCGCTCCGGCGGGAAGGTAAACGGCGTTTCCGTGCGTTGCTCTGGTTTGCCAGAAGCGGCTTAGTCATGCTGGCCACACGACCCAGAAGCTGTACACCGGCTTCCTCAGCTAATAAAGCGAGATGAGCGCCGCAACCCCAGAGTTGATCATGACTGGACCTAATGGTCAAGGGTCCCTTTACCTTTACCTTACATTTATTGCACTGTGTGATACATGCAAAAGAGCTTATATTTGCACCCCAAAGTGAACCCAATTATCCACAAACCAATTAAACACCTGGGAAAGAAAAATAAAGCCACGCTTGCACTTACTTGGTTTATTTTATTGCTTACATGTGGATTGCACAGTATTATCACAGTGTTCTTACATTTAGTCAAATGGCTCATTACAGAGTGCGCAGAATATATATCCAAGCATCAGTAAAATAGACAATTTGGTTGTTCTCTTGACCGTCCTCCGTTATAACAGCTTTCGTTTACACCTTAAATCTAAATTGCTATGAAATGCTAAACATTCTTTTACACATCGTCAGCTGAAACGCCAAGGTGCAAGGTAGAATACGAACAAATGCCAGCAGTGGCAAACATCTGAACAGCGCCAAACTGTTCCCACAAACACGGCTGGTCAAGCACATCATGGCCTTTGTGTCTTACACTCTCCAAAGTTCATTGACTTAAAAGAACCGTTACAAAATTAGCGATAGTTGTCTTAACCATCCGTCCCGACTCAGTGACCAAGGCACTACAATGCCTAAGACACTGCTTTCCCAGGCCTGTACAATTCACAGTGGAATGAACATTTTGGACCCAGCATGGAGCTGTCCTGCATCTGCAGCTAGCCCAGCCTCAAAAGATCAATGCTCTTGCTTGCTTCTCCCCCTCCCCTGTTAAATGCTGAGAAGGAGCAACATTGCTTTGGGGAATGCAGACGCCCACTAGGCAACACACCAAAGGCAGGCAGGTGAAAACAACTCAGGTGAGGCTTCAAAGCAAATACGACATGAAGTGCAAGGCATCTGTTACATGCAGAGCTGATAGGAGAAGCGGCTGGGTGTGTTTAGCACCACGGTCCACCGACTGCATGAGTGCAAATCAAAACAGCATTCTTTTATTTTTATATTTTTTATATATATTGTACAAAAGCAGTCACACGATAGAAAAAAAAAGCAGCAGCGTGCATGATCTCAGTGTGCGCACTGACCTCAGATTAACTTTCGTCTTCGAATAAGACACCACTCTGATGACATCAGACGCCAAGACATCTTACCTTCCAAAACCAAAAAGTGGAAGCTAAGGGCGTCAAGAAAACGGCACCACGTCCTATGAGGGGTGCTGGCGCCTGTGGTCTGAGCAGGGCAGAAGGGTGGAGCAGCTGCAATCACAGAGGAATGCTGTGCGAAAGAGGCTGTTTCGTCATCCGCTAAGAGCTGTGATTGCGCTGTCAAACTGAAAAGAAGGGCTTGATTACCAGCCTGAGCCCGGCGAGTGCTTCCCAAGATCGACAAACTAAAAAGGTGGGAGGGAGACCCAGCCCTCTCCTATTTCATTTTTTTAAAAAGCAAAACGAAAACAGAAGGCTGAGCATTTGGTACACTGTCAAGCTAACCTCTCTCCACACCCTCCCAATTTTATGCTCAAATGCTGATCTGGCCAAGCCCCAAGCTGATGTTTTCACACTGAGCGGCGCAATCGGGCAGCGCAGATGTCTTTCAGTTTTTTCCAACAAAACTGAAATTGTGAGTTGGACATAAGAAAAACTGGCCTGTTTCTTTTGTGATGGGTGTTAAGTGCTCCTCCCTGCACGCAGGGATACACAGGCCAAGGGAGTCAAATGTCTCACACTTTTTATCCTTGGAGGAAAACGTAGCAATGAAGTTAAAGCAGATGGAAGTTGTTGCATTTTTAAAATGCAACTACTTCTCATGGAGGGGAGGGGAAGCACACGATAAAAATTCTAACCTCTCCAGGAAGCTCCATCCATGCATTTTGTTTTCTCTTTCAGTTGACAAAATATCACTAAAAGGCTACCACTATACTACAGAGGGAAATATTTCAAGGAATAACCAGCTTCTCTTCTACAATTTCAAACAGAATTAGTTAAAAAACAAAAAAAACTATTTACCATTTGAAAATGCCCTTAATCTCTTACGCTATATACCAAATATATATATCTATGTATCTATTGTCTTGTTTAGGTACTCTAAAAGCAACACAGAAAAATAGGTTTCCCCCAAAAAGCACAGGGCATGAACTAGACACATTTAAGACATCAAAAATATTTCAAGGTTTTGGTGCTTGTACAGAAAGAGGCATTTCTTTGCCACAGCAAGGCTTGTGATGTGGGAAATCACATGTGCAAAGAACCACAAGGAAGCATGGTACATTCAGATTTGCTGCTGTGATTGGAGAAGGGGCAAGGGGTCACCCCCAGGCCTGTGGTTTATGGGATTACGACTAGCAACGTGTCTACCCAGCATTGCTTAAGGTGCCGAGGTTCTTGTGCTGAAAGAAGCCGAAGAGTAAACAAGCCAGCAAAGAGTTTGCCAGTTAATCCTACGACATCGAGACAGTGCGGATGCCACAGAGCCTGTAGCTCCTAGTCTAAAATTCTCCGAAACACAAAACGATTTGGCAAAAGAGACCGTATTACACTTGTAAACATTTTTTTTTTTTTACGCCAAAGAGAGAAAAAAAGAGAGTGTGAAATACTCTGAAAAAGAGAGATTTAACTTCAAGAGCAGAATGATCAGGGTAAGAAACCTGTGATGTGGGCACCAGCCCAACGGCCCCCAGTCCAGGGCTATGTCTGAAAGCTGTATTAAAATGTGACAGAGGGAAGAGGCAAGGCTGAGCTCAAAGCTCATCTGGAACTCTACACAACATGCTCTGAATGGTAAATAATGCCCAGCAGAGGCCAGAAGACTCTTTAATACACACAAAGATCTGGAAACTTCATCTCATAAACCGGAACAGATTGATAGTGGGTGTGTCCAGCTGTGATGGTCAGCGTCCCAGAGGGGCTGGGAGGAGGGCTGCAAAGGAGACATTAAAAGAGGGTTAAGATCTCACAGCACGTTTTGACTCGTCTCAGCTATCAGAATCGGTTTAGTGACTGTCAGTCAGACTGTCCCTCCCAAGATTTACCATTTGAATACAGTTATCTGGGGGAAAATTGACTTACTAAGTACGTTCATCGATAGCGGGAAGTCAAGATATGAATTAAGGAGCCAAGCTGAAGCTGTCTTAAAAAATGGCTTGAACTCCCTATGTAGAAGTTGAAATGAATTTTTTTTCTTTTTTGAAATTTGTTATTTACTTTTCTATTTTTGATTCTTCTGTTTCTTGTTTCTTTTTATATTCTCTATTTCTCTTTTTAGTTTTATTTATGTATTTTTGATGTATTTATGTGTTTGCAACATAATAATAATAATAATAATAATAATAATAATAATAATAGAATCAGTTTAGTGGAGAACACAGCATTCTCAGGACACCCCAGCCAACTTGTGACCACAAGAGAATGGATCTTGTGAGATATTCTCCTTGCCTTACTTACTTATTTTTGAATTGCCTATCCTGCCTTTCTGTCAAACTGATCCCCAAGGCAGCTAGCAATCCATAAAGCAATTCAACAAAGCAACACATTAGGACCGTAAGGGAACTGTGGCAAGACACAAACCCAAAGAACCCAACATGGACCCAATTAGCTCAAGACATTACACAAAAGCTGAGTGAACCAGATGAGTTTCAGGCCTGCTTCCTAAAGATCATAAAGAGAGAAGAAGGGATGGGGGCAAATCTCACTGGTCATGGTTTTTGTTTTAGTAGAGTAAATGGAAAGTGTGAATCTTCCATGTCAAGTCAGCTTGGTGCTATAGGAGCCATTTTCTTATATATATATATATATATATAATTTTATACATATAAAACATAACCATTTCAAACGTTAAAATACAAGGTTCTTTTGAACCTTTGGACTTCCTTCTCTCCCTCCATGGATTCCATGTTTAAGTTTAAATTTGCTGCATCTTTTACCATTATCCATCTACAGTGGTACCTCCGGTTGCGAACAAGGTCCATTCTGGAGGTCTGGCCACATCCCGAGGAATTTGCAACCGGAGGACCACTTCTGCGCATGGCACAATTTAGCATTTCTGCGCATGCACACAGAGCGTAGAGCGTTTCTGCACATGCACGCACGGCAAAACCCGGAAAAATACTTCTGGTTTTGCCGTGTTCGCATCCCTAAGTTTACGTATCCAGAGGGATACATAAGCAGAGGTACAACTGTATTATATTACCATAAACAATTCCACATTACAAGTGTCATTATAAAAAGGTGGATGGTAGTCTTGCTTCTTTTGAATCTGTCCTCCTTATGGTTCTGTCCATACCCAGGGAGACTACCCCATTCATATCACCCAGTAGAATTATTTTCTGGTCCATAATGGTAGGAGCCATTTTCAACTGCAAGGAGCCCCAAGGCATACTGGGGCAGCCACTCCTGTGTTAACCCAGTTCCCCGTGATGGGGAGGAGATGTAGATCATGAGGTTCTGGGCTTCCCACATATCTCTGGCAGCGCAGTGCTCCTGCAGCAAGCCTGGCACCAGAGTAACATGAGAAGCTGCCTAGGAGGACAGCACTGGCGTGTGCCAGCTAGTAACAAATCAGGGGTCCCAATCATGGAGGCCCTCCCTTGCAGGAGCTGATTACCTGAAAAAGTGTAATAATAATAATAATAATAATAATAATAATAATAATAATAATTTATACCCCAGCCATTCTGGGCAGCTTTCAACAAAATATTAAAATACAGTAATGCATCAAACATTAAAAGCTTCCCTAAACAGCCTTCAGTTGTCTTTTAAAGATAAGACAGCTGCTTATTTCCTTGACATCTGCTGGGAGGGCGTTCCACAGGGCAGGCACCACCACCGAGAAGGCCCTCTGCCTGGTTCCCTGTAACTTGGCTTCTCGCAGGGAGGGAACCACCAGAAGACCCTCGGCACTGGACCTCAGTGTCCGGGCAGAATGATTGGGGTGGAGACGTGCCTACTGGACCGAGGCCGTTTAGGGCTTTCAAGGTCAGCACCAACACTTTGAATTGTGCTCGGAAACGTCCTGGGAGCCAATATAGGTCTTTCAAGACCGGTGTTACATGGTCTCGGCGGCCGCTCCCAGTCACGAGTCTAGCTGCCGCATTCTGGATTACAGTGGTGCCCCGCAAGACGAATGCCTCGCAAGACGGTAAGCCCGCTAGACGAAAGGGTTTTCCGTTTTGGAGGTGCTTCGCAAAACGAATTTCCTATGTGCTTGCTTCGCAAGACGAAAATGTCTTGCGAGTTCCTGCGGGATTTTTTTCCTTTCCCCCCCTTTTTCCCAAGCCGCTAAACCGCTTATCAGCTGATGGCTAAGCCGCTTAACAGCTGATCGCTAAGCCGCTTATCAGCTGATCGTTAAGCCGCTTATCAGCTGATCTTTAAGCCGCTTAACAGCTGATCCGCTAAGCCCGCTAAGCCGCTAATACTGTAGCGCTAATCCGCTAAACCGCTAATGGGCTTGCTTCGCAAGACGAAAAAACCCGCAAGACGAAGAGACTCGCGGAACGGATTCTTTTCGTCTTGCGAGGCACCACTGTAGTTGTAGTTTCCAGGTCACCTTCAAAGGTAGCCCCACATAGAGCGCATGGCACTAGTCCAAGCGGGAGATAACCAGAGCTTACGTAATGCTTATGGTAAGCTGCTGTGTGCCTGTGGCTTTATTTCCTTACCACTCAGAGACAGGTCGGCACCTCTGGCCACAGAAACAGTATGCCCAACACTACCGGGTTGTCAGAACTGCCACAACCCCCCCCCCCCGTGACTCCAGGGTAGGACCTCCAGCCCCTGGCCATTTCCCTTACCGAATGGTGAGCTCCAAGATCTGAGCAAGCCGGTCGTGGAGGAGGTTTGCCTGTAGGGAGAAAACATACATTTATTGGAAAGTACTCCAAGGTGCAGTTCTATGCAGGAGTGTTGCACCATTTGCTTCCCTTTCCGGAGTCTGGGATTTTCCGGGGAGAAAACGGGGTTTTGTGTCATTCCAGGCCTCGGAGCCCAGGAAAGAGCTCGGGCAGACATACAAGCACTTGGCCAAGCAGGGGCCAAACTGTCTTGCAATGCGTTCGTTGAACTTTTAATGGGGAGTTTGCTGGAGGACTCTTGAGAGTCCCATGGACTGCAAGAAGATCAAACCTCTCCATTCTGAAGGAAATCAGCCCTGAGCGCTCACTGGAAGGACAGATCCTGAAGCTGAGGCTCCAAGACTTTGGCCACCTCATGAGCAGAGAAGACTCCCAGGAAAAGACCCTGATGTTGGGAAAGATGGAGGGCGCAAGGAGAAGGGGACGACAGAGGACGAGATGGTGGGACAGTGTTCTCGAAGCTACCAGCATGAGTTTGACCAAACTGCGGGAGGCAGTGGAAGACAGGAGGGCCTGGCGTGCTCTGGTCCAGGGGGTCACGAGGAGGCGGACACCACTAAACAACTCAACAACAACAATTGCCCTCTGGATGCAGTTTAGCCAGCCAGAAAGGAAACCAGCGTAGAGCCCCACCCTGCCGTCATGTACTGCAGGCCACAAATTCTCTTGCAGGGACCAGACACCCTGTTCCAATGACAGGTGAGATGGTGCAGAGTGGATCTTGGTCCAGGCCACCTCTCAAAGCCCTCCTCCCCCAGATCTTACAGCATCACAGAAAAGCCTGGTGTCAGGGACTGGACTGAGGAGGAATGGTGGGGGCCGCCACCCTCTCTTCCTGAACCTTCCTGAGAAGAGGCAGACAGTATAGATTTAGAGCAGTGGTTTGCAGAAGGTCATAGTTCCGAGGCTGCAGAGGGGAGAAGCTGGGAAATATTGGGAGAGCAGCAGGAAGAAGAAGCACCAGGGGGGAGACAGCTGACAGACTCAGTGTCTTTGGAAAGCATTCCTACCTGTCCCCAAGGACCCAGCATGCATTGAGGGTAGTAGAACAGAAAGCTCAAGAGGCAGAAAGACTTTAACGTTTGATTTTTTTATCATGTTTTTAATGTTCTGTTGGGAGCCGGCCCAGAGTGGCTGGGGAAACCCAGCCAGATGGGCAGGGTATATATAATAAATTTATTATTATTATTAATGAACTCTTAATGAAAGAGTTCTCCTGCTGCTGTTTTCTGCAGATGCGATAGAGGCGGTGAAGAAGGTCCTCGTCGCCGTTGCTGTCGCCACTTGGTAGGCTCGACATTGAGCTCTAACCCGTGTTCGGTCAGATTCAGAATGAGTTTTCCGCCACCAGTGCTCTAGCCGTCTCAGAAATTGTTTCATCGCCCTCAGCTCCGCGGAAAACCCACGGGGCTGTCCCGGACTCCACGCAATCGGAGAGGGCACTTTGGAGCCAGACAGTCAATAGCCTTGGTTAACTCCACATTCCAACGGGTCACCAGGGAATCAGCTGAAAGGCCATCAACATGGGATAAAGCATCCCCTACCACTTTCTGGAAACCATTTGGTTTCCAGCTGGCACAGGGATGACGTAGAATAGGAGGGACTAAGAGGGTGGGACTTTACTTGGAGCAATGCCATTATCTAAGAGAGACCACATTCCTTCTTCTCTCTCTGTGAATATTGAATAAACCACTTGGTAAGAACTCTTCTTGTTTATCTGCTTCTTGGCTGCCCCCGTGGGAGGGATCAGATTCCCTGAAGCCTGACACCTGGTGTAATAGCCAAGGTCATCTAGCAGATTTTAGGCAGGAAGTCTGCTCCAAGCCCTTTACTCCTAAAAGGTTGTCATACTCCAAGACAATCCTCTTGCTCCTCTTCTACAGATTTCCTTACAGCTCACACAGCGAGATCCAGATCCCTGGGCTCACCTTGGTTTCACACTGGGCTGCAATCTCTTCAAAGGGAGCTTTCTGGAACTTTTCAATCACCAGGCGCCTCTTCTCCTTCTCTTGCTCTTCAAGACCAGTGTTATCTTTGGCAAGGGAAAGAAAAAGAGAGAAAGAAATGGAGTAACTGCCAGAGACTCTTTAGGCAAGACTGGCACAACACACAAGCAATTATTGTTGTTTATTAAATTTGTATACCGCCCTTCCTTGGGACGCAGGTGGCACTGTGAGTTAAACCACAGAGCCTAGGACTTGCCAATCAGAAGGTCGGCAGTTCGAATCCCCGCGATGGGGTGAGCTCCCATTGCTCGGTCCCTGCTCCTGCCAACCTAGCAGTTCAAAAGCATGTCAAAGTGCAAGTAGATAAATAGGTACCGCTCCGGCGGGAAGGTAAACGGCGTTTCCGTGCGCTGCTCTGGTTTGCCAGAAGCGGCTTAGTCATGCTGGCCACATGACCTGGAAGCTGTATGCCGGCTCCCTCGGCCAGTAAAGCGAGATGAGCGCCGCAACCCCAGAGTCGGCCACGACTGTACCTAATGGTCAGGGGTCCCTTTACCTTTACCTTTATACCGCCCTTCATCCAAAGATCTCAAGGTGGTTCACAAAAGGAAAATATGTACAAAATACATAGCAATCCAGCTGAGCACAGCCCATGAGGGATTCCTGAACCTTCCCGTTCTCCTGCTTGGCTAGGACTGCAAAACCAGGGCTTCTGCCAAGCACCTGCTGGGCCACAGTGTGCGGCGAGTCATGGGCTGCATTTGACAGGGTGGGCAACAAACTGTGCAGGCTTCCTTCAGGGGTAAGCTTATCAGCACCTGCCAAAAGGCTTTTGTCACTCAAGTTCAATTCCGTGAGAGATTCTTCTCTTAAGCTCAGGGGACACCTAGAATTCCATCCTACGCACTTCATGCTATTTGAATAAATTTTGGGGTTTTGAGGCACTTGCATGCATGTATTTACTAGGAAAGTTTTAAGTAAAGAGGTTTATTATAAGAGATGAAAGTGGGCCAAGTCAGAATCTAAGATATTGGTCTTTCCAAAGCGATTTCATACTGTCTTATTTCACAAAACCCAACAGGGTTGCCTAATGAAGCTGAAGGTTCAGGACAGGCATGACGGCCTTGGTAGCTCAGTCGGTAGAGCAAGAGACTCTCCAGCTTAGGGTTGTGAGTTCGAGTCCCATGTTGGGGCACAAAGATTCCTGCATTGCAGAGGTTTTGACTAGATGACCCTGAATGCCGATTCTGGGTGATCTGAATGGGGCGAGCTCTGCTGGGCTCAGGCATGTGGGACACAATATTCTGCACCAGAGAGATCCTTGGTCTCATCTAGCAGGACTCTCCTTATGGTATCAAATGTGTAACGATATTTTCACACCTTCACGTTGCCTGACATGATTCAACAGGAATCTCTGATAACACCGAAAGCACTCAAGTAATTGCAGCAGGCGGCTGTTGCAATCAAGAGAATCTTCCTTACAAAATGCTGGACGAAGATCTTTTCTTAATTTCAAATCATAGGCTGTCTGGTAAGGGCCAATGCCTGCTGGAGGGGAATGCAGGGAGAAAGCTAGCTTCACAGGGAACTGAGGGCAATCTCACCTATAGCTTTCTTCAGTGCTTCAAAAGTAATTTCCTCCGTGTTAACCTGGAGAAAAGATCAGATATTTGTTTAAACCACATAAGCAACTGAACCATTTGGGGGTGGGGGATGCAATTCTTTGTTCTTATTTACTTGCGACTGTCTGCAAAATTTGGAACAGATCAGCTTGTTTATAGGTAGTCATTATTTGGTGGCAATTCTGGGTGTTGGGGGGTGACAGAGAATAGGAAGTTGAGCAGCTGAGATTAAAAATTAAAAACTGGACATCACCAGAAGAAGAATTTTACTTGTCAGGGGTCTAAAATTCTGAAGTAGAGGGTTGTTCAAACAGTTGTGAGGTCAAAGAAATTAAATGTAAGAATGACACCAACCACAGAACATTTGCATTGTCAACATAGCCTCAGGAGCAAGACTCTAAATCATGGACTAGCACAAAGTTATTCTGCCCTCTTTCTAAAATGAGAGAAGCAAGGGAGAAGTTCCTTTAAGACTCATCGCACGACCTGACAGAGAATAAACTCACCTTGTCTTCTGTGCCATTGCCAGGGAGGATGTCCACTTGAATAGATACAGTATCCACAATACTCTTCCTTCGGGACAGCCGGTCTTCATCTGCAGACACGGACAACCCAAAATAAAATTTAGAAAGAGCCTTTATTTCGTTGTGGAGGAGGAGGAAGGGCCCCTTCTGAGACAGTAGCCAACTAAGTCCTACTGAGAGTACTCATTAAAATAAATGGACCTACTTTAGCTAAATCCATTCATTTCAATGGGTCAACTCTGGGCAGGACTAACATTGAAGACAACCCATTGAGCTTACTGACTTCTTCGCCATTTTCTACATTCTGACAAAGCTAACATGTAGTTTTATTTAGTGACCATTTAGTGGCAGTTACGGTGCATCTCAGCGTCAAGTTTTCAAATAATTTGAGTGGCAGTCACAGATGTGACGGATGGCTGGGACAGGAAGGGTGGTGGTCACAAGAGGCCAAAGAGTTACTGCTCTGGCCTGCATGGCATCCTACGGAAGAGAACCTCGGACCCATCTATCTCAGGGGACCCCTTGGAAAGTTCATGCCACTGACCTAGATGGGAGGCAAATCCCCTTGTCCATCGTCAAGCAGCCCATCTAAATCACAATCTGGGCACCTGCAATGACTAATCCAAGGGAACAAGTTGTGCAGGACAGAGGAAAGGAAAGGCCCCCGGAACAAGGAAGGATGAGGGGGAGAGGATTCTGACAGCATGGCTCCCGGTACGTTTCCGAGCACAATTCAAAGTGTTGGTCCTGACCTTGAAAGCCCTAAATGGCCTCGGTCCTGTAGACCTGAAGGAGCGTCTCCACTCCCATCGTTCTGCCCGGACACTGAGGTCCAGCTCCGAGGGCCTTCTGCTGGTTCCCTTACTACGAGAAGCAAGGTTACAGGGAACCAGGCAGAGGGCCTTCTCGGTGGTGGCACCCACTCTGTGGAACGCCCTCCCATCAGATGTCAAGGAAATAAACAACTATCTGACTTTTATAAGACATATGAAGGCAGCCCTGTTTAGGGAAGTTTTTAATGTTTGATCTTTTATTGTGTTTTTAATGTTCTGTTGGGAGCCACCCAGAGTGGCTGGGGAAACCCAGCCAGATGGGCAGGGTATAAATAATAAATTTATTATTATTGTTGTTGTTTTATTGCATTTCTATTCCACCTTTTCCTCCAATGAGCTTCAGGTGGCATGAAGATGGCTCTCCCCCTCCTCATTTAATCCTCACGGCAACCCTGTGAGGTAGGTTGGGCTAAGAGGCAGTGATTGACCCCAAAGGCCACCCAGTGAGTTTCACGGCTGAGTGGGGATTCGAACCCTGGCCTCCCAGGTCCTAGTCCGGCACTTCTGTGCCACACTGGCTCCTCATGGCATTATCCCACAAGTGGAGAATGTCCATGGCAGCCTTGCAGTAGATGTAACTTCATATTTCTTAACTATCACTTTGAAAAGAGAAGGCAGGTGCCCCAGGTTTCAAGGAAGGGCTGGAAGCAGAAGGTCCCAGGCATCTCCGGGTAAAGTTGGGGCCGGGGGAACCTGCCTGAAACCCTGGAGAGCTGCTGCCAGTCAGTGTAGGGACACTTAGTCTTATGGACCATAGATCTGACTCTGTGCAACACTCTGTGATCGTTAGATTGTGAAAACCTCCAGAAGCAAAAAAACAAACAAACCACATTTACTCCTCCAGAAATCAGAGCTCTGCCTGCACCCCTATTTGATGCTCATGGCAAGAGGCAGGTGACCAGCCGGACGTGAGACACAAGCACGATGAACGAGCAGGCGCCACAATCAGAACCGCGTAACCGCTCACCTGTCACCTGGGGCACATAAGGCACAGAGAGCCTCTCCACGCTGTATCCGCTGCCGCCCAAGGATTCCGCAATCTTGTGAGTCAGGAAAAACAAGTTCTTGTCGTCCTTGTCTAAGGCTTTGGGGAGACTGTCGAGAGCAAAAGTGCAGGAGTTCAGGCAAGAAATTAAGAAGGCACAAGTGGGATGTGCAGCTCAGGGGGTCGGAAGGAGGGGAACGCTCAGAGTGCCAGCCAGCCAGCCATGCCCTCCTCCAACTAACCCCATTCCTCTCTTCACAATATTCCGTCCCTTCCCCCTCCAATCAATCAACATTGTCATAAACAAATTTAACAAATTTGTCATAAGCAAATTTTAAACCACTTCACACTGTATGCTTTTCAAGCTATCACTTCATTTGAATGTAGCAAGAGAGAAGAAATGAATTAGGAAACCACTCAAGGAAGCCCTGTTTAGGGAAGTTTTTAATGTTTGATGTTCTATTGTGCTTTTAATTCTGTTGGGAGCCGTCCAGAGTGGCTGGGGAAACCCAGCCAGATGGGCAGGGTATAAATAAATAATAATAATAAATTATTATTATTATTATTATTATTATTATTATTATTATTACTACTACTACTACTACTCAGGCACTGGAAACAGCAAATTAACATGGAGACTCAGTGTTCACTTTAGGTATTAAATTTCCCCCATCTTGTTGCAAAAGTCAACCAACTGGCCACAATGCAAAATTTCCACTACTAACAAAACATGCAACATTTACCTGCACTTGTCTCTGAATATGGTTTCTGGCAAAAAGTACGGTGCTTCCACAGTTCTGGTTTCAATGACCTAAAAAGCACCAAAAAATAAAATTAAGCCATCCACAGAACAGAACAAAATTTGAATTGCAGAGGCAGATTCTCTCTGCAGGGAGATCATTAACAGTTCACAAAAATCTGATTTTGCTGGATGCACTGGAAGACTCACAGGTTACAGGACCATCAACAAGCAGGATCATGATCCTTCAGGGGGAAGAAAAATCATCAAACATGCAAATTTGTCAAGGTTCAATTTTCAATTTGCACGTTGAACAGCTTGATGGCCTTTCTTCCCTGTGAAAGATTTAAAAGGAGGTTTGATCAGGTGGGAATCCAAAGAGAAAGACAGAAAGGTCCTGAGGTGTCTGCTGACAGTAAGGGGGGGAAATTGTTTTCCAGCGTTGCAAGAGACTAAGGGAGCAGGCAAGCCTCTAATGGGATTGTCACTTGATGGGGCGAACTCTCTTACAGAGCTTTATGCAGTATTATGAAGGGGCTGCATTATGCAGCAAGCATATTAATATTCGTTCATTCAAAGTATCTATATACAGTGGTACCTTGGGTTACATATGCTTCAGGTTACATACGCTTCAGGTTACAGACTCCACTAACCCAGAAATAGTACCTCAGGTTAAGAACTTTGCTTCAGGATGAGAACAGAAATCGTGCAGCGGTGGCACAGCGGTGGCAGCAGGAGGCCCCATTAGCTAAAGTGGTGCTTCAGGTTAAGAACAATTTCAGGTTAAGAACAGACCTCCAGAATGAATTAAGTTCTTAAACTGAGGTACCTCTGTACTTCCTGTCCATCAGATTAATTCCAGGGAAGTTTACACAATTAAAACTCCAAAGAACAAGAAAAGCCACACATTCTGCTGCCCCTTTCTCTCAGAAACAAGACGGCCCCCAAGAACACGGAAACTGGTCACCCCTGGGTAGGAAGACGGAAGGAAGGCACAACTGCGCACCTTGCTGATGTGCTGGCAGAAGGCAGGCACTGCGATCATCTGACTCAGGAAGTTGAGGTACGCGGCGACCAGCGCCATGATGCTGCAGCGGTGAGACATTGGCAGGTTATCCTCGTTCAGGATGGCAGTATCCTTTAAGGTGGGGGGAAGGAGAGGGAGAACATTGAAAGGCACCGACACACCTGGATCGTGCACAACTCGTGTTTCCAGCCAAAGTACAACCCCTGGGATTTTTGAAGACATCTGAAGTCAGCCCTGTTCAGGGAAGTTTTTAATGTGTGACGTTTTAATGTATTTTTAATCTTTGTTGGAAGCCGCCCAGAGTGGCTGGAGAAACCCAGCCAGATGGGCAGGGTACAAATAATAATTATTATTTGTACCCCACCCATCTGGCTGGGTTTATTATTTGTACCCCGCCCATCTGGCTGGTAAATTTATTATTATTATTATTATTATTATTATTATTATTATTATTACAGTGGTACCTCGGGTTACATACGCTTCAGGTTATGTACGCTTCAGGTTACAGACTCCGCTAACCCAGAAATAGTGCTTCAGGTTAAGAACTTTGCTTCAGGATGAGAACAGAAATCGTGCTCCGGCGGTGCGGCGGCAGCAGGAGCCCCCATTAGCTAAAGTGGTGCTTCAGGTTAAGAATAGTTTCAGACCTCCGGAACGAATTAAGTATTTACCCTGAGGGAGCACTGTATTATTATTATTATTATTATTATTATTATTATTATTATCATCTCTTCCTGCTGCACATACCTGCAAGGCAATGGCCAGGCGGATGAGGTCAGTCACCACCTCTTCGTTGGCGAGTTCAATCGTTATCAGAGCAAGAGACGTGTAGAGCAGCTCAAAGTTCTTATGCACATTGTCAACTTCTTTGCAGCCCATGTAAACGTGCCTGTACAGCTGCTGGCCGTGCTGCAAAGGAGAGGGAAATCTCAGGAAACGCAGCAGGTAGAGAGGATTTTTTCGAAGGTAAGAACAAATCAGTGGAGAATGACAACATGTTTTAAGGGATGCAGAAGGAACCCAGCAAAGGAAAAGCTTCCTACTTCTTGCAATTACCTTCTTCATGAAGCTCACATCTTGCCGCGAAATTTTGTCTCGCTTTATCTTCAGATCAGACACATCAGGTATTATTCTAGATATGGAACAAATGCACAATTCTTAATTTCAAAAAAACATATTACAATCATTGTGTGATGAGAGGAAGATGCAAGTTATAATTACCCCCATCTTTTCCAAGTTTGTGTTCAATTCCAGAGAATTCACAATTTATCATCATCAACTTATTATTTCCATTTCTTACCCGCTCTGAACCATAAGGACCCAGGACAGGTTACAGCAATTTAAATTTTAATATTAAAAACAGTTTAAAACAAATTATAGTCACGGGAATAGGGTGGGTCATGAACAACTCTGGTCAGCTCTCTTTTGTCACATACTCAAGTGTTCATTTTTAAAAATACCTATATGAAAAATTCTGGCACAACTGCAGAATTTGTCCTCTTCAAAGGAAGAATCCAGAAGAAACTATGTTTACCAAAAGCAATACAGAATAGAACACAGATTGCTAATACAATATGACACTTAGTGAGATTGCATGCATTTATGTTGCCGCTATTATTATTATTATTATTATTTTATTATTAGGTAAAGGTAAAGGGACCCTGACCGTTTGGTCCAGTCGTGGCCGACTCTGGGGTTGCGGCGCTCATCTCGCTCTATAGGCCAAGGGAGCCGGCGTTTGTCCACAGACAGCTTCCGGGTCATGTGGCCAGCATGACTAAGCCGCTTCTGGCGAACCAGAGCAGCACACGGAAACGCCGTTTACCTTCCCGCCGGAACGGTACCTATTTATCTACTTGCACTTTGAGGTGCTTTTGAACTGCTAGGCTGGCAGGAGCAGGGACCGAGCAACAGGAGCTCACCCCATCACAGGGATTCGAACCGCTGACCTTCTGATCAGCAAGTCCTAGGCTCTGTGGTTTAACCCACCACGCCACCCGCGCCATTTATTATTATTTTATTACTATTTTATTACTATTTTATTTTTATTATTATTATTAGTCCCCTTAAACCAACAATGTCTCAAAGTGACTTATAATTCAAAAACAAAAATGCACAGAAGTTAAAACAAGAACCACAAAAGTAGTCATACAATTGCTGGAAAAGTTAGAAACATCACATCATCATAAGCATAATCACCATAAAGTTAGCCAACTGAAAAATGCTCCAGCAGAAGAGCTGAAGTATCAACGCTCAATAGCCTGAGCAAAAACGAAAGTCTTTGAAAGGAAATGAAAATATGTTAATTGCAACTGCCTGTCAAGTTCCCCGGGGGAAGCACTACTGAAATGCCCCTCTTGTTGTGACTCTCCATATTTTTTCTGGAAGGAGCACAAGAGAAAGTGAGGCAGTGGGAACCCCCTGTTAGGTCTAACACCTAATTAAAAGAACTCTTAACTGATAAACTGTGTAAGCGTCAGATGATTAATTAATTAAATCTGAACACATCTGCATATGAGAAGGAACAAGTTCTAAAGACAATTACTTGCCTTCTGATGATACATGCAAACAGGGAAATAACTCTCAAGGTAGGATTTGCAATCTCAGAGGCACCTTTCTGTCAAAATACTGCAGCCCTAGTTTATATACAGCAAAAGCATTTCACAGGTTAATTTTGAGGCAACTGCACCGATCATCACCGCATTTTCCTGAGGCTGTTTAACGCAAAGTGGCATTTTTGTCCTACCTTATTCCTCTGAGCTTTGCTCTGTTGTCGTGCCGGTCAATAAGATTGTGTAGTATTTCTAGAACGAGCTGCCGGAGCTCGCTGTCTTCCGTGAGCGAAGAGGACAGCAGGGGATCCAGGAACGGGGCTGAGAGAACAGTCATAATGCTTTTGGCATTGTACCCCGAAGTGACCTGCCAAGGGGTTCAAGACACAGCAAGTGTTACTGACGCAGTTCTTGCTCATCCACAATATTCAGAATGGCAGCAGCAGTTCATATATACCTAAGCAGTGTGCACAGTGAATCCAGATACCTAAGGCTGGATCATATTTTGCTGTTTACACATAGCATGACTTTTGTTGCAATTACACTGTTTGGCTTTTTTTCAGTTGTTTTGTTAATAGTGTTTTATAGATTGCAATTGCTTTACTGATTATTTGCTAATTATTCAATATGTTTTTCTATTATGTTATTGTTATTTCTTGCTTGCGAGCCGCTTTGTGATTCATGCGAACGAAAAGCGGCATAGAAATATAATCCATCAATCCATCAATCCGTCAATCAACAGCAGGGAAGATGGCTAACCTGCGACAGACACTCTTGCAACTCTTCTTGGATTCCTGTTCCCAACAGCTCCATCTAGCGTGGCCCACGGTCAGGGCTGATGGGATCTGGGCTCCAACAAGAGGAAAAGGCCCAAAGGGGAGCTGCCTTTACGGAAGAGTATGGGAGCACAACTAGCAGGTGGCTTCTCGCCACCTTTTCAACGCCATGCATGACCTGGAAATCTGCCCTGTGTGACCCGGCCCTCCGTTTCAGTGACTGACTGGCCATGTGGACATGCTTCCTCATGTGGGCCCAAGATGCCCCACAAGAGGGTGAATTTAGCTGTGGGGCAGTTGGTGGGAGAGATTCTACTCTTACCTAAAAAGGTAAAGGACCCCTGACAGTTCAGTCCAGTCGCAGATGACTCTGGGGTTGTGACGCTCATCTCACTTTACAGGCCGAGGGAGCCGGCGTTTGTCCGCAGACAGTTTTTCCGGGTCATGTGGCCAGCATGACTAAGCCGCTTCTGGCGAAACCAGAGCAGCACACGGAAACGCCGTTTACCTTCACACCGGAGCGGTACCTATTTATCTACTTGCACTTTTTGGCATGCTTTCGAACTGCTAGGTTGGCAGGAGCAGGGACCGAGCAACGGGAGCCCACCCCGTTGCAGGGATTCAAACCGCCAACCTTCCAATCGGCAAGCCCAAGAGCCTCAGTGGTTTAGACCACAGTGTCACCCGCTGTTTTTAGGACCCACCTTATTTTTAAATTGTTTTTAATGTTGTGTTTCAGTACTGCAACCCACCCTGGGACCTCTGGATGAAGGGTGGGTAATAGATAAATAATAAAAACATGAGTTCTCACCCACAGCTCAAATGAAACCGAAATATTTAAACTTATCCATGCATCCTACTCCATGACAAAAGCCTAGAGACTGTGTGTCCCACTGAAAACAGACACATCTCACACACACACACACACACACACACACACACACCCATACTCCTCTGCGGAGCCATTATCAGACTTACCATAAGCAAAGACCGCAGCAACATGATCTGAATCCTCCTGGTTCCCAAATCCCTGGAGGGGAGCAGAAAAGAGCTGTACTTTAGATCAATATGGCTCCGTGATCCAGTTCACTCACTAGAGCTGTGCATGTTTTGAGTGCAAGCTGCACTTCTGCTGTTGTTTCCAGCCAGAGCCACGGCCGGCTACTTAGTTTGGGCAAGTCCCCATCGCTCTGTGGCAAACACCCTACCAGACCCATCTCTCAAGCCACGCACACCATACCCAGATGCGTACAGAGCAGACTGGCAAAGAACATTGCGAGCAGCAATGTTTTTTGTAATTCTCTGCCAGATGGCATTCCAGGAGTCAACTCTAAGAGAGGAGAGGCATGTCACAGACGCCTTCTGCTTACATTCCAGCTAAGTTCATTACAGCAGGTGTAATATCCCATTTTTAATCTCTTGCTATGATTCATTACTGGCAACCACTTCCTGCCCACTGATACCTGGAGTGACAGAACGCCCTGAAGGGCCATTCCTGCCATACTAGCGCTGAGATACACACGGACCAACTGATAACTCACATGTGCAAACTCAGGGCTGCTGCTGACACATGCCGTGGGAAGGAGTCAGAAAATGACCAGAGGCAACAAGTAAGGGCAAAAATGACTTATAGGCATGCATCTTGCAAACTCCCTAAGACCTCCTTCACCATTCCTGCATGACTGTTCTGGTTCTTGGGGCAATTCTGCAGGAAGCCTGTCGGGAAAGGCAGGACCAGAGACAATCCTCAGTGAACTAAGACCTCCTGGGCTTGTGAGCCATGCTCATCCGATTCTGTCACCCTCAGATCACCTCCTCTCTTAAGCAATCTCACACATTCTCCTTCTGCAGGCAGCCACCCCTGGAGTCTGGAACTCCCAGACCTGACGGCTACGCAGTGCCACCTCTCTCCCTGCTTTCGGAATTATTTTTTCCTGGGAGGCCTTTGGATCAACCATAATCCTCATTCCCACACCTGAAACAAATACTTAGTATGTGTGTACTGGGAAAAATGATCAATTGCAGGTGCTTAATTGTTTTTTATTTATAGCTAATCGTATCCCTAAGGGTTCACCAAGGGATCATCTTCCCTCAAAGCCAGTGGAATTGCAAAGACAGCAGGAAGCGCAAAAGGCAGGCCACAGTTTTAAGAACCACCAGAATTCTTGAACAGGCAAGAGGAAAAGTACAAACCCCAACTGGCTGGTGTCCACAGTCTGAGATGCTGACCCAAACACAGGGACCTTCCCCATAACGAACATCATTATTTCGGAGCGCTGGTAATCTGGGAGGTTGCTGCCAAAGAAACCTACGGAACGGAAAAGGGAAGGATGAGGCAACGCTGGGCCATCTGTTCATAAAACAGAGAAGGCCTGAGAATTCAAGGATTAAATTGGGTCCACATCACCGTCTTCCTCCCACCAGATCTTCTGAAATAATGGCTGCCTTGTGTTAACAAATCTGAGTCACTGTCTGGTTTGGACAATCTCCCCCAGTTTATGAAGCTGGGAATCAGAGTCTGGCCCAAGCATTCCTCCCCTTCCATGTGGGCTTCAGAGCACTTCATTCCAGTGTTCCCTGATGTCCAAACTGAGAAAATCTGCTTTAAATGTTAGTTAATCTTGACATTTAGACAGTCATTAGGCCTGAGTTTCCTGGTTTGGATGTAACAGGCAGCTCTGGCTTTAAAAAAAAAACCAGAAATGAAACGTTGAAGCCAGCACACGGCTGGGGAGGAGGAGAGGAGCTGGTTTAATAAGCTGAAAAAGATCACCCAGACCAGGGCAGCTCCCCTTGTGGTTTTCTTCTGAGAGGTCTCTTAGAAAGGCTAGGTTTATTCTGAGCCCCACAAATGTCTGTTATTCCCAAGGTGAAATGACCCAATTTCTCGAAACAGAACAGAAGCACTGAACTGCATCCCATCTTGGTAGAAAGTTCTTCTAAGCACTTTGCAAGATGAAACCAGTGTGGTGGCTGGTGTCATAGCTACAGTCCTTGTGGTGAGGACCTGGGTTCAAAAGCTCAGCTCCATTATGAAGCTCCCCCCCCCCCAAAAAAAACGCAACACAGGATTTCAATTTTTTGCTAACATACACCCACCTAAGGGGGAATTATCTGACTGACTCACCAATAGTTTGAATGATGGCATTCTGGACGATCTTTTCATCGCTCTCTTTTGTGCGGCTGTTGAGGCTACCTTTGCCATCAGAGTCTTGGCCCAGTTCAAAGTCCACACTCAAGCTCAAGTGCTTCAGCAGCGTGTTAAACACCTCGAGGACAGTCGGGCCTGTGCAAAAGACGACAAACACATCAGCCGGAATCTCGTTTTTCAAGAACAGGGAACTTTCACAAAACTGGAAGTCAGAAGCAAAGGCTATTTAGATATTATCCAAATATCCAAGGGCAGTTAACAATAAAATAACCACAAATAATATAATAAAAACTGAGAAATACATAAAGTCCATATACAGAACATGATGATGGTAAGAATACCCCACCCACTCTTGGTCGCTTGCAGCAAAATATAAGAACTGTATGACAGACTCCCAAAAATCAGATAAATGTTTTGATGTTTTTCCTGACATCAATATCTATATGCAGCTTCCCTGCCAGAGTATAGAATCATAGTTGGAAGGGACCCTGAAGGTCCTCTAGTCCAACCCCGCTGGACTAGATTCCTGCAATGCAGAAATCTCAATGAAAGCATCCATGACAGTATAAAATCGTGTCTGCAGCACTATTTGAAAACACCCTTTATCATGTTCTAACAGGTGTCTGTGAGCCCCTCCACACATGCCTGTATACCCACAGCATTCCACTTCGTGTGTGAGGCCAGCGCTCTCTTCTTAACTGGGCCAGGATGCAGACAGTTGTGATCGGGGAGCACAAACAGTATCCAGCCTCAAGGTGCCATCCAACACATTTCCCTTTGCTGTAGACCAGGCCAGGCTCCTTATCTACACAGCTCAGGGTTGGCCAGCCTAGTCTAGGCTCTTGCTTTGAGATGGGGGGGTTGAGAGGTGGCCTGAAAGTGTGTGCTTTCCCCTGCTCTCCTAATCTTTTTGCAACTGGAAATGCCACTGAAGACGGAACCTGGGACCTTCTGCGTGCAAAGCCAGAGGCCCCTCCTTTACCACTGAGCTATGATGGAGCTATAAAGGGACGTGGGTGGCGCTGTGGGTTAAACCACAGAGCCATGGACTCGCCGATCAGAAGATCGGCGGTTCGAATCCCTGCGACGGGGTGAGCTCCTGTTGCTTGGTCCCAGCTCCTGCAAACCTAGCAGTTCGAAAGCACGTCAAAAGTGCAAGTAGATAAATAGGTACCGCTCTGGTGGGAAGGTAAACGGCGTTTCCGTGCGCTGGCTCTGGTTCGCCAGAAGCGGCTTAGTCATGCTGGCCACATGAGCTGGAAACTGTACGCTGGCTCCCTCGGCCAATAAAGCGAGATGAGCGCCGCAACCCCAGAGTTGGCCACGACTGGACCTAATGGTCAGGGGTCTCTTTACCTTTTATGATGGGGCTATGAGGCGAACTCAACTGCTAGGAGGAACTGCCTCCAGATTTGGTGAGGGTTTCTAAAATGCATGCATGCAGTGTTAGACATGGGTAATGTAGTGTCCTGTGCAAGGCCAAAATCTGACTCCTTCCCTCCCGCCAAGCCCGCCCTCCCAAATCGAGGTAAAGAAGTTGCAGGGGCTTTGGGAAAGAGACACGAGGCTCTGACGAGGTCCTAGAGATCTCTCATCTCCTCCCCAGAAGCTGGGAAAGCACTACAAGGTTTGGGGGGGAGGTGGGAGGACTTTAGGACCCTGTAAGAGCCTGGCGCCCCCTTCCCAAAACCCTGTGCCCTTGGCTCAGTGCCCAGCGTGTGCGCACCGCTTGCACATCCCTAAATCCACCCCATGCATGTTTCAAAGTACAAATTCCATGATAAAGATGCCAGTGCCCACATGTGGAGCAAAGCATGATGTCTGGCCAAGAGGTTCCAGGGCTTTAGAATGAGGACACTCTGCACCTCTTACTCCTCACTAAGTTCAGACTCCAGAGCAACAAAAAAATCAAACAACAAAAGCAGTTTGTCGCAACAAGCGAGCACCAGAGTCAAAAGAAGACCAACAAACCAGCAATCTGTCACGTCAAGTTTCCGTTTTGGAAAAAGCCAAATAAAAAACACCCACCAACTGGAAAAAACAACGTGTAGAAGTCAACAATGGAAAGACAACCAGGAGAATCCACAGGGTGCCTGTTCTGCAACACGGGCATCCTTACCATCTGGGTATCCTGCGGCCCCCACGTCTTCCATGCGGTGATTTTGACACCAGGCTCCATCACAAGGACTCCCTTCCTGAGACTCCATTTATTGCACACAAAAATATCCTGGCATTCGCTCACCCTCTTCCCCAAGGACCACTCGTCCTTCCTGCTTCACGGTCGCACTAGGACTCCTGCCTTTGCTCTGAGAGCCTGAGGCTTCCTGCCAGGTCTACTTCCACTTGCCTTCTCTCTCTCTCTCTGTCTGCGCCTACAGATCCTGCATTTTATCTGCAGACCAATTAGCAGTAATTAGTCCTTGCACGCTGGGTCACACCTCTGTTTACTGGAGCTACTTCCGGTCACAGCTCTTTGAAAGGGATAAATTAACTTTAGCACACATGCCCCAAGGCTGTCAAAAGGAGATTCTGAGAATATGATTTTTAATAAAAAGAATATTAAATAATAATAATAATAATAATAATAATATACCACCCTTCATCCATATTCTCAGGGCAGTGGGCAGCATTAAAATACAAGTCAAAAACACAAAATACATAATAAAAACAAGGAAAAAAACCAGTAACTCCAATAATCTACTGTTCTTCTACCGGGGGGGCCGGTAGATATATGAGGAAGGAAACCAGAATTAGACATGGCACTATCTATTCCACATTTCCATAACCAACTAGCCCTTCCAAAAACTCCCAGGTTTTTAAGCCATCCTGAATTAGCTGGTCTCACCAATGGATCCTTTAGCAGCAATGGCCACAGCCTCCAAAAGGACCTGGATGATACCGGCTCGAACTCGGGGAGAGTCTCGTTTGCAGCAATCAAGGTGCCCCAGGATTTCCTGTATCACATGATGAGAATACTGTGCCTGGGAAGGGGAAGGAAACAGCAAAAGCTCATTATAGCCCTTCAAAATTACAGCTATGGCTCCAGAGTTGACCGTGCTAACTGATAATACCAAGGCACATTCACAGACCACCAGAGTTGGGTGCTTCGGAGAACCCAATGGATGAGCCAGGCTGTATTATACTCTAAAGAGGCGTTTGAATAAAAGTGAGAGATGACAGAGTTTGAAGAATAAAGAGCACAAAGCGGGGAGGGTACACAAAATATTCTTTGGAGGTCCAGAAAAGGCGCTGTGGGTTTTGAAGACAAATTTGAAGGAACAGAAGGAATGAAATTAAATTTCACAGTAAAGGGAGCTTGAATTTCAAAACAGATGGAGGGAATTCATCCTCAAAGCGAACTCTATTAATTTCCAGTCCAGCAGAGAACAAGTATCTTTAGGATGTTTTCATCTATCCTTCTGTTTTTGAACAGTATTTCCCTAAAACCTGGCACCTACAGTGAGTTCAGTTTTGTCTATATTTAATACATTTTATCCCAGCTCTCCATCCCAGTATGAGGCACTTAAGAGTAGCTCACAATCAACCTATAAATTAAAAAATAACTGAAACCAGATACAAGCAAAACAGATATATCTATCAAACTAAAAAGCAGAGAGGGCAGGGGAGGTGTGTGGGTGTGTAATTTATGTATTTTAAATACTATGTTGGGAAAGATGGAGGGCGCAAGGAGAAGGGGACGACAGAGGACGAGATGGTGGGACAGCGTTCTCAAAGCTACGAACATGAGTTTGACCAAACTGTGGGAGGCAGTGGAAGACAGGAGTGCCTGGCGTGCTCTGGTCCAGGGGGTCACAAAGAGGCGGACACAACTAAACGACTAAACAACAACAACAAATACTATGTAAACTGCTTAGAGATTTTGAAGATTAAGGGGTATATAAATCCTGTTAAATAAAACTAAACATACAGATGGAGGGACAGAAAAAACAGTCAACAGAAAACCCTGCTAGAACAGAAACTATTTTTTCACCTCCCACACCATGAGAGGATACTTCAACAACACTACAAAATATGTATCAGGAACTTGAGAGAAGAGAGTTAAACGGCAGAAACCAGACGCTAATGATAAATTCTCCAGCATGAACACCCCTGAAACGATTATGATGGACCCTCCAATGTTGCAGAAGCCTGACCCTGCAAACAACCAGAGGGGCGTCTGCTGGTTCCAGCCCTAACTTCCTCCTTTGTCTTAATGGATTATTGTTGACTGACTATGAAATAGGTACAGGGTAAACATACCTGTATGGAGTACATGATGATTTTGAAGCAGTGGACAGCAAATTCATTGGGGTCCCACAGTCTGTGATGGTCTAAATGTCTGTTAAAAACAAACCATTATTAAGCACCTGTAGCAATTTCAACATTTAACAATGGGCTTGTTCGGATGTCAAATCCTAGTTTGGCTGTCGCATTACTCTAAGAAGCAGCAGCTGGCATGAATAAGCAACCACTGTATTTAAAGGAATTGGGGCATTCTGGAATGAGGGGTGAAGTTTTAGGGATGCTTCTCCAGGTGCATTTTTGTAAAAAGGTAAAGGGGACCCCTGACCATTAGGTCCAGTCGTGGCCAACTTTGGGGTTGCGGCACTCATCTCGCTTTATTGGCTGAAAGAGCTGGCGTACAGCTTCCAGGTCATGTGGCCAGCATGACTAAGCTGCTTCTGGCGAACCAGAGCAGCACACGGAAACGCCGTTTACCTTCCCGCCGGAGCAGTACCTATTTATCTACTTGAACTTTTATGTGCTTCCGAACTGCTAGGTTGGCAGGAGCAGGGACCGAACAATGGGAGCTCACTCCGTTGCAGGGATTTGAACCTCCGGCCTTCTGATCAGCAAGTCCTAGGCTCTGTGGTTTAACCCACAGTGCCACCCACGTCCCAGCATTTTTGTACAGATGTCCAAATACAAAACATATGCTTAGTGTAAGAGCTATGAGGAGTGAATGATTATGTAAACTGCAGGTTCCCCCTTCAAAATATTCCTACAAAGTGACCAAGAAAGGATTGAGGCTGCAAATCAGAAGGGGCAAATCACAAACTATTTGCCCTTTGTAACTGATGTAAGCAAAGAAGATTGTTGAATGTCAAACTATGTAAGGACTTCTGGCTGATGAGTAACCTCCAGATCATTACTTGCATGCCAGGGATTTTAAAGATGGTGACTTGGAAGGTAGGCTCCTGTTTCAACCACAAAGCTTTCTCTTCCAGGGATTATCTCCGCCCTCTTCCCTCTCTTTGCTGTTGCTTCCCCATTCTATCCATGAGGAAAGGGCTCCTGCCACATAGTCCTCAGCCCAAGAAAAGCACGGAAGCACAACAGCCACTGGCTGTTCCAGAGCATCCTCCGTCCTCTGCTGTGCGGATGCAAGGAGTATTAAGCAGCAAATGGCTGTACCAAATGTCACTGCACCATCTGGCTTGCTGGCTGGAATTTCAACCAGCAAGGGTGATGAGCAAGCAAAACTTGATGTATTCAAATTGAGCACAGGCAGGAAGGGGGCGATCCCATATCATCACATACAGCCATCGCTTATTGAAGCTGAATGTGGGGGGATTTTATTTGGATATGTATTGTATCCTGCACACACAGGGCCATCCTATTTTTATCCTGATATTAATCCAGGAAAGCAGGTTAAGCAACCTGCTCAGAGCCAACCTAAATGAGGACTGGACACAGTCAAAGTCCGTACTCTGTCCACTACACCAAGCTGCTTTTTGTTCTTTTGGTTAAGTACATCTTCAGGATTGGCTTTTGGCTCATGGGACACAGACAGTTATATAGTAATAAATTATAATTATAATTATAATAACAATAATAATTTTTATTTATACCCCGCCCTTCCCGGTTCAGAAAACCGGGCTCAGGGTAGCTAACAACAAATTTAAAACACTTAATTGATGCAACAAAAAACAGCATGAAATACAGTATAAAATATGAATAACAATAAATTCAGAATTAAAAATCAATTTAGGGGGGAAATCCATCCAATAAACATTAGATGATCACCAGGGCTAGCTGGCTAAATTAGTCCTATCTGGGCCAGCGAGGGGGCTTCCGGGTTGGCGCCATCGCCGAATGGCGGACTCCCTCCGAGCTCCGGAGGGAGTCTGCTCGGCAGGGGCTGGGTCCTACCGCGCCGGCGACGCGGGGACCCTTATAAACAACGGGCACGGAGTCCGTGGACATGGGTGACTCGGCTTGCACCATTAGCGCCCTCCCGACTCGTGAAGGAGCCCTTTTAAAGGCTTCGGATCGGGTGCCGGGGAGCGGCGTGGTGCTTTGAGTCCTCTGCTTTCCCTGCCGAGCGCAGCCGCATGCCATTCGACGGAGAGCGCTGACTTCTTCCATTGAAAATTTGGACTATTAACAACAACCCGTGAGTAATTGGGAAACCGGGTTCAAAATTTCGGATTTGGCACGGGCGGGGCGATTTAAAAGGAAGTCAATCCCCCCCCCTACTGTAAGCATTCCAAAACAAGGACTGGGTAACCAAGGTCCAAAGGGAAGTATATTCTTGATAAAAACCATTAATTTCACGATGGGAAATTATAAGAACTGTGCTGGAGGAGAAGAGTGGAGGGTGAGAAGAAAATGCAACCCCCCTGGGAACCGGGGCGATTCGTGGAGCCTGGTGAAGAGAGACGGAGACTTTGACAGCTGTCAAAGTGGCTGTCAAAGTTGGAGAATATAAAGAGGACTTTGTTATGAGGACTTTGCCGGTTAATTTTGCTACAATTTGCTACAATATGGATATAAACTGTTGGAAAATAAGCAACAATTTGACTTTTGGATTAGAGGATACAAAGTTATTACAATCCTAGAGGGGTTTCGGGATATTACAAGAACGGTCGTAAGTGGAAAAATACTCTGGGATCCGCACAGGACTTGTTATCTTTTGGGAAAGCTGCAAAACTGAAATAGTATTTTGTCTACAGAGGTATTTACATTAAAGGAGACAATAGAATTTTCTATTGAAGAAAGGAAGGGACTGGACGTAAGTTTTTGTTCCTGAATAACAAACCTCTGCAGAGATACCAGATTTCTGAATTAGAAAGTTTTAGCAGCTGAACAGGACAAGAAACCTGAGAAAGTGAGGAAAAGAAGAACAAAGGACTGATTACGACACGGAAAGAACAACGGGAGGAGTGGTAAAGATCAAGGAAATTAAAGGCCTTTGTTAGATTGGACACTTGAAGTTACATATTATTAATAAATTAAAAGAAAACCGGCAAGATGGAATCGGGGAGAAATTTGGTCATGAATTGAGACTTCCAAGCTGATAATGCATAGACTGATGGATATGGGGAATTCAAACCGGGGAAGGGGGAGATTTGAAATCCAAAGGCTGTGTAACCATCTTTTGAATTTTTCTATATCTTTTATTTTTATTTTTTACATAACTTACGCATGTCATTTTATTTTGATTGGACGTGTTTAAAAAAGGGAATTCGTGGAAGGAACTGGGGTGGATCTTGGGGAAAATCTTTTTCTTTTCTTGTTAATGATGTGGGACGGTGGTAAGATTTGTACAATTCAATTTGGATAGTGGGTTAAACAAATTAAGCTTCAAATTGGGAGTGAGAGCTTGTAGAACTAAAATAAGGAAAGGGAATACAGTCGGGGGAGGGGGAGTCCCAGAAAGTAGGCAATGAAAGTAAGGTTTTTAAATATCTCTTTTTTTTTTTCTTTTTTTCTTTGTATTTTTATATTTTTGGAAACTTTAATAAATATGATTTAAAAAAAAAAAATATCTGGGCCAGCGAGGAGACCAGGGGAGAATTAGCTGTGGGACCCCAGAGCGGGTAATCTTCATAAAAAGGGGAGAGGGAGGAAAGGAAGGGGAATAAAAGATCAGGCTAAGTTCAAATTGAAAGCCAGGCCCTGTGGAAGGAAGTTAAATCCTGCAGGGCCCTGGTCTCATGGGACAGAGCATTCCACCAGGTTGGAGCCACCACTGGCCCTGGTGGAGGATAATTTGACTTCCTTAGGGCCCGGGACCTCTAAAGTATGATTATTCATGGACCTTAAAGTCCTCTGCAGGGCATACCAGGGGAGGCGATATATACAGTGCTTGTTTTCTTTTAAAAAAGTGTTGAGAGGTATACTCATTTTCCTACTCATATTGAAATACTACCCCTCAATGAGGCCAAACTTATTAGATTCACAAAATGTTTAGGGGTATGCGTACTCGTGTACTCCTAGAAAAAAAAGCACTGGTTATATAGCAATATGGAAGATCAGAACAGCTGAGGGAAACATAGTGTTCTAGGGACTTTTCAGCAGCCACAGCCAGCCTTGAGGGAGTTTTGCCAACTATTTCAAAGGCATTTCCTGCCCCCAGGAAACTCTTAGAGGATTCTGGAGATTTCCAGCACAACCCCCTCAGGCCCTAAGATCAGCAGGAGAGACCCTGTTGGTGCTGCTGCTGCTGCCATTGGCTTTTGCCCAGTTGGCACTGACCCATGGCAGGGCCTTCTCGGTGGTGGTTCCTCATTTGTGAAAAGCCCTCCCTGGTGTGGTGCTCCTGTCGTCCTCATCATTAACGTTCAAGGGAAAGGTAAAAACATTTCTCTTTACTCAGGCATTTGATGGCTGAAAGATACTGTTCCTGCTAACCTTGAAATTACAAGCTGCAGGTGTATGTGGTTGCTTTTAATTGTTTTTAAATATGTTTTGATTGTTGCTGTATTGCTTTAACATTACATTATTACTTTACATTTAACATTAGCATTGCCGCCCTGGGCTCCCTAGGGAGGAAGGGCAGGGTAAAAATGCAGTGAAGTACATAAGTAAACAGATGCTTACGCAAAGACTGGTCTCACAGCATTATTCATGTTTCCATAGGTGGCGCGGCCCAGCAGCTCCCGGAAACAATTCTCAGCCAGCACAGCTGGGTTCTCTTCTTTATCGCCTCCTGTTGGAGAGGAGGGTGGCCCAATCCGGCTGCAAAAACAGGCACACACACACTTGGACAGGGTTGTCAGGCTTTGACATTGTGCTTCACTGCCTTGACAGAAGACACAGCCACAGCACCTCCTGCCCACACCTAACCCCTCTCCTCCTCCTCCTCCTCAGGGTCAGCAAAGGGCCCGGCCCCCCGAGAGACAGGCATACCTGTCGACATCTTCAATCTTCTGCATATTATAAAGCAGCGAGGGAACAATCTTGTCCATATGCTGAGGCTCCCATATGGTGGCTCGGAGCTCGTCGTTTACGGTTTTGCGAACCACCCCCTGGATGCCCCTGATTCCAGCAATTCGGATCCTGGAACAAGAAACAATGGCATTTTCATAGAAGGGAAAGCTGCAGGATCCCTGAATTTTAGCTGCGATCCCTGCACTGCAGGGGGTTTGAGTAGGGGAACCTTGGGCATCCCTTCCAACTCTACAGTTCTATGGAAGATGGAATGCCCAGAGCTTAAGCCCAAAGGCAGCAGGGCTAGCCAATCTGATTACTGAGACCAGGGAGCAAATATCCCTACATAGGCATATATATTTGATGAAGACACATAAGGAGGACATCAAAGTCCAGACTCAAGCATATAAAGACAGGAGCCAGCATGACTTTTTCTTTTCTTCTGCCCAGTTTCACCCTAACCTCATTCAATGAATGATGGGCATACCTGCCCCTGGCAAGGAAAGGAGTCTTCTATGTCAGTTTTATCCTTCCTGCCCTTCTTCTAGTGCCCCAGCCACCTTCTGTGTTTCTTTAAAGTGCTGATTTATGATTATGCATTTAAACAATCAAACAGCATTTGTTCTTACAAAAAAACAACAACAACCCAGTCCACCAGCACTCTCAACATCCCCTTTTGCTTCCAACTGGCAGAATGTTCTCTCCAACAGTTCAATGCTCAAAGAGACAAAAACATGATGAATACATTTTCCAGAGCAAAGTGGCTCAGGTTATTATTTACTTATGTTTGCCCCCACCCCTAGGGTAACAACCCATCTCAGATGACTATCATTTGGGTATTGAGCTTCATGGACTCTGGGGTACTTGGTTTAAGCTACAAGAGCTTTTGGTTTGGCAGAGGCTTCCCCCGGCAAGCCTCAGCAGAAAGACTCGATACTCTCTGAAAAGGGCACATGAATTAAACTCCATTGACGGTGCTTGGCAGAGCATGAATGGAGGAAGATGCTGAGCTTTGCCATTGCAGATATTCTCAATAGCCTGGAAATTTAGAGAGCAGATACTGGAAAGTGCTCCCGTCCCTTTGTCGCACATTGTTACTTACTCGTTCCGTATTTCCGGGTCACTGTGGCAGGAGTGACACATGCCACTGAAGCGAGACACAAAGAAGTCATAGCGGCGGTGATAGGAAGGCGTGTCCTCCTCAATGTTTGCAAATTTGACGAACTGCAGAAGAGGACGGAGAAATGGAGAGGATGCAGTACAGCTTCAAAGCAATCAGAAAGTTGGCATCACCCAGCCCCAAAATGCTGCAATCCCCGACTACAGTTGAAATTATCCAGAAAGTAGCACCATTCGTAGTTTATTGCATGCAGTGGGTGGCAACACAGGAAAATCACTTCTGTTATTCATCCGTCTTTTTTCTAAGCATTTCTGACTGGCTATCCCTATATCATCATCATCATCCCCTTTCTTTGGTGGGGAAAGAGATCGGGTGCAAGGCTTTCCGGGAGGGCAACCCTCTCTTCATAGATCCCAAACCTTCAGGGCACTGGAAGCAAAAGGCACAGATCTTAATCCCACAGAGCAAGACAGCCAGCCGCTTGTCTATAAAATTCCCCAGGTCTTTTCCCTCTGGCAAACCTTTCTTCCAATGTGGCAAGACCTGGTATTTTTACCACATCAGGACAACTCTCTAGAAACGCTCCAGCACCTGGTAAATAGTATGCAACAGGGAGTGTGTCTTGCACGCTTCACTTTCTAAAAAACCACCAGGTTAGTAACTTGATAGCCTGCTGCTGCTGCTGCTGAATCCAGTATGCTAGGGCAAATGTTGGGATGTTACCCAGTAGTTCCTCTCTTCTTTGGGGACCCTTCTCTAGTTGCCTCACCTCTGGAGCTCAGGCACTTAGCAATGGGGCAACTCCTGTGGCTGCACCTCTAGCTATGAAGTAGCCTCTTCAGACATGTTCCCTGGGCACAGTTTAGAAGCAAATCACTTCTGTGTGCCCAGGCTTTTAATAAGTAGCGTGGTCAATTTTTAAAAAGCTGCCTTGAAATGTTACTGGTTTGTTTGTAGCACCTTTGATGTTTTAGGCTCTATTCTGCTGTGTTATTGATTTGGTATGTTGGTTTTATTGGATTTTAAATGAGGTTTTGTGTTGTTTTGGAAGCTTCTTGTACATTTTGTTGAAATTGAAAGAGGATATAAATATTTTAAATACATAAAAGTAACCTGGAGCATCCCTGATACAGCACTTGAGCTGAACCAACCTGAGCTCACAAGACCCTTACCCTCACCTTGGTCCTGTTGGGTGTCCCTATCCTCAGACCAGGCCTGACTCTCAAAACTTTCTTGACTCCGTTTCAGCTACTCCTTGCTTGCTGCAATACACTCCTACACTTTGGAGACTGGATTCTGTTACCGTGAAACGGTATCACAGGCAGGACAGTCGAGAGTGCAGAAGCAGAAGGCACTCAGAGCTCATCACTAATGCAGCAGTGATGACGAGGGAATAGAATACCTTTGACTTGGAAGATAAAGGGCAAGCTAAGCTTCTATTTAAAGGCTTGCACAGATCTGCTGGAGAAATATAAAGAGTGGATTTCTAGCCCTGTCAGGTGGCACAGAAAAATCTCAAAGACAAGCAAGCAAAGAATATTAATGGAGCATCAGATGGGCAGAAGGAAAAGGGTCTCCTTCTCTTTTTTTTTTTTTTTTTTTTTAATAATTGATATTTATTAAATTTTCAAAGAATAACAACAAAAATTTCCAAAAAAAATTTGAGGATACAAAAAACAAAAATAGTACATAAACAAAAAAGAAAAGAAAACCCAGCCGCAAAGAAAAAAAAAAAGAGAAACAGAAAAACAAAAATATAAAGTCCTTTACAATCTCTATTGACTTCCTTTCTAGACTTCCTCCTCCTCCCCTCTTTTGTTTCTTAATTTTTAATTTTTACAGCAAATCCTTTCTGTTTTTCATAACAATCTGTCATTACGTTTCCTTATTCTATTTTCCCTCTTGTCATATAAAAACTTTAAAACTCATAGCTTATATTCAATATTTACCAAATTCTTGCATCATTACCTTTTTACGAATCATTTACCAATCCTTACTTAAGCCATGTAATTTCATTCAACATCCTTCAAACATTTGTAAGCATTCCCAATATTAAAAAATAAAAAAGAAAAAATAATAAGTCAAATTCAGTCCAGTCAGCTTCCAACCTCCCCTCCCCTGGACCCGGGATTGTCAGTCCTTTTAACCTCGATAATCCGGCTCCTTAACCTGGTTGTCTCGTATCCGAGGCCCTCAAGTCTCTTTCTTGCCCCTTTCGCCACTCTTGTTGATGATTCCTTTCCAGTCGTGGATGCTCCAGCAAGAAAATGCTTTTGACCCTTTGCAGCAAGTCCATCCCAAACCCATTGCCCAAGCCAGACAGCAAATAATACCACTTCAAATTTCCACAAAGCTTGGAGACTTCGGCTACTCCAATCCTCTGATAGCCCATCACCAGACTCGGAAGGTCCAAATAACCATATGGAGGGGGTCGATCCATCCCCCATTTCCAAATCTGACCACATTTCATCTTTCCGAATCTGGTTTGTCCCAAGTTCATTTATCAAGTTCAAAGGCTGATCTTGCCCGTCCAAAGGTCCCTCCATCTCTGAAGCCTCCGTCACTACAGCAGGTTCATATGCTTGTATAGCCTTTAACTGAATTTCATTTGTTTGCTGCTGTGCTCTGGTAACTTCCATCATCAAGGTCGTCTCCTGACGCATCTGGTCCAGCTGGGCACTTAGTTTTGAAAAACCTTCCAGGAACAATTGTTCAAGCCTTTGTACTAGCATTGTCCTTCAAGGTCAAAGAAAATTCTTTCCCACGACAATAGTCCAATAGTCCTTCTCTTTTAATCTCTCTGCGTTGCAATTTCACTAAATTCCACTAGATGGAAATTTTTTTTTTTTAAAGGAATAAAAGCAACAGCAACAATCTTTCTTTTTCCAGAAACACTTTATCCAAAATTCCCCTTCCAAATTCAAGAGGCAACAGTAGAATCAAAATGTTACCCTTCTTTTAACTAACTGTCGAGCTGGATAAACTTCAGAACGTCAATTCTGACAGCCCGCTCCTGGTTCAGGGCGGTGGAAAATTGCTTTATTTTAAACTCACTTCCGCAGGATTGAAAAGTCCAAATACAACCCCTTCTTCTCCTGCAGTCAAAGGGGGTTCAGAAATCTTAGATGTTGAATTCTAGTTCTCTTAGAATTTAATTTTCAAGCTTTAGTATATTTTGTCTTTGCTTTCTTCACATAACAAAAGAACGGAAGGCGACTTCCTGTTTAGACCTTCCCATTCCGAGTCCCAATTAAGTTCAATTTCAAGTCCAATATTATTTGTTTATTCACCAGTCTTAAAAGTGGTTCAACTCTTCCAAGATCAGGTACTCACGGATAGATATTTTAGATGCCAAATTGTCCAGGAAAAGGCAGCGCTCTCCGATAACGGCAGTGCGGCTTTGCTGCACGGAGGAAGCAGTCGACTCACAGCACCACGCACCTCCCACTCCGGAGCCCGTTACCGGGCTCCTGTACAAGGGAGAGAGCGCTCTCGGTGCCCGCCGAGTCCCACGTCCACAGGCTTCTTCCGCCTGTGGTTTTTGCGGGTCCCCGCTGCGCCGTAGCGGCAGGACCCAAGCCTCCGTGCAGCGGGTTCCCTTCAGTCCGAAGGGAATTCCGCCATTTTCCGGAGGCGCCACCCCGGAAGTCGGAAAAGGGTCTCCTTCTCAGTCCTCTACCCACATCTCCAGCAGGCTTTCTAAGTAGCCAACTCACACCTTCCACAAGAACCATGGCCAGAGGGAAGGGTTTCTTTCTTCCTAACCTGTGTCTCTGAGGGAGTCATTGATCAGGGCCTGCCTTAATCCACCAGATGTGGATTAAAGTTTCTTATTCCCCCTTGTATGCTTAAGAACCGGCCATTATCCCACCAATATTTTTAAATTTATATCCCATACCTTCAGCACAGATTTATGTTCCCTGGGTAGTAGAGTAGTAATAGGAAACCAAAAGGAACATTGAAAATAGCAACAACAACCATGTATACAAACTGTATGGCAAATCAAAACAAAACTAAATAGCCAGATTAAAACTGAGGGCGAAAGCAATCCACCCCTAAATTAAAGGATGCTTACGTTAGCAGTTCTTTAAAGTTGGAGGAAACAGAAATGTTTTTGCCTGGTGCCTAAATGAGAGCGGGGGCCTCGAAGGGGATATCTGCCAAAAGTGAGGAGCCACCACAGAAAAGGCTCTGTCTCCGGTAATCACCCACTTCATTTTTAAGATTTTTAAGCACAATCCATTTCATGGTATGCAGTCAGGGGAGGCTCAGGGACGACATGTGGCTAGTCAGAATCATAACCAGGGAAGAAGGTATGCAGCCTTGCAGCTTGGTCACACGACCAGGGGTTTGGAAATAACTGCGTTCCTCTCTGCCTCTTCCTAGCCATATCCTCTGTGCAGCTCCCCAAAGGCCATGCCAGGGAAACGATTTTTTTTAAAAAATAAATTTTATTTTATTTTTACCAACCACCAAAACACAAACAATGAAACCCCCCCAGGCAGCTGATACATTGGGTATACAATATTCAATAACATACATATTCAATGACAACATATTCAAATTAACCCTATGTACACTTCTATATACCTTAACACTCCTCCGTCCACAAGGTTTATTTAACTTTTAACACTTTAATTGCCCCAAATTGTTCAAACCTACTCAAATAATTCAATATCTTCTCAAACTAATCCTCCTCTTTCTCACTGACCTTAAACCTTTTCAGCTTGGTCACACGACCAGGGGTTTGGAAGTAACTGCGTTCCTCTCTGCCTCTTCCTAGCCATATCCTCTGCGCAGCTCCCCAAAGGCCATGCCAGGGCAACTAAACTGACTCCAGACAGTAGGAGAACCAAGTGGGGGACCCAAGGAGCGTTCACTCACCGAGTTGGTTCCCAGGACTTGCAGCCTCGGTTCTCCAGACTCCAGAAGCTTGGCCACCATGTGAAGGAAGCTCTCCACAAATGGCTTGATGCTTTGAGAATGGCAAGCCATGAGCAGCTGGTCTAGGGCTTCCATGGCAATGAAGACATACCTGCATGCAGAGAGGTGAGCACAGGCCTGCTAGGAAAGCCCCCTGGCACGGTAGCCCACAAACTTTTCTACTAGCTGGCCTGCATAGATATTATCTGTTATTGTTAATCTGTGGCACACTGAAAGCCCAAAAGCAGGGAGGGGGGAAGAACCCACCCTCTTCCCATTTACAAGCATCACACAGCCTCCTTGCTTGGGGTGATTCTCATTTGCCACAGGAAAGGAGGCCCGTACTGGCAGGGCGGGGTGGGAATGAGCAGCAAGATTTGAAGTGGGCGTCAGCAGAAGTCTTACCCACAGCGGTGTCTGACAACATCTCTGCTCAACCTCTCTGCTAAATAGGCACCGATCCGATCAAGCTTCTCAGGAGCAGATACGGCATAGAAAGTCAGTTTCTCCATATCTGCTTTGACAAGGCCATCCTGCACAGGTAAGAGAAAGTTCAAGGAAACAACTTTGAAGATAAATTTAAGTGGTTTGTATTGTACAAGCTGATATTTACTACAGTTGATTTTATGAGACTTACGAGGCTAGTCTAATCAAAGCATACATTTTAAACTACCGTATTTTACGCTCTATAAGACGCACTTTTTCCCTCTTAAAAAGTAAGGGGAACTGTGTGTGCGTCTTATGGAGCAAATGCAGGCTACAAAGCGATCCCTCTTGCTGTTCTGGCTTCTGGGATTCAGAATATTTTTTTTCTTGTTTTTCTCCTCCAAAAACTAGGTGCGTCTTGTGGTCTGGCGCGTCTTACAGAGCGAAAAATACGGTATATTGTGTGAAACTCATACGACGTGTGCAGCTATATCCATACCCATAACTAGTGCTATCTTACATAGCATCACAACCTGCGTGATTTCACAACGTTGAAGTGGCCAGCTGGCCAACCTTGCCAAGATAACATCTTTAAACAAAAGCTAAAAATAAAAAAATTGCCTGAGCACGAAAACCTCAAAGCTCCCTACAACCCCTCCCCCCACCCCACCCCAAATTAAAACACGGACTGCAAGGGCTCGCTTACTTTTGGATCTTCGGGGAATATGTTATCTACCAGGCGCTTGTAACGGGGGCGCAAGGCCGCACAGCAGCAGCAGACTCCTGCAAAAAACAAGAACCGCAATGAGAACCAAACTCTGTGGAGGTGGAGCCCCTTTTTTTCAGAATGGAATCTCCACTCGCAATGACACCCACATCCACAATTCGCAGGCTCAGGTACATGCGCACTTTTGTGAGAAACTGTCCCACAGGTGTAGGTAGGTTCAAGAATTTTAACAATGGTTTTAATAGTGGGGAAAGCAGCAACTGGATGCACAAGCTGAATGAAGGGCAGAAGTGAAAACTGGCTCCTCTCCAGAGTCATCCTAGATCAGGCATAGGCAAACTCGGCCCTCCAGATGTTCTGAGATTACAATTCCCATCATCCCTGACCATTGGTCCTGTTAGCTAGGGATGATGGGAGTTGTAGTCCAAAAACATCTGGAGGACCGAGTTTGCCTATGCCTGTTTTCAGATCATGACCACTAGGGGGGGAAGCCGTGCAGCTTTAAGCCAGTTTTAGATCACGAGATACAGCTTGGCACACAATGGACTTTAAGGTGCTTATAGATGTGGTGACTTTTAAGCCCACACATAATTATGTACGTGTTTCAATTATCAAGTCTCTGCTGTAAAACAAAGCAGCATGTGTGTGCGCGCGTGCGCACACAGACGTTATTAGCTTGTGCACATAATTTTTTAATTTTTTAAATTTATATTTATTAAATTTGTGTTCTGCCCTTCCTTTGTAGATCTCAGGGCGATTCACAGCATAAAAGTACAAGATAAAAACACAAAATCAAAGCACAGCAAGGAGATCTGAAACATACACAAAATTTGGGGACATCCTTTGAAATCAAAGGAGTGGTTTCACATGCTCCCAAAACCACACTCAGTTTGGAAAGATGGGTAGAAAGTGTATCCAATTCACCAGCAGAAAAAAATGCAAGATATCCATTTCCTCTTTTGATATGAATATGCGAGGGAAAGATCTGCACAAAGAAAGAGCAGCTGAACTGAACTTAAGGCTGCAGCACCTAGGAGTAAGCTCTGCTGAACTCTACGGGTCTGACATCATTATGATGTTAATATAGCCACATTTCTCCTTTCTCCCAAGTTGGAATCCATCTGCGTAAATCCTGCTCAGGACTCATCTGTAAAGGGGTCTTTCCCTGGCAAGCTACATTCAAAGCCTGGAGACAGAGCCAGACTCTAGTCTGTGATCCCTTGAACCGATTGTGGAGATTCTTGAATATATGGGTGGACTTGCATGAAAACAGCCAAAGATACACGCTTGGGCCCAAGGTAACAGCATTTTAATATCCAACTTCTGCGTTCTTTGAACTGATCACCAATGGCACAGTGGTCAATTCTGAGGTGCAGGAGCTCATCACGGAAGTGGCCACAGCCACATTCCCAAAGAGAGTCCAAAAACACAGCAGCTACATTGACCTGCAGCTGCTGCAGCAGCAGCAGCATCTAGCAGAGTTACCTAATGTGGTGCCTTCCTGATGGTGGCGGACTACAGCTCCCATCATCCCCACCCAACACCAGTTATCTCCCGCTTGGACTACTGCAATGCGCTCTATGAGGGGCTACCTTTGAAGGTGACCCGGAAACTGCAATTAATCCAGAATGCGGCAGCTAGACTGGTGACTGGGAGTGGCTACCGGGACCACATTACACTGGTCCTGAGAGATCTGCATTGGCTCTCAGTACGTTTCCGAGCACAATTCAAAGTGCTGGTGCTGACCTTTAAAGCCCTAAACGGCCTCGGTCTCCACCCCCATCGTTCAGCCCGGCCACTGAGATCCAGCGCCGAGGGCCTTCTGGCGGTTCCCTCATTGTGAGAAGTGAGGTTACAGGGAACCAGGCAGAAGACCTTCTCGGTAGTGGCGCCTGCCCAGTGGAACGCCCTCCCTTCAGATGTGAAGGAAATAAGCAGCTATCTTATCTTTAAAAGACATCTGAAGGCAGCCCTGTTTAGGGAAGTTTTTAATATTTAATGCTGTATTGTTTTTAACACTCGATTGGAAGCCGCCCAGAGTGGCTGGGGAAACTCAGACAGATGGGCGGGGTATAAATAAATAACTATTATTATTATTATTATTATTATTATTATTAGAGATGATAGGAGCTGTAGTCCAAGAACATGTGGAGGGACACTCTGTTGGTTGTCCTTGCAAAATACCAATTCATTAGGATCAGTACGGTTGCAACCCAAGGCAGAGTTTCTTGAGAAGAGGCTGCACTGAACTCACGTCATGCTCACTTCTGACTGCAGAGGTTCTGCTTGCAAAATCCATCAAAGAAGCTCAGGATCTGTTTGATTTGGCAGGGAGGCAGGCCAGGGCCTTCTCTGTGGCAGACCCTAAGTTATGGAACTCGGTTCCTGCACACTAGCAGACTATGTAAATTATGTTGAATATTGCTTTCGGAAATGGGAAAGAGTGGGGTGTGAGCTGGAACAAACTAGAGACGTAGCTGCTTCCATGGGTCTAGCACAAGGGTGGGGAACCCATTTTCCATCTGAGGGCCACATTCCTTTTTGGGCAACCTTTTGGGGGCCACGTGCCTTTGATGGGCAGGGCTGGAGACAAAAGTGGGCACAGCAGTGCATGTAAGTTTCACTTCCATTCTGCAGGCAAGTTTCTACTATGCTCCCTCACCCACCCCTCTCCATCCTGGCAAGAGAGGGGCATTGTGGGAGTTCAAGGACACAAACCAGCCCAGAAAAAGCACTGGGGGGCATTCCAAGGGCCAGTCAGAAAGGTTAGGAGGGCTACCTCTGGCCTGAGGTTCTCTGATCTAGAACACCCCACTCAAGAATTCAGAAATGTTAATTTTAAAGTGGACATTTGTCCTTTCCTGTATGCAGTTGCCTTCCCTCTCCCCCTTTGCAAATTCCTTCCTTCGGTCTAATATGGGGCAAGCAACATTAGCTTCCAACTGGTCAAATTTCCAAGATTTCAGCACACAGTTACACTCGATCAAACCAAGAAAACCACTATGCTACCATGCAAGGAGGCAGCAACGCCAACGTTAAGTGTATACAGTTATGGTACATGCCAGCAACTGGTTCACACAGTAAGAACAGACTTATATACCTGGAGAATATGTGTCTGGGGAGACATATGTAGGGAAACAAGCAAAAAACAGCTTGAAATTATATCTGCAGTAAAACCAACAGCACAGTTTACTCCACGTTTGAACAAGAGGCTCATGTTAACATCTCTTTTCACGCTGCCCCCCCCTTTCAACTAAGAAATAATCCAGCGGGTTTGCTCAAACTGCATGCATTGAAGATATTAAGAAGAGATAGAGGACGGTTTGAGTATACAGATGTTTTTCAAACTTTCAAGAGAAAGCAATGCTCCTTCTCAGCAAAATAATGGAACGGGGGTGAGGGAGAGAAGGGGAAGAGAAGGCGCTCTGAAGAATTCACCTACCAAGGCACACGCATGGGCCTGGTTCCCAGTCAGGATTGTAGTCATAGGACTTATCTTGCTCAGCCACAGGAACTGCCACATACGTCTTCATCATGTTCCCTCCTGGCAGTTCTGCAGTTCCTCCTTTCTTTAGCTGCCCCTCTACGCCTTCCCGGCTCTCTCCTGCCCAGGCTCGGCAATGTCAAATTCAGGTAGAGGCAGCACACACTTATCTAGCTAGCCCTGCACGTGACAGAAGCGCCAAGGGACCCTGCACATGAGAACGCCGCGTATCCAATTGCACCGACAATGCCAAGCTCTGGAAATGAAAGAGAGCGCCTGGCCCCACACGGCCAGGGTCAGTGCACCTGACATGCATGTAACTAAGCCTGGCCACCTTGTAATGAGACGCACAAAAGGAGAAAGGACATTTCTCCATTGTCCTAATAAGAAGCTTAGCCTATTATTTACAGCCGAATAAGCGTAAGGTTAAAGGAGAAAGGAAACAAACTCTCTCAAAACACTACCCATAAAAAAACTGCATTAACATTTGCAGAAATAAAGCTAATACAGTTCTGTGCAGAAATATATGTACACACTGTAACCCAGCCACCGACATTGGTACAGAGGGCTGGCTGTTTAATGCTGCTAGCAGGACAGGCGTCAAATAGCGCTCCGGGTCAGACAGCAGCTTGCTGCTGCAGCAGCTTCTGTGCGATAACCTTTCAGATACCTGCAATTGCTCTCTTGAGGAACGTAAGATTAAGGGATGGCATGATAGAAACCTTCAGGTATCTGAAGGGAGCAGAGTTGCTCTCTGCTGCTCCAGAGAACAAGCCTAGAACCAATGAATAAAAACTATGGGGAAGCTAAACATTAGGAGAGACTTTTAAATGCTAATACCTATATAGCGGAAGAAAAATGGACCATCTCGGGCAGTGTGAGGCTCTTAAGACTCATAGAATTGTAGAGTTGGAATGGACCGAAGGGTCATCTAGTCCAACCCCCTTTGCTGGCAGTATTTAAACAGAAGCTGGGCAGCCATGGGTCAGAGATGCTATAATTGCAGTCTGCATTGCAGACCTAGCTTTGAGCAGGGAGTTGGACTAGACAAACCCCCAGGTCTCTTCCAAAACAATGACTCTATGAAAAGTTGTAACAACTGAGTAGCCTTGCAGAATAGCACAGCCAGTAAAAAACAGGATTAAAATATACTGGCATTTGGGGATGTTTTTGAACTGCGGGGCCTCAGACACCCACCAAGAATCATGAGTTGGGGCCATATAACCTTTCTCCTCCTCTGGTTCCATCATGATTATTACTACAACCTATTGTAGTCGAAACCAGTAATGTATGGCCAAGGTTTACCGGGAGGTGGTGCTGAGCAGGGCCTTCTCAGTTAAGCCCCTTTCTTATGGAACGAAGCTGTGATCAGATTCTCTCCCTTATTGGGGACATCGCCTAAAACCACATTTAATTTTGCTAGCATTTGGTGCCTAACTGTACAGTGTATCAAGAGTGGGTTTATGAACTGATGCTGTCTTCAGTGTTTAAATTGTTTAATTATAATTTTTATACACACACACACACACACACACACACGTGTGTGTGTGTGTGTGTGTGTGTGTGTGTGTGAGAGAGAGAGAGAGAGAGAGAGAGAGAGAGAGAAAGAGAGAATGGTTTAAATTGTTGTTAGCTTCCCTGGCTCCATTTGGAGGAAGGCAAGAGTATAATCATAAGCAGCAAATAAATAACTAAATCTATTTGAAGATCATTCTTGATACAATTTTAGAAAAAGCAAAAGAGCTCACCACATCCATGCAAGCAACCTCCAAATGCTATTAGCCTTAAGCTTGACATTCACTTTAGCAGCCCGCCAACGCTCCAGAAGTACAGAACATTTCTTCTGTAATGTTGCATCTGCTGTATAGCCAATGTCATGTTGCTGTTTGTTATGTTGAAAGAGCTCCTTCTCTTCCTAGCCTGAGTGATGCTGATCAACTGCTGCACTCAATAAAAGGAATACATTGTTCACACTTGAAAAGCGTACTTTAAAAGGATCTCTCTCTCTTTCTAATCCATTGTCAAAGACAGCCAAGACACAATGCCAGCTACAGAAGGAAATGTTGTGGTACTCATGTGCACACACAAAAGTATGAAAAAATATTGAAATCAAAGGCCATTGTATTTCACTAGTTCTGCAAGAAGGATCAAGGCTTCTCACACACAAAGCATCTTAGAAATATCTGAATAGAAAAGTATTGATGTTTCTAAGTCACTGAACTAGGTGTTTTTAAAAAGGGGCACCACACTTGAAAATGAACGGTCTGTCTTTTAAAGAGAGGTAACCCTTTTTCCCCCTAGACCAGAGCTTCTGAATAACTTAGAAATTTTAAAAAAAATTTTTAAACAGGGATAAATACTGATTTATTATTATTATTATTATTTTTAAAGGGAGATATACCCAAGCATACAAGAAAATAAAGAAGCACAAGAATACAAGTAGCTGAGCTACTTGCCCATCTTGGCCAGTAATTACTACAAGGGATTTCCCATTTCTGTGCATGTTTTAATTATAGCAGCCACATCTAAAGACTGCGTGATTGTGAACCTCAGTACTAACTGCACACCAGTTATTTCCTTCATCAAGCTTTCGTTTCAATTGTGGGAATATTTATTTCTTGACCTCTCTATTATGAATGTCTTGATTAAAAAAAAGAGTTAGCCAGATTTTACCGATAAGTGTCCATTTTATTTTCTGCTAAGTATTTAAATAGTAGTTTTAGCTCTGCACTGGATGGAGCTCCACTTTGACTGCTACATTTGCCTAGCAGCTTAAGACTCAAGCCCTCTAACTGCTAGGAGTATTCACAAGAGCAGTTAATACATTTCTGGATGACAATGAGCACGTCTGCTACAACGTCTGAAGCCAGAGCTCCACGTTCAAAGATGCCTCACACTTGCCACATTTTGTTTCTGCTTTTCTTTTTCAGAAGAGATTTCCTCCGAAGGACCGAATCTCAAGTTCTCAGTGCAAACGCCTTACATTTTCAACAGGTTGCCATACTTACTGCCAGGCATTGTTGATGGGAAACTTGGCTCCTATTTTCCACCATGCGATAAACTGCAAGAGAAAAAAGAAAGTCGTCACGTCAGAGCCATTGACTCGGTGCAGCTGATGCTGTTAACAGGCTTACAACTAACTCCCGCTGAACAGTGAAGAGAGAAGAAGATCCCATTGAAGACATGGAGCTAAGCGCTCAGCGCCCAGAGACAACCCACCCAGCCCCTAGTCCTGTTCACAGGCAGTGCTGGATTTACATATAAGCTAAACAAGCTATAGCTTAGGGCCCCACTCTCTTGGCCCCCCCCAAAATTCACTATTAATATACTTCTTCTTAATTGTATTTCAGTTCCACAATTGCTTTGATAAAATACATCAATCAGAATTCACATTCAGAAACAAGGCAGATCTTTCAAAGCAGCATGAAGACATAAAATGAAGGCCAAAACAAAACAGATTAGCAAGAGCTAAAAACCTGGGAAAATAGAAAAGTCTTTGCCCAGCTCCAGAAAGACATCAGAGTAGGCACTGGAGAAATCCTCTATTGGGTGAGATTTTCAAAATTCAGGTGTCACTGCTAAAAATGCCCTTTTCCCAGACAACTAACCACTGCCTCCAGGTGATGGGGAACCTGGAGAAGAGGCCCTCTCTGATCATCCAGGAGTTAATATTTAGATCTTACACTGATGCCCCTTTCTGTCTTGGAGGAGCTCAGAGCAGCTCCCCTTGGGCTGCCAGGCTGTCTTTCCACTCAGGCTGTTCGCAGGGCCAAATCTGCTTAGCTTCTAAATGAAGCTGTGCCATGTGCCTCCAGACCTTTCGAAAGGTGGAGTCCGATACACAATTACATGAGAGCAACTCCCACTGGATTTAATAGCATTCTCTCCCCAAGTAAACATGTCCAAGATCACAGGGTAGGCGGCAGAAGTCTTAAACAGGCTCCACTCTATTAGAAAAGAGAAACTGCCCATGTTTAGGGTATCACCGTCCAACTCCTAGATATAAGGCCAAATAATGTTAGTTATGGGACGCAGATGGCGCTGTGGTCTAAACCACAGAGCCTAGGGCTTGCCGATCAGAAGTTTGGCAGTTTGAATCCCCATCCAGGTCAGCGGTTCAAATCCCCGTGACGGGGTGAGCTCCCGTTGCTCGGTCCCTGCTCCTGCCCACCTAGCAGTTTGAAAGCACGTCAAAGTGCAAGTAGATAAATAGGTACCACTCCGGCAGGAAGGTAAATGGCGTTTCCGTGCGCTGCTCTGGTTCACCAGAAGCGGCTTAGTCATGCTGGCCACATGACCCGGAAGCTGTACGCCAGCTCCCTCGGCCAATAAAGCGAGATGAGCGCCGCAACCCCAGAGTCGTCCGCGACTGGACCTAATGGTCAGGGAGGAAAGATTGAGGGCACAAGGAGAAGGGGACGGCAGAGGATGAGATGGTTGGACGGTGTTCTCAAGGCTACCAGCATGAGTTTGACCAAGCTGCGGGAGGCGGTGGAGGACAGGAGTGCCGGCGTGCTCTGGTCCATGGGGTCAGGAAGAGTCGGACACGACTAAACAACAACCACCTTTACCTTTTTAATGTTAGTTATTAAGCTTAATGCTATTAAATTTGGTTATTAATACATTTCAGTGTAGGGTTTGGAGCAACTGCATACGTGCCAGAGTTCAGTGGTGCAAACCTTTCTAAATCTTGCCTTGGGGAAGCTTTCAAGTAGAGAAATAGGATGCACTTCAACTGGATAATTCCCTTCTCTGCACAAGTCCCAATGAAATGGAAAAAAGCTGAGCAAGGGCATGACCACAGCTTTTCTGAAGCTCCTGAGAGCCGCAGGGGAGTTTGCACAGAACTCCGAGGTGAATTATGCCTTAGTTTTCTACACAGGAACTATATTTTCTGCATCCCTCACAATCAACATGCATCCCCTCTGACATTCCTTTCTTAATGTGATCTTGTACAGAGCTCATGAAGGCAGGGGATGGACGGTGTGAGAGATACCCACCTGCATTTTCCATCTGTCAGAGCAGCAATATTTTAAAGAAATGTTTTAACTCTGCCTTTATGATTGGGGCAATCAGCAACAGCACATGGTCATGCTAGCTAGCTAATTTATGTACGTTCATGCCTTTTTTGCCCTTTGAGACAAAGCCAAAAAGATAAATGCCTCTTTGCACAACTGTGGGAAGAAGGCACGTGTACAGAAGAAGCAAAGGAACACAACAGAGGAAGCGAAACTATGTCTGTGGGTGGTGTCAATTATGTAACAGCTTCCCTGGCTTTTGTGGGTACACTTCTGCTGTCTTGTCTATGAGCAGCATGGCTTTAATTAATGCCTCTGATTTCGTGATCAGCCATACCATAATCAAAATTCAATCTTAATGACTGTCAGACCTCAAAGGCCAAAAAAAAAAAAAAAGAAGAAGAAGCCATGAATATACATAAAATGAGCTAGCTAGCTTGACCATGTGCTGTTGCTGATTGCCCCAAACATAAAGGCAGAGTTCAAACATTTCTTTTAAAATATTGCTGCTCTGACAGAGGTTAAAAACAATGGAAAATGCAGGTGGGTATCTCTCAGGCCACATCTTGCCTTGCACAAGAATAAGTGGGATGGAGCAATGTGGAAATGGAACACACTATGAAGGACAGACTCCCTGGAAAAGACCCTGATGTTGGGAAAGATTGAGGGCACAAGGAGAAGGGGACGACAGAGGACGAGATGGTTGGACAGCGTTGTCGAAGCTACCAGCATGAGCTGGACCGAACTGCAGGAGGCAGTGGAAGACAGGAGTGCCTGGCGTGCTCTGGTCCAGGGGGTCACGAAGAGTCGGACACGACTAAACGACTAAACAACAACAACATGAAGGACAGATGATGCGCTAAGGCGCATTAAACAAAAACTGCCTTACAACAAGTTCTATTACTAGTAGCGAAATAACATTATCAAATGCATGTCCTCTTTTTCCAAGGATTTGACAGGGCAGCGTACACTGGATTGTAGAATTTTATCCTCACAGCAACCCTGCTAAGTTAGACTGAGACATAAAGAAACCGGATGGGTTTCGTGGTGTTTCATCTACTGCTGGCCTTCCAAAGATTTATTTTGCAGGCAAAACGAAACGAAAACGTGTGAGGAGGACATGCAACCACGTGGATAGGAAGCAGAAGATTTTAATATTTACGCAATAGCTAATAACTTGAGCTGTTAATTTCTGGGAGCTTCTGCTTGAGGATCCTAGAACTGATACTCAGATGGACTGAAGTAGATTAGGGATTTTATGGCTCAGCAGCATCTAGGCCATAGGGCACCTTGTACTAGAGTATGTTACAAGCAGTTGTTCTGATTATCTAAAATCCAGTCAAATGCTCCACTACCTGGGGCTCATGTTTCCCACCACACGGGTGCGATGCAGCAGACTCCCTCATCAGGTACTCATGTTCTGGAGCATTTAAACTACATCTGCATTCAAGCTACACCTGCCCTCCTTTAGTCTACAAATGTTTCTTACAGAGCAGCTAAATTTAGAGTTTTGGAACCAAAAGGTTGGGATCTGCAGCAACTGTGAGGATTCTGCCGCTCTGGTGACCCCAACATATGTTTATTTTTTACTGAGAGTGACAGACAAGAACTAACTGAATGAAACAGTCAGAAGGGAAGCAAACAGTTCATATCCCTTAACGCACGGATGCATCATACGGTACCCAGGAAAGCTTGTCGCCAGTTCCCCTTCTTCACTCAGAGACAGTATCTAAATTGCACAGACTAATGGACAGTTGGAGCTGGGACTCTGGAGGCCAGGATTCATCCCAGTGCCACCGTAACCTTACATAACAGGCTTACAAAACTGTCTTAACAGCAAGCATGGGGGGAAATATGGTTTTAAAATTGTCTAAAGACCTCTGCCTATTCATTATTACAGTGGTGCAATCTGCTATCTACCCAGACAGATAGCTGACTGGAAAACTGTACTTCCCACTCTACTTCCTACAAGACAAAACTATATTATTTTAGGAAAGGCCATGCCATCTGCATCACCTCATATGTAGAATACAGAGCAATCTGTGTGACTTAACCTATATAGCAGCCATGCGTTTAACTGGCTTTCCATCCAATTATGGTTTTCTTTTTGCCTTATCTGACTTTTAATCACAACCTTCACTGAATTAAAAAAATATGTTTTTGTTTAAATGCCCCGATTTAAACAGTGCACCAATGCCACCTTTTCAGGGGAAAAAAATCCTCAAAATACATTTTCTTTTCAAGACATCATGTGAATAGAGAAAAGGGAGAAAAAGAACGGCAATCTTTAAAATATTCATGGTGAGAGCTGTAAAAGTGAAAATTAATGGCAGTTTGTAATAATAATATAGTCTTGGAGGGGAGGAATACCTTACCTTAATGTTTCTTTACCAAAGGTGAGTTTGGATCATTGCATCCTTCTCAGAAACAGAGGTTTCCAACACTATGCTCAAAAAAGGCTGGTTTATTCTTTGTTCCATAAACACATGTTCTTTTCTTTGTGGAAAAAAGTTCTGAAATGCCCAGCTAGAAATTCCCAACGATATTTTCCTAGAACTGTTTAAGGTAGATTTTTAAAAAAATCCTTCCTGCCTTGCACAATTTTTTCTAGAGGCAAAAACCGCACCCTGCAATGACCTTCCCACTACACCATCAGAGAAACTGTCACTCCGTGCCATCATTTTATCTCACAAAATCCTAGAATCACCACCACCCAACGCAATGAAGTACCCGCACTGTCACCCAAAGCTGTGCCAAAGTCCTGACAATCACCCCAAGGAGAACAAAGCAGCCCCTGTCCCTCCACGCCTTGTCACTGATACAAAGAGAGAGAGAGAGACCCACCTTGGCAGGACACACAGGATCTTAGTGCGCCAGTTCCTCAGAGAGGAAGGACGGCACAGAATTATGCAGCCAAGGGCACAGCCCTAGATCCAGCCTCATTTGCAACACGGAAGAACTGTCATTTGCCTCTGCTGTGATTACAGTGCCAACAAACCCCGGAGCGTTTTTTCCAGTTTAGAAGGTGGGGGGAAATCACGACAATTTAGAACTATTTTAACCTCCAAAGAGCTACCTGTGCTCAGGGCAGAACATTTCAAATGATTCTAGGAATGAAGATCACATTTCGAGGGATCTGAGCAAGCAATCAACAGTTGCACAGCCTTGAAATGAGATAAATGCCATTTTGGTCAACTAAAGGACCCCCCAATGCTTTAGAAAAGTGTATCACTGATAACTTAATGTGGAAAACTTAATGCAGAAAACCTATCTGTACACTTTGGCAGGCTTGTACAAACACGCAGCGACAGCACTTGCCTGGCGATGCACCAGAAGTGAGGGGTCCCTTGGGGTCACTTCAATTGGAGCAGTCTCCAGAGAAAAACCCTGAGCAACATCATGCGCTGTTAAACTCTACCAGGATACACTGATACTGGCAGTTGCACTTTTTAAAAAACTGAGAGCATATTGTGGATTATGGACAATAAATACCTGTTCCTTAGGACCTAAAGAAACTGTCTTGGCTGAGAAGAGTTCTATAGTGAAGCAACAATAGGAAATTGTTCCATAAGCCTGAATAAAGGTATTTACCGTAGTTACCTCTCATCTGTCTCTCACCAACAATGCAAGTAGCTAAAGAGAGGTGAGAGGATGGGCTTTTATTCAGCAGTCTTGTCAATATGTCCACAAATATTCATAATCTGATAACTTTGATAGTCTTTACTTGGACTTCATTATTTTAACACTGGCTTCCTAGAGTACTTTTGCTATGGGGCAACTATATAAATGAAGCAGGTAAATAAATACAGTAAGGGGAAAGCAAAATGTCACTTAGAGAAGGATCTGCAAGGTTTTCCTCGAAGCCTGAATTTGTTTTATTCTGGGTTGTTTGATTTGATGTTTTAATGGGCTGTAAACCACGTTGAGATTTTTTTCTATAAAGCTGTATAGAAATGAAATGAAGATGAATTGTACTCATTCTGCATGCCTATTGTAGAGTTTTGCTTTTCTTCTTTTAATTTTCATCTGCAGTTACAATTGTTCTCTCTGTTTAAAAAAATGTAGTATAAACACGGACAACTGATAAACACTGGCCTGCGAGCGCTCCAGTTGGAGAACAGCCTTTACCAAAGGTGTCACAGGCTTTGAAGACACTCGAACTCAGAACGCAAGGGATAAACGTGCTAAGAGGAAGGCATGCTTGGCAAATCCACAGCGTGATCAACTCCTGCCCGGAAACCAATGTCCCCACTGTGGAAGGAGGTGTGGATCCAGAATTGGCCTCCATAGTCACTTACAGACTCATTGTTAAAACCGTGTTTATGGAAGCCAATCTTACTCGGCTACGAGGGATGGCCAAAAAAGAAGAGATACGTTATAAAATGAAATGAAAAAACTTTACAAAAAAGTCTGCAAAGTTACTACTGAGCTGGGAGATTATCAGAGGAAGGGAGAGCCCAGCCTCCCCTCTAGCAGCCCTACTCTGAGTGTAGATGTTGGGGCTTCTGTTTGAAGGGACCGCTTTAGGCTTCCGTATGAGGCACAGAGGATGGAAGAAGAAGCCCTCTGCCCCTCCACTCACTCACTAGTGCCTAAAGACAAGGTCTGAATCAATTCAACGCAGAGCACAGAAGAGGTTACTGTGCCATCTGTGAAATGGGTGCCATCTCATACACAGATATGCAAGAACTCGAGGCTAGCTGAGCTAGCCAAAGTCACGAAGTTCTTGTGAGGCTGGCAAATCTTAAGGAAGAGCAGGAGTGGGAGACTGGGCGAGATGCGATTGAATGAATCTTTATTTGCATCAGCCATCAGCCATAACAATAAAACAAAAATACGATATACAAAGAATAGAAATAAAAAGTCAGTTATATAAAACACATTTCAGGGTTTTGAATCAAGATCCAAGGTGAGTGCCTGTCCAAACCTGAGCCCCATATCATAGCTGTCCTAGGGGTTCAGCTTGGAACACTTCCAGGACTGATGGTATATGTTTACCACCTTTTGTGCGGAAAAAGCATGTCAGAATTTTGGCGCTTTGGGACGCTTTTTCTTTTGCACATTTCTGGTGTGCTCCCCGTGACCCCGTAGACTGGAAAATAAAGCCAGGATATTTGAAAACTCTGACCTGCTCAATTAGCTGGTTGTCCATGCGCCATGCAGGGGCCCTATAGTTTCTTGAGAAAACCATGACTTTGGTTTTCTAGTAATTCACTGTTCTCTCTGGCAATATCCTGAAAAGCTAGATGTGATTTTTGCCCTGCCATTGCCTACAACCAAGGGTGCTCTGCCATGCTGGGTTTTGCTCACCGGCATAAGTTGGATGGTCATCTGCCAGGGATGTTTTGCCTGCATTGCAGGGGGTTGGGCTAGATGGCCTTTGGGGCACCCTTCCCTTCCAACTCTTGCCATTCTAACAGCAGAGGAGGGTGGCACCCCCAGGCTCTTGAGTTGCCACAAGAGAGCAGGAAGTGGGGGGCAAGAAGAAGTTGGAGCATTCCTTCTTTGCCGCGCACTTCCCTCTGCGGAGAACCTAGGGGTACAAGGGGTGTCCCAACTTCTCCACTTGGGAGTTTTTAACCGATCGATGGCGGGGGAGCTTTGAAAACCAGAACAAAGCAAGCAGGTGCTGGCAGAATCACGGAATTGTGGAGTCGGAAGGGACCCCGTGGGGTCATCCAGCCCAACCCCCTGCAATGCAGGAATCTCTCTTTTTTCTTTTTCTTTTTTGCAAAACAATTTACATCGAATATAGACCAAAAACAAAACAAATCCTAAACAGACCATAAACACTAGCAACATTACACACTTAACATTACAGACACTGTAAATTCCAATTCACCTCATTGCACTTATTACATCTTGTTCTATACACACTTCATTGTTATTATTTTCCCATTACTTATCAGGAAAATTTTGACTTTTGTAATTTCCTTCTATTTCAAGATTCTATCAGGAGCTTTGAATTATCACAGTACAGTGGTACCTCCAGTTGCGGACGGGATCCGTTCCAGAGGTCCGGTCAGATCCCGAGGTTTCCGCAACCTGTTGACCGCTTCTGCGCATGCACGCACAGCGAAACCTGGTGAAATACTTCCAAGTTTGCCGCGCATGCATCCCGAAGTTTACGTAACCAGAGGGTTACATAAACGGAGGTTCGACTGTACTTTTGAAGATATTCTTTGAATATTGTCCTATCTTTACTGAGTTCCTAATCTGAGTCTCCTCTTATTGTCCCAATCATTTTCGCAACTTCTAAATATTCTAGCATCTTCGCAGGAATCTCAATGAAAGCATCCAGGACAGATGGCTTAGAAACCTCCAATAAATGCTTCCTGGAAAGAAACAGTAACCCCATTTTGGGGGGTGGGAGGCAATGGTTCTACCGGCAAGCAGGTTTACACTCCAACTTTCGGGGGGGGGTTGAGAAAGGCAGATAGGGGGAAGGGGGAAGGAGGAAGGGGGGGGCACAGATACAAAAACTCAACACTCCCCCCCATCAGAAAAACTCTCAAAGAGAAGAAAAAGATTGGCAAAACAAATTAATGAACTATAATAATATAATAATAAAATTTTATTTATATGCCGCCCTCCCCAGCCAAAGCCAGGCTCAGAGTGGCTAACAACAGTAAAAGTAACACAATTTACATAAAATCACAATCTATTAATCGAAATACATTCTAAAATCAATTCATTCTAAAATCAATTCAGAATCAAATTAATGGCAACCATATGCAGGACATATTAGAATCACTGGAAACCCAAGAAAGAAAAAGGACACTGATTCTTTTTTAAAAACGGGGGAGATGTTTAATGCATTCTTTGCAAGCCTTGTGTACAGGCTTTTACATTAGCTGAACTTCTAAAGGTCACTTGTGACAACATGAACAAGGCTGTAAAATTGGACTGCTAAGAATATAAGATTTGACGGACATGCATGAAGAAGTATAAAACAATGGAACCAGGAGGGGGAGTGGAGGGAAGTCAATGAAGACGAATGATTTAAATTTTTGATTGTGATCTTCTTCTTCTTTTTTTTTTTGGTTACAAAATTAATAAATTGGATCTAAAAAAATTGGAAGCCGACCAGAGTGGCTGGGGAAGCCCAGTCAGATGGGTGGGGTATAAATAATTATTATTATTATTATTATTATTATTATTATAAAAGAAAAACTCACACATACCCTTATAAAACGAAGAAGCGCGCATGTTCCCCGCCCCCAACACCCCCCCCGATCAAGGCCTCTCACAGGATACAATAATGGAACTGAGGAGGGAGGAGGAGGGCTAGGAAGGGGCCCCCAAGGGACATCTAGTCCACCCCCCTGGTGTGTTGTGTGTGTGAAAACACAGGCAGAGAAGCGTGTCCCGGGGGGGCTGCCTGCCTTTGGACTTTGAGCTCCATGCGGCGCCCCCCTCAACCCCAAAGCGAATGGGGGGGGGAAAGGAGTATCTTTTTTGGGGGGGAGGGAAAGACCCCAGACCCCGCACTCCCTCACAGCGAGGGGGCGGGGATTTAATAAATAATGACGATAATAGCGATAATAAGGATAATATTTCTTCCCCTCCCGCCCCCCCCCCCGGCAGGACTCACCGCCGGGGCCTCCGCCTCAGAGCAGGCGCCGCCGCCATCTTGGCCCGCCTCTCGGGGCCTCCGGGAGGCTCGGCCGCGCCGCGCGGTGCATTGTGGGCGCTGTAGTCCCTCGCCTCAGCGCCGCGTTCGCGAGAGGGTTCCGGCGCCGACCAGGGTCATCTAGACCGACCCCGCCGCGCTCCCCCCCCTCCTATGTATTTATCCGTTTACTTGCTTGTGCATTTCTATTCCCAAGGAGCTCTCACGCATGCGCAGGAACGTTTCTGCCCTCACAACAAGCCTGTGAGGTAGGCCAGCCGCAGGGCCGGATTGAGGTTGGACGAGGCCCTCAGCTCCTGAAGGGAACGGGGCCCTTTCTATGTCCAGCTCTGCTTCGTCAGCAACAAATTGCCCCTGTTTTTTGGGTTGAATAGATGCTATATGGTCATGTATGGACCTCATAGGTATCTCAAGCCATTTGCACGTAACAAAACATGTATTTTAATAAAGTTATTGAACTGAAATACAGTTAAGCTGGAGGAGAGACTTGAGAGTCCCATGGGCTGCAAGAAGATCCAACCAATCCATTCTGAAGGAAATCAGCCCTGAGTGCTCACTGGAAGGACAGATCCTGAAGCTGAGGCTCCAAGACTTCATGAGAAGATAAGACTCCCTGGAAAAGACCATGATGTTGGGAAAGATGGAGGGCACAAGGAGAAGGGGACGACAGAGGACGAGATGGTGGGACAGTGTTCTCGAAGCTCAACATCAAAAAAACGAAGATCATGGCCACTGGTCCCATCACCTCCTGGCAAATAGAAGGGGAAGAAATGGAGGCAGTGAGAGTTTTAATTTCTTGGGTTCCATAATCACTGCAGATGGTGACAGCAGCCACGAAATTAAAAGATGCCTGCTTCTGGGGAGAAAAGCAATGACAAACCTAGGCAGCATCTTAAAAAGCAGAGACATCACCTTACCAACATAGGTCCGTATACTCAAAGCTCTGGTTTTCCCAGTAGTGATGTATGGAAGTGAGAGCTGGACCATAAAGAAGGCTAATTGCTGGACACGACTAAACGACTAAACAAAAACAAAATATTAATATTATTATTAATTTTTTCATAGTAGGAAGACACCCCCCCTTCCCTATATTCCTGGGGGGCTTTGAAAAGCCCCACCTCCGGCAAGGACTGGGGGGGTGGGATTCAGTCTCCTGCCAAGCAGCTCTCATCCAAACAGTGCAGAGGGAAATATTATTTGGGGGTGGTTTGAGGACAGCAGAAATATCCCGCCCCCTGCCTCCCCAATTACAGATGTTTCCAGGGCCAGATTTAGGCCCTCAGCTCCTGAAGGTAATAGAATCGTATAGAATCATAGAGTTGGAAGAGACCACAAGGGCCATCGAGTCCAACCCCCTGCCAAGCAGGAAACACCATCAGAGCACTCCTGACATATGGTTGTCAAGCCTCTGCTTAAAGACCTCCAAAGAAGGAGACTCCACCACACTCCTTGGCAGCAAATTCCACTGTCAAACAGCTCTTACTGTCAGGAAGTTCTTCCTAATGTTTAGGTGGAATCTTCTTTCTTGTAGTTTGGATCCATTGCTCCGTGTCCGCTTCTCTGGAGCAGCAGAAAACAACCTTTCTCCCTCCTCTATGTGACATCCTTTTATATATTTGAACATGGCTATCATATCACCCCTTAACCTCCTCTTCTCCAGGCTAAACATGCCCAGCTCCCTTAGCCGTTCCTCCTAAGGCATCGTTTCCAGGCCTTTGACCATTTTGGTTGCCCTCCTCTGGACACGTTCCAGTTTGTCAGTGTCCTTCTTGAACTGTGGTGCCCAGAACTGGACACAGTACTCCAGGTGAGGTCTGACCAGAGCAGAATGCAGTGGCACTATTACTTCCCTTGATCTAGATGCTATACTCCTATTGATGCAGCCCAGAATTGCATTGGCGTTTTTAGCTGCCGCGTCACACTGTTGGCTCATGTCAAGTTTGTGGTCAACCAAGAATCATAGAATTGGTAATGGGGCCCTTTCTATGTCCAGCTGTCCTTTGTCTTTTTTAGAAAAAATAGTTTTATTAAGAATTTCAACATAACAAATTCTCAAAAATATATCATCTTCATCCCCCCCATTTTTCCCCTCCCTCAAGAAAAGCCCTCCCTCCCACCCCCAGACTTCCCTCAGCTCCTCTCTCTGGTTTTTCAACACGTATTATTCTCTGCATATTCTAAAATTGTAAAGATCCTTAAATTATCTATCTATTATGTTGGCAATCATAAATTTGTGTATGTTTATTCAAAACCTGCCAAAGAGTCCAGTTCATTTTGTGGTTTTTTTAAAGTAAATTGTAAAAAGTTACCATTTTTCTTTAAAGCCACAGGTGTCCCTATCTCGCAGATTGTATGTCAATTTCACCAGTTCCGCTTAATCCATCAGTTTCTCTTGCCACAGTTCTTTTATCGGGATTTCCTCATTCTTCCATCCTTGTGCTATCAAGACTCTTGCCGCCGTTGTCACATACATAAATAAGTTATTTAATTTCCTTGGCAGGTCTTTTCCTACAATCCCTAACAAGAATGCTTCTGGGTTTTTTTTACAAATGTTAGTTTAAACATTTTCTTCAACTCATTATATATCATTTCCCAAATTTTTTAAATTTCTCTACATTCCCACCACATATGGTAAAAAGTCCCTTCTTTTTCTTTGCATTTCCAACAAGCATTTGACCCAGTTTTATACATTCTTGCAATCTGTACTGGTGTTATATACCATCTATACATCATTTTCATATAATTTTCTTTCAAAAGAGAGCAGTCTGTAAATTTTACAGCTGTCCTTTGTCAACAACAAATTGTCCCTGTTTTTTGTGTTAAATATATGCTATATGGTCAGAAGAATTACAGAAGAAAGAAGAAGGGCAAATGAAATTAATGGACTATGCAAAATTGGATAAATTAACAGGAAAGATTCGAAACCTGCGGGATCAGAGATTCTTAGAGGACTGGATTAAATATTTGAACTATTTGAAAAGCAATTGTGATAAACAGATTACGCTAGTAGGACTGCAAGAAATTCTGTAAGGAGGACTTTGTGAAATATTGCAAGAAAGGCTTTGAAAAGAATTGTTAGTTAAGGATGATTAAAAGTAATAGAGAAATTAAGAAATGCAGAACAAGTGATAAAGAACAGAAAATCTTCAGAGGTTGTTGACGGAAGTGTAAAATATTGTATAAGATAAGACGTTATGTGAATTGATTGTTGGAACTTATATGTTAAAAAATTAATATATAAATTAATTTATATATATATAGACAGAGAGAATATATGCTATGTGGTCATTTATCTAAAGCCATTTGCACATCACAAATTATGTATTTTATCAAAGTAATTGTGGAACTGAAATACAATTAAGAAGAAGTATATTAATAGTGATTTTTTTTGGGGGGGGCCCAGAGAGTGGGGCCCTAAGCTATAGCTTGTTTAGCTTATACATAAATCTAGCACTGCTTGTGAACAGGACTAGGGGCTGGATGGGTTGTCTCTGGGTGCTGACCGCTTAGCTCCATGCTGCTGTCTTCAATGGGATCTTACTCTCTTGAAATAAAAAAATTAAGGTCATATATATATCTATATCTATATCTATATCTATATCTATATCTATATATATATATATATATAAATGTTCATAACTGCATATATAAACCACATGTCTGAAACTCCACAGAAAAAGCCCTGAAACCATTTTGTCCCTCCCAAATTGACCTCAAATATTTCTCTGCAAGATCGAAGGAAAATGAAAAAGCCTCCCCATTGTCTTTTTGTTCACAAATCCTGTCTTAAGGGTATGTCTGTATATGAATAGGGTGAGCCTGTGACCTGGCTCAGCAACTAAGTATTTATCATTACAAAAGGCTGGCCAGGCTCCCCAGGTAATCCAGTCAAGTGATCATTAACAGGTAACTTGCCAGACAGGAGATAAACAACGCACTCAGATTTCTGTTGTAGACTGCCTTTTCTGTGATGTAGGTATGATGTTTGGGGGGGAGGGTTGTCTTGAGCACCAGGGAAGGCAGTTTAAAATGTGTATATAAGGGCAGGCACACCTTGGTTCTGGGTCCTCCTCCTTCCCCTGCATGTGAAGGGGGCACCCTCTTGCAACAGATTAATAAAGATCAGGCTTACTAGCTGCTTTGCTTCTCAATATTCTCTGGTTGGCCTCTGTTATTTTCTCCGACCGTTGGAGAACCTACAAAGGACTCTATATGTGCTCCCATGTCCCCCATAAGGGAATAAGGGCAGATTTTTGTTTCTTACACTCTCTTCACTGTTCAGCGGGAGTTAGTTGTAAGCCTGTTAATAGCATCAGCTGCACCAAGTAACGAACTTTCTTTTTTCTCTTCCAGTTTATCACATGGTGGAAAATAGAAGCCAAGCTTCCCATCAACAATGCCTGGCAGTAAGTATGGCAACCTGTTGAAAATGTAAGGCGCTTGCACTGAGACTTTGAGATTCGGTCCTTCGGTGGAAATCTCTTCTGAAAAAGGAAAAGCAGAAACAAAATGTGGCAAATGTGATGCATCTTTGAACGTGGAGCTCTGGCTTCAGACGTTGTAGCAGGCGTGCTCATTGCTATCCAGAAATGTATTAACTGCTTCGATTTTAACTGCTATTGTGAATACAATACTAGTCAAACCGACCGAAGTGGTCACATCAGGTAGTGACCACCAGATGGTGCAGGTGCTCTTTAGGACTTATATAGGCCCGGAGTTGCCTTGCACTTGGAAATCTCAGAAAGCAGAGCTGCTCTGGTCTCTCAAGGGCATGTTAAAAGAGCCATGGGCTCTACTCAGCATGCAGGCAGCACAATCATTTCCCACTTGGGCTGGAAGAATGGGTCCCTGATTGACTCCAGCTGCAGAAGCTGAGGCTGCTTGGGCTGGAGTATTGTTTGCGGGGGATAAGTAATACAAATTACTTATTTGTATCTTTATTTTAGAGCTTATGATTTACTTTGCATGTGTACTTCTTGATGTTTTATTTATTGCCCATGACTGCTTTTGTCACGTTTAGAATTAGTAATTTTGTTCATTTTTCAAGACACCTTGAACATCGTTTGAACTATGGAAAGGCAGCATACAGATAGTACAGGCGTCAGCAAACTTTTTCAGCAGGGGGCCAGTCCACTGTCC